TGAAAGGAAAACACAAAGAGGTAAAACTGGAAAATATTTCTTTCAACGGGATAGCTGGGACTTGGTTGGAGATTAAAAAGCAAAAGACAATACTTTATAAGCAAAAAAATTTAGACGAAAAGTAAACCTGTGTTGATGTGTAGAAATTGGAAGTCAAAGAGAGCAAAGGAAGAGAAGCTAGAAAAAAGGAATGTTCTCGAAGCAGCTCGATTAGTTGAAGGCCGCCATAGGGTGAATAGAACGAATGAACTCTAATAGATTTGTCAATTAAGATGTTCAATTAAACTTTCAAACCTTAAAGTATACTGCAACATCCTTTACGTTGTCGGGCTCTGTTTTGTACATAGTTCATCTCGCGGACAATTTCAGCAAATGTGACGTTTACCTGTAAATATTGTTTTTTTAAAGGTTTAGTTCTAGTTTGATGGTTGTTCAGAAGCCTAACAAACATACATTATGTGCATTTTTTGCTGAACATTCGGTGAAAGGACATGACCAATATTCGGCCAAAGCCAAGCCCTCTTCTGTTCGAATCTAGAAATAATAAAATTTTTTAAAAGCCTAAAATTTTACCTGTCTTTGATGAGCTAAATCGCATTTATTTCCAACCAAAAGAATAGGCACTTGTTCGGTTCCCTAAAGAGAATATATCCAAAAAAAGATAAACAATCACCTACTTTAACTCGGATAATTTGCTCCCTCATCGTTTTGATATCGTGAAAAGTTTGTTGACTTGTTATTGAGTAGACTACGACAAAACCCTAAACAAGATCAATCATAACTGCATTATGTCGTATTTGAGAAGCGCACTAAAAAAATAACCTGTCCATTTTTAATGTATAAATCTCGCATCGATGCGAATTGCTCCTAAACCGCTGTATCCAAGATTTCGAGAACGCATGGTTGACCATCAGCCTAAAAAAATAAATTGAGACGGTTTGCATGTAAAAATTACCTCAATTTCCTTTCGATAGAAATCTTCAATGGTTGGGTCGTATTTTTCGATGAATGAGCCGGAAACAAATTAAACGGTGAGCTAAATAAAAACGTAAATGGATAAATTAAATATTACCGCTGATTTGCCCACACCACCCGATCCCAACACGACCACCTGGAACTCCCTCATCTGAAAAGGAAATAAATATTACAGATCTGTATTTCAAGTTATAAGCAATCTGAAAAAAGAAGACGCCTGTAGAGAGGAAAATAGATTATTGTAAAACAAATTGAAGTCAAACAAACAATTAAAGACAAATGCCACGAGGAAAGATTGAACATTACTTATGCAGTAGTTGTTCCGAAGATTTACATCAAAACTTATCGTTACATAAGTTTAAGGATGTAAGGTTTCATTACAGTAATCCGGGATAAAAGTTCAGCAAATTCAGCAAACAAGGCCGAATTTCATTCCAGCATACTGTAAAAAGTGTCTGACAAGAGATTTGAACTATCTAAACTTAAAATTTCAAATCTGGAAAAGCCATAAGCTACAAAAGTGACTTTTTTGGAGCAATCTTGAGTCGAACTTTAGTACCTTTATTCTGAAAACAAGTTCCTTTTCAAAAAGCAAATAATTTAGGGTTTCTCATGTCAAAATATCATCTCATTTCTTTTCGCGATTCAGCCGAAACTCCGACCGGATTGTATCATAAAACAAGAGTTTCCATTTTGATTTCAATAAATATCTTGAACAATATTATTTCCAAAAATAGACATTCCCATTAATACCCTTCACGTTGAATAAAGATATCAATAAAGATATGAAACAGTCAAATCTTTCACACAAATGCTTATTCTTTTGTTTTTATGTATTGGTTTGGTGCAGGTTTGATTAGTTAAAAGTTGTGGTTTCTTAAGAAATTTCAAGGTTCAAACGTTCAAAGTGTGTTCGAGTGATAGTGATTGCTCAAAGACTCTTCCACTTTTCCTTTTTTTACATTCTTTTGAGGTGAAACTCAATAATTCACACTGGCCAAGAAACGAATTAATTGGAAAATCGATTGTAATTTGTTGAAAGGTGAATAGATTGATGAAGTGGAGAGATTTTGTGGGTAAAAGAAAAATAAAAGTGGATATGGTTAATGGTTGTAGTAGTTAAAGTGGTTGTAGTAGTGATGGTTGTAGTAGTTCTTGCAAAGTTTACGAGGTTTTTTAGGCCTTTATTCTTTTTATTATTTTTATTTGCAAGTTGATATTTTTTTAAGAGAATAATCATGGATCTTTTTTTTCTACTGATTGTAATTGTTCTTTTAAAAAATATCAGCTTACATATAAAAATGAAGTAAAACTCAAGGAAATCACAAGAGAGGCCTCAAAAGCTCGTAAACTTTACAAGAGCTGAAAACTTAAAAAAAATCAAACTGGGAATCGTTTTTATTATTGTAATATGAATAGAATCGTACATAGAAATATGTAGGAAGTGTAGAAAGAATGTCTATTCAGAAAGCAGAACGAAATCCTACTATTAGAGTCACTTTTGCGGCGAATCAAAGAAAAACTCTCGATTGGTTCAAGGTCGATTCACTGCACACAATATGTAAACAAAAGAAATTAAAGATTTTCTTTCTATTTCAAGTTTTAGTTTGAGTCAATTCTTTTCCTAGCTTTTTTGGGGAGATCAACAAAAACTGTTTGTTAATCGATTGGGTAAAATTTAGCAACATTTAGCAACAATTTAGCAACAAAGTTCAGCGTTTGAAAGTTAATCTAGTGATGATTAAAAGTTACAAGGGATAATAGATGTAAGTTTGGAAGGAGAAAACAATAGTTGTTTAACAAAATGGGAAGAGCATTTCATTTCATTTCTTGAGGGTACTTTTCATTCTTTTTTTCTTCCGAAAATCTTTGTTCCAAAAAAAGAGAAAAGAATTGGTAGACATAACAAAGAATGGAAAAGGGAAGGGGAAAAGAAAAGGAATGAGTTCAGGGAGAAAGGGAAGGGGAAACGTGGGAATCACAAATGAATGAAGACACGAAAATAAGAAAAGCAAAAAGAGAAAATGAAGAAAGAGTTCGTATTGATATATGATTCTACCGGAATGATCTTTTAAACCAAACCTGAAGCAAAGCCGATACCTAACTTCTAGCCTGGTTCGGAAAGATTTACTTTGAAACAATCCTACACAGTACCAATGAATACTATAGACGTTTCTTGTTGGTATTACGGTAAGCCGTTATTAGTTGATATCAATGTCAACAAAATCATGCTTCAAAAATTAAACAAACCATGTTTTTTTTCTGCGAGACTAATCAAAATTTGACAAAGAGCTTCCACAAAGTCTAATTTATTAAATTTCCGTCAATTTTTGGCAGATTTCAGAGAGATTTCCCACAATCTAAATTAAGAACCTAATTAATACCAACATTTCAAATTTAATCCGATCATTGTCTATTGGATTTTCCCATCTTTCGTACTTATCAAAAGATCCGCTTAAATCACGGAATGAGTTTTTTGAAAACTTTTGATAAGGATTCTGAAAAACGAAAAAATGAAAAATGAAAAAATCTGAAAAACGATCTTCTCAAAGCTTTATTTATTGGTCTCAAAAAAATGAAAGTGCTCCTAATTTTCGCTATTCTTTTTCTCCAAGTTTCAGCAAAACTCGGCTGGGATGGGATTCAAGTGAGTGAGATGAGATTGAATTCGATTATATTTTTTCGTCTAACTGACAATGAGCTACCGTATCGAGAGTGGAAATGATATAAAGTATCCTAGGCGGTGACCGTATCGGGATTTGAATGTCTCAAGAAAAATGGATACGATTTCTTTGTGGCACGAGTCGGAAGATCGGTAAAGTGGATTAGACGCAACAGGCCCGTAGCCAGAAAGTTTTTACTCCAAAAGCCAACAATCATGGCTAGTCAGGTCAAAGCCAATGGCTTTCGATTGGTCTGCCCTGGAATTACTGTTGGATTTGATCTAAAGCCTTGGCTTTGGCTTTGGCTTGACTTGGAAATCGGGTCCAGAAGCAGCCGTGTTTAAGATTATATGGGGATTACAAATTACATTTACGATCTCTTTGCTAATTGTTTTCAAAATCTGCTTAAAGTCATTAAACCATAAGCATTTTGTTTTTTTAAATTCTCGAAATCAAATAAAATCATCCATCTTTCAGAATTTCTTGCAATTACATGCCAAATATATATGTTACATCCGATTATGAATGTATTCTTATTCGGAGATCCAATTTGAAACGTATTCTTAATCGGACGGCCGATTAAGAAATCAGCGTTTGCGCCTTCTACATTCTTCTGTGACTGCGAATGTCGAGGTTTTCCGTGAATTAATTTGCAATTAGGTTAAATTATTCCTTGTGTTAACTATAAAAGCATTCATATTTTTTTACACAATCGATTCAATTCTTAATCGGACGTAACATGTACACAATCAAAAGAAATGCTATTGAGTCTCCAAAGTACATGGTTTCATCGATGTTGGCGAGACACAAAATTTCGTGATCACTTTTCAGAAAGGTGACTTTATCAAAAGAATCAAAATTCAAGGCAATGAAGAGAAATGATTGACGAAAAGAATAGGCCGATTTGCATTAGAAGAACGCTGCGAAACGAAACTATTCTTCCCACTTCGAATTGTCGTTTCAGTCGGCTGCCGAAAACTTCACCACCGTCTCACCGCACACCTAAATGAATATATTGAATGTGATGAGTGGCAAAAAGAGTTCCTGTTAGTTATACAACAGTAATACAGATCACTCTCCTAAAAAACATACTCACCTCGGTCATAGGAAGAGATCCATCACTGGAGACAACTGCTTTACTGTCGGTAAAACAGCACAAATTGGAACACCAGTTTGTTGGCAAAACTTTGTAAAGAAAATTAGAAACCCAACCTCTTCCACTTTTAAATTATGCAATGTGGTGTTGATAGACTCCAACCGCAAGGACACGTTTGGCCTCCTCTTGGCTTAAAATGAAATATTTAGAAAAGTATCGTGCTAACATAAAAATGAAAAAAAAGCCTACCGATGACGTGTTTATCAAGAAAACGGACGATTTTCTGTGGATAGGGCACGCTGTGTGTGGAAAAGCCGAGTCTTTTCTGTGATTGGTTCAACGATACTGTCGAAGATTGTGTTGAATTGAATGAAGAGACAGGTAAGAGGATCGGTGAGGTAGAGAGACAGCACGCGTTCAATGAAATGTTTTCCCAACGCCAAACGGCATCTCGTAACTAAAATATGAAAAGTTAGTAAGCAATTCAACAAAGAAGCATCAATTAGGTAGACTATTTTAAAAACAAGTCAATACAGATATTCGAGTGCTATAGTGATTGATTCAGCTGTTCGAGGGGGGAGGCAGTCTACATTCACCTCTATTCAGCCAGAGCGCACCAATTTTTGCTCCTAGGATTTTTAATCGCGTAAATTCTTAATTTGGTATCTATTTAAGCTTTAGCAACGGTTTTCTAGCTATTTCAAACAGTTGCTGAAGTTTTCAGCCTTTTAATCCACCCCGCACCTTTAAACCCAGCGTAGAACTTATCGTAGTAGTGATTCGCCGGATTCACCTAAACGAAAAGGAACGAAGATTACATATCTACTAAGCCTTACCTCTCTATGATTCCTCTTGCGCATATGTTCCATCAAAGCGTTCCTATCTGCAAAGGTTTTCTCGCAACGAATGCATTCCTGACGCTCCACCCTTTCTCTGAGATGCTCAATATACTCAGTAACAAATACCTAAATAAGTTCATAAAAAAATCCAAAAGAAAAATATGTACCAGGTTCTCTGGTGAGCCAAGGTTGAGATGATGAATCATGTAAAGATGATGAATGATCTTGCTGCGATTCCCTTTTGCAGTGTAACGACAGTACATACATTTTTGAGTGAAATTGGTGTCCTCACTAAAAGCTCAAATAAGAAAAGCCAACAGCGAACTTATATATTTTGAAATGTGTTTTTTACCGTTCGCGCTGTTGGCACGAAAGTGCTTCGTCCAGATGTCGCATAGCCAGGTGTTGACGGAGCAAATAATCTTCAGGAAGTTTCTCCGACATTTCATAGTAAAAATTAGTAATACCTAGAGGGTATTTAAATTCATAATCACATTTAACTCAAGCTCACCATGATAGGGATCCTTCTCATCGGGCTCAATGCGTGGAAAAATTTTTTCAACACTCTCTTTTGCAAAACGCTGACGCCAATGCTCAATGTAACGCTTCAGATCGACAATCAAATTCAGTTCTTTCACCACAATTTTGTGTTCATTCAGAAGGTGTCTAAAATCATGTTTAAAAAGATCGCTTATTCAGCTAACTCCTCGAAGTCCCCTATTTGATACGGTAGCTCAAAGAATTGAAGGCAATAAAGGCACATGGTAGGTCCACCCCATTTGGGTGAGTAACCAATCACTGGCACCTAAAGATCCAAAGTAGAATCAAACAAATAAAAGAAAGCTACCGTTCTGGAAAGAGTTCGAATACGGCCACGTGGAATGAACAAATTGGGCTTCTCAGGGCGATGACGCACCGTTTCATCATCGGTGTCAGAGAATGGCTCCTCGAGATCGTCATCTAGTTTAATGTAATACTCGATAAAGTCATTACTTCATTGCTTACATTCCTCACTGCAATAATATCCATCACCATTGCTGTTTTGAGACACTGTATGTGTTGATGCCTTTGATTGCCTTGGCTGGTTGCCAGCAACTTCATTTTCATATTCTTATCCTAAATGAAACAAACATTAACTAGTCGATTTTTACAATCGACCCTCCCTAACGTTTCAAGTTCGAAGGGGACACTTTGACTCGACCTAGCCAGAACCTATTTTACGCGTTTTGTCTAGTCTGGTTTAGATTTTCTGGGGTATTCAAATACGCTTAATGTAATATTTTAAGAGGTTTTGAGTAGTTTTCACTTTGTATTTCACCTCTTGCCTCATTTTCTAGCGTTGCCGCACTGCAACAGTTATCCTTCAGCTAGCTCAACAAAACATTAACAAAGATTGTTCAAGACTTTCTAAAAATATCACCAATAGATCCAGCATTGATTACCCCAGAAAAAAAATGAAATAACATTGGTAAAACGGTCGAAAAATACGATCTGACCAAATCTGATCAAAGTGCCCCTCCCCCAAACGACTTTTGTCATAACAGTAAGCTTCTCAGCTAACGGGTTTCAAACAAGTAAACTTTTACACAAGACTTCCGATTCATTGAGACTTGTGCTTATAGAGAGGTGCTACTGCTTTTTAAAGTACCTGTCGATCCTTATCGACTTTCTTTCTGCCGTCACCTTTTCCACGCGCAGTTTCTGCAGCTCCCGATGCACGACGTTGTTGTCGACTCTTGTTGTCTGATGTTGCGTCTTTGTGGCTCATCGTCTGAGGAACTTCAGTAGCGGCTGGTCCGTTCTTTTTTCCTCCTCGATCGAGGTGATCTTCAAATTTTCAGCCACCTCAAAAAAAAATTGTCGAGAGCAAATGAAAACTTCTCACAATCTTGGCATCATTAAGGCCTGAATCTGCCATTTGCATAGCTTGTCGTCAACAACGCAAACCACCCGTTGAGTCCTTTGAGGGAACTAAAATTACAATCCGTTAGTAGATATAAGATCATGAAAAGAGAAGCATCGAAAGTTGTAAGAAAACCCCAGTGTATCGGACACTACCGCGGTGAAGACCTCATCTATGATAGGTGACCTCACCCTAAGTCGAAAAAAGGGAGGGGTCCACCACATAGAATTTTTGACGGCGGGAGGTGGCGTTCTATTAGAGGGTGACATCTTGTTACAGGTATTACGGTAGTGTAATACAAAATGTAAGTATTGTTACCTTTTACATTTTTGTAGACAATTAGCAGATCAAGACGGGAAAATGAATTCATAATCACAACTTTTCACTGAGGATCCACTTTTCTTTTCACATTTGTCCAAGGAATGAGTCTTTGCCCAAATTTCTCTATTAATTGACAATAGTAATAAAATTAAAATAAATTTACTTACCGAGATTTGCATTTTAAAAAAATTTGCTTAGAGGATTTGAAATTTGCATTTAAACCTCAAATATAAGGAATCGGAGAACAGATGGATTTATTTTACAATCAACTCGGAGATGTGGCGTCAGATTCTTTCTTGCCTGTGGCCATGCGGTCGTTTTTCGATTTTCGAAGGTTTGTTGCTTTTTTCTTGGATTTAGTTTTATTCTTTTTCGTTAATTTTGTTACTTTGAACTTCGGAAAGCTTTTCTGGGAGTACATATTTTTTCAATTGGTCTATGCAGATGTAGAAGATTTTATGTGAATTCATTAATATGTATTCCTGAAATACTTATCCGAAAGTATCGAAAGACAAAAGTATCGAAATTAACGATTGTCATCATTTGGTACTATCCTAGTTGGGGGGGCACTTTTTTTTCTTCAAAACCACTTATTCTGGGGTAATTTTATGCGTAGATTCCAAAAAACACGAGAGGAAAAGGCGTTTTAAGCCGAGTTTTGGGGCTTCAAAGGGCGCGCTCATACAGTGTGAGGAGAGGGGTACACATAGGGAAGTGATCTAAAAATGGTCTCTTAAAACATTTTTCGAAGCCATAAAACACTTCTTCTGGCATAATTTCACTTACTGATTACGTTTCTGATCAAATTGGAACAAAATACAAAAATTTTTTTTTTTAGATTACGACCGTGTGGTACCCCACATGAGTCAGACGATCAATCTCTGAAATTCTTTTTTCAATTTGTTTTGCATTTATCAGTCAATTTAAGTTAGAAAATGAATATTTAGTGGTTAAAAATGGTTTTGGCTCTATTTTTGATCTTGAAAAGTGCCCCAATAGTGGATACCTAGGCTCCATATAGTGAAGTACACCATAGAAACGCGTACTTTGAAGCCCCAAAACTCGGTTGAAACGCCTTTCCCCAAGCTCACGTTGTGTTTTTCGGAACCGACACATAAAATTACCCCAGGAAAACTGGTTTTGAAGAAAAAAAGTGCCCCCCCAACTAGGACCTGTCATTTTTTAAAATTTTGGTTCTTACGAGTTAAGTTTTATTAATTCTCTTTTTTCAGATGCTAAAAGATCAAGCGCTGGAGGGGACTCGGAAGCACAAGAGGGAGAGAAGAAAGAAGAGGGGACGAAGCCAAAGGAAGAAGGAGAAGAAGGCGGCAGCAAAACAGTGGCATAAGGACCCAAACACGGTAACGACCTTCCGAAGAAGGAAGCGAGAACAACTCACAGCTATTGAGGTAACTTTTTATTTAATAGGTAGGTAATAAATTTATGACAGCCAATAATTGAAGGTGGTTCTATCAATCAATGGTTTATTTGATTATTTTTAGGGATTGGAAAAAAAGCGAAGACTTGGAAAGAAAAGCGCATAAACAAAGGGAACAAAGAAGACTTTGGTAGGTTTATTTGTCTTTCAAATTTAGACAATTCTAAACTCATAGAATGTTAGTGGACCATAAACTTTTTTGTTGAATAACTTGACATTTTGCTGTATAACGGTTATTTATTTGGTTATGTTACAGGCTTTACGAAGGACTCTACATGGGCATGGGCCAATCGGGATTTTGAGAAGGAGACGATCTACTTATACACGGATGCCTCCCGTGTTGAGACGAAAAAGGACGAGCCAAAACGAACAGGAATTGCGTTCTTCTTCGGCAATAATCATCCACTCAATTTGTAAGGGCTTAATCATGCTATAATTATGGTAGCGAATATTAAAATTAGGAAAATGCTTCGGACGATTTCTAAAAATAATAATTTTTTGAATTTAGGGGTCTGGACATCGGTGAAAGGGACTCTGCCTTTACTGGTGAACTGCTGGCGATGAATGTCGGCCTTCATCGACTTTATTTTTGGGGAGGCTTCAAGTAAGCTTTATTCATTTGTACAATAATAATAAGTACCGGCAATTTTGTGTATAAAAAAATTTTTGATGATCTAGGGGCCAGCAGGTGATCGTACGGACGGATTGTTTAAACCTGATGAATTGGTTGTGGAATCTGGAGAACTTGCAGGAGAAACAGAGACCGCTGCAGGACCATCATTCGACAGATGATGATACCAAAAAGTTTGTTGTTGCATTTGTATTTCTCTACATTTTGCGTTCAGTTTACAAAATCTACTGCGTCTCTTGAGATGTTTTCCGAAAGGACGCGTCACTATGCAATGGGTACAAAGTCACGTCTCCGGATCCCCCGATCGTGGAAACGATAATGTAATGCTTTTGAATATGTTATTTACAAAATGGTTTATATAGCTCTTCCCCAATTTACTTTGATTGGTTTTCTTAATTTTAGGCGGATGAATTAGCTCGAAAGGCGATCAGGCCATCTGAAGCCGAAACTCCCGAGGAGGCAAAGGAACCTTCCAAGAAGCCAAAGAAACAAGACAAGACCAAGGAGGCAAAGACAATTACAGCCTGGAAGCTAGCGGACCATCAAATTACCTTTGGCAAGTCCCTTTTCAATTTATTTGGAAGAAAACAATTCTGTATTTAGTGAAAACAATTCGTATTTTTAGGTAACGACGAAAAATCACCATTCGAGCGGCAAGAAATCCAATATGACGAGACTTCATCAATCGCAGAGCTTCTGAAGGAGAAAAAGAGCAAACTTTTGATGGACACCGTACGCGAGATTAATAAAGACTGGGATATGCAATAAATATTTATTACGCTTTGAAATTTTTCATGACCATTCTTATAACGGTTGATGAGCAAAGTTATCTGGCGATTATTGAGAATTTCCTCTAGCAACTTTTAATCCAATTATCTAGTTATTTGTGCGAAATTTAATTGTTTTTTTCATTTAGGGGTAGAACGACGCCAAGCAAAATGCGGTTCGAAATGCGAAAGCTCAGGTCATTCCCAATGGAGAAGCTATGCTACGACCTAAAGCTAGAGATTTTCGAGCAAATGAACCCGAGGGATGCGATTGAATTGATCAAAGTGAATGTAGGATTTCGATCGATACTGTTGTGGAAACCTTGGATAGTTTTTGGGAATCACGTGTACGAGATTTGGATGTGTGGAGAGATTCATATTGGGAAAGTTTTCCTCTATTCATCCATGAGATTAGATGCCGATCTCCACTTTCCATTGATTGAACGAATCCACTCGTGTGACCAATTGTCGATGTTGATAAAGGACGAATACGACGAAGACGACGAAGACGACGAGGAAGACGACGAGGACGATGAGGACGACGACGACGAGGACGACGATGACAAGAGCAAGTCCAACTTTACCGACGGACACGCGATCATTCTGAATCAATTGAAATCTGTGAAACGTTTGGAACTCCAGGTGTACGGAAGAAAGTCTTTGCTGAAATTACTTGAGAATTTCCACTCGAAGATTGAAGAAGATGTTCAATTGGAGGTGAATGATATTCACGCTTTGTTCGAAGAAAATCAAGTGATCAGGGAGCTTTTTGAGAATTTCATTACAATTCAGATGAATGACTGTGAAGAAGTCTGCCTTGTATGTGATGAGTTTTCTTTGTTGGACTCAGAATTTAACTCCGGATTGCAATTCTACTTGGATGCTTTTATCAAGACTTCGATCAAATTCTTGCACATCACACAAATGAAAGAGGATCATCTTGAAGAGGCCGTGCATATAATCGTTAAAAAAAGAATGCTGAGCAAGAATTTGAAGGCGGCTGTTCGTGTTTATTGTTTTTCTGTTGAATCCCTGGAGATGATTCCCCGAATCCTCGATTTTCTTTCACAATTCCCTGGAATGGAGCGATTCGACGGAGCAAATGAGCCAGAAGTCATCAAAATGGCGACCGAACATGGATTTATCGCAGTGGGGGGGAAGGTTAATTTCAAGGACGATCTATTTTTTCGACAAAACATTGACTCGAGCAGGGATTGTGTCTACGTACTTCGATGTAAACCTAATCGGTACAATTCTAGTCTATGGACCGGATTTTACGCCTTCTACGTTCAACTGCAATCGGAAATGATCCAATTTTGAGGGTTTTTCTTGAGTTTTGTACAATTTTGTTCTTAGATTGTGAGATTTTTCCTATTTTTAATGGTCTCTGAATAACAGGTGAATAAAAGGAAATTTCTTTATTTTATTCAATTCTTTTATTTCAAAATGAGAAGGGGAGTGTGCTTTTCAATAGCCGATAAGATGTTACTCTACAATAGCCCCTTTCAACTCCTCGATTTCGCCGAACACCTTCGGTTTGTTTTTTTCTAATTGAATTAATTCATTACAAATTTAGTGAGCTCAACTACTACACCCGTCCAAACTACAAGAAACTCGCCGATTTGCTGAACGAGGTGATGGCCGAAGGATCCTTCAAAGTATGTTAATTAAAGATACTTTATTCAACATGAATAAGTGGATACAACACAACGGAGGACACAATTTTTACCCCTAATTAAAAGAATTCTTAATTTTAATTGGTCCTGGTTTAGTTCACGGATCAATGGGATTGGGAGAAGAGCAGCTGTCGTCGACCTATTCTCAACAACAAAGAAAAGGAAAAGGAGAAACGTGAGTAATACATTGTGAATTGGTGGTTATATATTAACAAGATTTGTTTAGCTCAACCCGTCTCCCTGGAGGAAATTCAACAGGTCAAAGCGATGCAATCGGCAGAAAAGGTTGAAGAACAAAATATGATGCAGGTGTCTTTGTCTTTCTTTTTTATTTTCTAAAAAAATAATAAATAATAATTTAATAATAAATAATAATTAATAAAAAATAATAATTTTCCTTTGGACTCTTTGTTTACAATTCATCTATTTAGGCCACTTATAACTATATAATTCCCAATCGAATATTGTGACACGCCCTCTACTGGGCTTCTGATTGATGCACGACCTACTCATCGCGTTCAAGAACTCTCGTCTCGACTACAATGATTTCAAACTCGAAACATTTTGCAGATTAATGAATATGAAACGTTAAATATTCTACTAGTTCTGTTTTTTTCATGAAAGATTCTTTAATGATATCTTCTGGAAATTTGATTGTGTATAACTGGGTAGAGTAAACTTGTATACTTTTTCAACGCTGAAACTTTTATCACATCACCGCTATTTTAAAAGTAATAAAAGATAACAAAGAATGAAAGCAAACTATGAATCGGCTCGACCATCGGTGTGTTTCTTTTGTTGACCCTCGTGCCAAGCTTTGCGAAGGGTTCTAAAATGTGTGGTATGGGAGCAAGTGAAAATAAATGCTTCAGATGTTATAGTATATCATATACTGTTATTATAGTAAATCGGATATTAATAATGAACCTTTTCATTTCATCATCCCCCTTGTCATAAAGTTCTTTCATCATCGACATAAGTGATTCATTTGGGTCACTTGACGAACCAGGCGTGTCGAACTTGGGAGCACTAAAATTAAATGAATAAATATAAGTTCGCATAAATGTAGGTAACTTTTTCTTTTTGAGCTCAGCGTCTAAACGAGTGATTTCATCCCAATGCTTTTCCTCGCTTTCTTATTGTCTTATTTAGATTTGTCAATTAAGATGTTCAATTAAACTTTCAAACCTTAAAGTATACTGCAACATCCTTTACGTTGTCGGGCTCTGTTTTGTACATAGTTCAAGAGAATATATCGAAAAAAGATAAACAATCACCTACTTTAACTCGGATAATTTGCTCTCTCATCGTTTTGATATCGTGAAACGTTTGTTGACTTGTTATTGAGTAGACTACGACAAAACCCTAAAGAGGATCAATCATAACTGCATTATGTCGTATTTGAGAAGCGCACTAAGAAAATAACCTGTCCATTTTTAATATACAAATCTCTCATCGACGCGAATTGCTCCGTACCCGCTGTATCCAAGATTTCGAGAACGCATGGTTGACCATCAACCTACACAAAGAAATTGAGACGGTTTGCATGTAAAAATTACCTCAATTTCCTTTCGATAGAAATTTCCTTTCGATAGAAATCTTCAATGGTTGGGTCGTATTTTTCGATGAATGAGCCGGAAACAAATTAAACGGTGAGCTAAATAAAAAGGTAAATGGATAAAAGAATGTAAAATATTACCGCTGATTTGCCCACACCACCCGATCCCAACACGACCACTTTGAACTCCCTCATCTGAAAAGGAAATAAATATTACAGATCTGTATTTCAAGTTATAAGCAATCTGAAAAAAGAAGACGCTTGTAGAGAGGAAAATAGATTATTGTAAAACAAATTGAAGTCAAACAAACAATTAAAGACAAATGCCACGAGTAAAGATTGAACATTACTTATGCAGCAGTTGTTCCCAAGATTTACATCAAAACTTATCGCTACATAAGATTAAAGATTTAAGGTTTCATTATAGTAATCCGGGATATAAGTTCAGCAAATTCAGCAAACAAGGCCGAATTTCATTCCAGCATAATGTAAAAAGTATCTGACAAGAGATTTGAACTATCTAAACTTAAAATTTCAAATCTGGAAAAGCCATAAGCTACAAAAGTGACTTTTTGGAGCAATCTTGAGTCGAACTTTAGTATCTTTATTCTGAAAACAAGCTCCTTTTCAAAAATCAAATATTTCAGGGTTTCTCATGTCAAAATATCACCTCATTTCTTTTCGCGATTCAGCCGAAACTCCGACCGGATTGTATCATAAAACAAGAGTTTCCATTTTGATTTCAATAAATATCTTTAAAAATATTATTTTCAAAAATAGACACTCTCATTAATTCCTTTCACGTTCAATAAAGATATGCAAATAAAGATATCAATAAAGATATGAAACAGTCAAATCTTTCACACAAATGCTTATTCTTTTGTTTTTATGTATTGGTTTGGTGCAGGTTTGATTAGTTAAAAGTTGTGGTTTCTTAAGAAATTTCAAAGTTCAAACGTTCAAAGTGTGTTCGAGTGATAGTGATTGCTCAAAGACTCTTCCATACTTACCAAAAATACGTACCGTAAATACTGTAATAGTACCCCACCCCCATAATGACGGTGCGGAGCGTTGCGTAGTCTAGCTTTGCACGCGTTTTTCTCGACACTGGTTTATGCTACAATGCGCGCTTAGGTATCAAAAAATAGCTGAAATTCAGGGCTATTTTTTGATACCAAAGACGCATTTTTTGAAAGTACGGGTGCTTTGAAAAAAATGAAATACTAAAAAACTTTTGCGACTACGCGACTGTACGAGGGGGGTGGGGTGCTATTAGAGTATTTACGGTATGTATACGCATTACACCTAACCGCATAGCTACCGTATCTTTTATCGTCGGACTTTAGAGATACAAGGAAGTTAACAAAAAAAAATCAAAAAATGTAACAAAAAACCATTTTCGAAAGTTTCTTTCAATGATTTTCTTACAACTTTCGATGCTTCTCTTTTCATGATCGTATCTACTAACGTATCTACTACGTATCTACTATTGTAATTTTAGTTCCCTCAAAAGACTCAACGGGGTTGCTTGCGTCGCTGACGATAAGCTATTCAAATGGCAGATCCAAGCCTTAATGATCCCAAGATTGTGAGAAGTTTTCATTTGCTCTCGACAATTTTTATTTTTAGCTGGCTGGAAATATCACCTCGATCGGGGAGGAAGAAAGGAACAAGTCAGCCGCTACTGAAGTTCCTCAGACGATGAGCCACAAAGACGCAACATCAGACAACAAGAGTCGACAACAACGTCGTGCATCAGGAGCTGCAGAAACTGCGCGTGGAAAAGGTGACGGCAGAAAGAAAGTCGACAAGGATCAACAGGTATTTTAAAAAGCAGTAGCACCTGTCTATAAGCACAAGTCTCAATGAATTGGAAGTCTTGTGTAAAGGTTTACTGGTTTGAAACCCGTTAGCTGAGAAGCTTACTGTTATGACAAAAGTCGTTCATTGAGAGCGTGCCCCACTTTGATCTGATTCGTACTTTTCGATCGTTTTACCGATGTTATTTCATTTTTTTTCTGGGGTAATCAATGCTGGATCTATTGGTGATATTTTTAGAAAGTCTTGAACAATCTTTGTTAATGTTTTGTTGAGCTAGCTGAAGTATAACTGTTGCAGTGCGGCAACGCTAGAAAATGAGGCAAGAGGTGAAATACAAAGTGAAAACTACTCAAAACCTCGTAAAATATCACCAATAGATTAAGCGTATTTGAATACCCCAGAAAATGCAAACCAGACTAGAAAAAACGCGTAAAATAGGTTCTGGCTAGGTCGAGTCAAAATGTTCCCCCCGAACTTGAAACGTTAGGGAGGGTCGATTGTAAAAATCGACTAGTTAATGTTTGTTTCATTTAGGATAAGAATGGCCGCTATGCCCAATCAGTTTCTCAGACTCATCAAAGCAAACATTCTGAAGGCGAAAAACGTCGAACTCGCTCTCATAATGGTATTTTTATATCTAAAACGTTATGGTTAATTTTTAGGGAACAAGGCTGGTGAAAATGAAGTTGCTGGCAACCAGCCAAGAGAATCAAAGGCATCAACACATACAGTGTCTCAAAACAGCAATGGTGATGGATATTATTGCAGTGAGGAATGTAAGTAATTAAGTGACTTTATCGAGTATTACATTAAACTAGATGACGATCTCGAGGAGCCATTCTCTGACACCGATGATGAAACGGTGCGTCATCGCCCTGAGAAGCCCAATTTGTTCATCCCACGTGGCCGTATTCGAACTCTTTCCGGAACGGTAACTTTCTTTTATTTGTTTGATTCGACTTTGGATCTTTAGGTGCCAGTGATTGGTTACTCACCCAAATGGGGTGGACCTACCATGTGCCTTTATTGCCTTCAATTCTTTGAACTACCGTATCAAATAGGGGACTTCGAGGAGTTAGCTGAATAAGCTATCTTTTTAAACATGATTTTAGACACCTTCTGAATGAACACAAAATTGTGGTGAAAGAACTGAATTTGATTGTCGATCTGAAGCGTTACATTGAGCATTGGCGTCAGCGTTTTGCAAAAGAGAGTGTTGAAAAAATTTTTCCACGCATTGAGCCCGATGAGAAGGATCCCTATCATGGTGAGCTTGAGTTAAATGTTATTATGAATTTAAATACCTTCTAGGTACTACTAATTTTTACTATGAAATGTCGGAGAAACTTCCTGAAGATTATTTGCTCCGTCAACGCCTGGCTATGCGACGTCTGGAAGAAGCACTTTCGTGCCAACAGCGCGAACGGTAAAAAACACATTTCAAAATATATAATTCAAAATAAGTTCGCTGTTGGCTTTTCTTATTTGAGCTTTTAGTGAGGACACCAATTTCACTCAAAAATGTATGTACTGTCGTTACACTGCAAAAGGGAATCGCAGCAAGATCATTCATCATCTTTACATGATTCATCATCTCAACCTTGGCTCACCAGAGAACCTGGTACATATTTTTCTTTTGGATTTTTTATGAACTTATTTAGGTATTTGTTACTGAGTATATTGAGCATCTCAGAGAAAGGGTTGAGCGTCAGGAATGCATTCGTTGCGAGAAAACCTTTGCAGATAGGAACGCTTTGATGGAACATATGCGCAAGAGGAATCATAGAGAGGTAAGGCTTAGTAGGTATATAATCTTCGTTTCTTTTCGTTTAGGTGAATCCGGCGAATCACTACTACGATAAGTTCTACATCATCAACTATCTCGAGCTCGGAAAACGCTGGTTGGAGGTGCTAAAAGAAGACGTTGAGGATACTGAAACAGCTGGCCAGGAGAGCGACAAAGAGCTTGAAGAGTTGGGCTTTTTATTGTCTGCATACAAATATCTGTGCAATTTTAGAGAATCATGGTGTGAATGGCAAGAAGACAATATGGACCTTGATGAGACGCGTGTTGTATGTTTGCTTTGTGATGAATCGACTGAACGTGGCGATCTTCTTATTGAGCACATGCAGGTAAACTCAAGTCATATTAAGCAATTCGCTAATAAACAAGTTTAGGAAAAGCATGGATTTGATCTTCTTAAGCTGATCAAGGACAACAAATTGGATACTTATGAGCGTATGAAGTTGATTAACTACGTTCGAAAGCAGGTATGAAGTTTGACGTTGTTTTTGCTATTGTTTTTTCTAGAATTTCAATGCAATTTGCTGGCGCTGTGGTAAATCTGATAATGGTAATCTTATCGGACTTTACAAACACATGGAAGAAGTTGAAAAACCAATCAAGGTTAATTTAATCAAAAAATTGTTTTAATAAATCTCAGGAATTGCCTGATCGTTCGCGCTGGGATCTAGACGAGTTTTTGGTTCCAATCTTTGGCAATGACCATTTCTTATGGATGCTTGAAGGACTTTTGGAGGATAAAGTATTTAAAAAAAGAACATTTAGCATTTAATTGTTTGATTTAGGAGGAGAAGGGCCAGACTTCAGACGATGAAGAGCTCGATCGTACTGATCGCAAGAAATTCTTGGAGTCATTGGTCAAGAAAAGTCAGCGAAACACTGTTGCATCGGTAAGTTGACAAGTTTTAATCATAACTAAAAATACTAACCTATGCTAATTCTTAGGTAATTGCTGAGGATCTTCCTACTCTCGAAGAAGTGCCCGATCTTGAAGAACTTCTCTAAGCAAGCCACCAAAAATAGCAGAGTTGTTCTTTAAAATCTTACTTTTTCACCTTTATCTTCTTGCCAACGTCTCATTCATGACATTCTTGACATTCATGAAGACTTTAGAATGGAATTTTTGCCAAATTCTACTGCTCATACCCAGATTGTTGTATAGGTTTTGTACACTTCTTGTTTTTAAATAAACGTTCAAAATTCTTTGTGAAACTCAAGCTCAAGAATTCTTGTGCTAAAGGCTTGTTACCTAAATGTTTTCTAAAAGGGAAAAACAAAACAAAAAAATGGTTTTTCCTCCAGTTTGTTATTGAATTGTGAAAGTTCAAAAGTGTGTAAAGTATTGCCGTGAACCCACTAATTACATTGCGTCATTGGAGGCATTTTCAAAAAGTTGACTAAAAGAAATAAAACGGTTGTGGTCATAACAAAAAAATTTATTTTCAATAACTGGTACTTTAAATTATTTTCAAAGATATTTGCAGCTAATCATCTTATCTAGGTACCAAATACTTCTGGGAGCATAGAATTTTTATAGTTTTTCTTTCTTGTTTTAATTTTTTATATTATTTGCGCTGATATTTTTCGTTTAGAAAATGCCTGTCGAATTAGAAGCGTCTTTAGATGAACAATCGATAGAATATCCGGCTCTCTTTGTGGAATATCTTTTATCAAGCAAGTCCTTACAAATTTTAGTTGATTTTCGGATATCTGCCTATTTGGAATCTTAATTAGCAAAGTATTTAGATGATAATGAATCTTCGCAAATTGCATCACTAAATGCAAATGGATGGTGTTGGCTGGTTGCGGAAAATAGACTCTATTTGTGGAATCACAAGGTTACTTTTACTATATTTGTAGGTTTCAAATTAAAACTCTAGAAAAATGATGCTACTTACACGCTAAATTTGATCCCGAATGCTCGACCGTACAACGCTCAAGATATCGTGGTTTATGAGAGAGGTAAGTAATATTTTGATGTTGAGACAGGATCAAATTTTCGCTTTTAACCGTTCATATCTAGCAAAGCAACTTTTACCGGGAGTGATGGCCGTAACAACGAGTCATCTTTCTGGAACTGTACGACACTGGCCTTCAATCAAATCGACTTATACCGACACCCAACTGAACCTAAACCACGAAACTTTGCTCTCACTTTCACTTCTTCAGCAAGGTTTACCAAACTTTCATTTCATTTTATTGCTTGCTTTAGAAAAGACTTTTTCGCCGACAGTTCTACTCACAACAACGGTCGGATCAGTTTATGAACTTACTGAAGATGAAGTTAAATTGGGAAAAGTGAACTCGAGATTGGTAAACTTGTGTTTTTGTGCCAGTGGTTGTTCAACAATGCTTATAGTTAGCTTCATACACTCATTCGAATGGACTAGGTTCAAGACTTTCGACGATGATTTTTGGAAACTACGATATTAAAAGGTTTTTTGTTTTGTTGAATTATTACATTAGGAATTTAGTAAACGAGCCTTACGCAGTCTATCATTTCCAGCCAGAAATCAGGTATAAATTGTGACGTTAAAAGTTTTGATGTGTATTGTTTCCAGGAAGCTGGGCGCGATATTATTGTTCTGGGTCCAGCCCATATTACAATTTTCGAAGAAAAATCTACTCAACCGGCATTTTCGATCTCAGCTGATAATCTACTCGAGACACTCTACATCGACTATTTTAAGGTTTGGGCTTTTCACTCAAAGAATAATTAAGCCTTTTCTGATTTAGAAAAGAACGCAAATCCCGGTAAACTCGGGAAATTACTTCTTATTGGATATGGTTGCATTTCGCGGTGGTCTCATGTTACTGACTTGTGCGACCTTTGACCATAATAATTATCCCATTTTTGCTCTTGGTAAATAATTCATGAATTTTTTAACTAAAACATGTTTTAGGTTATTTTCCAACAATCGATTCTCTTCAAATGCGTCCATGCTGGTTTTCAATTTTGCCAATTGCAAATCCGACAATTTTTCAGGTCTGCTTACTTGAGAGGCTAAAACTTAGCTAATCAAACAAAGAAAACTAATAATGGAATTTTACAGTCAAATGAGGAATCTTCATTTATCAGTCAGCTATCGCTTTTAATTCCGGGTGAAGTGAATGCTTTGGAAACGACTTTCTGGGATGGAATTATTGTTTTACATTCTACTTTTGCGCAAGTATGTTAATTTGCTTTATTTAGTTGTATAATTTGACTTTAGGCTATTCATCCACCAGCTTCCTTAAATTTTTATGAGATTCCTGTAAACAAGTCCTTGTTTTTTGGAAAAGACGATCAGCTTATCGGACATGGTTAGTTTAAAAAAACATATATTAAGGACAACATGTTTAGCTACCAATGGCCAATTTGCATACGCTTTCTTTTCGAACCTAGGACTGTGCACAATACGATTACTACCAAAGTATTTTTGTTTTTTTTTTCTTTATTGAGTTCGCTTCAGAGGATTTCCGACGCTTTTCCCCAAAAACGATAAAATTTTCGGTGATGTGACGGGGTTGATCAAAAGACTACTGCATGGAAATAGTTTGATTATTTTAGAAGCACCTTTTTACTAACTTTTAGAAAAATTCAAATATCATAATGCGGAATTGACACTCTTCTTGGAGTCCTTTGTTGATTTTTCATCGAAAAAAATTGTACGTTTAAGAAACTGAGTAGAAAAATACATCTTTGATTTCAGAAAAATGCGGAACGATCGCTCTCTTTACTTACTAATTCCCAATTAAACGACTCAATTCATCGATTTTTAGAGGAGATATTAGATGATGAAAGTAAGACGAATATAATGAATCCTAATGAGTTAGTTATTTTAGGAGGGTTAATCACGGGCAGCTTTTCTCGGACGGATCACCAATTGCGCTTCAAAAAATTGCTTGCATCTCAGCTTATGTTTTTTGTGAAAAGTCTTGACTTGACGGAAACGGTAAACTTGAACTTTTATGTAGTAAAACTAAAAACCTACTTTTTTAGCTGAAAAGAACTCATTCATCAACAATGATCGGCTCAATGTTTTCAAAAATGCAATCGGGATATTCAATCATTTGCGAAGCTACTGAAAGAACTGTCGGTGCTGTGGCGATTTGGGAATGGGCACAAGCGAATGAGGATCATTTAGAAGTAAAAATTATTTGATGAAAAGTACTAAGCAATACACGATTTAGTTAATCAGTTACACTGCCGAGCATTATGCACAATTGCAGCGACTCAAACAAAAGACGCCGTTTGATGTGTTCTTCAGAAAAGTTATTGATGGTTAAACGCTTGATAGAAACTGTCTTTAGTTGACATCCATCCAGCAACTACCGTTGGCTCTAGTTGAATTCGTAGAAGAAAAAGCACAAGAAGGATCATTTGTCCAGAATGTGTGTTATAACTCTATTATTCAAATCTTAAAGTTTAGTCAAAAGAATACTTTACCGTATTGTTGATGCGTATATGCGATTGTCTCTCGACTTTGTGTAATGCCATCGACAATGAAAGAAGGTAACATCCAATGGTTTATAGCTACCATTAGATGACCTATTTTTGTTATTTCTAATTCATTTAGGACACAAAGCCCAACCAATGAATCAAAAGATATCGAGCGTTGGACCGGTGATCGATTAGCTCCGATTCTACAAAAAATATCTCTTATAGGTTTGCTTAGAGCATGGCCAAGTTAATTAAAAAAAATTTAGTGTTGAAAGCAATTGATTCACCCATCGACATCACGTCATTGGAAAGAAAATCGGCTATTGGAAAAGTTGGTTGCTGTTTAGTTATTATACATCTTCGAATGCTAGGTGCGATGTCTCCTGGTCTTTGCCTTTTCCGAATCTTCAAAACCTTTGGAAGGCAACGAGGCAATTCTAATTTTGTACAACATTGGGCAATTCACACTAGCAAGGGATTTAGCTGAACGATTCAAAGTACCTTTGAAGATCTCAAACTAAAGACAGCACCTTTTAGGACTTCAAACTTTTGATAAAAATTGCACATGTATGTGAGAAAGAGGAGGAAAAGAAAGGACTTCTGGAAGAATGGAAGCAAAAATTCAAAAAGGAAAATTTTGATGCTTATTTGTACAAATATTATCGATCTCATGGTGAGATTACGAAACTCGTTGCACTAAAAGTTTACTGTTTTAGGAATGGACGAAGAATTGTTGAAAGAGGATGGAAAAGTCGCCGATAATTTTATTGAAACTTGTGAGGATTTGCGATGGAGAAGACATATTCTCAACGACGAATTCGAGGAGGTTGGCTGATAAAATTGTATTTAAAATGTTTACATAATTTATTCAAGGCGGCAAAGAACTTACTCGTTTTGGGTGAACGCGCCACCGTATATACGACAAAAGAAGTAGGATAACTTTTTGATTTCAATAGTATTTTTGCAATATTTAGATTTATATTCTGTATTTAGAATGCGTATATTTTTGCGAAGTTGAGTGCACTTTGTGCAGATGATGGAAAAGATCTCGTCGCAAAGGCAGATCAGCAGCTACGAAAATTTCAACATTAAATATCTGCGTGATTTTGTTGTAGACATTTAAGTATTTTGATACATTGGCATTCGTGATATTGATAGAAATAAATAATTTGACTACGTAATTTACAGAATCAATGTCGCTTTGGGAAGTCTATGAAAAAAGTGGGATACATATCAGTCCTTGAAAGATGATTTGAGTAAAAATACAAAGAAATATAAAAGGGAAGAACATTGAGGGTATGAATCAAATGTGCAAACCAAATTGGCATAGGAAATAAAAATTAGCATATAAAACAACAAAAATTGCCTGGAGCAGGTGAACTCGTTTTTCATTTTAACGAATTCATCCCTTGGAATCGGCTATTTGCTTCAATTTGTTTTAAATTTATTCGAATTTTCGTCGCTTCAACACAATGATTGGATCCCAAAGTATAGATTTGGAAGTTTTTACTTGGTTTTGATGTTTCTATTAGAGAAAGATGCATAGTCTTTATGTTTACTCTTTTTTCACACAGTCCATACATATTAGGTACTTTTTTATGTTAGCAATTTACATCTTTTTTAGCTCGACGATTCGTTCTCATTGCGCGAAACTCGCGACGACGGCCACATCGTACTCATTATACACAAAGTAAATGCTTTTAAATAGATACCGGTGCTATAGTAGTTCGAGAGGGGGCAGTTTGTAAACATCGATTTTTTCGAAGTTTCAACTAGTTTGCAAAACTTTTTCTGGGGTAATTAATTGCGCTGAATCCATTGGAATCATTTATAAACCATTCTAAACAACTTTTTGACAGTTTGAGTTTGAGAAGCATTTTTAAGCCTTCAACTGGGAGTCTATTTTCGCTGGGTTTAATGGTGCGGAACCGAATTAAAAGGCTTAAAACCCTCAGTAACTGCTTAAAATAGCTAGAAAACAGTTGCTAAAGCTTAAATAGATACCAAATTAAGAATTTGCGTCATTAAAAACTTTAGGAGCAAAATTGATGCGCGCTGGCTTAATGGAGATGGCACTGCCTCCGCCCGAATAGCTGAACTAATCACTATAATACCTGCGTTGACTTGTTTTTTAAAATAGTGTACCTAATTGATGCTTGTTTGTTGAATTTCATATTTTAGTTACGAGGTGCCGTTTGGCTTTGGGAAAAAGTTCTGTTGAACGTGTGCTGTCTGTACCATCCGGGCCCTCACCGATTCTCTTACCTGTCTCTTCATTCAATTCAACGCGATCGTCGACAGTATCGTTGAACCAATCACAGAAAAGACTCGGCTTTTCCACACACAGCGTGCCCTATCCACAGGAAATCGTCCGTTTTCTTGATAAACACGTCATCGGTAGGCTTTTTTTATTGTTATGTTAGTACGACGTTTTTCTAAATATTTCGTGTTAGGCCAAGAGGAAGCCAAACGTGTTCTTGCTGTTGGAGTTTATCAACACTACTTGCGACTCTTGCATAATTTAGAAGTGGAAGAGGTTGGGTTTCTAATTTTTTTTCACAATGCTTTCCTTAGGCTAAACTGATTCGAGAGTTGGCACGCGAAGCGGAAAATCAAAAATTACGGCAAGCACTCGATAGAAAAACACTGTTTCGTATCAAAGACGGACAAGCTTATTTTGACGAAGATCCCGGGGAACCCGACTTTCGAAGGTTAATTAAATTTGAATGACAACCAATGCACACCTTTAGTCGGCGTGATCGTCTTGTGGACGATTTGGCGGTTGGTCGTGAACGGATGTCTGCAATGAAAGGCATAAATGAGGTGGCTTTGTTATAAAGTAATATAATTTGTGATTTGTGTTTTTCATGCCTTTTTTTATTTTCTAGACAGAATTCGCAATCGAAAAATCAAATATTCTTCTCGGAGGTCCATCGGGAAGTGGAAAGACATACCTGACTCAGGTATAAGTATTTAGTTTATTTAAGTCAATTTCTTTTTAGCGATTGGCTGAAATTTTGAACGTTCCAATGGCACTCTGTGATTGCACAACTTTAACACAGGCCGGATATGTTGGAGACGATGTGGAGAGTGTCATTCAGCGATTATTACAGGTCTTATGATTTATTATTGGAAAATGGGAAGCAGGGCTGGGCGGTTTGAAAATTTCCGAATCGGATTCGGATTATCCGAAAAAAAATCCAGGCTTCGGATTCGGCATCGGATGATCTGGATAAAAAGTCCGGATAATTCCAGATCGGATGCGGATTACTATACTAAAATGCTAATTTGATTAACTAATTTATTTGTAACGTCGCTTTTATATTTATTAGTGCAAAAACATGTGAAAGCATTACGATTTTGATTAAAGGGCGCGTTCGTTCACTGCACTGGATGAGCTAGTTGAAAAGATCTCTTTGAGACAAATTGACTCGTTGCTTGCTTTAGAAAACTCTTTTATAGTTACTTTAGAAAATTTTTGGGGTCTAATTCCCATTTAAGAAAATTTTACTTCGACTTCGAATTTAATTTACTAATTTATTTTGAATCAAAAATTGCAAAAACGCCCATGTCTATTCTGGGCTGGGTACTTTTGCTGTTTCCCCGAGCCACACAAAAAATTTTTGGAGCCTACTTTGCATGGCGTCGCCCTGCAGATTGCGAGTGGAAATCTGGGGAAATGGGTGGGTAGTTTTTATTGGTGGCTGTAGGTCGATTATTTCTACCGGTCGTCAGGGCTGGACAAGGGCTACCTTGGGGGCAAGCAGCAAAAGTGCTTTGCGCTGTAGGTCACTTCGGAAAAAAATATTTGTTAATATGTTAATATGCGTACGTAAGACATGTTTGGTTCATTCATAAAAAAACGTAGTACTTGCGCATCTCAAAACGTTTTTTTTTCGAAATGACCTACAGCCCTATCCTGTGCCTTTTCACTTACAAATTTTATTAAGGGGTCCACACAGAACATAAACCATGAATTTTTGGAAAAATGTATCATGAACATGAAAACATGAACACTACGAAATGCTGATTAGCTTGACGTTTCTTTGCAAAATTAATAGGTAGGGAAGCGTCTTTTGTGTCGCTGAGTTGCTTCCTATTGGGAAGCGACTTATAAGCCCAATAATTTACCATTTTTTGCCATTCGAAAAACACAATATTATTTAGAATGCAAATGGAGACGTGGAACGAGCCGAGATGGGGATTGTTTTTCTTGATGAAATCGACAAGATTAATACCAGCGCCGATCAACTTCATTCTACTGGTGTCTTTATTTCTCAATGATTAAAAGTTGATATTTTTTAGGAAATCGTGATGTTTCTGGACGCGGTGTTCAAACAGGATTACTCAAATTGGTTGAAGGACATGTAGTCAAAGTAAAAGATTTCCCGAATTCTTTTTCAAAATTGATTTTAGGTAAAGAACCCATTGAATCCAACACAGAAAGTGAACGTGAACACAACGAATATTCTCTTCATCGGCTCGGGGGCTTTTTCTGGATTGGAAAATGTTGTCGCTCGGCGACTCGAACAAAGGTATTTTGAGCTGATGAGTTAGAGATACAGTTATGTTAAATGAGAATTCGGTGATTTAGATCGCTTGGTTTTGGATCTTCGAGCAAAGGCATTCTACTGGAGGAGAAAAACGAGGACACTCTGGCCTCTCAAAAAGACGAACTTACTCGGAAAGTTGATCAAGGAGATTTAATCAAGTAAGCATTTGGAAATTAACGATGTGACTTTTGTTTAGCTATGGACTAATTCCTGAATTTGTTGGTCGATTTCCTGTCTTTGTACCATTCCATTCGATCAATAGAGTCTTAATGAAAAGGGTGAGTGCTTTCTACACTACATAAATTCTTTAGAATCAGCTTGTAGATTTTGCTCGAACCCAAGAATAATCTTATTGCGCAAGCACAACGACTATTTTCCTTGGATGGGATTACCCTCAAGTTGCTATAAAATTTCATCATTCCTTGAACTTCTATGTTCAGTTTTACACAATGTGCCGTTCAAGCAATCGCTGATGAAGCTACGGGTCGAAAAACGGGCGCTCGGGCATTGCGGTAATTTTTAAATTTTGATTAGTCGCATAAATTATTTTTAGTTCAATCTTGGAGCGAGTTCTTCTGGAAGCCAAGTTTCAAGTACCTGGCTCGAACGTTCAACGGGTAACTATATTCGATTTGTTTATAGCTTTTGGATATTTTATAGATTGTTTTTGATGGGGCTTCGGTGCGAGGAGAAAAGAAGTATCGGATCGAAACAACGAATTGAATTGTGTTATTTTTCTTGAATGACTTTTGGACTATATATCTAGACTGGTAGTAAAGACTGGTTGTTTTTCGATAAAGCTTACGTGTCATAAAAATGCATAAAAATTCAAAATTGCTAATTTATAAACTCTTAAGTCGCAAACTTCTGATTCAAAAAAAATAGAAAAAAGCTTGTGCTAATAAAATCAAGCTTGCGACTAATTTTAATTTGATTTATAATTGAGCTAAATATCATATTCTAATGTTATGCAGATATTCAGGCCTCAAGCTGAATATTATTGTATTTAAAAACGGTAATTACTAAAACTTGGATTCTTTCATTTTTTTTCATTCTTCTTCCCCGGGTTGTTTTGAACGACTGGTTATTACTTTACTGGTGATCTCCCTGTTTGGGTAGACCGTTTCTCAATGTAACTTTTGAATGGTACACATGGCCGCTCTTCAGCTTCAAAGTAAATCATTTTTTATCATACTAGATTCCTGAATTTGTTTGCCTGTTTCAATTTTGTACACATTCCCTTTGGAAGTACCCATTACACACATCTTTTACACATTTTGTGGCATCAGTTCTGTTTCAACTTCTTGTGCATTTCTCTTTTGCCTTTGATAGCATTTGTTTTCCATTCCCTTATAGAAATACTCTAGTTTTAGATGTTTGTCACGATTCCATTTGTTGATCGTTTTCTGAACTTGGAGGCGAATTTGATTCATCGCATGAAAACATCGGATTTCGTTGATCGTCTTCACAATGTTGCCACTCCATGGCTGCTTGCTTTCTTCGTCATTCTCGTCGGTACAAAGATGCGATTCGGTGATCCGATCAACTGCATGTTTCCACCGGAAATCGATGGTATGTTCAGAGAACTAGAAATTAGGATTCCAAGTTGATGAGGTATTTAGCGCTTTATGATTTTATGATTTTAGACGTTAGTGCCTGGCAACCTTACTTTAATCAATTCTGCTTTGTGACGAATACTTACAAATATAATTCAATTGAATCGGCTGATGGAGATTATTATATTAATCATCAATTCGCTTCTACCGTTAATTACTATCAAGTGACTTTGTTTAAAAATTTCAAATATAGTTTCATTTAGTGGGTCCCGTTCTTGTTAGCGGCTCAAATGGTCGCCTTCTGCTTACCAGCAATATTCTCACAGATTTTTATTCAGAAATCTGGTAAGTTTAAAATTTTACCTTTGTTGTAGTTATTCTTTTAGCGCTAATGTTTGAGAATGTTATCAAATTCGCCAAGAACTATGGAAAAGTTATTGGAGATCCAAAGAAGGCGCCGATACAGTTGGAAGCAATTGGTGCTTGCTTAATCAGCACATATTTCTACAAACAAAATAAGCAGGCACGTTTTATTAAATTTGCGCCAATTTAAAGAAATTTAGGTCTTTTTCACTCGAAGTATAGCAACATTCGGTTACATTATTTACAAGGTTAATCTTCCTAATTACGTAATTTTATGATTTTGTTTAGATTCTTTGCATTATCAACATTATCATTCAAATGGGCGTGATTGCTTATTTTCTTGGCATCGATAACTGGCAAATGGGATTTACTGTGAGCGTTTTTGCTTTGAAAACAAAAAAAACAGTCGCTCATTTTAGCAAATAAAGGCAACTTTGGATGTGGACTTGCTTAAGAATCCAGGATTTGGCCTTTTCCCAAGGGTAAGGATGGTCGAAACGCTTATAATATTTTTGATTAAGACTGTGGTGTGTCATGCTGAAAAGTCTGTCAGTGGCGGACAGGAATACGAAGATCAGCCTTTTCAATATGATTTTGAATGCATTCTTCCCATCAATTACATTAACGAAAAGTTGTTTCTCTTTATCTGGTGCTGGTATATGATGGTTGGTTTTTTATTCACTCACTGACTTACAATTCTTAATTTGCCCCGAGTTGGTAATAAAAATTCTGGGTATTTTCTCTTTTAGATGCTGTGTCTCACGATTTGCAACTTGTTTGGCTGGCTCATTTTCCTATCGATGCCCGATTTTGGCGGAAAGCATCTTTATATCGTAAGATTTTAAGAAAAATATAAAAGAATATATTGTTTTAGAAATCAGGAAAACGAGTTGATATCTCTCAAAGGCCTATTTACAAGGTGGGTTTGACTTTCATAAATGTTTAATCTGTCGTTATTAGCAATTCTTCTCGGGATTGGGTGTGGATGGTCGTTTACTTTTTGCCTTTATTTCAACTCACGCCGGCGATTTGGTTGTTGTCAACATTATTGAGGAGATTCTAAAACAGTAGGTTTTTATTAGTATAAAAGAGATAGTCAAAGAAAAATGCACATTTTAGGCTCGCTGCAAAACGACTCGAGGCGGAGAAGAAAAAAGAGGAAGACGAGAACGAAAAAGAAGATATCCATTTGAAAGCCCAGAAGAAGAATTGGAACGGACCGGACGTGATCTCACTTCATCCAGATGACACAAACGATGAGATGCCTCTTTTTTTCAAAAATACGCCACGTCATTCACCATCTCTCAACCTCAATGTGTTACGCCCTACTCCACCTCGTCCTCTACCGTCAGCCCCAAAAAATATCCGTTAATGTACGCTTAAACAATTGTGTCAGATTTCTTTTGTTTTTTGGCGCTTTGTTCTATATCTGAGTGGATATCTTTGTATTGCTTTGATATATATTTTTATTTCCTGATTCTTATGGCAAGAGCTTTTTTGAAACTTTCTTTCTAACTAAATTGTTTAATAAATTGTTATCATAGGAGTGTGGTGAGTAAAAGCTTGTGGACGTTGATCCAAGTGACTCTCTTTTTCATTCTTTTTATCTGCACCGTAGGTATCTTATTTGGGTATTTTATTTTTGGTGAAGCTTCATGAGACTGGTGCTTTACACTAGTTTTTCTAATTTTTCCTTTGAAATGTTTTATGTTTGAGTTTTTAGCACTGAAATTCGTTTTTGAGAGCATTTGACCGTTGGGGATTTTCATTTTGTTATTTTTTAAAAATAACTCCTTAACCACTGAGTCAAATACTCAGTGGTTCAAATAACCAATTTAAAGATCTCATGCTTCAATTTTTAAAATATTTTTCGTGATGTTTTAAACATAGTGAATAACTAGGTGTCACTACTTTCAGCCTTTTTTGAATTGACGATGAGATATAGGCACAGGGTCTGTAATTTGTACTCATTTGTTGCTTACTATTCTCATCACTTTTTTGCCTTTTTTTTGAAACTTACTCAACGAGGCTAAGGATAGTTTTTTAGATGGTACAAACAAGATCCGCAGCAGCTCGACATTCAAACTCTGATTCAGCTGAACGTTCTCCTTACAGGTGGATTGCTGTGCACCATTTAGTGACATGTTTTTAGGTTTGTTCCCAGGCAACATGTTGAAGTTCATTCAACAGGAATAACAATGGTCGATCATTATTTGCAAGTAAAATGACCTCGGCTTTGTTTGAAATAAAGCTTTTATCTGATTTAGCAAGACTGTGTATTGACACCGGAAGAATTAAAACGATTAGCAGCACATAAATACTCTGCCATTGATATATCTTGGCTGGATGAATTGTGCATGAAGGTATGGTGCTTTGGATTTTGGTTTTGCAAGATGTTTTAGTCTTTCTGGGAACGAGTCGTCAAATTCTGCCCGTTGTGGGTTGCGCCGAATTTAATAACTTTGGTTGACTTTTAAACGTTTAATATACATCATCGTTTTTAGATAGGATTGATTGTCAACTTGATCACGGTTCTAGTGCTTTCACATTACAGTCCATCAGCCAAAGAAGATGCACCTCGATGGGCGTACTTGTTGGCGGCGTTAGGTTTCGTTTAATTGGTTATTAAAATGATACAGATTTAGGTTTGTTTGTTTATCAAACGTTAGATGCCATCGATGGAAAGCAAGCAAGAAGAACAGGGTCTTCCTCTCCTTTAGGAGAGCTTTTTGATCACGGGTGCGATAGTGTTTCACAGGTTTGTTTTAAATGTAGTAAACTAAGGGTGATAGCGTGGTTTTTAGATCTTTGTTAGTCTCAATGTTTGTTATGCCTTACAACTTGGTCAAGTTCAATACGGAGTATTCTTTGTTTGCATCTTATCGATTGTGGTCTTCTATACGGCTCATTGGAGTACTTATTGTACAGGGCAACTTAGGTAAACATGAATTTGTTAATTTTATTGTACAACTGTTGTTTTAGGTTTGCTCGTTTTGATGTTACCGAAGCTCAAATGGTTGTAATAGGAATGTTGGTAGCCACTTCAATTTTTGGCCCAGGTCTTTGGTCAATAGGTGCGTCTCATTTTTGCCACGTGTCATTATTTAAAAATTTAGGCATTTTTGGCTTTCATTTGAAACATTTAATGATTATCAGCACATTCATTGGGGCAATTTATCAAATGAGTGCCTACTTATTTACAATCATGACCGGCGGAATCGGACGAAATGGGAGCACAGTTGCGGGTTAGTTAGCTATATAAAGAATTTTACATAAGATTTGGTTACAAATGTTTCATGATCAATTTTAGGCACATCAGTGCTTTTTCCAATTTGCCCATTATTGGCAGTGGTTGTGCCATTTTGCATGATGTATTCAAAAAGTGGATCGGATGTTTTTGAGAGAAATATTACTGTATTTGCGCTTTTCTTTGGTGCCGTAGCAGCTAAGGTAACAACTTTGCGATGGCTTCAATAAATTTATATTGGCAGGCAACAAATCGTTTGATAGTGGCGCATATGTCAAGAAGTGAACTGACACTTTGGGATTGGACTTATCTGGGACCAACATTGATGATCTTAAATCAGTTAGCGTTTTGTTAAAATATTACGTATTTCTTTTACATTTAGATACTACGACTACGTGTTCTCGGAACAGAAACTACTCTACATTTGCGCAATTTATTCGATTTGCTCGCTGATTTTATACTGCGTGATGGTGACAAGACAAATATGTGCTTACTTAAATATATGGTGCTTTAAAATCATTAAAGAATGAACTTTCTTTTATGATTCCTAACTCTGGATTTTTATTGATTTGGACATTGAACATTCCTGTGTGAAAAAGCTAGCTGCACATTACCGCTTTATCTTTACGTTATAATATTTTTGATAGTTTCTCTTTGAACCCGCCATAGCTTTCCGAATCTCAGAAGCATAATGTGAACCTATCATAATTTCCTGGTTAGCGTGGTTTTCAACTAGCTAGGCATTTTCCTATGGTATTCACTTGCTTAGATAAACGTACGAGGCAGTTTTTCCCAATTTGCCTTGTTAAATATCTTTGTACTTAAGACTATCACTTGGCTTCTTTTACAGATTTTCCTTGATACATTTTTCAAATTTCTAATCATTCGTTTGTAACCTGTATTAGTTTTCGGTGAGATAGTTATTTACCATTTTAATAAATTGTTTCAAATGTCGCAGTGATTTGTTTGCAGTTTTGTCTGCATTATCTATATTTTTTTCTTCTAAGGCTCGAAAATTTGACTTTGTCGATAGCGCTTGGTTACAATGTTTTTTCCAGATACTTTCGGGACAATGGGAGATCACTATGGATTTTCGCTTACTACATTCAGCCCATCTGGCAAGCTCATGCAAATTGAATATGCTCTGAATGCGGTGAAAAATGGTCAGCCATCCGTTGGCTTGCGAGCGTCGGATGGTGTTGTTTTGGCCACGGAAAATCACTCACCAATTTTATTTGAAGATCAACCAAAGATTGAAAAGCTCAGCGATCATATTGGATTGGTCTACAGTGGAATGGGTCCGGATTTTAGGCTCTTGGTCAAAAAGGGTCGAAAGATTGCAATGGAGTACGAGTTGGCGTATGGAGAGGAGATCCCCACCGTGCAACTTGTGACGAAATTGGCCGCTGTGATGCAAGAATACACACAATCGGGTGGTGTTCGTCCATTTGGAGTTTCGCTTTTGGTTGCCGGATGGGATAAAGAGCCAGGAAATGGTCGTCCTCTGCTTTTCCAATGTGATCCATCGGGAGCATACTTTGCTTGGAAAGCAACCGCTCTTGGAAAAAACGACGTGAATGCAAAAACGTTTCTTGAGAAGAGATTCAATGAGCAATTGGAGCTCGAGGATGGTGTGCACACGGCATTGTTAACCCTTCGAGAGAGCTTTGATGTTGGCATGAACGAGGACAATGTCGAAGTGGCAATTTGCAACGAGAATGGATTTCAGCGACTTTCCAAACAGAAAGTCAAAGATTACCTTGGAGCCCTTTAATTTTTGCGGTGCAAGCTGTTCTATTTTTTTCTTTTATGTGATCATTTGTGTACTGGATACTTCTGTTCTCTTTTAAAATCATTGTGATGTTTAATGTGTTTTAAAATAAAAAAATTAGATGGCGAAAGAAGAGATCGATGAAGCGCAAAGATGTACATATGTGCTGCCCAGGAAGAAACGAAAAGTAATGTATTAACCGTAAAAAAAACATTGAATTATTTTAGTGTCGGATGCTAGTTAAAGCTGGAGAATTATTTTGTGGAGAACATCAAATACACAACCCTGAGAACAATGTTAGTAGTTTTTGTATACTCTATAAAACTTTTTGTTAAGGATAGAATAATTTGCCCAAATGATCCCAATCATACTGTGGCCGTATCAGAGCTGGAAGAGCACTTGAGGTTTATATTTACTTCAGCTATTTCTGACGTTTTTAGGGAGAGATGTAATGCGAGAATTACTCTGGAACCGTGGATAATAGAAGGTTTAAACGCTGTCAAAAGAGAAGTAGCTTCATTTGAGCCGATTGATCGACGACCCAATAAGGTTTTTGACTATTATACAAAAAAAAATTTTTGCAGGAGGAAATTGCATCTGTTGTCGCGCGCTTACTTAAAATGGAAGAAGTCGATCAGTTTTCACAATTCTCTCAGGTTTGTTTTAAAGAAAAATATTTACTAAATTGTGTGTTTAGTTGCAATGTGATAAAATTCAAGATTTCTTGGATTGCCATGAAGAACTTGGTTTCGTACAAAGAAAACATCTTATTCAACAGGCTAGTATCATTGGTGATAGTTCATTTTGATCATCAGTTTTATTGATTTTAGGTCACATGTGTGCATCTGATTTATTGAATAATACCGCCGATACAAGCATCCTTGAACTTGGAGCTGGAAAAGCTCAGCTTGCATATTGGATGGCAAAAGTTTGTTTCTGGAACAGCGGACAACTTAAGGCAATCAATAATGTTTCTTAGGTGGCTCCTCATGCTCGTTTCTTACTGGTCGATCGAAGTGGATCCCGCAACAAATACGACAATAAAGCTTTGCAAGTTATTATGCATCCTTAGTCTTTAATTAACTAATTATAGGAAAATCCATCATTAAATTTGCGTAGATTGCGCTGCTCAATAGAACATCTTGACTTATCTAAAGTGGAGATTATTCAGGTAATTTCTAAATTAAAATTTTTAATTTGTTTGGTTTAGAATTGTCAATCTTTGGTTGCTGTTCAAAAACACTTTTGTGGCAGCGCAACAGACTCAGGTAATTTTTGCAAACAAATCTTCTCCCAGCGGTTTTTAGGTATTCGATGCTTGCAAAATGGGATCACTAGAGGACTTGATTTAAAAGGATTTGTGTTGGTAGGATTTTCATGTTGGTATTTAAATGGCACACCAGAAATTTTAGGCGCCTTGTTGTCATCATAAAATGCGCTATGAAGAAGTAAGTAAACCCATATCGGATAGCTTTAAAAATGGCTATTAGTATATTGGAGGCAAATTCCTCCGCCAACAAGGATTTGATGGGGAGGCTGATTTTTCTGCTTTACGCCATATCTCGACATGGAGTGTTTGCGGATTTGAACAGGTAATATGTGGTTTTAAACAAATTTGATTACCCATTCGGTTATTTATAGACAGAAACTGAGCGATTACCTTCAGAGGTGACTTCGGAATTGTTTGAGAATGATTGGTTGGTTAATTGACTAGTTTTTGAATTTATTTTGATCAATATCCCATCTAGGTCTGACACATTCCGAGCTCGAATAGGAAGACGGGCAAAAGTGTTATTGGAAGAGGGACGAGTTTGCCATTTAAAAGAATTTGGGTACCAGGTAATTTATCAATGCTTCTTAGATAATATTATACTTAACTTAACCAATGGCTGATAGCATGATAAATATCTACCTATTTAGGTTCGCTTGATTGAATACGTCTCCGCCCAGATTTCTCCAGAAAACCTACTACTTTTGGGTTCTAAAGAATAATACTTTTATGTATTCGTTTCTAGAGTTTTGGTGTTGTTGATTTTAAATAAATCTATTTTCCAAGATTGCAAATCAATATTGGTGATTTCTTCCGAAATATTTTGGTTTGAGAAAGAGCGAAAGGTGTACCTTTTTAATTATTATGTTTCACCATATTGCGAATTCAATTTTTCCTGATAGCAGGCGATCTTTAGTAATTTAGAAACTAGAATTGTATTTGTAGGATGCGTTTCTTGTTCCGAGCTTCTCAATTATGTGGTCGTATTCAGCAGATTGCGACTGACGCTTCGAAACGGAAGTAATACGAAGCGTGGAGTATATGGTTTCTATTGAAAAGTTTAGGTATGTGTTCTTTGATATTTCGATTGGTGGAAAACCTTCTGGCAAAGTGACGATTGAGGTATAGGTTCTTAAGAATAGGGTGATGCTGGAGATTTACAGCTTTTCAATGATGTGGTTCCTAAAACAGCTGAAAACTTCCGAGCTCTTTGCACGGGAGAAAAGGGTAAGAAAGCTTCTTGTTATCAAATCGATTCATTTTTTGCTACATAAATTAGATCAAAATATAAATTTTTGCAAAATTGCAACTGAGCTGCTGAAAGTTCATGAGCCATTTTTATAGGTATCGGTAAGCAAGGGAAACCACTGCATTTCAAAGGTTCGACTTTCCATCGCATTATTCCTGAATTTATGGTGCAGGTGTGGCCTTCATTTTATATCAAGTTCTATCTTTTTAGGGAGGTGATTTCACTCTTGGCGATGGACGAGGTGGTGAATCAATCTATGGAGCTAAATTTGCCGATGAGAATTTCAATTTGGCTCATACTGGTGCTGGGGTGGTATGTTTTTCCTTAAATTCATGCGGAAAAGGGCGTTTAGCTGTCCATGGCCAATTCTGGACCCAACACAAACGGCTCTCAGTTTTTCATCACTTGCTCCGAAACTGAATGGTAATGATTGAAGAAAACTCTAAAATAGAATTTATTTAGGCTTAATGGAAAACATGTGGTATTTGGACAAGTAACAGATGGAATGGATGTAGTGAAAATGATTGAAGCACAGGGAACAAGCCGTGGAACACCAAAGCAAAAGGTAGAACACAACTAACAGTCAATAGATTGAGCAAGTGAGACCTGCTCAATATATAGCCTTGCTAATGTTTACTCAAGATATTTTGGTTTAGGTGGTAGTCACGGACTGCGGTGAGACGTTTCCGCCAAAACATTAAGTTTTGATCAAGAATGACGTTCGATTTATGTAGTGTATTTATATTGTTATATTATAGGATTTTTGTAATGTTAGATTTTTATTGTTTCACTTGTTTTCACTTGTTTGGATGATGTTGTTTGAAGTGTTTGTAAATAAAACGTTGCTTTCTCACATCACACAGAAAATAAAAAGCTACGGTTGTTATAGCGTTATAGCGATTGAAGATGAACCAGTGAAAGTTAGTAAATTTGCATCAAAAATTGGATATTTGCATTTAGTGGTCAAATAAAATAAAGAGATGAACAACAAAAACTCATTCTCATTTTTTCATTCATTTCTTCTCCGCCTTCACCCGATCATCGATCAAATGCGTAAGTTTTTACACGTTTTATGGCTTTTGTTGTTTTAAAATCCATTTAAATCTGTTATTTTTTGTGTTTGCCTTTCATGTCAGCACGTGTAATTTGAAAAGTTTGACCAAAATTCGTTCTTATTTTTATTCTTTAGCTCACGACGGGCCGATACAGCTAAAGAATGGACAAATACTCGGCAAACGATGGAAAATAATAAAGAAGATCGGAGAGGGAGGATGTGGATCGGTATATAAAGTGAGTAGTCTAAGTATTTATTGATTTCATTTTTATTCTTTAGGTCGAAGAAACGACCACCAAAGTCGAAGCCGCATTGAAAGTCGAAAGCAACTACGTTCCTGGCGGTAGTGTGCTCAAATTGGAAGTTTCGGTGAGTTTCAATCTTTTTGTTTAAAACATTCCTATTTTTATTTAGGTGCTTCGAAGGCTTTATGGGAAACCCAATGTGTGTCAACTGCTGCATTCGGGCAAAAACAACACTTACTCGTACATGGTGATGACACTTCTCGGCGAATCTCTCAATCATCTTTTCCGGTTAGTTTTTATCTATCTAATAACTGAAAAACTTTGGATTTTCAGGAAATGTGGCCGAGAGATCAGCGTCTCGACACAAGTTCGCCTGGGATTAAACATCTTGCATGGATTGAAGCAGCTTCACGATGTAAGTTTTGATCATTTGCTAAACTTTCAGTGTTTACTGGTATGTACTATTCTTCTAGATTGGATACATACACCGTGACATCAAACCAGCCAACTTCGCCATCGGTCCAACTGGAACACAAGTTTGTTAAGAAGATTTGACCAATTTTAAATGTTGGCTTTAGGCTGCCCACTTCATCCATATTCTTGATTTCGGCCTGTCACGCGAATTCGTTCAACGCAGCAGCGATGGAAAGATGACAATGCGACGTCCAAGAACTCGATGTTTGTTCAGGTTAGTTATTACTTGTCTTCATCAATGTTAATTTGCTATTCTTTTTAGGGGAACAACTCGCTATTGCTCGCTGAACACACATGACAAAGGGGAGCAATCGAGGGTTTGTTTAATATTTATTAATTTTGATCTCTTTGTTTCGTTTAGGTTGACGATCTGTGGTCATTGCTCTACGTGATGGCCGAGCTTCGAGGAACGCTTCCATGGCATGCCAGTCGGTAATCCGGATTATATATACTTTTTGTCTATAATGCTATTTTTAGAGACAAGAAGAAGGTGGCTGAAATGAAGCGGTCAACAGCCGATAAGATGTTACTCTACAACAGCCCTGTCCAACTCCTCGATTTCGCCGAACACCTTCGGTTTGTTTTTTAATTGAATTCATTCATTACAAATTTAGTGAGCTCAACTACTACACCCGTCCGAACTACAAGAAACTCGCCGATTTGCTGAACGAGGTGATGGCCGAAGGATCCTTCAAAGTATGTTAATTAAAAGAATTCTTAATTTTACTTGGTCTTGGTTTAGTTCACGGATCAATGGGATTGGGAGAAGAGCAGCTGTCTTCGACGTATTCTCAACAACAAAGAAAAGGAAAAGGAAAAGGAGAAGCGTGAGTAATACATTGTAAATTGGTGGTTATATATTAACAATATTTGTTTAGCTCAACCCGTCTCTCTGGAGGAAATTCAACAGGTCAAAGCGATGCAATCGGCAGAAAAGGTTGAAGAACAAAATATGATGCAGGTAAATTGTCTTTCTTTTTTATTTTCTAAACTTTTTCTTTAGCCGATCAGCAGTCAAGAGCGTGTCGACTACAACCCCGGCTTGACGAATCAATTGCCACAGGTATGTGAAAACGTTCCTTTGTACTCTTTGTTTACCATTCATCTATTTAGGCCACTTATAACGACATCAACAATCCATTCCCGATCGAAGATTTCGACACGTCTCCACTCGGCTTCTGATTGATTAACGATCTACTCATCGCGTTCAAGAACTCTCGTCTCATCAACAAATGAAAATTTCAGCCTTCATAAAGAATGTTTTATCAAAATCGACCTGTTGAATCATTTTAAATATTTATTCGTATTGTCGTGCTATTCGTATTATTTGTATTATTCGTAAATATATATATATATATATAAATGGTGGTGCGGTATTGTCATAGTTCCCATTTTGCGATGAATGAATACAAAACGTTAAATAAAGGTGCTGCCAATTCTGTTTTCTCTCTTGATGATATGTCTGTTACACAACACCTTATTTTATGATTGAATGTTTTTTTCTTACTCCTGACTGCTACTGTGACTTAATCTTACACCAAACCAGATTAGAAATGATGGTTCAATAGATTTTTGAAAGATTGGAGATGAAGTTGCTGTGGTCTCTTTTTTTTCTCTCGAACTCTCCCTTTCCTCAATCGTTCACACCCTGTTAAGACGTGTTGGGCGGAAAAACATTTCGTAAGGGCCTATGTTATGTTGAATTTAACTTAACCCTGAACTCCATCAGTATCAATCGCGCTTTCTTTTTTCTCCTAATATGATTTATCTTTTAGTTGATGGGAAATCCAACTTGGTGGCCGTATCCAATACCACCGAATGTTGCTTTCAGGAAATCGCTAGTTGTTGTTGCAGGTTAGTTTTTTATTTCGCTCGATTGAACAGTGAACGTTTTAGGTGTTTTTGTCGGCGCGGCAATCATCAATTCTATTTATCAACCGTTCAAGGTTTGCTTTTTTTTGTCTTTTTCATATTCGAGTTTTCAAATTGTCTAGTTTAGGGGTACGAGGAGGAATTGGAAAAAGGAAAAACCGAATTACTGCGAAAATATAAAGCGAAACATGAAGATCGAATACGACAGGGATATCAATCAATTGACAAATGATAATAAGAAATTTAGCGTTAGGTGTATAAATATTTAACAAATTATTTTGGTTCTTAATCATATTTGGTCAGATGTCCCGACTTTTTCTATAATTTGTTTATTAAAATTTTCGTGCGGAGAGACTTTTTAGACCTTTACTTTGATTTTAGCTCAATGAGCCGAACTAACGATTTTCTGGATGGATTCAACGATTTTGGTGATTTTGCTGTTGAGAAGTGGACTCCACTAACTCGAAAAAATAAAACTCCTGCACAGGTATCACAGCTTTGAAGTGGAGTTTTGAGTTTCCAATAAGCAATTTTAGGATTTGAAAAGGTCAAAGACTGTGGGCTCAAAACCCAGCGAAACTAAAAGAGGTCGAAAACCAAAGAATGGGCACCACTTGGGAGAATCAAATAAAGAAGACGTTGAGTAATGCTTTTACTTTAATAATAAGTAAACTCTTAATTTAGAAGTTCAAAAAAAATTCTGAAAGATACGGATAATACTCCAAGTACTAGCAAAATGCAAAAAAACAAGGTTAGTTTTATCATTGCTTAATTAATCGAGCTAAAGATGGAAGAAAAGCTGATTGATAATTACAGATTGATGTCGTTACATTGAATGATGACGACTTCTTTGTTTTACCGCCTGCTTTTCACATCGAGAAACCGGAAAAAAAAAGAATGAGGTTGGATTTTATGTATTAACCTTAATATTTGGTTTAGAGCATCTTCATGTATTGAAGTGCTTGATGTTGAAGAAGTTGAAAAAGAAAATGAGCCTCCAAAAAAAAATCCAAAGATGCCAAGTCAAGAAAAATCACCCTCAAAGTCGTCTACAGCTTTATCGCCGGAGAATGAAGTTGGGGAAGTTGAAAAAGAGAATGAGCCTTCAAGAAAGAGTCCTAAGATGCCAAGTCAAGAAAAATCACCCTCAAAGTCGTCTACAGCTTTATCGCCGGAGAATGAAGCTGCACCAAAAAACCAGGAAACATCGCCGTCAGGAACATCTGGGACTTTGTCTACTAACAATTCGAATAGCATGCCTACTAGTTCGCGCCCACCCATTTTTGGTTAGTGTAGAAGATCTCCTTTTTAATAGTTAGTTTAGCTAAGATGAAGCCGATTTTATCAACTCCTTTACCGACTAGAGAAAAATCGAGCGAGGTAGTTCTTTTTATTACATTCATTGCATCATCATAAATTTCAGAAACGCCGTTCACTCGGTCTTTCAAAACAAAATACTTCTGTTACACCGGGATCGTTTTTATCTCCAATTGTTTCGAAAGAAGCGAAAAATGAAAATGGTATATAATTTTGCAAATTGTTAATTCAAAATAACGATAGAGACAAAAGAAGAAAAACAGAGGGTTTTGGGTCTTCAAAAGACGTTTGCAAGCACACAAGCGAGCACAAGTTTTAAGTAAGTATATATTTTTTTCTTTTTTTAAGTTAGTATGCGTTTAGAAGTCCAATTGTTCAACAAGCTGAAAAGAAACGTGGAAGAAAGCGCGGACCTCAAATTCCACAATTTGATCGAACGGAAGTGATAGACCCGATGCGTTTGAAATTGGTGGACAAATTCAAGGTTTGAAATAATGGCTTTGCCAGGTATCATCATCTTTAGAATTTGAAAGAAATGATGGATCGAGATTCAGCATTACACGAAGCTCTCATAAAGAAACTCCTGCTTCAGCCTTTTAAGATGCCAATGGCTGGCTATAGCTGTGAGTAGTGGTTCAGGCTTTTTAATACTATTTTTCTGTAGTTTCTGGACGAGCACTTGGTATGGCAAGAAATGGAAAGCGAATGGCATTATTTGATCCGTATGCAGAAAACGCTCTTGTGCTGTATGCTCCGCCACAACTTTCCGCTCATGAAGAACTCCATCAAAAAGAGGAAGAAAAGCTGGTTTGTTGTTTTTTAAAGCTTTGAATATTTTGTTATAAATTTATAAGCATTTAGGTGCATGTGGTGGTAGATCCAGTGTTGAGCGCCATTCTTCGACCACATCAACGTGAAGGCGTAGAATTTATGTGAGTTTTCTGACAAATTTTCCCCAAGTCTTTGATTAGGTACAATTGTGTGACTGGACGTAATGTTGAAAATTTCAACGGATGTATCATGGCCGACGAAATGGGATTAGGGAAAACACTTCAGGTAAAATATGATTGACGTTTTAGCCATTTTGATACATTTTAGTGTATCTCCCTTGTTTGGACCTTACTCCGCCAAAGCCCCGAAGCAAAGCCAGAGTTTACGAAGGCTATTATTGTTTGTCCAAGCAGTTTGGTGAAGGTTTGTGAATTTACATTGCTACTTAAATATCTCTAACTTTATTTAGAATTGGGATAAAGAAATCAAAAAGTGGCTGGGAACAAGAGTCAATTCGCTGACTATGGATAATGGCTCACGCGAAGATATTATGCAGCGCTTAAGTGAGTCTAATTTGGTAATCTGTGAAATATATTATTTAGCTACTTTTATGAATGACCTTCGAATTCGCGCCGCCACACCTGTGCTAATCATTTCTTATGAAACATTTCGCATATACAGCTCTATTTTACATGCAAAAGAAGTAGGAATGGTCATTTGTGACGAGGTATTTTATTTGTTTCGAGAGTTTAATTCAAGATTGATTAGGGGCATCGATTAAAAAACAGTGAAAATCTCACGTATCAAGCATTGAGTGGATTGAACTGTAAACGTAGAGTATTGATCTCTGGAACGCCTATTCAAAATGATCTTCTTGAATATTACAGGTACAGAGTTCTAAAATTTATTTATTACTTCGTTATAGTTTGATCAACTTCGTGAACCCAGGCTTATTGGGTACAGCTATGGAATTCAAAAAACGTTTCGAGAATATTATTCTCAAAGGAAGAGATGCTTCTGCAACCAATGAGATGCAAAAACGAGGTTGGAAAAGAAGCAGTAAAAAGTTACAATTTTGTTTAGGTGAAACAGCCACATCAGAGATGGCAGCTCTTGTAGAGAAATGTATTATTCGACGCACTAGTGCTCTACTCACAAAATATCTTCCGGTTCATTTACCCATTAATTTTAATAAGAAACTTTTTAGGTCAAATACGAACACATTATTTGTTGTCGTTTGACAGAATTGCAGGAGTCAATCTACAATAAGTTGATCGAGACAGAAAAGAAGGTAAGCTACATATGCTACAGGAGTATCTATGAGCAATTTATCGTTTAGTTACGTGTTCGTGAAGAGGCCACCAAAGAGGGCGGTGGAGCCTCGGCGCTTTCCTTCATCACTCATCTAAAGAAGCTTTGTAACCACCCACAACTTGTCTACGATGAAGTGAAAAAGCCGGACAACCGATTCCACAGTATACTCTTTTATAAAGTTAAAGTTTCATCGGATTTAGATAGCTTAAATTTGTTTCCTGAGACATTTGGTGGTCGTGGCTTTGATCCATCATGCTCTGGAAAAATGAAGGTAAATACTCACTTGCCGCACACGCATAACATTGTTCTAGGTTCTCGATTATCTATTAGCTGTAACGAAAAAGACGACCAACGACAAATTCGTACTCATCAGTAACTACACGCAGACTATTGATCAATTTGAAGGAGTACGTGTTTTTTTCCGTTAGTTTAAAGCTTGCGATTTAGTTGTGTCGACTAAGAGGTTATGGATTTGTTCGTTTGGATGGTTCGATGTCGATTAAAAATCGGGCTAAAATTGTTGAAAAGTTCAATGACCCCGAGGTATTGTTTCTTAACCCGCCATTGTTATGAAGTTTAGAGTTCCGAGTTCTGTTTTCTGCTTTCATCGAAGGCTGGTGGTTGTGGACTGAATCTTATTGGAGCGAATCGGTTTGCGTTTCTTCGTTTTTCAACAATGGAATAACTTCAGACTTGTGATGTTCGACCCTGATTGGAATCCAGCTAATGATGATCAAGCGATGGCTCGTGTTTGGAGAGATGGACAAAAGAAAAATTGCTTTATTTATCGATTACTCGCGGTAAGCTTTGAAGTTTGGATGTCAATTAATATTGTTTTACTTTAGACTGGTTCGATTGAAGAAAAGATGTTCCAAAGACAAACACATAAGAAAGCGCTTTCAAATTGTGTTGTGGATGCGGGGCAAGATGTTGCAAGGCATTTCAGGTTTTTTTTGTAGAGTAATTTACAAACATCATTTACGTTTAGTTCCGATCAACTTCGAGAGTTGTTCAAGCTCGAGGCTGACTGTGCATCAGATACTCACAATAAGTCAGTTTCTATTTGTTTGGCGTTTAGAAGAAAAATCAATATTTAGGGTTAAATGCAAAAGATGTGCCGCGGGAATGGAAACGGTCGATCCTCCCGTTAACTCGGATTGTGCTTCTGATTTGCAACATTGGCATCACGCCGAGAAAGACTGCAAAAAGGTTTGTAATATGGTTGGCCCTGTAACTGGTTTTTTGCAGATCTCTGACGTCGTGTTGAGGTCGGTCTTTGAATGTGGATCGATATCCTTTATTTTCCATCAGAAATCGCATAACGTTGCCGTGGAACCGAAATCAAAAGTTAGTCCTTTAGAAAGGCCATCTGATTTCTTTTTATAGGCAAAAGAGGAAGAAGATCCCGAGTACAAAGAAGAGAAAGAGGATGCTTATGATTCTTGTGACGATGATTAAATGATTAAATTAAATTAAATTTTTTTGCATTTCGTGATTTGCTTTTAGTATAAGTGTTACGTCCGATCTAGACTGATTCTAGACCGGACGTTCGACCTCACTTCACTCTAGAGCGGACGTCCGATTGTTTGAAAAAAAATGGATACAAGTTCTTTATCGGACGTCCTATCTAGAATCAGTCTAGATCGGACGTAATATATGAACATAGATGTTTATTTTTGTCTGAAATATCGATTTTCTTGATCTTATAATTACGGGTGTTCAAAATAGATACTTGTGAAGTTTTTGTTTGTTAAATCAATGTGAATAAATTATTCTTTTCAGTGCAAGAAAGATTGCAAAACAGAAGTTACAGGGCTCGATTAGGCTTGGGGAATAGTGGCTAACACGTGGGAAGAGCTGAAATTTTTCATTAGAAATCGATAAATTAACATTTAAAGCCCAAATAAAGAAAGTTCTCGGTGTAAGAGCTCAGAAAACTCGATAGAGCTCAGAGATTGAGCATTTAGCTGCTTGAATTAGAGTGTTGGCTGTGCGGCTTATCTTGAAATTGTTTTGAAAATGGGTCAAGGGGACAAAGGTGAAATTTGAGACGTAAAGAGATGGGAGCATGTGTCTGATAGTGAAGAAAAAGGAGAATACACGTGATTGTTTCAAACGTTTCTTTGGGTGATCTATGTTGTGTGCAATGAGGGATACGGTAGCTTTTGTAAAAGATCAGTTTTGGATCCTAGTTACTGTAATGTGTTGATCTACGGTCTTTTTCTAAAACGTGTCAACTTTCTCGACTACCGTAATCTTGTCTTATGCAAGATGTCTCTTTTGCATCCTTTCAGATCCTTTCCCCACGGATCAGAGCAAAAGTGGGGGTGGGACAAATGCGACCTTTTTTTTGCGCACCTGGACATTTGCGCACCTTTTTTTTGCTGGAAAAGGCCTTAGGAAAGGCCGTAGAGCTTCGAAAATATTTCGAAAATTTTTCCATATAAGGGAATCGTATGCGTGGATTCCGAATTTCGACAAATCAGACCTCGCTAACACGTCAAATTTGGGCTAAAAGGCAAAAACTGCGGAAAAGCGTTAAGTTGCGTAGTTTTTGCCTTTTAACCCAAATTTGACGTGTCAGCGAGGTCTGATTTGTCGAAATTCGGAATCTACGCATACGATTCCCTTATATGGAAATGTTTTCGAAATATTTTCGAAGCTCTACGGCCTTTCCTAAGGCCTTTTCCAGCAAAAAAAGGTGCGCAAATGTCCAGGTGCGCAAAAAAAGGTCGCATTTGTCCCACCCCCGCAAAAGTTGAAATTAAAGAAGAATTAGAGTCGAGATTACGGTAGCTTTGGAAGGTGACACGTTTTAGAAGCATTTTCCGAGAAAGACACGTACTTACTTTTTCACCAGATTCCATTTGGTGTTATTTTAGGGTAATCGGAGTGTGCTGAAAAGCTGTAATAATATACGGCATTTCCCCGCTCGTCATTCATTCATCACAGTATTTACAGAAACACTTTTTAAAGTGCACTTTTGTTGATAGATTCGAAGAGAAACGTATAGAAATCCTTTTTGAAGAGCTTTATTTGAATCCTCTTTCTTTTTTTTTTCTGATGAGTAAACGAAAATCGGGAAATCTCAATGGGAAAAATAACGAGAAAAACAATGAATCATAAAAGAGAATTTGGGAAAAAAAGGAAACTGGTGAAATGGATGGAATAACAATATAGGTACATACACACACACACAAATATTTAAGGAGAATAGTTTCGCGAGTGAAGGAGAAGTCGATTCTTTTGTATCGATTTTCTATCTAACTTTTCTTTTGTTTGGATGAATCTTTTGGTTGAACAAAAAAAGCTAAGCCAAAGCTAGGCCAAAGCTAGGTCCAAGCCAGGCCAAAGCCAGGCCAAAGCTAGGCCAAACCAGGCCAAAGCTAGGCCAAAGCTAGGTCCAAGCCAGGCCAAAGCCAGGCCAAAGCCAGGCCAAAGCTAGGCCAAAGCTAGGCTAAAGCTAGGCTAAAGCTAGGCTAAAGCTAGGCTAAAGCTAGGCTAAAGCTAGACTGAAGCTAGGCCAAAGTCGATTCTTTTGTATCGATTTTCTATCTATCTTTTCTTTTGTTTGGATGAATCTTTAGGTTAAACAAAAAAAAGTTACTGTTTTTTCTAAAAGATGCGCCCAGAAAAAGTCACCGTAATCCCCATTGTCTTCTTTGAAAACATTGGATGCCATTGTCTTTTTCTTTGTCAACCTCGGCTCATTCGTTTGGCTCATTTGGCTTAACCGCAACCGGATTACTGCTTTTTTTTAACGCGCACCTTAGAAATCGAAGTGAATCGACTGAGGGTTAAAAGTAGAAAATACTGGTCTTAAATCATATCATTATTATTAAAACCCGCAAATTTCTGAGCGCAAAGCAAAGCAAAATTCAACGAATATCTTGCTTTCTAAAAAATTCCCTTTAGCCGTAACCACACAGAATTTATTTTTCCAGAAACACCTCATACACTTTTCAATGCTACTAACTATAAGTACGATATTTTGCCGAATTTTTGCGCTGTCCTTTTCCCCAGGATCCAGACCAATTTTCGGTCTCACACAAAATGTCCCTTTTTTTGTTTTATCAGAAATTTTCTGAACCGGATCCCCCATGCCTATATAAATGAATTTTTCTTCTCAAAGCGGCTCTTATCTAATTTGAAAAGGTTTTTCTGATTATTCACGTTCCACTGTGTTTTATTTGCAGATATTTCAACGATTGCTACATTGGCTACAATGAAGTGAGTTTTGAGTTGAACTTGAAAAGCTAAAAATGAAATCAATTAGATATTTCCTTCTTTTGTTATTCATTTGCGGTGTTTCATCAAAAAAGGGATTTGATGGAATTCAAGCGATTTCTCAATCGACATTCGATTGTTTGAAGAAAAATGGATACGATTTCTTTGTCGCACGAATTTGGCAAGAGGTCGGTGGCTGATAATAAAGAAAAGAAAGCGTTTTCTAAAAATGGGCAATTTGGAAAATCAGTGGACAAAAGCTGAAGGTAGTTTCTCCAAGTTACCTATCTTTTAGAAAACGGGATTAGAGAGAAAGAGAGAGAGAGAGAGAGAGACAAACAAACACAGTCTCTCCTTACTCACTTTAATCACTTTTGTTCTAAACGATTACTGATCCTCAATGATCTTTTCACCTCCAAATGTTTAAAAACTAAATTTTAGGTTAATAACTACGATGAGACTGGAATCGCAAACATCAAACACGCGAGAGCAGGTAAAATTTGGATAGTTTAAGATTTGAGAGATGTTCTAGACGATAAAAATATTTTCTAAAAAATGCTCTTAAAAGCTACCGTACTCAGATTCTTTTTGATTAAAATCACAAAAGTTAATCTTATTTTAAACTATTCATCGTTCAGGACGAAGATTATTGAGGACAGGTTTCGCGCCAGTTTAATCTTTAAAAGAGACTCAAATTCAAGAATTCAATTTATTTTTAAACTCAAATTCGACTTAATTCAAAGGCTTAATTAAAGCTTTTAGCTGGATGGACCGATGTTGATGGATACATTTATCCGTGGTCAGTTTTAATATTTGCTTGTCTTTACAATATTTTTCTTTCAAATTTTTCCTTCCATCAAAAAGAATACTTGAACAAATTTCGTTCTAATCTATTCAGAAAGGTCAATAATCTTCTTTAAGGCTCAAAGCTCAAATAGCTCAATGGCTCAAAGCTTTCCTCAAATCGATAGCCCTGTTTAAGTACAGTGTCCCGAAATGAAAGTATTCAGTCACCTAGACTGAATATCTTTGGTCTTAATTGAAGAACATGAGACCTATTCAGTTGTACTTGAGAGTTATTTGGACTCGGGTAAACTTACAGATCTTTAAAACTATCAAAAATATAGATAACTATTTTAACGGTGAAGAATACAAAAGACCAAAGCTAGGTCCAAGCCAGGCCAAAGCTAGGCCAAAGCTAGGTCCAAGTGTATATTTTAAAAACCCTAAGAATGGGTATTTTATCCAAGATTGAGAAGTTGATAAAATTTCAAGGTGATTTCTGAAAAAGATAAAAACGCAGTTTTCTGTAAATTTTTCTGCTTTTTTTAAAGACAATGGCTGCAACCGATAGTTTTAAAATTTCACAGATTTATGTAATCAAATAAGCTCTATCTTTTCGACTTTGACACCAAAATAGATTTGTGTTGAAGAGGGTGTCCAAATCGGAGCAGCTTTAGGTGCTCGCCTTTGCACCTTTGAAAACCCACCAAAAACAACTATTTTTAAGAATTTTGCAAAGAAACCTAACCTCTTTAATAGTTTAAATCGAAATTTTGTTGATGACGAAATTATTTTTTAAAAGATGTTTGGAAAAAAAAAGTTGTAAAGACTTATGCACCAACCAAATACAAACTTAAAATCCAATTTTTCCAGTACAAAATCCTCATGTCCAAGTGGTCAAGCACAAGTCGAAGCAGCTTTGAATCGACTCAAAACTGAGGGAGCAAAAGTTGGTTTGAAAAAAAACAAAAACGATGTTATAGACGATGCAAGACTACGGTAACTTTCCTAAGTTGTCATCTTTTAAAAACGCATCATTCTTAGAGCATTTTGTGCTTTGAAAAACGCAGATACACAATTTCTGCTTTTTCTTCGGTTAAGAAAAGTAAAGAATTAAGGGCACCAGAAAATGTGTGTTTACAGTTGATCACGAAGCAGTTGATCAGCACACATTGTGTCGACTTATCTTTATCCTTAAGGAAATTAAGAGAATATAATTTCAGATCAACACCTTGTGGATGGATATTGAGGGTACATGGCCATCTGATACAAAACACAATCAACAATTCATTGAGGGAATGGTTTCAGCTGCAAAGGTTCATAGAAATTACCGTATTTCTTCGAATAGAAGACCGGGTAAAGAGTATGATCGCGTACTCCTGCGTAGCAGCCCTTTTTAAAATTTCTTTTCTGCATAAAAGCTTTCAATGAAATGCTATAGGGCTGGAAAATGACTCAAAAATACCACATGAGCTAACAGATTTTTGAGTCATTTTCCAGCCCTATAGCACTTCATTGAAAGCTTTTATGCAGAAAAGAAATTTTAAAAAGGGCTGCTACGCAGGAGTACGCGATCATACTCTTTACCCGGTCTTCTATTCGAAGAAATACGGTAGTCATGTGTCATTGGGTCAAATGCATTTTAGTAAACGGCTTTTAGTAAACGGCTTTTAGTAAACGGCTTTTAGTAAGACGGCTTTTAGTAAGACGGCTTTTAGTAAGACGGCTTTTAGTAAGACGGCTTTTAGTAAGACGGCTTTTAGTAAGACGGCTTTTAGTAAGACGGCTTTTAGTAAGACGGCTTTTAGTAAGACGGCTTTTAGTAAGACGGCTTTTAGTAAGACGGCTTTTAGTAAGACGGCTTTTAGTAAGACGGCTTTTAGTAAGACGGCTTTTAGTAAGACGGCTTTTAGTAAGACGGCTTTTAGTAAGACGGCTTTTAGTAAGACGGCTTTTAGTAAGACGGCTTTTAGTAAGACGGCTTGTTTTCTAAAGGGTAAAATCTCTACGTTTTAGAAAACAAAAGTCGTTTGCTAGAATGCATTTGGCGACTCGATGGCAAATGTCTAATAGAAATCTTCAATTTCTTAAATCTTAAATGATCACAGAAAGCTGGCGTGAAGACGGGAATCTATTCGGGTCAATATTCGTGGCCACAAATTGTCGGAAATTGGAATGGAATGGATGGGGAACCATTGTGGTGGCCGAATTATAATGGACATGAAAATAATGATAAGTGGGTAACGACAAAAAAAAATGTTATTATACAATCAGAACTTTACTCTAAAATAGCTTTTTTTTCCTTTAGCGGAAAGCATTTACTAAAAGGTGTGTTCAAGAGAAAAACTACCGTTTTGGCTGCCTTTTTTAAATTTATAAGGCATTTGTCTTTAGATACTATTCGAATTAAACGAGAAGTAAAGTACGGCTTAATTTAAGTTGTCTTAGAAAAGACAACGAGGCTACGGTTGTCTTTTTTTGCTGAAACGCACTTTTTAGAAAACACTTTAACCGAGAGGAGCACAAATACCTGGAAAGAAACAGAAATTTAATAATCATTTTTAGATCCTTTCTTTCCTTTTCTAAGCTTAGCTTTTTGATATTCAGTTTCCCCCATTATGGTGGTTGGACCAAGGCCACAATGCATCAATACAAAGGAACAACATCGGGACCTTGTGGAGTTTCGATGGATCTCAATTATAAACCATGAATGTTTTGTTTTTGAATTGTCAAAGTGAATTGTCAAAATAAAATTAGCAACCATTCGCGTCCAATATATGAAAAACACAAAAAAAGATACGAAAAAACAAAACAAGCACAAAGATTACGGTAAGACAAAAAATCCTACCGTAATCCGGTGATTGCTATAATGCGCTAAAATTCTGAATTCGCTTTGCGTTTAAAGAAATTATAAATAAAAAGTTTTCTGCTCATTCTTATTTCGGGAGTGGGACAAATGCGACCTTTTTTTTGCGCACCCGGACATTTGCGGACAAACAAACGGACGGAGTTATACAAAGAGAAAAATCAACAATTTTCTGTGATTTGATCTAGCCTGTCTTTCAGACCTAGATCTGTCTTTCAAATTGGTTCCACAAGCTCTGATATGTCAAAATTTCGATTCTACGCCCTAAAATTACCTAGAAAAACAACTTTTGGAATAGAAATTGGTTAATATTAGCTTTTTAGAGCTTTTTTAAAACGCGAAAAAAGGTGCGCTAATGGGCAAGGTGCGGAAAAAAAGGTGCGCAAATGTCCGGGTGCGGAAAAAAAAGTTCGCATTTGTCCCACTTCCATGTTATTACTTATTTTTTGGCTTTTCTTTAAAAATCTAGGTGATTTTAAAAAAATTATACTTTGAGTTTCGTTAAAATTTGTTTCAATTTTAGCCGCCAAAAGCTCGAATTGCATTTTTGATCCAAACAATGACGAGGACGTTGAACGGGCAAATATTTCCAACAATTGAATTGAACAAAACAATTGGGTATACCGTAAAAACCCTAATAGAATGGCCCCCTATAGGAGCGTCGCGTAGTCCAAGTTTACTTTCAAACAAACGCTCATATCTTGCCACCAGTACGTTTGTTTCTGCGCGCTTGGGTATCAAATTAAGGTAGAGGATGGGTGATTTTTTTTGTGATATAACACATATTTTTACATTAACCAGCGCTTAGAGAAAATGACTGAAAATGGCAAAAAAGAGCCGATTTTCGAGCACCTCACATTTTCAGATCAAATTTTTCTCAACAACAACACATCCCCAAATCCTTTTAGCTTAACAATAAAACTTCTTTTTAAAACCGTTTATTAGCGTTGTTTTTTGTTTGATCACATATTCGAGTCAAAAAGAACATTAAGTACATAGATTTATGAGGCGTTTTTTCGAAGTCGGTATGTGATGAAGAGACGGATCTAACTAAAAGAAATGTTTTGAAGAGACAATGAAATATTTGCTTAACACATACCATTTATTAACGCACAGATTGAATAGTTCGCATATTCACTTCCTTCAATATTCGGAAGATTTTGCCCATCTCCGGTCGATTCTTTGGATCCTTGTCCCAGCATGCGTACACGACTTTAGCCACAGCGGTTGGGCATTCCTAAAAAGAAAGTTGGTTGCAAGGAAAAAAGCTTATAGCAGTGCAAAACAAACCTTTGGCATCTCCATTCGGTAATTCTGGACAACAACCTTGGCTCGCGTTTGAATGTTGGAGAGGCCGGGATAGGGTTCAGCACCGTCCATGTAGACCTCCCAAACAAGTACTCCATACGACCAGATATCAGTCTTCAGCGAATAGACCTTCCCTTGGAGCGTCTCCGGCGAGAGCCATTTCACAGGCACCTAAACGTCACCCAATAATTTTTAACATAATTTTACTTTACCTTATCCAACGTGTCATCGTGCACAATTTTCTTGTCGTCCGACATTCCAAAGTCCGCAATTTTCACCTCCTAAACACTATCATTTTCAAAAGATCATCCAGGCATACCGTTTTGGCGCTTAACAAGCAATTCCGGGCAGCAATGTCGCGGTGAATGCAACTAAATAAATTCATTGCAACAATCATCCATTAAAATCCCACCATTGCTTTTCCAAATACCACAGTCCATCAGCGGCTTCAGTAGAAAATCGAAGTTTTTGAGCGGCACCCGTCTTTCCTTTGTTCTTTCGCAGGTACGACAACAACGATCCGCCAGGGCACACCTCCATCACCAACATCAACGGGTTTTCGTGAACGGCAACGCCGAGAATCTAAAATCGATTCGTGAACCGAAACTGATCAACAAACCTTGACAACGTGTCGATGATTGTACTTGCGCATGAGCCGTGCCTCTTTCATGAACTTCAGTCGTGCCTCCCTTGTCGGCTCGTTTCGCATTGTCTTCACTGCCACTTCTTGTTTCTCTTCACCCGTTGAGAATTCAGCAAGAAACACCTAAAAAGAAAACATTTCAAGCAATTCAACTATTCAACCTCTCCGAAAGCGCCTTCACCGAGTTTCTTCACAAGTGTGATCGAATCGTGATTGAGTAGCCAAGCCGGTCGCTCCACAGGGCGCTTCAAAATCGCATTTGCCGCATTTGACGAAAGTGGGACCTTTGTCGTACTAAAACAAAGTTATTTTAAAAAACACATGAAATCATTCACCGATGCCAGTTGATCAGTTCGGAAATGCTATTTTCATGGTGGCCTTCGAGGTAGAAAGTTCCATTTGGACCCTAAAAGTTGAAAATTTAAAATTAACAGAGAAGCGCTCACCTGGTTGATCATGTAGTGCTTAATATTCGAATTAACGCGCATCGAGATGGCCAAGACAATTATTCCTAATAAAAGAAGTGATATCGAAAAGAGACTAATGGATTTACCAGGAGTGTGCTCGGTTTTCCTGAGAAGAAAATCGCCTTCCTTCTTCAAAAGCGGTTCAACGTCGGTGCGTGGCACGAGTCCATGATAGTAGTCGGCGGCTCGTACATCGTCGGTGATCGAGATTGTATCCTCGGTGTGCTAAATAGGAAACAATCGTTAGTTAAAATTACAATATAAACTACAATACAATATAAAAATAAAAGTTTAATACCCGTTTTGATTTTGTTTAAAACAAAATCAAAACGAAATTTAAAACAAAAACAGATAAAACAAAGAGCTTTACTTACCTAACTTAATCTATATACATCTATTTCAGACCTAGCAAGCCAAATTAACAAAAAAACCATCTAATAAGCTAGATTAACAAAATCAAATAAATCTGGTTAACAAAAAATAAACCGAAGATTTAAACGTACCTCATTTTTGTTGATGTTACTCTCCAATCCTTTCCCGGTGGTCCCCGGTAGCGGTTTCGACAATAATTGCGGCATCAAAAACAACAAAATGGTGTTTCTCTATTAACGGGGATGGTAAATCTAGTACTACGGAACATGAGCGGAAATAATGATTTGTGCCACTCCCGTTAACAGTGAAGTACCAAATAATAATAACCTTAACGCGTGCGTTAACATTCAGAACGCAACAACAAAAATAATAAAAAATGAAACCCACCAGTTGAAGAGATAAGAATTTGAGAAATGAATGGGGAAGTTGGGGAAAAACTCTTTTATTTGACGATTAAATGATAATTTTTGGTTTTCAATGGAATTTGTGGGGAAATCTGAAATGTTTTGTTTTCCGATATTGGACTTGATTGAGCTTGTCTTCATTTTGTGGAAACCTTAAAGGAAATCTCACAAAATCTTAGGCGAAGTTTAAAACATTTACATCTCGAGCTCAATTAGAAATTTTTATCGTTCTTTCCCCGGAATTCCCAAAGAACAATGAAGAATTGAGAGGGAAAAGGAATTGCGTGCAGCTCTATTCCATCTTTTCGTCTTTCCATCTTTCCATCCCTTTTTCCTTTCTTCCGATAATTAACTTTGTTGAACAACGGATTTCTGAGAAAGAAGAAAGAAGAGAGAAAAAGGATCATCTCGTCTTTTCTTTTCATCTTTTGATATAAAGCATTCATTCTTTCCACCCTCACTTTACTTTTTTCTTTGTTTAATTTTCGTTTTCTCTGTTACCGTTATTCAGATCTGTTGCTTGAACATCTTCTGTTCATTTTTGTAATAAAAAAAGGTTTATTCTCTAAATTTCACAGTCTATCAAAGCTGCTGGTTCAAGCAATAGAGCCTTAAACAGCCTTTACCAGCCTTAAACAGCCTTTACTAGCCTTAAACAGCCTTTACCAGCCTTAAACAGCCTTTACCAGCCTTTACCAGCCTTTACCAGCGTTAAACAGCCTTTACCAGCCTTAAACATTTTTCCTTTATGCTCAAATCCTTTTTGCAGTACACCAGGATAACTCGTTTAAGTTTCAAAAATGAAATGTTGTATCAATGGAGGTTATTAAAAGAGACCTTTTGCTTCTTTATCTTTAGATTTACGCGTGTGAATGGCAAGTGTGTTTTTCGTCAACTTCATCGTCAACTTGTTTATGATCCAGACTATGATTGTTGAAAAATTAATCTTACAGTATTTTTAAGGCACATATATTTATCAGGCTTTACTTCATTTGAGAAGTAATGCTTTCGCGTGGCCAGCTATTTATTCAAATGCGTTTTTTTTTGCGAATCCCAAGGGGGAAAGGAAAAAAAAACCGAAAGAGATTCGGGAAATTCAGATAAAACTTTTTCGAAAAGGCACCAGCAACTAGTTTTTCACTCACAAATTTCTTATTCAAAGTGCTCATTCGAGTTTTTTTTGTCTTAATACCTGCATTGTCTAATACCTGCAATGTCTTTGGCTCATTTGTCTAATACCTGCATTTCTTCCGTTATTTTTCTAAGCTACTGTATTCCTCTTATGAGCTATCGTAATCCTCATTTCTTTATTGAAGCATAACCCCACAAAGTCGCTAAATACATGGATTGCGGTAATTATCTTTCTTTTTCAACCCATCGTAAGCCAATCGTGAATTCAAGTCGAAAGCTACATCATTAATTTGCCAAAACTTTTCGATAAGACCCCAATTTTGACATTTACTTACAAATTTTCCCCAGAGAAACAACCAGCTTTTTTAAACTTTCGAACTTTCGAAAGAATGCCCATCCTTCTCTTTTTTTCTTTGCCAAAACGAGCAGACGTTCTTTTTTTGTGAAGAAATGGATTATCTCAAACACTCCTCAAAAAAGAAAAAAAAAGAAAGAAGGAAAACGGATGGACAAAGTGGGAACAAAGTTTCCCTTAACTTTTCAAAAATCTCTGAAAATCTTTGATTCAAGCCAAAAAAAATAGTTCCTTTAAAAACTATAAAAATGTTCCTTTCGAAAACTATAAAAAAACCGTTCAATGAATTTTTTCCAAGTATTTGCAAAAAATCTTCCGAACAACCTTCACAGAACATCCGATTTCATCTCGCAAAGGCTAAATTTGGGCTAAAATGAGCAGAAAAAGTTCATCCCATTATCACTTTGTCAAAAAAAGGGAGGAAAATTTTGTGCGCGCGAAAATATTGAGCGATTTACCGAAATTGAAAGAAATTGATAGGTTTTCTTTGAGAAGAGAAATATGAGGTGAATTCGAGAGAAAATCGACGAATTTCCTCCCCTTTCTCGGCTCCATTCTTTCTCTTTCTCTTTCCAGAAACCGATATCGAACGAACCAATTTTCTCTCTTTTTTTTTGAGATTTTGAAACTATCATCGATATTTTTCGTGATTTGTAGCTTCTGCACTGACTACTTTTCCAAGGCTAGCTATGAAGTTCTACGAGTACGGTAAACTATCGTAACCCTTGTTTCTCACTTTTATCCCGTTCCTGGCTTCATATTCGGACTAGCACAATTATTTACCAAGAAAATATCTAAGTTAGGAACAGTTCATGCTGCAGATACAGTTTTGAACTGTGTTTTAAACTTGAACACTTGGCAACGGGGTGTTCTGGCTGATAGAACGAACGGTGTCTTTTGAAATCTTTAAATTGCTTTTTTTTGCCTTCTATAAATATTGTTTTTGTTCATTCAAATGGCTTCATATTCGGACTTCATATTCAAATGGAGTACGGTAAACTATCGTAATCCCTGTTTCTGACCTTTATCCTGTTCCTTTTTTAAAAAAAAAAATTTTTAAAAAAAAAAAAAAAAAAAAAAAAAAAAAAAAAAAAAAAAAAAAAAAAAAAAAAAAAAAAAAAAAAATAAAAAATTTACTCTTTTCCCCCCCAAAAAAAACAAAAAAAAAAAAATAAAAAAAAAAAAAAAAACAAAGGGGAAGAAAAAAAAAAAAAAAAAAATAAATAAAAAAAAAAACCTCCCCCAAAAAAAAAAAAAAAAAAAAAAACGGCCGGCATTCTTTTTTTCTGGCTTCATTATTAGCACAATTATTTACCAAGGAAATATCTAAATTAATCCCAGAACTAGAACTCGAAAAGCATAAGTTTTGAAAAGAGAGTGGAAACTTTTAAGCTTTTCTTTTATTTTTAAGTTATCAGCTGATTCCTTGATCTTTTTTCAAACACCGGACAGCTGATTTCTTGATCTTTTTCTAACACCGGACAGAGCATATAATAGTTTTAATGGGCTACTTGAAAACTAAAAAAAATTATCTCTCTACCTAATCTATCTACCTAAAAAAATATCTATCTAATCTGTTAACAGCTTAAACAACTTCTAACAACTTCTAACAACTTCTAACAACTTCTAACAACCTCATTTACTCCATTGATGACAAAGAAGTTGAAAGCGTTCTCATTAAAAGAGTTGATAAAAAGAACTTTTCACGGATTTTAACTTTTCTTATATAGCTTATGGAAGCATTGTTCTAAAATATTTTCAACTCAAAAGTTAAGCCAAACTCTTTTCAAACAGGGAATCCTTGTCATGGGTAGAGTCTAAGATGCTTTACTGTCCGAAATCACTGTTTCCCCGTTTCACAGCTCTCTTTTGTCGCTGAGAATTTGCCCATTTCATTCTTTTCGCTCCTCGTTTTCAAAAAAAGCAAAGAAAAATGCAAAACGAACACCTTTCGAATGTTTAAAAGAAAAATCTGCTGAAAACAAGTTCGGCATTCGTTGGCATTCAGCATTCGTTCGGCAATTCGGATTCTTTTCGGTTTATCAACAACTCTTTATGTCATTGATTATGGATTTTCAAGTTCAATTTTTGATCATAATTTCATCAAAAAAATCATCTCTTTTTTTCTTTTTCTAATCTCCTGCCATTGACCGCAATTGACCCTATGTTTCTTTCTTTGCTTTCTTTCTTTGCTTTCTTTCTTTCTTCCGCAATTGACCCTATGTTTTGCTAGATTTGTTTGTTTGAATGCGTTGAATGATATTTGCGGTCACCTTTTCTGATCATTCTTTTCTTTTTCTTTTCTTTTTCTTTTTCCTTTCTTTACCAGGCTTATCATATTGGTTCATCCTCCACTCATAAACCCATAAAGAAATTAGGGAGAAAATTTGCCTCACCGAATATTTTGTGGCTAATTTCTTTATTGTGTCTTTGAACTTTTAAAAAAATACTTTTGGCTACTCCATTCCATAATGAAATAAAATTAAACTTTTCCTGATCGATCCAACCTTGAACATAATGAAACATGACTTTTAAAAAAGCTTTCTTTTACTACCAACTTTTACTACAAAAGTAGTCTTTAGGGAATTCTTCTGATCTTGAAAAAAGTAAAGTAAAGGTAAAAATCCATCGGAGGAGCCTTGAGGTTTCCGGCCTTTGTCTTTTCATGATCTCCATTCATCATCTCCTCGTAGAAGTGACGGATTTTGATCTTGAATGAATGAATCCAGAAGAAGTCAGCCGGCTGAATGGACTTTGTCATACCTCCGTGCACCACAGCTGTATCCAACTTGAGTGACTTGAGTTTCTTCTTCGTGTCGGCGCTGACGTTGCATGAGTCCCACACGAGAGTACGCTTCTTGAACGAAATCGAACAAAAGGTTCGCTCCAGGTAGATCGAAGTGAGCGGATCATCAAACCACGTCTTGCCGTTCCACACAAGATTGAGTTCGCCCTTGAAGCGCTTCTCGATGACAGGATCAGGACGCTTCTTGTTGAGAAGGACGAATGGGCGGCACTTCACACCATCCGATATTCCGGTGAGCATCACGGTGATCCTAGTCTTCTCGCGACCTGTTGAAAGCAGTGACCTCTTTGGAACCCATCTTCTCGGTGCATTTCCCGTCAATCGGGTCCAGCCACACGCCTGTTTCATCGCAAGCGTAAATCAACTAGTATTCTTCTTCCTGACGAAGCTGATAAAGAAACATAACGGAGTTCACGATGACATCCTCGAAATATTTAGACAGCTTTTGAGCAATTGAAGTTGGGACACGTTGAGTGAAGTTGTTCGGCTTGAGAAATTTATCGAGCCAGGCCTCGCTGAATTCGTTGTTGTTGTCCTCTCTTAACTCCGACGCTTTATCCTTGATCAAGCTGCAAGATACCGGCAACTTTGCAGCTCTTTGTTCCTTGGCCCACTTGAGCACTTCAAAAAAGGGGTTTCTATTAAAAGAAATACAATATCTCAAGCTTACTACCATTTCGACAACTATTCTAACCTTTCATTTTTTGAAACATGAAATATTTTACTCGACGACTTAGCAATTTGCAAACAGTTTTTTTTGTCTTGTTCCAAATATTTTTAAGAAAGATTTGTTTCAAAAATTGAACTGTATTGTTTTAATTCTTCAAAGCATCAATAATACCAATATTTTCAGGATGTTTCCCTCTTGGGTTCTGATATTCCTATTGTGGACGGGTTTTGTCTCAGCATCGTGTCCACACGAATGTCGATGCTCGGAGGATACGGTCGACTGTAGTAACAGGAAACTGTATACGGTAGAAAACAAAAAGCCTTACTGTTAATAAGAAAAATAACTTGCAATTGGGTATGTTAAAACAAACTGTAGTTTCGACATGGCTAGTAAGCTAGTAGACTAGTAAGCTAGTAGACTAGTAAGCTAGTAGGCTAGTAAGCTAGTAGGCTAGTAAGCTAGTAGGCTAGTAAGCTTAAGAAAATCGATAATGAGATGCATAAACTTGAAACTTGAATTGTTTTTCATGGTTTTCAAAATAAATTCGTCAAAATTTTCTTCTAACTACACTAAAAACAAATCTAAGCAAGGCGATTTTGAAACAAACTTTGAAACAAGTTTTCCAGGTCCCACTTGACATCTCCCCGTCAACCAAAACACTAAATCTACGGGGAAATTTCCTGGGAAAATTGTCGAGAGCCGACTTTTCAGGACTGAAACAATTGGACACATTGGTTTTAGCTGACAACAAAATTGTCAACGTTGAAGAGGTTATTTCATTTAAATTTTAGCGTTAAGAAAGAAAAGAAAAGAAAAGAAAAGCAAATTTAAGGATTCATTTTGATCAAAGTTCGAATTCAAAGATTAGTAAAAAAAGTTTTAAATAAAAAATTGGAAACTTGAATAAGATCTTGAATAGATAAGATTTTCAAGATCTTTTCAAAAAGGCAGAACTCTTTCAATAAATATTGAAAGAGTTCTGTCTCTTGTAAATAAAAAAAAAAAGTAAAATACTCTTGCTAATAAAATGCTAATGAAAGTTTAAAAAAATAATGTTTCGACGGGTTTCACTTCTTCAAACAAATCCCAACAAATCCCACTAAAAATTCAGAACGTTCTCGACGAGTTGCCGAACTTGAGACGGCTGTTTTTGGGGCGAAATCGTTTGAGGGAGCTCGCGTCGTTGACCTCGAGAAAATCTCCATTATTATTTTTGGATCTGAAACATAACAAAATCGAGACGATCGATGTACAGGTTAGATCTCATTAGAGGTTAGCTCTGGCTTTTTTTTTCGGAATTCGAAAAATTTCGGATCGGTCGGAAAACGTAAAAATTTCGAATCAAATCGAATCGGTCTCGACTGAAAATCAAAATTTTTCGAATTAAATCGAATTGGACTGATTCGATTTGAAAGTAGACCGAATTGATTCGATTTAATTCGATTCGAAAATCAGATCAGTAAGAGAGATTTAAAGAAATAGGGCCTAGAGTAGGACTTACCCTAAAGTCTCGAGTATAAGTTGATCCGAGTATAAGTAAGTTCTGCCTTAATTTACATTCGCTTTAATTGCTTTGAATTTCTTTTTGTTGGGTTTTTATACATTTTTATTGTTATATAAACTTTTATGTTATAAAACTTTTATTATTGTTCTTGGAGCGCGGGATACTACAGGGTGACAGCCTATCACCATTGCTATTTGGTATGTGCATGGATACATCCAGACGATAGTGTTGAAGAAGACGCTGGAAAGCATCTCTTTCGACCGTCGACGTGGACTTTGGCCGGATGAAGAGGCCAGGGAGGGATCCATAAGACTGAGCACCGGAGAGGAGCAGGGCGGACGCGCCGAGCCACGCCCGGAGCGACAAATAACAGCATAAAATTGCTATAACCCTCAATAAATTTACTTCTATTATTGTTCTTAAAAAGCAAAAAAAGTTATGCTGCAGCGGGGTTCGAACCCTCGACACACCGCACCGGAGACAGCCGTCAATTTGCATGCGAAAACCAAACGGAACTTATACTCGCGACTTTAGGGTAATTCGATTCGAAAACCAGATCAGGTGAACAAGTAAGAGAGATTTAAAGAAAGAGAGGCTAGAGTAGGACTTACCTTTATTTTTGCACTGTTATTTTCTTCAAGAATTTAGACAATTAGACAATTAGATAATTTAGATTTACATTCTCGAATTTTACCTAGAAATTTTCAGTTATTGGAGATGTTGACCTCGTTGGAAACCCTCGATTTAAGTCACAATCGACTTCAATCGGTTCACTCGATGATGTTTCAAGTAAGGAAATAAAGAAAGCAGGAAATAAAGAGAAGGATTGTAGATTTTAGGAAATTCAATGCAAAGAAATGGTTTTACAACATTAGAAATTGGTTCAAGCTTTGAGAAATATAGGCTAGAGCTTTGCTTAATAAGCATAAACATTGTTTATGCTGACATTGATATAAGAATCAATGTTACACATGAAAGAGAAACTCTAAAAATTCAATGTTTCAACATAAGCGAGCTCAATGTCAAAAAAGATTCAGTAATATCAAGAATATTTACCTATAAATAGCTTTAGTTCTCTTACAATAACTCTAAATTTCGAGAGATATTGTAAGCCTTCTTGCCGTCTTCTTCTGCTGATTTTCAGCTGTTAAAACTGAATATTTTTTAAATTCTTTAATTACGGTACAAATATTTGGTTTTGTTAGCTGAATAGCATACTATGAAAGTCTTTTGGTTATTTACGATTTTCACCAGCATCATTAAGAATTGTTTGTGCTTTCGGGGGTGGGACAAATCCGATCTTTTGCGGACCTGGACATTTGCGCACCTTTTTTTCCGCTGGAAAAGGCCTTTAGAAAGACCGTAGAGCTTCAAAAATGTTTTCCAGAAAGGAATCGTATGCGTAGATTCCGAATTTCGACAAAACATACCTCGCTGACACGTCAAATTTGGGCTAAAAGGCAAAAACTGCGGAAAAGCGTTAAGTTGCGTAGTTTTTGCCTTTTAACCCAAATTTGACGTGTCAGCGAGGTCTGATTTGTCGAAATTTGGAATCTACACATACGATTCCCTTATATGGAAGTATTTTCGAAATATTTTCGAAGCTCTACGACCTTTCCTAAGGCCTTTTCCAGCAAAAAAAAGATCGCATTTGTCCCACCGCCGTGTTTTCTGATTACATTCATTTTGAAACTTTTAACTTTATCCACGGTAGTTAAATGATTTCTATAGGAATAAGAGAGCTTAAGTGTATAAAATTGTTATTGATGTTTATAAGTACAAATTTCAGAACGCCAAGACAATGTTGCGGATGAAAATGCACCGAAATCCGTGGAGTTGCGATTGTCGGTGAGGGGTTTTTGGAGAAAAAGGATTTTGCTGAAATTGCGACATTAAAGAAATTCTTTTTAGCTTTAAAATTCGTTTAAAAATTAGAAAAGCTATTGATATTTTGAAATGTTTCACTGCTTAATTTGAAAGTTTCATTTTTATTTGAATAAATTTCAGGCTTGAAGCAACAGTGGATTTCATGCGTAAATTGGAAGATCCCGAGGAACACGTGCATTGTTTCAATCCGTACGAGTTGCGAGGAGAAAAGTGTGTTTTTTTTTTTGTATGTAATCGAGGTCAAAATTCAATACAGGATGCCTGAAAAGTCCTTTCTCTTTATAAAATGGGAAATTTTGATAGAAACTTTTGAAAATTCAGCTAAACGATGTTGATTTTCAGATACTCCATCCATTTTCACCTCAAGAGTCAAATTTTTATGTATATTTCTTTATCAGTAGATGTTTTTCATTAAAAATTCTTTCTACTTATAAAAACGAATAGATTTGACAGCAAAAAACGTTTTTTTATGGTCATCATAAAGAAATATTTTCTCTAATAGTAGTGCGAGCCGAGTTGGTCACTATTTTACGGTTTCTAAGCTTTCACAGAAGCGCAACACTCTAATCCCCCACTAGATCTCATCGTCAGCTACATTTTACTATTGGGTTGATGCATAATTATCCGGACTTCTTTTTGCGTGCTTGTATCTTTTTGTTTTGAAAGCTTTTTGTCTATTTCTTTTTTTTAAATATTCGTTATTCTTTAGTGAACAAAATGCGTGTCGACAATCATATCCATCTTCGCCATATCATGCTCTACCACTTCGAAAAGGGATGGTCTGCCGCAGAGTCGTTTCGCGATCTCAAAGAACTGGAGAAGCCCCAACGGACTACCACGTCAATCGATCGCTCAAAAATTGGCAAACAAATAAGATCTACAACGATTTGGATGACTTGATAGACGATGTTAAAGCGTGGATTGCCTCCAAAGATCGTTTATTCTTCGCTCGTGGAATCGATCGTCTTCCAAGCAAATGGCAATCAGTTATTGATGTAGGCGATGAATATGCTCCAGAATAATCAATTAAACATATTTTTCTAACTATTTATGTTTTTTTTTTGTTAAATAAAATCATTTATAAAAGAAGTCCGGATAATTATGCATCAACCCAATACATTCAATAGGTTCTGATAAGCGGTTCTCGAGATTTCGAGCAATTTAGGCGACGCTCAGGGTGCACTACTATTAGAGAAAATACGGTATTCTTATGTAGATGGTGAATGAATGGAGAAAATTTCATTCACCCATCTACATATTCTTATGGTGAATGGAGCGTATGCATGCTTACATCATAATTGTGATTGTGATATGGGTGTGATTACCTACAGAACTCGGTTCAGGAAAGATACCGTGTTCTCTCTAATAGTAGTGCACCCGGCCGAGCCGAGTTGATCACTTTTTACAGTTTCTAAGCTTTCACAGAAGCGCAACACTCAAATCCCCCACTAGATCTGATCGTCAGCTACATTTTCCTACATTCAATAGGTTCTGATAAGCGGTTCTCGAGATTTTGAGCAATTTAGGTGACGCTCAGGGTGCACTACTATTAGAGAAAATACAGTCTAACTAGATCTAGATAAAAATTGTCTAACTAGATCTAAAAATTTGACTCTTCATTTGAAAATGTATGGAGAAACTGAAAATCAATACTGTTTAACTAGATTCTCAAAAGTTTCTATAAAAGTTTCGCATTTTATAAAGCGACAAGACTTTTCAGCCACTCTGTAGAGGTCGAAAAAAAACAAGCCAAAGATTGAATAGCTTCTTCGATGCTATAAAGCCTCGTGACCACCTTGGCTTGATGCTTTTCCCTAGTCACTACTCAGTTTTATAAAGCGACAAGACTTTTCAGCCACTCTGTAGAGGTCGGAAAAAAGAAAAACGAAAAAAAAGCAAGCCAAAGATTGAATAACTTCTTCGAATAACAAATAACAAAGAAACAAGAACAAGAACAAAAACAAACAAACAAACAAATAAAAAAAAAGTTCGACTTTTCAGTGCGCTAAACTTGAAACCCGGAGATTTATCATGTTTCTCAGCAATTGAGACAAAATTTGACTCGTCCATCGAATTGGCCTGCTCGAAAGACGGAATCGGACAACCGATTTGGACTTATCAGTTTGTCTTTGACAATCGTAAATAAACAATTTTTTTATTAAGTTGATTAAAACAATATTCTATAGCTCTCACAAAGACTTTCAACTCAAATTTCTTATTAACTCTCACTTTCCAGAGGTGTCGAGATAGAAGAGTCGGCTTCCGAGGATTCCTGGGAGATCCAGGTATGAAAAAAAAGCTTTAATTTTAATTTTAAATATTTATGTTTATGTTTAAAATTGAATTTCCAGGGAAACGGAACCCTTCTCGTGCCGAAAAGCGCTCAAACTTCTGACTACAAATGCGCCATTCAATACAGTGTCAGTCCGAGGTTTGTCTTGTGAAAAAAAATAGATCGAGTATTTTCTTTCAAACAATTATATCGTGTTTCATTTTTTTCAATATCAAAGTGGATACTATCGCATTAATGATCTTTACTTTTGAGCTGGCGTAAAGTAACTCCTAAAAAAAAAGCATTGTTCCAGATTGGCTCGTCAGGCTCGTCCAGCACATGGCCAGAGCCAATCCTCCGCACCGCAGTTCACTTTTAAACCGAAAGATTCGAGTTATCGAGAGGGCACACCGGTCAAATTGCACTGTGAGGTGAGGATTTGATTTTTTAAAACAAAGAAATCATTGAGTTCATTGAATTGATTGGATTGATTGAATTGATTGGATTGATTGGATTGATTGGATTGATTGGATTGATTGAATTGATTGGATTGATTGAATTGGTTGGATTGATTGGATTGATTGAATTGATTGGATTGATTGGATTGATTGGATTGATTGGATTGATTGGATTGATTGGATTGATTGGATTGATTGAATTGGTTGAATTGATTGAATTGGTTGGATTGATTGAATTCTTCCTTTTCTTCCTTCCAATTCTTCGTTTTCACGATTTCAAGGCATCAACTTGAAATAAGCTACATAAAATACGACAAAATTCTCTTTAAAATACGACAAAATTCTTAAATTTGTTTATTTAGAAGTCTTAGAAATTTAGAAATCTAGCAAAACTGCCCTACAGTCTCGTTTTCAGGTTCAACTTTAAAACATGGTAAAAAAAGAAATAATTTTTGTTGATCTTGCTGCCGTTCAGCCATCATTTTTCAACGTTGATAACCTGAAAATGAGACTGTGTAAAGTTATGTCAAAATTTGCAAAAAGCAAACGTTGAAGCAATGGGATACAATTGTTTAGGTAAAAAAAACAAAAACTTTCAACTTTAGAAATCCAATATAGCATTTGTGGTGGCTTTTCACGTTCCAAAATCATTTTTCTCAGGTAACCGGCGAGCCTCGTCCTTCCATTCAATGGTATCGCAATCGTCAACCATTGCAATCGTCGCGCAAATTCGAGATGAGTCAAGCGAATTCGGTCCTCAAAATCTATCCATTCCTCGAGGGAGATGTTGGAACGTGAGTGCTAAAAGATATTAGGCTTTCCAGAAAGTTTTTTTTCTTTCTGGACAGCCTAATATCTTTTCGTTTTTCGTTTCTTTTTATTCCTTTTTGTACTTTCGTTTAAAATCAACAAATGCATCAATTAAACTACGATTTTTTTTTCATTAAAAAGCTCAATTATTTTTGTTATTTGTTATTTTTCAACAAAAGTATGAAAAGAAACAAAAAGACTTTCTGGAAAGCTTAATAGAATGAAAATTAAACAAACAAACATACTAAAGCTCCAGTGATGTGCAAAGGTTTTGTTTTTTAGGTACACTTTTTTTTAGGTACACTTGCGTGGCGCAGAACATTCACGGTCAAATCGAGCACACCGCAAGGATTCATCTCATTAGCAGGTGAGTGTTTTTAAAAATATATCCTTTCGTAGTCATAGATAATCGTTGTTACTGAAATGAATTGATGTGCGTTTAGAAATATTGTCTGATAAGGTTGAAAAGTTTAGTTATATTGTCTGATAAAGTTGAAACATTTAGTTATATTGTCTGATAAGGTTGAAACGTTTAGTTTGTAACGTTGCTAAAAACCTTTATATCTTTGCTATATGAAAACGGATTATTACAGCGTTCCCCCGTCAATTCACGATACTCCACAAGCGCAATCGGTTGAGCCCGGGCAACAGGTTAGGTTTTGGCTTAAAAAGTGGTGTTTTATTTGTCGATTAACGGATGACTAAATGAGATGCTCAGCATCATGGTTGAAACTAACCATGATGCTACATCAACCATGATATACAGCTAAAAACTAACCATCTCAAGATTTTCTTTTCGTAAAATCATTGAACAGTTAATTGTTTAGGTAACATTCCGGTGTCGAGCCCAGGGAGTGCCCAAGCCGGAGATCACGTGGTTCTTTGAAGGAGCCGAAATACCGCTGAGACAGGGAAGATTCCAGGTAATAAAGAAGTGAAGGTAGATTTCTGGAGAGGGGATTCAACCCTCGACCACTGAGCTCTAGCCACTGAGCTCTAATGCTCTAACCACTGAGCTATTCAGTACCTTAACTTGCCAAGAGAAAGAAGAAAAGAAGAAAGAGAGAAAGAGAGAAAGAGAAGGAAAGTAATCCCAACCCTGACTATATCAAATATAGATATACAGCTAAATTTTCTGTGTTTAAAGATCAAAACTCATTTTTTTTGCAGACTTCGGACGATCGAACCGAGCTGACGATCACTCACGTTTCGAGACAGGTGGGATTAAAGAAAAAGAAAGGTTTACTTTAGGGTTTTTAGGTTTACTGTTTACTAATGTTTGCCTTAAATTTAGCTATATTTTTTTTGTTGATTTTTTTAATTATTCTTCTAGTATCTATTGTGTCACTTAAACAGCAAAAACTCTTCTAGTATCAGTTGCTTGCTTTAATCTATCAAATTATTTCTTTTCAGGACGTTGGTGTCTATTCGTGTATGGCCGGGAACAGTGTCGGGGCAATGATGGCCGATGCTCGTTTAACTGTCACTGGAAAACATCAATCCGAGGTGGGAAATGGGTTTTAATTTGAAAATAGAGAAGTTCGATCGATGATTTTACTTTGTTTTCATGTCAAAATCGGAGATTTAACTTTCAGCATTGATTAAATGTGAAAAACTTTGAAATTTTCCAGGTGGACAAATTGATTGACAAGGAAGTACTGCAAACGATCGTCCAGCAAGCGAAAGACAATGTGAATCGGTGAGTTTGGAGACAAAAGCTGATAGTGAAAATGGAAAATGAATACCCAATGAATAACGTTATCAACAACTCGTTATTCTGCAAACCTAGCCATTTAAGGAGTTTTATTTGAAACAGAATCTTTGAAACATTTTAGAACAACACTTTAGAATTTATCTTTGCTTCTGAAAGCTTTTAGGATTTAAAAAAAAATCAAAAGAACTGTTTTTGGGAGATTTATTTTATTTAGTAAGCAGCTTACGCTTGTTTTCAAGGTTAAACAAGCGTAAGCTTACGCTTGTTTAGCTTACGCTTACGCTGGTCAATTTTTAGAGCTATCGCAAGCACGCGAACACAATTGGTCCAGGATGGAGTGAGATCGACGGGCGATTTGAAGAGATTGTTCAAGTTTACTATTCCAAAACAGGTGAGGCGTAAAACAGGCTTGCAAGACTTGAAAGTACTTGCAAGTCTTGCACTTCTTGGGCTTCTTGGACTTCGTAAAACAGACTTGCAAGTACTAGCAAGACTTGCAAGTAGTGCAAGACTAGTAGTCCAGAAGTCTTTCAAGATATTCAATTATTCAAGAAGGAATAAGACTGTAAGTGTTTGAACGTCAAGAAAAATTAAGAACAGATGAGAGACTTTCGGGTTAGCAATCTTGAAACAACGTTTTCGTTTTTTAAAGAAATCCAAAAGTTTTTTATAATCCGATAGCCGATTGGTAAAAAAAAAGACAAAAAACTAAAATGTAATGGAACCAGTCGGTTAACAAGGCTTAATTAAAAAAAAAACTCAATCGGCCTCTTGAAACATATCTTTTCAGGCAGTCGAGTTGAGCAAAGCGCGCGAAATCTACGAAGAATCGATTCGCTTAGTGCAAAGTCACGTGGAAAGGGGTTTGTTTCAAAGTTAAAACGGGTGAAATGCTGAAAATTCAATCCAGTATCGAATGCTCTAACGGTGAAATCTACTATATAAAAGAGCAGTGTCTGTACGCAGCAGCAGCAGACCTATTTTTCCAATTCAGGTTTGAAACTCCCGGTGAACGACTTGCATCCAAAGAATGTCTCCTACGAGTCGGTGTTGGCTGTGTCCCATGTGCAAACGATCATGGAGTTGTCCGGGTGTCAGGCTGGCGTTTTCAGGTTTAGAATCTAGAAACAGGTGTTCCAACCGGATCATTGAGTCTGTAAGACAGACTAGAGCTTATCCAGTAAAGCAAAGTGAGTAAAACCGTCTATTAGATCAGAATCAGCCTTCTTTACTTCAGCAAACTTGAAACAAGACATCATTTTCTAAAGAAAAAGTTGAAATCACTCTTTATCACGAATTTTCTTCAGAAATCCCTGCACCGACATGTGCTTTCACAACAAATATCGGTGAGAATTTTCAAATAAAATTTTTATAGCCATTCTCTGTGTTTAAAAATTGAAACACTCTTTCTGGGGTACTCGTTTCTTTTAATTTTTTCACCAGAAAGGCTGCGTTTACATTTTTGAATCCAAATTACACCACCCAACCAAACAAATCTCTAGATCCTACGATGGTCAGTGCAACAATTTGGATTATCCGATGTGGGGCGTCTCGCAGATGCCGCTGAAAGTGAGTAATAAAAGAAAATACATTTATTCACACGAATATGGTACAAAAAGGCACAAGCAAGCCCTAATCCCTAAATATAGGGAACAGGTTTTCGAATACAGGGTGTTCGAAAAATAAAAGTGAGTTCGCGTCGAATTTCCTCACGATTTGTAGTGGCTTTTGGTGGCAACTCTCATGTTTTTTTTCTGTCTGAATAAGTTGCCTTTTTATCGAAATTTTTCATTTACATGAGCCCAATACAGGAGAATTTTTCACCACCATCAAATGAGCCACCACCATCAAATGGGCCACCACCATGAGACTTTTGCCATAAAATTAGAACTTTATACTAGCATCGTGGTGCATAATAAACACTATTAGCATAACTAAAAAGTTTAACCATACACTTTATTGATCAGTGTTTCCTTGAGAGAACGGGACACTTTTTAAAAAATCTCTTTTAAAAAAGCGAGTTGAAAATCTCTTATGTACGACAGACTATCAATATAATGAATAAAGTATTTGGCTAAAAATCTTAATTTATATATTAACTCTAATATGACACCACGATGCCAGTACAAAGTTTTAATTTTATGGCAAAAGTCTCATGGTGGTGGCCCATTTGATGGTGGTGGCCCATTTGATGGTGGTGGCCCATTTGATGGTGGTGGCCCATTTGATGGTGGTGGCCCATTTGATGGTGGTGGCCCATTTGATGGTGGTGGCCCATTTGATGGGGTGGCCCATTTGATGGTGGTGGCCCATTTGATGGTGGTGGCCCATTTGATGGTGGTGGCCCATTTGATGGTGGTGGCCCATTTGATGGTGGTGGCCCATTTGATGGTGGTGGCCCATTTGATGGTGGTGGCCCATTTGATGGTGGTGAAAAATTCTCCTGTATTGGGCTCGTGTAAATGAAAAATTTCGATAAAAAGTCAACTTATTCAGACAGAAAAAAAAACACCAGAGTTGCCACCAAAAGCCACTACAAATCGTGAGGAAATTCGATGCGAACTCACTTTTTTTTTCCGAACACCCTGTATATGGAAAAAGAACTAATAATTGAAACTGAACCACCCGACTAAAAAAATAAGGCCTGATTGGCATGGCTGATTGGCAAAAAAAAGCCAATCAGCCATGACGGCATGGTAATGGGAAGAAAGTTTTTGAGGAATTGTTTAGCGTCTCCTCTCGCCAATTTACGAAAATGGTTTCAACACGCCGATTGGATGGGAAAAAAATCGACTTTATTACGGATATCCGAAACCGAACCCAAGAGAGGTAAGAATGCGATTTGGAAAATAGTAAAATCAATAGAAAGTACTAAAAAATACTAGAGTTCAAGGGCTATCATTTGACACTCACGCGAACCCTGTAGCATAAAGCAGCGCGAAGAACGGGACGTTCAAAGTTAGACTACGCGACTGAGCGTGACTGTACGCCCGTCATTATGGACGTCCCGTTCTAGTCTTTACCGTATTAAACTCATTCGATAGCCCTGAATCTCCTCTTCAAATCTAGTATAAAATTATCGAGAACTTTCTACAAAATAAACAACAAAATCTTTAAAAACAATATTCGTGAGGGGTCAGCGGTGGGCTGAATTTGTTAAAATTTCTTTTCTTTTGAGGTTTCTCGTCAATTGATTGCCACTCATGACATCACTCCGCATGGTCATCTTTCCTCAATGGTCATGCAATGGGGACAATTTGTTGGTGAGTATTCAGAATTATAATATCAAAACTGTTTTATTTGTGAATTCAACTGAAAACCATACCGTAAATACTGTAATAGTACCCCACCGCCCCCGTACAGTCGCGTAGTCGCAAAAGTTTTTTTAGTATTTCGTTTTTTTGAAAGCGCCCGTACTTTCAAAAAATGCGTCTTGGTATCAAAAAATAGCTGAAATTCAGGGCTATTTTTTGATACCAAAGCGCGCATTGTAGCATAAACCAGTGTCGAGAAAAACTCGTTCAAAGCTAGACTACGCAACACTCCGCACCGTCATTATGGGGGTGGGGTACTATTACAGTATTTACGGTAAGCGCATAGAAACAAACGTACCAGAATCAAGATATGAGCGTTTATTTGAGAGTGAACTTAGACTACCCTAGCTTCTATCGCTTCTCCGCATCGTCATTATGGGGGTGGGGTACTATTACAGTATTTACGGTAGCGTTTCATTTGTCGATCCGATTGTCGATAGGTGCACAACGGAAAGACGAGATTTTCCCATTTCAACAGCTACTTTTTTTAGGATTTCTTAAAAGATAGAATCTTTCAAACTCTATCTTTAGTCTTAAATCTTTGAAAAAATAGAAGTAATCAAATCTTGAAGTATAGTAAAAATAGAAGTAATCTTGTCTTTTCCTAGTCCACCTATCGATAAATCGACGAATGAACAACTCTAATGTAGAAAAAAAAGTTTAGAAAACGCTTAGAATATATAAAAAGTTATCAAGGTTTATCAAAATGTTTCTCAGATCATGATTTAACGCACACCGCCCCACCACTCACTCGAAATGCTTACACAACGGGCGCCGTTTGCAACCGGTGCGTTTCAAAATGTTCAAATCAAAAACTCCAATGTTTCAATGTTCAAAAAGCATCTCAATTCTAGAACCTGTGAGAATCTGGAGCCTTGTTTCAACATTCAATTGCCAAAAGATGATCCCAAATTGATGATGATGACAAGAATGGGAAAGTGAGTTAAAGAGAAAGGAGAAATTGAGTTAAAGAGAAAGGAGTTTCAAAGTGTTGCGGAAAGGCTACAGTTTTAGTGCAATAAGTAGGAAAATAATCAAGAAAAATCAGCACGGCTTATCTTAAAATTTTGGCTTTATATGATAGTCTTTTTCTTTTAGAGAAGTCAAATATCCGTGTATCGAATTCGAGCGTTCTGGAGCCGTTTGTGGATCGGGAGAGACGTCGCTGATATTCGATCGAGTCACTTACAGGGAACAGTTGAATATTGTGAGTGATAAAGTGTGAAATTGAAAAAGAAAAGACAAATGGGAAATCTAATTTATTTAGAGAAATCTAATTCAATTGATGCTTTAAATATATTTTATAGAAAATACGAAAAAGTGCAGCAACTTTCAAGTTGCTAATCTAATATAATTACTACAATATACCTGAAAATGCCTACCTAGGAGTGTGTTTAGATTTTAGACGTTTAGAGAGTGCTTAGCCAAATCTTTTTACAGTATTTTGTAAATGATATTTTTTTACAGCTGACTTCATACCTCGATGGTTCGGTGGTTTACGGTAGCTCTGAAGTTCAAGCTTTAGAGCTAAGGGATCTTTTTGGGGATCATGGATTGTTGAGGTGAGTAGAAATGGTAAAAAGTATGTTATTTTTCATTTTTTCCAGATTCGACATCGTTTCTTCTGCTCAAAAACCGTATATGCCGTTTGAGAAAGATTCGGATATGGATTGCCGAAGGAATTATTCCATTGACAATCCGATTCGATGCTTTTTGGCTGGCGATCTTCGAGCAAATGAGCAGGTTTTCGTTTTGAATTAAAGAAGCATGATGGACATGATGAATTAAAGAAAAATGATTAACTATATCTATTTGTTATTGATTTAGAATAAGGAGATTGTTGAAAAGCAATCAAAAAACAAGAAAGAACTGAAAAATGGTTGTGGAACTGATAACAGATTGGTATAGATAAAAGATTTGAAGTTAGGTCATCTTTTTTTAGCATTAGCATTTATCCTATCCATTAGCATTTATCCTACTTGTTTCATTGTTGAAAGATAATTTGTGATTCAGCTTGGCCTCACCGCAATGCACACGGTTTTCATGCGAGAGCACAATCGAGTGGCCGCGAAATTCCTCGAAATGAACGTGAATTGGGATGGGGAAACGATATTTCAAGTAAGAATTCGTGTTTTAAATTTATTCGAATAAGCAATTGTATTGGGTTGGTCAATTGAAAACTGTCGGACTTTGAACTAAAATTTATTCAACATAAAACCATGAATTCATTCGAAATAATTTCCATTATTATTGACGACTTCTGCCCATTTTACAGGCAATTTGCGGATTCCTCTTTCGTAGTAGGATTTTGGTTTGTGTGTGAGACAAGTGTGAGACTCAAAAATGGAGGACTGGAGATGTCCCAGTTTGAGCATTTGAGCACTTTCTTCAAAAGAAACCCATTTTGGTGTCAATAGAAAAGTTGTAGAGAATCAAAAATTAGGCTTATAGCCAAATTTCCAAAAAGATACACTTAGTAGTTTCGCTTAAAATGCAAGTTTTGTGAAAATTTGGCATTTCTTTTGTGTAAATTTGGCATTTCTTGAAAACCAGTTTTTGAATCGTTCTGAAAATTTGGATATAAGCTTGATTTTTGATTCTCTACAACTTTTCTATTGACACCAAAATGGGTTTCTTTTGAAGAAAGTGCTCAAACTGTCACATATGACAATAGCCCGCAGTTTTCAATTCACCAACCCAATAGAAAATGATCAATAGAAAGGAAAATCAAAGAAGCAATTTTAGAAGATTACTTTTAGATTAAGAAAATGATTTAAAAGAGTAGACTCTTGTAAAATCTGATTACATAAATCTGTTTTAGAGCTGATATTTTAAAGTCAACAGCTAACAACAGTCAACAGCTAACAAAGAAGAACTACAATCAAGAACAATACTGACGTACAATCAAGAATGCATTTATTACTTCTAAATTTAGCCTCTTAGGGGCTCTTTGATTCTTTGATTCCCCCTCTTTGATTTAATTTAGAATTCTAAAAATATTTTTTGCAGGAAACACGGAAGCTAATCGGAGCGATGATTCAACATATCACTTATGCACAATGGCTTCCACTAGTGCTCGGAAAAGTGAGGGTTTTGATGTAAAGAGTGACTAAACAAGAGAAATCGGTTTATTATATCGGTTTATTCTTCTTTGGAATCAAATTTCGTTTATTCTACTTTTATTATTTTGAGGTTAGAGAAATAGAGAATACCAACAGAATAGAGAAAATCTTAACTTAAAGCTAGAGTATTTCCAAGGAGTTTTCCAGGTTCAAGAGGTTCCAAGAACCTTTTGACCACCAAATACAATTGAGAGAGTCAGCTATCCGAAATTGATTCTTTTGCAGACCGGCTTCGCGGAGTTGATCGGCCCTTATATGGGCTATGATCCGAGCATTGATTCATCCGTCTCCAACTCGTTTGCCACAGCCGCTTTCCGTTTTGGGCACACGTTGATCAATCCGGAGTTGAAGAGGTGATGTACAAGAATTGACAGATTAAAGCTCTTCATTTTAAAACATAACACCTTTTTCAGATTGGGCAAAGATTTCCAGCCAATCCCACAAGGGCACATCCCATTGCATGAGGTTTGAGATAAAAGACCTAGAACTTTCTCTTTCTTCCTTGTCTTTCCTATTTCTTCTTTCGCAAAGCAGGCGTCTATAGCTCAGTTGTAGATCGCCTGCTTTGCTCAGTGGTAGATCGCCTGCTCAGTGGTAGATCGCCTGCTCAGTGGTAGAGCCCTGTAGACGCAAGGTCGAGGGTTCAATTCCCGCTCGATTCCAAATTCTTTGCCGTTCATTTCTTTACTGAACTAAAGCTGTAAATTTTGAAATTTCAGGCATTTTTCGCTCCCGAGCGTCTCCTCTCCGAGGGTGGAATCGATCCATTGTTGAGGTGGGAAATTGATTGAAATTGGGATGTCGTTCATTTTATAATTGAAACAGAAACACCAACTTTCACTTTTCCTAGTTAAAAGCATTCAATTTTAACCGTGGATCTGAAATGTAAAACATTTCGAAGATCTCTTTGCAATTAACACTTTAGATCTTTTCAAATCTTAAACTCGAATTTCAAGCCTACTTAATATGTTTCTATTCTTAATATCTATAAAATATCTATCAAAATACTTCACTCTAGTTAAACCTTTTTAGCAAAACTCATAATTTGAATGCAGGAATTTTAAAAAAATTGGAAAAATGATAAAAAAACATCTCAAAAATGCGAATTTAATGGCAAAGTAAGTTGTTGAATATATATGTCGTAGCCGTTTACGAAATTCAGCCGATTCACGGTTCAGCCGCTAACGAATCATTCGTTAGCGGCTGAATTTCGTAAACGGCTACGACATATACAGTGGCGGACATAAACTTATCACACCCCAAAATAATTTCTTATTTCTCCTCTAACTTTTTTTCTAAACAACCCTTTGAGCTAAAAGTTGGTTTAGACACGTAAAAACAAACATATTTTATGAGGTGTGATAAGTCAATGTCGTTCGAGTTTATAATAAAAAAGTTCAAAAAAAGTTTTTCATCAGAGATATTTAGTTTTTTGACTTAAAATATTAAAATATGTTTGTTTTTACGTGTCTAAACCAACTTTTAGCTCAAAGGGTTGTTTAGAAAAAAAGTTAGAGGAGAAATAAGAAATTATTTTGGGGTGTGATAAGTTTATGTCCGCCACTGTATATATGTTGTGTCCGATTTAGATTGAACTTATCGCGGACGTCCGATTTAGATTACAGTCTATATCGGACGTCCGATTTAGATTCAATCTAAATCTTATATAGATTGAACAATAATATAAACATGTTATGAAAACGCTTAAGAACATATATTAAGCATGTTTATATTATTGTTCAATCTATATAAGATTTAGATTGAATCTAAATCGGACGGAAATCTAAATCGGGCACAACATATATATATATAATATATGTCGTAGCCGCTGACGAATTTCAGCCCCTAACGATCATTCGTTAACGGCTAGCCGCTAACGAATGAAATTTTCCCCAGGCGGTTACGAATGATTCGTAATCGGCCAACCGAATCCTTGTAATCGGCGGCCGCCGAATCATTCGTAATCGGCTTAACCGCACCATTCGTTGCGGGCGCCGTAACGAATGAAAATTTTTCACTAGATGTACGAAATCTTGGCAGTCAAATGAACTTACCGTGTTTTGGTTTCAAATTTTACAAAAAAAAAGAAAAGAGAAAATCATTTTGAAGGAGCGTATTAAAAGCTTGTCAAAATACCCCTTTGCTGAAAATGGGTCCTCCGGGACGAGTCCCCCCCATTGTTATCAGTGATTTCGGATTCATTTTCTTCCTGCTTTTTATTATGCTTTGTTTTTATTATACTTGCTTTATTATATTTGTTTTTTCAGGATGAATTCGTTTCTCAACCAACTTGACACGTATCAAATTTTGAAAAAGCGAACGCATATACTAACGACGAAAAATACGACGAAATTGCGAACAGATTGACAACAATGTCAAGTGAAAGGAAAGCGAGAAACGGAAGCGAACGAGAGAAGAGGCGAATTGGGCACGTCGTTACTCGATTCAATGTATTGAGCAATCAAAAATACCTACAATCATGGAGAAAAGGAGAGAACGAACAGCCAAAACGAGTCGTCAAGAAAGAGGAACTCTTCGATGTTTTGACGTCAACTCACAAAAGACTGGGACACGCCGGCCGGGACCTGATGTGGAAAGAGCTGCGAGGAGATTATCACGGGATCTCAAAGGAAATACTCGCAATTGCAATTGCACAAATGGATGCACGAATGGACGATGTGTGTGCCTCAAAACCAATATGCTCTGCAATAGCCGATGTCATCACAGTAATTCCTGCACCAACAAATAAACAGTTTGTTTTATGCATTTTAGTTGATGTTTTGTTAGTTATAAACGTTATTATGTTATAAACGTTAATATGTTATAAATGTTAAATGTTATAAATGTTAAATGTTATAAATTTTATTTCACTTGTTGTGATTAATTTGCTGATTTGCGTTTTGTTATATAGTTTGAAACAAAGGCAAATTTAAATCGGACACAACATATATATATATATATAGATAATAATATTTATAGCCATGACTAAGTTATGAATCGAATAAATTAAAATCTTTGAAAATAAATATTCAAATAAAGGAAATTTAGGGGTCTCTTCGCGACACCGCTGAAATTGCCAAGGAGTTCGCAGATTCTGAACACGGAACTCACCGAGAAACTCTTCCCCCGGGCACATGAGGTAGAATTTAAATAAAAATTCAATACTTTTTCAACAAATTTCTTTAGCATCTAAATTCAAAAATCTTAAAGAAAGTTTTTAACATGAAGAAAGCGAAACTACAGAGCTAGGCAACTTTGTCTAGAAAAAAAATTAGCATTTAAGCATTAGAAAAGTTTGGCTCAATAGAAAAGTATCAAAGTTGGTTCAAAGATTCAAAGATCAACGATCAAAGATCAAAGATCAACTATCAAAGATCAAAGCTCAAAGCTCAAAGATTTATAGATATAGATATGATTTATAGATTTTGATTATTCCGAAAATCAAGTGTTTTAAGGTTTCTCTTGACTTGGCCGTGATGAACATTCAACGAGGACGGGATCACGGTTTGCCAAGGTGAGGATTTAAAAGATAAAAATCGAAGTTTGCCAAGGTGGGGATTTAAAAGATAAAAATGGAATTTTATATTAAAAAGAAAATTGCAAGAGAATACAGAAAATAATGAACACTTTCTTAAATGCTCACTTTGAAATACAAGAATTTTTCTCTAAGAACAAATTCATTGGTTGGTGTTTTGCTATCAATGAATGTAACTGAAAAATGGCTGTGAGAAAAGAACGGCTCATGAAGAAACGGGGAAATTCATTGATAGTGGAACCAAAATCAAAAGTACTAATCAAAATCAAATCAAACTCAAAAGTATTAATCATTTTTCCCATATCGTCCTTGCAATTTTCTTCCATTTTTTGGTAGAATTTAAAAAAGAATGTTAGCAATTTAATTGCTAGATTCCAATTTTCTCAGCTTATTTTGAAAGACAAACTTTTAAATGAAAAGAAGTCCTCTAAATCGTATAAACTATCAAAACACTATTTGTAGTTCTAAAAGTGAATTGCATTCAGTTGGACTGAGTACCGTAAATGGTGCAATCTCTCTGTGCCGGAGACGTGGGATCAAATGGCGATTGAGGTGCCCGATGTGAATGTTCGCAATAAATTGAAAGCGCTTTATGGGCATCCCGGTGAGACAATTCGCTATTTATTTTACAGAAGGATATTCAGCTAATCAATAGGTTAGCTGAATATTCGAGTGTTTAAAGTTCTTTTATCACTAACGTCATTAACGGGCATTAACGAGCTCTCTGGCCTCTGTCAACTGGTTTGGTACATTTTGAGATACCAAAACTTTTCTAGATGCTATGCAAATTGAAGTGTTTCAATCTTGAGAGTAAAAGTAGAGCCTTAAAAATCGCTCGTTAATGACCTTTTTTTGAAAAATCTCTTATTTTCTTAGGTAATGTTGATTTGTGGGTGGGTGGAGTGATTGAGACGAGGATGCCGGATGGATTGATCGGACCGACTTTCGCTTGTCTCATCGCTGATCAATTCAAAAGAGCTAGAGCTGGTGATCGACATTGGTGGGGGAAAATTGAGAGTTGTAGGTATGAGAATTTCCAAATACAGGTACGAGAACGAGGGTGTCTTCTCGAAAGCTCAACTCCAGCAGATCAAGAAAACCTCGTTGGCGCGTTTATCCTGCGATAATGGAGATGATATTGATCGGGTTCAGGTGAGAAAAAGTTGAACTTGTTAATGTTGGACAAGACAGCCAAGTTTTAAAAGTTTTTTTACTGTAAAGCTTTTAGAAAGATGTCTTCTTCTATCCAGGCAACTCGACACGTTTCTATGAGAAATGCGAGATGATTCCAGAGGTGCCAGAGTTTCGAATCTAATCAAAAATCTAATAGAAAAGATTTTAAGACCTGAAATTTGATAGATAATGCCTTTTTGTTAACTTTTTCCAAGTTAACTTTACTGGATAACTTAGAGTTTCAAGTTTGAATCAATATAGGCAAAAATTTGAATCAATACAGACAAAAATTTAAAAATAATTTCTCCTTTTTTGATATAATTTCGTAGATCGACAAATTTCTCTATTTTCAAATAACTAAAAAATTTCGATCTCAGTTTTCAATTTCAATTCTTTCCAGATCAATTTGAACATGTGGCAAGCTTGCTGTGAGGGACAATGCTCAATGAATCAAGATTCGCCGATTACGGGAAAGTGCGTTGAAATTTTTCGATTTCAAATTGAAACTTGAAAGCAAACTTTAAAAAAAAAGCTCTAGCCTCAAAAATGGAGGACTGGAGATGTCCCAGTTTGAGCATTTGAGCACTTTCTTCAAAAGAAACCCATTTTGGTGTCAATAGAAAAGTTGTAGAGAATCAAAAATTAGGCTTATAGCCAAATTTCCAAAAAGATACACTTAGTCGTTTCGCTTAAAATGCAAGTTTTGTGAAAATTCGTAAATTTCGCATTTCTTGAAAACCAGTTTATGAATCGTTCTGAAAATTTGGCTATAAGCTCATTTATTTCCGGACAACCTACCGTAAATACTGTAATAGTACCCCACCCCCATAATGACGGTGCGGAGTGCTGCGTAGTCTAGCTTTTAACGAGTTTTTTTCATTCATTCATTTTTTTCAAAGCGCCCGTACTTTCAAAAAATGCGTCTTTGGTATCAAAAAATAGCTGAAATTCAGGGCTATTTTTTGATACCAAAGATAATGACGGTGCGGAATGTTGTGTAGTCTAGCTTTGAACGCGTTTTTCTCAACACTGGTTTATGCTACCGCGCTTAGGTATCAAAAAATAGCCCTGAATTTCAGCTATTTTTTGATACCAAAGACGCATTTTTTGAAAGTACGGGCGCTTTGAAAAAAATGAAATACTAAAAAACTTTTGCGACTACGCGACTGTACGAGGGCGGTGGGGTACTATTACAGTATTTACGGTAATAGCTGTTAGTTTGGCGAGCGAGCACTTGGCAAATGATCGAGAATTAACGAATTTCCTCGCTGAACTTCAACGGGATCATCCTCCATTTGTAAGAAAAGATTACATACTCTGCTCAAAAAAATAAGAAAATATTATACTTGCAAATAGTGAATATCTTAAATATATTGACTATATTGATATTGACTATTTGCAAGTATAACATTTTCTTATTTATTGAGCAGAGTATGTAATCTTTTCTTAAATAGCCATGGTTTTTAAGAAATAGCAAAAAGGATGAAGATTCTCTCGTCAATCTAATAGTTATTTTAAAAGTTGAAATCGCAAAACAAGATGGGAAACTTTTGACTTTATATAGGATTCAAATAAAATGCAAATGTTTGTAGATGTAGAATGTAGAAATATAAACAAATTCTTACATTTTTCTCTAATTTCAGTCGTCGTCGCCGGGCTGAGAAAGCGAAAAATTTCTGCGAAGTTGAGGGGATAATGAAAAATGAAGGAGAAAAGTGGAAAATCGATAAATGTACGATGTGTGAATGCAAAGTGAGTAAAATGATTTAGAAGAAATTCTGAAATCATTAAAAAATAGACTTCTTCTTCTTCAAGAAGATTTGCTCATTTACTGCTCATTTAGATGTGTCAAAATGCGAGAAAGACACGTGTTTTCTAAAAAAAAACACCACTTTCAACGTAATCCCGTCAGTTTTTATTTGATTGCCTCAATTTTGGGGGTAGGCTAATTTCCGCATTTTTTTTCGCATTTTCCGCAACAGGGTCATTTGCGCAACTAGGTCTTTTGCGCAACTCGCCATAACTTTCTTCTAAGTCGGCCAATCTTTATGATTTTGGTTTCATTTTATTGCACTTGTCAAGTTCAATAAAATGAAACCAAAATCATAAAGATTGGCTGACTTAGAAGAAAGTTATGGTGAGGATTGGGGTGAGGGGATTTGCCCTGAGTTTCGTCAAAAGGAGTTGCCGCATTTATTCTAATCGAAGCGCAGCCTCTAATAGAAGCAATAACTATGGATATTCAGCTTAGTAGACCAAATACCCTGGCCTTTAAAGGTAGATAAGGCTATATACGCATTTCCTTGACAAAAATGGGGGTAGGCTAATTTCCGCAACAGGGTCATTTGCGCGCAACTCGCCATAACTTTCTTCTAAGTCGATCAATCTTTATTATTTTGGTTTCATTTTATTGCACTTATTGAGATCTTTTAAGATTGTCAAATAATTGGGAACTGATTTTTCAAAAGCAAGTAGTAAAACTCGATCATCGATCAGCTTGACCAGCTCGATCACTCGATCAATTTGAATAATTATAACTGCATAAGATATTCAGCTAAATCCTGTAATGTTAAATTTTATTCCTTTGCGTTCTACTGGGGGGTAGGTTAGTTTGCGTTCTATTGGGGGGTAGGTTAGTTTCCGTTCTATTGGAGGGTAGGTTAGTTTCCGTTCTATTAGGGGGTAGGTTAGTTTCCGTTCTATTGGAGGGTAGGTTAGTTTCCGTTCTATTGGGGGGTAGGTTAGTTTCCGTTCTATTGGGGGGTAGGTTAGTTTCCGTTCTATTAGGGGGTAGGTTAGTTTCCGTTCTATTGGAGGGTAGGCTAGTTTTCGTTCTATTGGGGGTAGGCTAAATTTTTTTTGCGCAACTGGGTTACTTGTTAAACTTGTTGAGATCTACAAAATGAAACCAAAATCATAAAGATTGGCTGACTTAGAAGAAAGTTATGGTGAGTTGCGCAAATGACCTAGTTGCGCAAATGACCCTGTTGCGCAAAACAATCGCGGAAATTAGCCTACCCCCAATTTTGTTCTTATTCGATGAGAAATCACAATGAATGAAGCAAAAATTGAGGTGATTGAATGAAAACTGGCGTGTATTACGGTAGCTTTGGTGCCTTTTAGAAAAAGAAATGGAAATTCATCTAATTTAGCGAATAAAGGCACTTTAAATCTATGAATTTTTCTTTTCAGAATGCCCAAGTCTGGTGCACGGTCAAGGAGCATTGCTTGGATTAAAAAAAAAAGAAAATTTTTTAAATTTCAACTTTTTAACGTGTACAATAATAGATTTATCATTGTTTTTCTGTTAAAATTTTAAACATTTTCCTTTATGCTTTATGTTCCTTTTGAAATTCTCATAATTCTCATAATTTCATCAGCTTTCAAAATCGAATCCAAAAACCATGAGGAAAAAAGAACTGACATTGTTTGGTTGAGTCATTTCGACGCATTTTTATTCATTATTCATTCACAAACGACCAGCTAGCCATTTTGTGCCATTTTTTTCTAGGAAAAATTCTTCTAAATAGTCTATTATTTTTGATTTGTTAGTTGAATAAAAAGTTGAATAAAAAGTTTTAAAATATTCAAAATTAAAACTTAAAGATTAAAAATAATGCAACGATTGTACTCTTGTGAGTACAATAATGCAACGATTGTACTCTATTGTAACGAGCTTGTGTACTCTCGAAGATTCAAGGCTCTCCAAGATATTTAGCTGGTAAATTTGTACTGGTTTTCGGGGTTGACGATTGGCGCTATCCATTTTGTTCTCATCTCCAAATAAAAAGAAGTATACTAGGCTAATTAGATAGTTAATTGTCACCTTTGCTTCTCTTCTTCTTCTTCTTCTTCTTCTTCTTCTTCTTCTTCTTCTTCTTCTTCTTCTTCTTCTTCTTCTTCTTCTTCTTCTTCTTCTTCTTCTTCTTCTTCTTCTTCTTCTTCTTCTTCTTCTTCTTCTTGTGTGATGGGGATGAGATGAGCAACGAATCCTCTTTGATCCTTTTGCGTTTACCCTTTATCTGTTAATTTCTAGTTTTTCTAAAAAAATGTATTTCAATTTGAACAGAATTCAAAAGAAATCTTGACACTTTAAGACTTGACACAACAAAAGTTCACTTTCAAAGAGATTGTTGAATTAACAATCTCTTTGAAAGTGCACGGAAAAATCACCACTAATTCAGTGGTAATTTTTCTGTTTCTTCCAACCGGCTGGTAAGCCGGAAACGCGTTTCTATCGTACTCCCGATCGTCAAAAAGTATTTTTGGAAAATTTTTGGATAAACTGAAACTCTTTTCTTGATTAAACTATATGATTACGTAGATGGGCGGCTTTGGCGAATGAATGTTTATGGGAAAACTCTACTCTGCTTTAAAGGAAACTCTCCTTTGTGCTTAAATCTTGTAAACGCACCTTTTCTAGCGCACTTATTTCTTTATTTTCCTTTTTGCTTCAAGAAAATGAAGAATTAAGTGCACCAGGAAGAGTGTGTTTGCAAGACTTGAGCCCAAAGAACACCCGCCCAAACAAAGCGAGTTTCAATTTGGTCGTCATTGGGTAAGTTGCAAGATTAATATCGGTTGTTGCTGAAAAAGTAAAGAGTTCAGTGTGCTAGGAAGGGTGCGTTTTTGAGCTTAAAGTACACCCGGAAAATGGATTTCTTACGAGTGACTCAGGGGAATCAGTCTTGTTTTTTTTGATCTAAAAACTTGAGGTTGAGGTTGAGGCAGAATTATGAATTTCCCCACTTTTCCTATTTCTTTCTTTCCCGTTTCTTTCTTTCCCGTTTCTCAATCCGGATGTGCGTGTTCGGCATCCATATCGAATCGAATCCATTCCAATGAATATTCGCTTCTGAATTTTTCTCCCAAATACTACCTATATTTTTTAAGGACGAGTTTTGACGCCCAAACTTCGCCCACTCAAACTTTTTCGAATCAATGTTTACATCTTTGTCTTTGTTCACGCTTAAAATGTCTATTGATCAGGAATTTGGTTCTTGGACAAGATTCTTGCACGAACAATCACTTCAACAGGCTTTTTAAGCAGATATTATCCTGAATTTACTTGGATTTACTCCCAGTTGGACACGTTTCCTTTTAAGGCTGGGAATACAAAAAATGGTCGGCGCCGGGCGTCGAACCCGCGACCTCTAGCGGCCGACCGCTTGCCGAGCCAAAACTCTACCAATGAACTAAGCTGACACGTTGACGGCCGCCACCAGGATAGGGCCTTATGCCTTACTTTCAAGTACATTCAAGACAAAGTACTTGCCTAAATATCTGCCCTCATCGTTGGTTCAATCAAAAATTTTTGGGGTGAGATGGTTTCTTGTGAGTTCTCCTCGCCCTTAACCCATCCATCCTCTCCTGTTTCACCTCTTGTTTTTTTTCCCATCTCTTCACCCTTCCATACATCTTTTGCATAAACATTACAGAAGCTACAGGTGGTTTCATCAGTGAAGTGCGGGTTTTTGTTACTGTGAACGGGATACCTACATACCCAAAAAAAATCAAAATAAGAAATACGGAAAACATGGAATAGTGTTAACTTTAAAAGCAATTATTTCCTGACTATGGAAAGGCACGAAGTTAAAAGGCGTCAAGGTGGCCTTTTAATACCAGAACCACGGGGCTTTATAGAATCGCCTATGCTGATTCTGAATATGCTTTTACTTTTTTCAAAGGAGATTTGTAACGTGAGATATCTAAGTTTATGCCGATTTTCGGAGTCCTTATAAGCTTTTTTTCTCTTCCTTGATTGCGGTGATGGTGGCGCAGTGGATAGTGTGCCCGTCTTTAGAACGGTGTTGAAGTTTTTTTTGCCCGGGTTCAAGTTCGCTCCCGGTATTTTCTTTTTGCTTTTTTTTTGAGAAAATGATTAGAAAATTTGAATTAAATTGCACTATTTTGTGGAATAGTGGAATGTTCTTGTTCTTGTTCTTCTTGTTCTTGTTCTTCTTGTTCTTGTTCTTCTTGTTCTTGTTCTTCTTCTTCTTCTTCTTGTTTATGTTCTTCTTGTTCTTGTTCTTCTTCTTCTTGTTTATGTTCTTCTTGTTCTTGTTCTTCTTGTTTTTCTTGTTCTTCTTGTTCTTCTCCAATTCAATTTCATTCCGCGTATTGAAATCCACTATTTTTGCACATAAAAACTCTTTATTGAGTAAATCGCCTATCTTTTTTTTCCCTATCTATCGCCTATCTTATTCTTTTTCCTCTATAGTTAAATTTTTTTTAGTTTTCTTATGAAAAAATGGGTTTAGATCTAAAATGAAAAAGGTTAGGCAAGGCCAAGCCAAAGCTATTTGTTCATTTTGACTTTTCTTGGCTTAGCTTCGTCTGATTAGTCATAGTTTTTGGCTTTTAGGAACAGGTAACGATGGAGAAAGAAAGGCCAATCAAAATACGTTTGAAATTTTCGATCTATTTCCCTTTAAAATCCACCATTTCTTTGTCTCTTTTCTTTTTCTAATCATTTCATTTACAAATCTTTTTCCTCTCAAAGAAAACAGGAACTATTGTATGAAAACTTTTGAAATGAATTTCAAATTTTCCTTTACTTGGAAAGAAAAGAAAGAGAAAGAAAAAAGAAAAGAAACTTTGGCGCGGCTAGAAAAGAAAAGAAACTTTCCCCAATCAGACCAAAGCCGGAAATAAGATAAAAGCAGAGCAAATCTTATGATTTCCTCCAATCATCCACCCACCTTTTTATTTTTAAATTTGTTTAATCAAAAAGTTTGAGAGCTCAAGATTTGAGTGCTTTTGGGAGAGAGATTTTGGCGGATCTTGGGAATTGAATGGGTTTAAAGCTTTCGTTTCGATCTAGAAAGCTTAGTAGCGTGATGTTTCATATATTTTTCAATTTTTAACTTTATTATTTGAATCTAACGCAAATGAAAGCGAGCAATTAAACGAATTAAATCGGTGTTTCAATGGCTTCAATGATTCACCAATTTCGGTCCAAATTTACAGCTGAATATCCTTTTCGAAGATCTATTGGGTTGGTGAAAAAGTCTTTTTCGATTTTTTGGGACCTTAAATGGAGTACCTTAAATTTGTCGAATTTTGACGTTTTATAGCTCTTCCTAAAGCTGAATTCAAGACGGATCGATTGGTAAAAACCGTTTTGAGATATCTCTTTTCTAGAAGTTTTTACAGCTATTTTAGTAAAGGGCGGCAGAGCCAAAAAATTGCTGTTTTCACGAAGGACTCTTCTGCCCCATATCTTCACTTCCAATTGACCGATCAACTTGCGGTTAGTCTTAAAATGTTCCTTATAAAATTTGGTTATAGAAAACCACAACTTTCTTAGTATACTTTAATATAAAAACATAGAGAAAATCGCGAAAAGCGAAAAGCGGCGGAAAGGCTATTGATCTGAGGGTCGCTGGTTCGACTTCCACCGGTGACAATATTTTTCAAAAATTTTTTGCTAAGATTCTGAAAATTTGTGTCTAGGGGTTATTTTTGACGCTGATCACGAAACACATGTTTTTAGCCTAGGTTTCTGCACGGAAAACTAACGAAACGTGAAAACAGCCATGTTTTGGCTTTTTTGGCTCTGCCGCCCTTTACTAAAATAGTTGTAAAAACTTCTAGAAAAGAGATATCTCAAAACGGTTTTTACCAATCGATCCGTCTTGAATTCAGCTTTAGGAAGAGCTATAAAACGTCAAAATTCGACAAATTTAAGGTACTCTCCCAAAAAATCCGAAATCGGAAATCGAAAAAAAAATCGGACTTTTCCACTAACCCAATATAAAGCAGAGAAATCTCTGTGTAAATGATTGGCAAGTTTTTTAAATGACAATTCCATATGTTCTTTATGTTCCATATGTTCTTTAAACAATTGTGTTACTTGAAAAGAAAACTGAGAGATTTTGAAAGCCATTTTGAAAGCCATTTTGAAAGTCATCAATTTGAATGAATGAAACTTTCTGCCTTTCTGCAAAATAGCCTTCCCAAAAGCAAGAATCCCGTCACTTAAAACCCCAATAAATATCTGCCAAAATGTGGAAGTTTTGAGAAGTTTACGTTTTTTTTTTTTCCCGCTAAACACGCGAATATTTTTTTTCAGAGAAAGCAAATGACAGGTCTAAAGAGAAATAAAAAAACCCCATTGGGCTGATTGCTTAAATTTGCACGACACGCAAACGTTTCCTCTACATTCTTCACACTCTTTTAGAAAAAAAAACCGAGAAATCAAGCCTTAGACTCAGAAAAAAAAATCAGGAAATTTGAGGAAAATAGCGAAAAAAATTCTACTTCGTGTTCTGAAAAATGGACATTTTCACTGGAAAGTGTTCTCGAGAAAAGTTCCGGATTCTCTTTCAAACTTTTTAAGCTTTCCTTTCCTTTCCTTTCCTTTCCTTTCCTTCACTTTCGTTTGATGTTTCTTTAAGAATACTTTCAAATTTTAATACCAGAACCATGGGGCTTTATAGAATCGCCTATGCTGATTCTGAATATGCTTTTACTTTTTGCTTTTACTGAATATGCTTTGTAACGTGAGATCTCTAAGTTTAAGCCGATTTTCGGAGTCCTTATAAGCTTTTTTTCTCTCCCTTAATTGCGGAGATCGTGGCGCAGTGGATAGTGTGCTCGCCTTTAGAACGGTGTTGAAGTTCCGGATTCTCTTTCAAACTTTTTAAGCTTTCCTTTCCTTTCCTTTCCTTCACTTTCGTTTGATGATCCTTTAAGAATACTTTCAAATTTGAAATTTGAAATTAAATTTCTTCATAGATTTGTTGTATTTATTTGAGTTTTCGATATACGAATAACTTTAAAATAACATTGATAATGTTTCAGAATCCGATTCGACTCAACTATGAGACTCTAAATGCGTCACACAAAGCATTTCTATTCGGAAAAGAGACGATTGAGGAAACAGATTATCCCATGGTAAATTAAGAAAAGAGAATCTTAAATATAAAGAAAAAAAAAGCAATAATCTAGTCAGCGGAATCGAACCCTTGACCAACCGACTAGGAAACCAGGCTCTTAGGCCTGGCCATCGGTTGGCCATCGGTCGGCCTGGCCTGGCCATCGGTTGGCCTGGCCTGGCCATCGGTTGGCCTGGCCTGGCCATCGGTTGGCCATCGGGCCTCTAGTAATGATTTTTTTTCGGCCATCGGGCCGATTTTTCAAACTAAAATCTTTATTTCTGTAAGTTTTCTTGCAAGAACTGAACGCTATTTTGTTTTTTTAAGGGTAAGGTGATATTAAAGGGTTGAAGGGTTGTTTAACTTGAAATTTGCAACTTTTTTTATCTCTGTTAGCAAAGATAGGCAAAGATAGGCTAATACGGGATATCTAGACATCAATTATACTTCAGTAAAGTACTATACACGGTGTCCCAAAAGTCAGACTACCGCATGACTACCGTCAGACTGACTGACTGACTGACTACTGTCAGACTGACTGGCTGACTACCATCAGACTGACTGACTGACTACCGTTTAACTGACTGACTGACTACCGTCAGACTACCCAATCTTGTTCTAACATCTTTTTTCCAAAGAAAACGGGATTTTTTTGTGCATTAAATGTTTTTTTTTACTTAATTATTTTTTTTGTTTACAAATTTCTTTAAAGATGCTGATTTTTCAATTATGACATCTCCATCGATTCATCGCAAGAGCATCTTTTTTTACAGCCATTTTTTCATCCTTGTTTTTGATTGCTTTTCAAAAATCTTCTGATTCTTAATCAATAACAAATAGATATAGTTAGATGATTCTTTTCTTTTTCAGCCATCTTTTGAACAAAAACAAAACCTGAAGAAAACAAGAAACGGTGTTGTGGCACGCTCGATCTGGAATCGCCTGAACATACCAAAATATGTGGTTTTTCGCACTATTCGACGCTTCAAGGAACTGGAAACCGAAGAAAACAGAAAAAGAAGTGATCGACAAGTTTCTGACGGTGATAAATATCAAGAAGATCAGGAGCCATTCGTCTGAACCCAGTGCGGTCTGCTTGAAAACTTTCAAAGAAAACAAAAGTTGCGAGGACTTCCCTTCAACGAATCTTGAAGCAAGATCTAGGACTGAAAGCCTACAAGGAAAACAAGTGTCAATTACTTTCGGATATGGCCAAAAAAAACGTTTGCAACGATGGAAGGCTCTTCTCGAAAGGTTCAGTGGTGGTCGACATTTGAAGATACTTTTCTCTGAAGAAAAGCTATTTACCGTAGAGCAGACTCTCAATAAGCAAAACGATCGTGTTTGGTCAATTTCTCAACCGAATTCGAAAGTTCAAAAGGCATCTCACCCAGCATAGCTCATGGTTTTTGCCGGAATAACGGCTGACAGCAAGATGCCATTGGTTTTTGTGCCTTCAGGAGTTAAAATTGTCCGAAATGTCTACTTGAACGATGTTTTAAAGAAGGAAGTAGCTCCGTGGGCTCAATCTCACTTTCGAAAACAACATTGGATATTCCAGCAAGATGGCGCTCCTGCGCATAAGGCCAAAGTGGTGCAGGAGTGGATAAAGCAGAACATGCCGGTTTTTATAGCTTTTGATGAGTGGCCACCTAGTAGCCCAGATCTAAATCCTCTCGATTATTCTTTCTGGAGTCTCTTGGAAGCAAAGACATGTGAAAAACCGCATAAAACAATCGATTCGCTAAAGAAAAATCTCGAGAAAGCGTGGGAGAACCTCGATTTGGCTCACTTGCGTGCCACGACGACTTCCCATGACGTCTAGAGGCCTGTATCGCAGCTAATAATCAAATATTTGAAAAGTGATCGTTGTTATTTATCAATAAATTTGTTAAAAAATATTGGCTATATCTCTGATTTTTGTTTTCACAGCTCATATCTAAGTGAAATCAGACTTTTGAGTTGACTATAGTCAGACTATAGATTAGAGTTGTTTCAAAGGTGCTGTTTCTCTTCGGAGATCAGAATAGAAGCCATGTCTTGGCTTCTTTTGGTTTCACTAACAATCTATTACACAATTTCTATCATTTCCAGGTTATTTTCAGGTTATTTTGTCTGTGTTGTACAGCCGCGTTCGGCTATTTTCAATTGGCGGATTTTGATGAGAAAATCGAAAAGAAATCGCTTGATAATGTTTGTTTTTAAATTTTAAAACGATTTTTTTCGAGATTGCTTTCAGAACATTTTAAAGATTCAGACTTTGCGAGCAAAAAGATCACTGGAGCTGAATGATGGAGAAAATCGAGGCGACCAGGTTTACGTAAGTTTTTAATGGGTGAAATTCTTCAGCTTAAGGCTTAAAGCTTAAAGCTTAAAAGATCAATTAAGCAGAAACCAGTAAACCAGTTCAAATTTCATCAGCTCACCAGGAATTCTTTGAAAGTTGCAAAAATGAAATTCAGAACAACACTCGATCAACCCGTCTAGCCGCAATGCATTCATTGATGAGCGAGGAGGACGAGTGCAAACCGATTAGTCCCGCGCAGACAAGTATTTGGTTTTAAAAACATCTTTCAAAATTTCCTTTCAGATTCCTCGTCGGATCAATTCCCGCGCGATCTTTTCACATTAGAGCAACGGCGTCACGGCGCCATTGTGCTTCATTTTGGTGGTAGGAATAATAAAAAAAAACCTACCGTAAATACTGTAATAGTACCCCACCGCCCCCGTACAGTCGCGTAGTGGCAAAAGTTTTTTAGTATTTCATTTTTTTCAAAGCGCCCGTACTTTCAAAAAATGCGTCTTTGGTATCAAAAAATAGCTGAAATTCAGGGCTATTTTTTGATACCAAAGCGCGCATTGTAGCATAAACCAGTGTCGAGAAAAATTCATTCAAAGCTAGGCTACGCAACACCCCGCACCGTCATTATGGAGGTGGGATACTATTACAGTATTTACGGCAATTAACTTATTTAGACGTTATGCGGCTGAACGACAGCTACGATCTTTAAAAATTCTAAAATTTAATTACGATTATAGCTTTAAACTTTTCCGAGTTGTTCAATTGAAATTTGACATTGAAACTCAGATTTTCAAAAGCTTACGATCTAGTAGAGTACTCTACTCTACAATGCGCGCTTTGGTATCAAAAAATAGCCCTGAATTTCAGCTATTTTTTACAATCTAGTAGAGTAGTCTACAATCTAGTAGAGTTTTTAAATTTCATAAAATAATGAACAAATAAAAATTTCGATTTATCTAAAAACAAATTTATTTTAAAAAAAGTGTAGACATACCAAAGTGCAATGCAATTTTTCTTGTCTACTTTATAATATTAAAGCTTTGAAATGAAATCTTTTCAAAAGCTTTTAAACTTCAAAATTTCGTGAAACATTTGACAAACAATATCCGTTATTTAAAGCCCAGATTTCAATGTAAATTTTCAGGACTCGTCTACATGTTCGTCGCGTTGGCGGTGGTTTGCGACGAGTTTTTCGTCCCTTCACTCACCGTGCTCACCGATGTGGTAAAGGGGATTTGCATTGAAGAATTCAAGTTTTTATCTAGCCGCTTTTATCTATTTTTTGATCAGAAAACCAAGAGATTTTTGAAAAGCAATCAAAAACCAGGACGAAAACATCACTATGAAAAAAAGAGCGATTCAGGGAGAAACGAAAAGCTTCAAAAAATCCGAAAGGGATTGGGGTTGTATTGGCGCGATTTGCCAGATGGCGAGCGATTACGCTTCCGCACAAAGAGCACCTCGCCAGTCATTTACACAAAGCTTTCTCTTTTCTTTGTAGATTTTATAAAAAGATATTCAGCTGTAACCTTGATGAATATCTCTTATCGATTCCTTGACCCCGGAAACCCACGGGTTTAATTGGGTCAAGGAATCGATTGGAGATATTCATTTTATTGGGTCTACCAATTGGAAAACGGGTTTAATTGGTTGAAACTTATGCACTAGTCATGAAACGAATAATGGGCCTTCAATATAATCTTCAACGTCAAGATAATCAAAATTAAAAAGATTTAAAATGAAGGGTTAAGTCGCTAATTAAATAATTTAAAAAATATTACAAAATTTCAAGAATTTTTGTTTTCATTTGACTATAAGCTTTAAATTATTGAGTTTTCTAGTTGATTCAAACAATTTTGAATGAAATTCTTCAGCTAGAGATCAGCGATGACGTGGCTGGGGCGACATTTATGGCCGCCGGTGGATCAGCGCCCGAATTTTTCACTTCTGTTTTCGGAGTGTTCGTCGCGCAGAACAATGTGGGCATTGGCACGATTGTTGGTCGGTCGATTCATTATTGAATTCATTATTGAACCCATTTTTAATTTTGATTTAATTGAAAATTAAAAATTAAAATAGAAAAAAAGTTATTGATCTTTCCCAGGCAGTGCCACTTTCAACATTTTGTGCGTGCTAGCGTTTTGCACGCTTTTCTCGCGCGATGTTCTCCATCTCACGTGGTGGCCGCTGTTTCGGTAAGTGAAAAGAAAGAATTTATTTCAAATTTAGAGATCCGGGAAAACTTTCCGAAAAGCTAAACCCTTTCAGCGACATGACTTTCTACATGCTGGCCTTGTTTTTCCTTGTGCTTTTCTTCTCAGACGAGGAGATCGAATGGCCCGAAGCGCTCACGTTATTCGTCATCTATATTTTATATGGTAATTAGATATTTTAATCTACAATATGCTGGGGAAAAGTATTCAATCAAGAAGCTAAAAGTAGTCAGTCTACAGCTAGTCAGTCTACAGCTAGTCAGTCTACAGCTAGTCAGTCTTCAGCTTCAGCATAATGCAGCTTTTTGACACTCAGTTCTCTTTGTACTGTCGTGAAGACGTTTGATCGAGAATCGCAAACACAACAACAGAGTGTCAAATCAAACACTTTGCTATTTCTCTCAAAAATCTTTAAATTCAGCTTCAGCTCATTGATTTTCAGCTCTTTTTATGAAATACAACACACAAATCGAGAATTTCGTGAAAGGAACTGTGCTGAGAATCGAGAAAAATCAACGAAATCACACGTTTGATCGAGAATCGCAAACACAACAGAGTGCCAAATCGAATGGAAATCAGGTAATTTTTGCATATCGCATGATCGGGGTTGGATTATTGGCCGGTTGGATTATTGGCTCTTTTCCCCGCAACATCTTTAGATTTCGACGATAGACGATAGATTTCGACAATAGAAAGCTGAGTTTCAAAACTCAGCTTTCTTCTAGAGTCTTTTAACTCAAATAACTTTTGAAGCTATGGAAATCGTTTATTTTTCAAATAAAGGGAAAAGAGCCAATAATAGCCAATCAAACCGGCGAGATCGAACCCCGATCATGCGATACAGGGCACTTAGCCATTCGATCATGATGACTCATAAAACTCCAATCGGTTTTTGACTTTTCCCTGCTCTGGACATCAAAACTGACACTTTCAGATGCACTTACCAGAACCAAAGCGAGGCGATCACCGAATGTCGATCCCGATCATTCATGGGGGACAACATATAAGGAATGGAATCGCCCATTTGGCATTGGGTGCCGAGGATGGGATGGGCAATGATGGTCAGCGAGTTCATTCTTTTATTATCATTATTTCTTTTCAGGCTATTCCCATCACTCAGAACCGATCTCGCCAAATCCAAAAGTGATCGATGTTCAGCCGTATGATAACTGGAAAAAGAGGGGTAAGTTTCTGAGAATCTCATCTAATATTTGATTTTATTGGCCTTTGAATTATGAATTAGAATTTATGAATTATATGATTTTGATTTGAATATTGGCTACTGTTGAATCTATGCTTTCATTTTAAAAATTTCGCAAATTACCTTCATTTTCATTTATTTTTTTTGACTCTCTAAAAAACAAATAAAAGAAATAATGTACTAATCAAATAAATATGAAAAAAGAAATGTTTTCAGAGAACGGTGTAAAGACAGTCAGCGGTTTAGTAAGCCAAAATGAGACACCAAAAGCGAACGGAAACTCGCATCATGGAGAGGTGAGCGGGGGAAATAAAAGGAATAAAATAAGGAAATAAAATAATGAGAGATTTCAATCCAGATGGATATAGATTTCAGTCCAGATGAATAAGCAACTATTGGGTTGGTCAATTGAAAACTGCCGGACTTTGAACTAAAATTTATTCAACATAAAACCATGAATTCATTCCAAATAATTTCCATTATTATTGACGACTTCTGCCCATTTTACAGGCAATTTGCGGATTCCTCTTTCGTAGTAGGATTTTGGTTTGTGTGTGAGACAAGTGTGAGACTCAAAAATGAAGGACTGGAGATGTCTCAGTTTGAGCATTTGAGCACTTTCTTCAAAAGAAACCTATTTTGGTGTCAATAGAAAAGTTGTAGAGAATCAAAAATTAGGCTTATAGCCAAATTTCCAAAAAGATACACTTAGTAGTTTCGCTTAAAATGCAAGTTTTGTGAAAGTTTCGTAAATTTGGCATTTCTCGAAAACCAGTTTTTGAATCGTTCTGAAAATTTGGATATAAGCTTGATTTTTGATTCTCTACAACTTTTCCATTGACACCAAAATGGGTTTCTTTTGAAGAAAGTGCTCAAACTGTCACATATGACAATAGCCCGCAGTTTTCAATTCACCAACCCAATATCTTCTTTTCTATATACCGTATTTCTTCGAATAGAAGACCGGGTAAAGAGTATGATCGCGTACTCCTGCGTAGCAGCCCTTTTTAACATTTCTTTTCTGCATAAAAGCTTTCAATGAAGTGCTATAGAGCTGGAAAATGGCTCAAAAATCTGTTAGCTCATGTCGTATTTTTGAGTCATTTTCCAGCCCTATAGCACTTGATTGAAAGCTTTTATGCAGAAAAGAAGTTTTAAAAATGGCTGCTACGCAGGAGTACGCGATGACACTCTTTACCCGGTCTTCTATTCGAAGAAATACGGTATATTTTATTTCCATACGCCAACCCAATATCTTAACTATCAGCAACTATAAAACAAACTCAACACTAAGCAAAACTATAACTAAAAAACTTTTAAAATTATTGATGAGAATGTAAATATTTTAGTTTCAGAGTTATGCATTCGGGCAGACGAACGGAAATGGGAACGGCCTCCTTTCGAATGGATACGATCGAGCGCATGAACTCGACAAGGTCACTTTTATAAAATAAATCTCAACTAACAATAAAATTAGCATGCAAAACTATAGTTTGAAATAATTTTCGAGTAAAGTTGTTTGTCGATAAGTGTACAACGAGATTTGATCATTTCAATGACTATTTTTCCAAAGATTTTTTAAAACTAAAAGATTGAGCTTAGAAAATTCAAACCTTTATTTGAAGAAATCTTAGAAATCTAGAAATCTGAAGAAGAAAAAAAACTAGCCGTTTAAAGTGATCAAATCTCGTTTTCCATTATACACCTATCGACAATAAAACCGACAAATGAAAAGCTTTTATTTTGAAGCTAAACAGATAACTTTGTTTCTGTTAAAAAGTTTCAAATTAAACATAAAAACAAATCGTTCATGATAATTATTTTATTTGATAGTCAACAACAATCAACAGTCAACAATTACTTAAGTTTATTTAGGTGGGAACTTTATCGTTGAGCGAAGACGACGAGCAACCCTTGGACCTTTCATGGCCCGATGGATTTGGGAAACAAATTGTCTATCTCCTATTAGCCCCAATCACTTTCCCGCTTAGCATCACGTTGCCGGATGTGCGCAAAACGGTGAGAAAATTGAGGAATATAGCCTTGAAAACACTATAAAATGAAGAAATGTCTCACTTTTAAAAAAGGCTGACTGTTTCAGGTTAAAAAGCGTTTAATAAACAAGAATTGTTGTGCTAAACCGGGAGTGGGACACCGGGAGTGCGACCTTTTTTTGCGCACCTTGCCCATTAGCGCACCTTTTTTCCGCACTTAGCCCATTAGCGCACCTTTTTTCGCGTTTTAAGAAAGCTCTAAAAAGCTAATATTAACCAATTTCTATTCCAAAAGTTGTTTTTCTAGGTAATTTGAGGGCGTAGAATCGAAATTTTGACAGATCAGAGCTTGTGGAACCAATTTGAAAGACAGATCTAGATCTGAAAGACAGGCTAGATCAAATTACAGAAAATTGTCGATTTTTCTCTTTGTATAACTCCGTCCGTTTATTTCCACAAGCTCTGATATGTCAAAATTTCGATTCTACGCCCTAAAATTACCTAGAAAAACAACTTTTGGAATAGAAATTGGTTAATATTAGCTTTTAGAGCTTTTTTAAAACGCGAAAAAAGGTGCGCTAATGGGCAAGGTGCGGAAAAAAAGGTGCGCAAATGTCCGGGTGCGCAAAAAAAAAGGTCGCATTTGTTCCACTCCCGGTTTAGCACAACAATTCTTGTTTATTAAACGCTTTATTAAACGCATTTGTCCCACTCCCGTTAAACCTGTTGGATAGTAAAAGTAAAAGTAAAATTTGCTTGTTTCAAATTGAAGATCTTAAAAGCTGAAAAAGTAATTTTGTTTTTTTTTTGTTTTAAAATCTCCCTTTAGCACCTTCGCAAATGGTTTGTTTTCACGTTTTCCGCGTCGATTCTCTGGATTGCTTTCTTTTCGTATTTGATGGTTTGGTGGGCGAATACGATTGGAGAAACAATGGGAATACCGACTGAGGTTTGAGTGAAAAGAAAAAGATCAAGTGCTTTATAACTTACCTTAAAGATATTATAAATATTAGTAAAGATACTGGGGAGCTACTTTACTTTCATTTTTTTCTGCAAATGGGTTATTCGCGCAACTCGCCAAAACTTTCTACTAACAAAGAAAGGTTAACAGGCTGAGCTGGTCATTTGCGATCTATACCATTTGATACAGAAGAACAAAGAATGCTAGAAAAAGCCTAGAACGGTGTCTTACTTGTAGCACACATACCTTCACACACCATAATCGAAGCTGAAAAATGCTTTCTAACCATCAAATTTGCCGCAAATGTGTTCTTCAGACCCCTTTTGAGAAGTTATCTATGATTTTGGCGGTTGACTGGATAGAAAAAATCTTTTCAGCTATGAAGAGAATCCTCTGAAAAAAAAAAAAGAAAAATTTCATAAAGGACTCGAACTTGAGAGATCTAGCTTTAGAAACGAGGGCTTTACCACTCGGCCAAGACTGCCACAAGCCAACGCCGCAGCAAGTCCTCTATGACCCCAATATCCAATTTTCAGAGTCCTAAACAAAACTAAACGCTATCAGAGTCGTTCAGTTTCTCTTTCTTCCTTTCTCTCCTTGTATTCCCTCTTTCTTCTCTAAGAGAGGCTACCAAATAGCTCAATGGTTAGAGCATCTTCTCAGCATCAGCAGAAAGATCGAGGGTTCAATCCCCTCTCCGGAGTTTCCTTTACCATTCTTTACTTTATTAGGTTTTGGCTAGAAGATAATAATGTGTTTAACATTTTGTTTTAAAAATATTCAATTTTATATAAGTTTTTAGATCATGGGCCTCACAATTCTTGCAGCCGGTACGAGTATCCCTGACTTAATCACGAGTGTCATCGTCGCTCGCAAGGGTTTGGGTGACATGGCGGTGAGCAGCTCGATCGGCTCGAATCTTTTCGATATTTGTGTCGGGTAGGCTTTATTTCTATAGCTACTTAATACTTAATAACTAACTGTAAGTATCCTTTATCTACTTCTGAAGCTTATGTTCACAAAAAATGATCAAAATAACACGATCAAAAGCGAATTCAGTCTTCCCATCCCATGGCTTTTCTATTTCTTGTTGGCTTTTCTCCGAAATCTCACCGAAACAGTGCCCTCAATATCAGTGATTTCAAATGGTTTGTTTTAAATTATCATATAAATATTTCTTTTTTTTAAATCTTGATACTAGCAGTATTACTTTAATGGTTTACTTTAATGGTTTACTTTAATGGTTTACTTTAATGGTTTACTTTAATGGTTTACTTTAATGGTTTACTTTAATGGTTTACTTTAATGCTTTACTTTAATGTTTACTTTAATCCTTTACTTTAATCCTTTACTTTAATGTTTTTTTAATCTAATTTTCTAGGTTTAATCTGCTCGGTGGGAATGCTTTTTTTAATGCTAATAATCCTCGTGATATGTATAGCCGCTTCTCGGTGAGTGTTAAAGTGTTAAAAAGAAAGAAAAAAAGATTCTCTTAGAAACAATTTTCAAAGCTGAAAAAGTTTCTTTACACATACCGTATTTCTTCGAATAGAAGACCGGGTAAAGAATACTCTTTACCCGGTCATCAGTGAGTGTTAAAAAAGAAAGAAAAAAGATTCTCTTAGATCGCGTACTCCTGCGTAGCAGCCCTTTTTAAAATTTCTTTTCTGCATAAAAGCTTTCAATCAAGTGCTATAGGGCTGGAAAATGGCTCAAAAATACCACATGAGCTAACAGATTTTAAAGTAATTTTTGAATTCTTTTTCATTTAATGAACTTTCAGATGGCGAATGGACAAATTTTTTGGCCTTGTCATGATCACTTCTTACGTGATTTTTTGTATTTTCTCGATTTTCCTCGAAACGGGCCATGTCATTTGTCCGTTACGTTTCTTCGGGAATAATTGTTAATCTAATTATTAATCTAATTATTAATCTAATTATTAATCTAATTAATCTAATTAATCTAATCAATCAAATTAATCATGTTAATCATGTTAATCATGTTAATCTAATTGTTAATCTAATTATTTTTGTTTTCTAATCATATCATATTTTGGTTATTATATTTTCCACCAATAAAATCTTGCATTTCAACTAAACAATGAAATAAATGATAGTTGAATTTTTGATGCAATGTTTTCTTGACGACTGTTTTTTTTGAATAATATAAACCATTTTTGATAACTAAACGATTTGTGAGCTTAAAAATGCTTCTAAACCCTCAAAATTGTCAAAAAAAACCGGCTTTTTCACAAAAAAAGAAAAATTATTGTAAAAACAAAGTTTTCCCATGAAATGATCCCAACTCTTAATTATTTTGAATGATATTTCAATGATTTTAGGGTGCTCATTTTCCACTAAATAGTCAAAACCGAACTCTTGTGAAAGTGGGGTTTTCAAAAAGTGCCCTTTTTTGGTCACTCGCATTTCGCCCTCGAGATTTCTTCAATGCTTCGATCAATTGAAACACATTTTAGTCTATTTTGTAGAGGAGATTTACAACTTTCAAATAATATATAACATTCATCGATTTCAGGTTTCTATCGTTGGAAATTTATGAAAATGTTGAAATCCGCATTTCTTATGCATGTACCTAATATAATATTGGGTTGGTGAATTGAAAACTGCCGGCTATTGTGACATATGTGACAGTTTGAGGGGAAAAGGGAATTGGCTTGGGTTTCATTTCATAAAGAGATCTTTAATGTAAATCGACTTATTTGCGTGTAAAGCTTTGTTTGAATAAGATTTCATTTTCCCTTACTCATTAGATTTCCAAGCTTACAGAACAGAACTCAATTTATTGGGTTGGTGAATTGAAAACTGCCGGCTATTGTCATCTCTGACAGTTTGAGCACTTTCTTCAAAAGAAACCCATTTTGGTGTCAATGGAAAAGTTGTAGAGAATCAAAAATCAAGCTTATATCCAAATTTTCAGAACGATTCAAAAACCGGTTTTCGAGAAATGCTAAATTTACGAATTTTCACAAAACTTGCATTTTAAGCGAAACTACTAAGTGTATCTTTTTGGAAATTTGGCTATAAGCCTCATTTTTGATTCTCTACAACTTTTCTATTGACACCAAAATAGGTTTCTTTTGAAGAAAGTGCTCAAATGCTCAAACTGAGACATCTCCAGTCCTTCATTTTTGAGTCTCACACTTGTCTCACACACAAACCCTACCACGAAAGAGGAATCCGCAAATTGCCTGTAAAATGGGCAGAAGTCGTCAATAAGAATGGAAACTATTTGGAATGAATTCATGGTTTTATGTTCAATAAATTTTAGTTCAAAGTGCGGCAGTTTTCAATTGACCAACCCAATATATAATGCATCAAATGCCACAAATAAATCTACGACAACGCGCGCCCTCATGTTGCAAAACTGACTCGCTCTAAAATAAATAGCCTTGTTTGGGAACTTTTGGCGTATCCCCCATACAGTCCGGACCTCTCCCCTTTTGATTACCATTTATTCCGGATCATGAGTAATGAGCTTGCGGGAGAACACTTCGATTCGGAAGAAGCAGTCAAAAATTGGCTTTGAAAGTTTTTCGATTCAAAACCAAAATCCTACTACGAAAGAGGAATCCGCAAATAGCCTGTAAAATGGGCAGAAGTCGTCAATAATAATGGAAACTATTTGGAATGAATTGATCGTTTTATGTTGAATAAATTTTAGTTCAAAGTCCCGCAGTTTTCAATTGACCAACCCAATACTTTTTGTAAGATTCTGTGATACAAAGAATTCAAGAGATTTAAAAAATGAATAAATTGAATAAATTGAATGAAAATTACAGTAGAAAAAGTTCTAGAAAAACTGATAAAATCTTATTCAAAGCATTTCCCCCAATGGGTTCCATCATTCGAAAGCGCACCCGATCTACCGTACCAATTCCCGTCCTCTGCAATCTCTATCCGATTCCTTTCATTTCTCCCCCTCTCCTCTTCCCATTTGCCCATTCTTTTCCTTGTGCAAATGTGTAATAGGCTTTGCTTTGTGTGCCCCCAGGCGATCCCTCCCTTCTCCCCGTTTTCCCCTTTTTCCCCTTCTCAGCTTTAGTATCTTCTTCTTGCTTTTCCCTTTTCATTCTCAATTTTATTACTCCATTTTAATGCAAATCGAATGCAATACTAATTTCAATGCAATTGATCAATATTTGAAATTGTTTGTTTCAAGGTTTTAGAAAGAAATATAGTTTTTACTTGAATGTTATCTTTGATTTATGAATACTCAATTCAATTTGTGAATGGCTTTGGTTTTGGCTTTGGTTTTGACTCAAAGTGATCTTTAATTTCTTTCTATTTTTCTATTTTCTATTTTCTATTTTCTAATTTCTTTCTATTTTCTAATTTCTTTCTATTTTCTAATTTTCTAGCGTTTATAAACCATTACCACCTCCTCGTACATTCGCGTAGTCTAACTTCTTTTCAGAAAAACATTTTTTCTCAGCTCCTAGATTTTTCTCTACTACACTTTTGGTACCTAAAAATACTAGATTTCAAGGGCTATCATTTGACACCATAAAGCACACTGTAGCATAAAGCAGCGCGGAGAATGAAACGTTCAAAGTTAACGAGAAAAATGGGTCGCACAACTTCAGGCGCTTCATCTAGCCTCCAGAGTATTCAGAGTAGTAGCAGCGTGGAGCACAGCAGGTTCAAAATTAGACTACGCGACTATACACGACAATTGATTTTATTCTAATAGCAGCCAAAGTTGAAATTTCAACAATATATTGGTCTTGAGCTTAAATAAATTTGGTGTTAAGCCTTCTGAGCAGAAATCTTTATTGTATACGACTTCTTTGAGGTTTATTTCAAGTACTAAATTGAGCTTTTAACTGCATTTCTTTTATTTTAATGCACAAAATTAGAATTTCATTTTTTGATAAAATTTTGACTTTTTATCAACTTCTCAATTAATATTTTGTCAAGTTGAAACCTTAAAAAAAGCCAATGAAACTCTTTTGAACTTTAATTTCTAAACAAATCAATTATAGGCAAGACGCTAATTCGGTTATAATTAGATTCAAACTTGAAACTAGCTCTGAATTCAAAATTTAGTTCCTTTAATCTCTGAAAGATGAAAGGAACTAAATTTTTTTTTAGGTTTATTGAAATATATAGATACTTTATTCAGGACTTGAGATAAAGTGCGCTAGATTTAAGATTAAAACACATTTTTCTGCATTTTTCAAAGATCTTTTATTGATTACAGTCTATATCGAACGTCCGATACAGATCGAACAATAATAAACGTGCTTAATATATGTTCTTAAGCGTTTTTTTTTTGCAATTTTCTGCGCTTTTCAAAGGTCTGTGACTGTCTTCGGACGGAAATCGGAAAAAAATGTCTAAATCGGACGGAAATCTAAATAGGACACAACATATATATAGATACTTTATTCAGGACCTGAGATAAAGTGCGCTAGATTTATTAAAAGAGATTAAAACACATCAATTCATACACATAACACGAAAAGAGCCGATAAAAAAACACGATATAATATATGTAAAAGGTGGGTAGCACAGATAACGTCAAGGATCCACTAGAGCTTCAAGATCAAGATCATCTACAGATAATTTAAAGGTTTCGAGACTATTGGACTCTCTCAAAACTCTGGGGAGTCGATTCCAAATTCTGGCAGTTCTTATTGAAAAAGAGTTATAAACAAACTTATTGGAGGTGACTGAAATTTCTAAAACGAAAGAATTTCTAACGAAAGAACCTCTCCTTGAACTAACCGTGGGATTAACTTTGAATAAATCTCGAAAAAGAGGGATAGGTTGATTAATGCCTGCCCAATGTTGCCTGCCCTTTACAATTTTGAAACATTCTATTAAATCCGTGACCAAACTAGCTCTGAATTCAAAATTTAGTTCCTTTAATCTCTGAAAGATGAAAGGAACTAAATTTTTTTTTAGGTTTATTAAAATAAATATTTTTTTTAGGTATTTGAAGTGTAAACTTGAAAATTTACTAATAAAGAAGTGAAAGAAATGGGAAAAAGAAAGTGGAAGAAGGGATTGAATCCTCAACCTTTTCCTTTCCAGGCAATCGCTCTAACCATTCAGCTATTTGGTACCTTAGCTTGGCGAGAGATTGGTAATAGTAACTTTATTTGTTACGCGAACATTTACTTTATAAAACTTAATAGTAACTTTATTTATTACGCGAACATTTATATATTTATAAATTGAAACATTTAAATTAATGATAATTAATAATAATTTAAGTTAATAATAATTTTCAAATAAAATCTAGAACAAGTTTAGGCTATTTTAAGATTAAATTTGACCGTTAACACGTTGACGACATTGTCACCTGATGCTGTCTGACACATATTCGTTCGCCTGGGACATTGTCACCTGACGTCAGGTGACATTTTTTGTCGAAAAAAAACAACGTTGTCCCATGCGATTGTTTGTGCAAAAACGCCATTGTCGTCAACATGTTAAAACGGTTAAAATTCAAATTTTAATAAGCGTCAAAATTGCATTTTCATTAAATCAGAATCCAAGCTTTTAATTAAAACATTACGAATTGATGAAGTAGATCCTGAAGTCAAAATAATGATAGTAACGAGTTTTTAAGCTTCAACACAAAAATCTATTAGAAGATATTATAAAAGAGATCTTTTTTTAGATCTAGACAAAGAGAAAGATTCATTTTATTGACTGCCCAAGTTGAAACTTGAACTTCTCCTTTCTGAAATTGAGTTCAAGCTCTCTTTTGCTTGTATTTTGCTTGAATGTGTTGATGTGCGTTTAGAAAATTAAAAATCTTATTTTTAAGTATCCTCGATTCTCCGATGGCCCATCTCATCGAGGATCGGGGTCATTTTGCCCCGGATGGGTCATGGCCAATCTCTGTGCTTGTCACCGATATGAATATACAGGTTTTAAGCATGAATATACATTCAATAAGTTTCGATAATCTATATCTAAAGCTTCGATAATCTATATCTAAAGCTTCGATAATCTATATCTAAAGCTTCGATAATCTATATCTAAAGCTTTGATAATCTATATCTAAAGCTTCGATAATCCTTTTATCTAAAGCTTCATCATTTTGCATTTAGTAAATTTCGAAACTTTTTGGTGAAAATATCAGCATTAAATCAAAAGGAATGACTTTGAAAATCGTAAATTACAGAGAAATTTTACAGAGAAATCTCTACGTGAACGGCGAGGATCACATCGGTGGATCGATGCTCAGAATCGTCAATGAAGTTGGTCAGTTATTTTGATTGACTTAAAAAGGTTTATAATTGATTAAATGGAACCGTAAGTGGAATCGAGTCGATTTCTATTTGTAGACGATTTCTATTTTTCTATTTCTATTCTATTTGTTTCTATTACAGAGTCAAATCGGCCAAGAAAACACGGGTGGAATTAGGTTCGGCTTGGAATTTCCCCATATTTAGTCTGTTTAAAATATCTAAAACAATCTAAAATATAGCTAAAATATAGCTAAAATCTAAAACTATCTAAAACCAAATCAGCCAACATTTTAACAAACTGCTTCTCATTTTCAAAGCTAAAGAAAATTCGATTTTAATCTTAGAAGAACAAAAGTCTTCAAACTTCTTAGAATGATTCGAGCTATAAACAAAATTGCTATTCTACAGAATTCTTTCTGACAAATATTCCCAGTTAGCTCCCAGCATTTTAAATTTTAATGACACTTCCCTGTTGAAGTCTCGGAAATTCTTGGCTCTCTTCTTTTCCCTTTCCCCCTCAAAAGATCACCCACGCTCTCCTCTTTCTTCTCCCATTTGCCCCTTTCCCACTTTACACAACAGCTGTCCCAATCTTTTCTCTTAAATCCCTTTCCTCTTTCCTCTTGATCTCCTTCAAGAAAATGACCAGTGATGAGCGAAAAAAATCTGTGATCTCAGCAAATTTTATTCGTAGATTATAAAGGTATATCAAAAAAATGGCAAAAAAACAATGGACTGTTTGCTAAAACAAAGTTCTATTGGACTCGAGCACTTGATTCATTAAAAGCTCTTCTAGTTAAAGCTCTTCTAGTTAAAGCTCTTCTAGTTAAAGCTCTTCTAGTTAAAGCTCTTCTAGTTAAAGCTCTTCTAGTAGAGTTCAATTTGTTAAGATTGAATGCTTGTAAGGAAAGTCTTCATATTGCATTCTGAAAAACGATAAGAGTTGAACAGTTTGAAACACAGGATGAGATGAGAGATATTTTGATTTCGAATTTTAAACCAATAAGTCTAAAAGAGGGTTTAATTGTAATTTTTGATTTTGAAAGCTAATTAGATCAGCTCTAAAGCAAAGCGCGCTCGTAGCTCTAAAGCAAAGCAAAGCGCGCTTCATTTCACGGTCCGACCAGGCCAGTCTTTAGAGCCAATCCGAAGTTACGGATCTAATTTGCCGACTTTCCTTATCTAAATTATTGTATCGACTAGAGGCTATTCACCTTAGTGACCAGCTGTGAATATGGGTATGCTCCAGTACGAGATTCAAATTGATTCCCTCCGTTTTTAAAGAACCCAGCCAGGCGCACGAGACGCCACAGAAACCGTGACGCTTTACGGAAACAACGTCGCTATCTTCGGCTGAACCGTTTCCAGCGAGTCCGTTCCTTAACCAGAGAAGAGAACTCTGGCTCGGGCCTAGCTAGGTGTCACCCAGTTCATTTGCGTTACCGCCCGTTGCACTCAGAAGACTGCAAATCTCCCTATCCAGGTACGGGAATAGTAACCCGTTTGCCTTTCGATTGCCGAGAGAGAAGAGACTTCCCGCTCTCAGTGATACCGCTTCCCGCTCAGTGATACCAGTAGTCGTCAGTATCTTATGATCGACTGACTCACATTGAACTGCTGTTCACGTGGAACCCGTCTTCACTTCAGTCTTCAAGGAGCTTGATTGAATATTTGCTACTACCACCAAAATTTGCATTGATGAAAGCTTCAGCTGAAGCTCAAAGCCAAAGTCAAAGCCTTTAACGCAAACCACCGCGACTCTCTTACTCGTTAGGGACAGGCGAACATTACGTGCTAACGTTTGGGTATAAATCCGCTCAATCTAAAGTCGTCTTGGTTTGATATTTGAAATAAAAAGAATGGGGGTTTTCTTTTTCAAACTTGTATCATCTCTTTTCTTTCAGCTTTAGCATTTGATATTCACAGAATAAATGCATTTTTGGGGGTTTTTTTTCTTTTTGTGGAACTCTATTTCCCGAAAAAAGAATGATGAATCCAACATGAATCATTTCTTTTCGACGAATCATAAAAAAGAGTGGCAAAATTTTAAAAATTGTTAAGATTATAAAGATTTATAAAAAAATTTAGCTCTCAAATTGTATTTGGAAAAAAAATGGAAAAAAAAATGAAAGAGAAAAGAGAATTGAAAGCTTTTAGCTCAGTTTTAGTTGATTTTTTTAAAAATAAAAATGAAATCTTAAGTGATTCAGTGATAAAGATGACATTTTAAACTTGAATTTCATTTTAAATTTGAATTTTTAGATATTGGACGTGATTGGTCGGATCATGCTTTGTGGTGGCCGGAGAAGAGGCGATGGCTTCGGCACACGAGAAGTACTCTCGATCAGGTCCGATCAGGCATTCAAGGATTTTAGAGAATTTTCTGATAATCTTATTCCTTGATTTATTCTCCTGAATCATTTCTAGAATGGAATCACCGCCGAGACGCAACTCGAATTCACCCCGAGACACAAAGAAGTCAAGTGAGTGCTTTGATTTCAAGTTTACTTTCATTAAAACGATTAGAATTGCTTTAATCTCAATTTTAGTTTTATTAAAACGATCAGAATTGCTTTGTTTTCAATATTACTTTCATTAAAACGATTAGAATTGCTTTGTTTTCAATTTTAGTTTCATTAAAACGATTAGAATTGCTTTGTTTTCAATATTACTTTCATTAAAACGATCAGAATTGCTTTGATTTCAATTTTGATTTCATTAAAACGATCAGAATTGCTTTAATCTCAATGTAAGCCTGAAATTTTTAATTTTAATTCGTTATGAGTTGAATAAGTGTACTTTAAAATGAATAAGTGTACTTTAAAATGAATAAGTGTACTTTTTTAAATCTTAAATCAAAATTTCAGAGTTCAACTCCCCGATAAACAGCTTATCGACGCTCGTTTGGATTTCTCGGTGAACGTTTTCCAATGCACTCAACAATTGTGCCGAGATCTTGGCATTCGATACTCCGAAGAGCTCTCGTTAAAGAGGTTAAAGAGAAAAAAAGAATACTGCTTTCTCTATCACCTCGATCCATAGTTCACCTCGATCCATAGGTCAACTATTGTGCCTAAAACTTTCCCTTAACAAGTCTTAACCTTAACTTTCCCTTGAAATATTAACTTAACTTTATAACCTTCAGTCTACCAACTCAAATTAAGCCAAATAGACTCTAAACCCAATCTAATCGTTAACCAAAACACAGCTTGAAAAACGAATTTACAACTTTTGCCCTTCCATTTAGTTGATTGTAATCACTCTATGTTGAATAGAGTGATTACAATCAACTAAATGAAAGCTTAAAATACATTTATTCACACAAATAATTTGGTACAAACAATACACAAGTTCTAAGCTCGAAATCTAGGGAAGAAAAAAAATCTGGGAAAAAGGTAACTAAGCCGAGGAGATCGAACCCTCGACCTCCCGACTAAGATACCAGGCCCTTAGCCAGTCGGCCATGACCACAGTGCTTCACTTGTTAAATTTGAGACATAATATTGTCGCTTTCTGATAGCAGTGATTCTCAATCAAGTCAAGTGACGAAAAGTGACGTCAAAAATAACAAACAAATTGCAGATACATTCCACCGGAGATCCTCCGCAAAGGCACCGCCTACGAGAGCGAAAATGGACCAACGCCGATTCGACCCGGAGAGGTGAGTGACAAGGAAAAAAAGATGATTTTTCAATGATCATTTGATCATTTGATTTGATTCATTTGATCCATAACATTTAAAACTTGACGATAAATGTTTGCAGGAATCAATCGGACCAATGACCCTTCGAAAAGCCACTCCAATCTTCGCATCTCAATCGAATTTGGATCGGTAAGTGGTTTAAAGATTCGAGGGTAAAGTTAACGACTCCAGAAGGAATCTGTCGACTCTAATTAGGCAAAAGGTTGATTTGGGCAAACTTTTACTTCAACGCTAAAAACAACAAGAATAATTGCTTTCTTGGTTTGTTTGTGATAGGAATAATGTAAATAAACAATACACAAGCACAACCCATAAGCTCTAAATGTAAGGAAAAAGAAAAGGATCTAGCCGACGGGGTTGAACCTTCGACCTCCTGACTAAGATACAAGACTCTTAGCCATAGCAGTCGGTCAGTCGGCCAGTCGGCCAGTCGGCCATAGCAGCATCATGATACGGCATTGTTTTTCAGAAGAAAGCGTCACCAATCGCCGGCTCTCTCCACCCAAGGACATGTCTTCAACGCGTACGAGATGGGCACTCTTCCGAGACACGGAAACACCCTGCCGAGGGGGATCTCACCCGGACCTGGAGCGGTTAGTATAATATTCTATTCTATCGGTTAGTATAATATCCCTATGCTATTCTAATTCTAATTAATTTAAACCTATTATACAGTATATTATATTCAGTTCTTTTGAAAAAAACCATGTTTCAAAGCGAAACGCTAAAAACAAAGAAACCCATAGATAGACTCTCCTGTTTTGTACTTTGTTCTCGAAAATGTAAACGCATTCTTTATGGTGCACTCAATTTTTTCAATTCTTATGCATTAAGAGATCACTAAACAACGATTTTTATAAATTGATCTAGCAAAGTTTGATGGAAAAAATCGGTTGTCGTCTAGCCGAGGTGGAGAAATGTGTAAGAAATTGGCACAAAGCACATTTTTTTCGTTTATTTTAGAAATCTATCTTTTTCTTTATGTTGTTGTCGGTTTAATGTTTAAAAAAAAGAAAACTAAAAAGAAAAAGAAAAGTTTGAAATAAAAACGAAAACGTTCCGAGTTTAATGGGTAGATGGAAACGTTTGCAATATTTGAATTGAAATATTTGAATTGAAATATTTGATTTGAAATACCGTATTTCTTCAAATAGAAGAACCGGGTAAAGAGTATGATCGCGTACTCCTGCGTAGCAGCCCTTTTTAAAATTTCCTTTCTGCATAAAAGCTTTCAATCAAGTGCTATAGGGCTAGAAAATGACTCAAAAATCTGTTAGCTCATGTGGTATTTTTGAGTCATTTTCCAGCTCTATAGCACTTGATTGAAGCTTTATGCAGAAAGAAATAAAAGGGCTGCTACGCAGGAGTACGCGATCATACTCTTTACCCGGTCTTCTATTCGAAGAAATACGATATTTGAATTGAAATATTTGATTTTGAATATTTGAATTGAAATATTTGAATTGAAATATTTGAATTGAAATATTTGAATTGAAATATTTGAATTGAAATATTTGAATTGACATTTCAAAGATCATTTTCCAATTCCAGTACAATGACACAATGCGCCGAAACATGATGCCGTCGATTTCATTCTGTGAGGGTTTAGAGAACGAGAATTTCGACATGGCACTCGTTCACTCGCCGCGAATCGCCCCAACAAAGGTAAATCTCAGTTTTGTCGAAAAAGTTGATAGAAAGAATTGCCATTGAATTTGCATAAAAAAGCTGATCCGATTTGGAAAAGACTTTCAACTTTAATTATTTTCAACTTTAATTGCACCAATTTCTCCAACTTTAATTGCACCAATACGGTTCCTATTTTGATCTAATACGGTTCCAATACGGTTCCTATACAATAATCAAATCAAATAATTCAGTAGAATGATGCTGTCTTGTTGTAAAAACTTTCTCTTGGTTACGGAAAATAAAATAAACAATAAACAATAAACAATAAACGGAAAATAAAATAAAAAAAATAAAAAACAAATAATAACAAACAAAATAAACAAATAAATGAATCTTTTTTCAAAGTTTGAACAAAATTATTTCGGTGAAAAGTTAAGTTTCAATCAACTCGACCTAAACAAATTCAACACTCAACACAAAACAATTGAAACCTCTTTCAACCTAAACAGCTCCTTACAAGAGATACAATTCGAGTCTGTTTTGCTGATTTTTAACTTAAAACTTACCGTTACCAATTCCTCTCTTTAAATAATTAAGTATAATAATATTTTTTTTTAAAACCAATCAAAAATCTTTCAGGACACTCCTGTTTTCCGTCCGCAAACTCTTGTCGAAAAGGCCGCTCTCAATAGGGGATGGTTGGACAGCAGTCGGTTCGTGTTTCAAGTGTTTCAAAATACTCTAATAGAAATACTCTAATAGAAACCCCTAATAGAAGCTAGAGTAGTCTAAGTTCACTCTCAAATAAACGCTCATATCTTGATACTCGTACGTTTGTTTGTATACGCTTACCGTAAATACTGTAATAGTACCGCACCTCCATAAAGACGGTGCAGAGTGTTGTGTAGTCTAGCTTTGAGCGAGTGTTTCTCGAGACTGGTTTATGCTACAATGCGCGCTTAGGGATCAAAAAATAGCTGAGATTCAGGGCTATTTTTTGATACCAAAGACACATTTTTTGAAAGTACGGCCGCTTTGGAAAAAATGAAATACTAAAAAACTTTTACGACTACGCGATTGAACGGCGGCGGTGGGGTACTATTACAGTATTTACGGTAGGTATTAAATTAAAGTAAAGAGAAGACTTTTGAAACATTTCCTTTTACACTTAAAAAAGACAAATTCCATTTGATTCTTAGATTTAACAAAAAGCAAGAATCAATAAGTGATAAATTATTTCATTTACAAAATTCAAAAATCTAAACGATTTGCTAAAACTTTAGTTCTTTGATGGAGCAAGGGGTTTTCGAGGGCGACATCGTCATTCTTCAATACCGTTTCATGTCGTTCTTCGATTTGAATCCAAGAGTTCGTTTATCAACGATAGAGTGTGTTCCTTCCGAGTAGAGTAATTACTCGAGTAAAAATTTGCATGAGTAATAGATAATTACTCGATTAATCGACGTTTTTCACCGAGTAACTACGAGTAAACTTCGAGTAAACTACGAGTTACACGTCGAGTAAATTGAATATCTTTAATTTTGAAGAGAATTCACCCACCAAATCAGTTAAACAGTTGAATATCTTTAAAAGAAATCGTATATAAATTAGCGCTCGTGATTTTTTCATGTCAATTTTTGTGCAATAGTTTTCGCCAAAAGTACGATAATTTTTCCGAAGTGTGCGTTTTAAAAAAACGTATTACTCGCGAGGGAAACACTCTAGTGGAAACTGATCTTTCACCGATTGATATTTCAAAGTTATTCAACGTTTTCGAATCAACAAAGTGATCAATAAGCATTTTCAAAATGATCAATAAGCAATTTGATCAATATTTGCAATTTGATTTGATTGCAAATGATTGCATTTGATCAATATTTGCATGAGCAATTTGATCAAAAGCCAAATGATCAATAAGCAATTTCGAATCAGAAAACTTCTAAACATAGTCCATGGAAAGAAATCACTCAATTACTCTATCGATAAAACAAAACAAGTTTCACATTTAATTACTCGAGATCGGCAGCAAAAGCTTTCATCAAAAACCAAACTTTCGAGCTGAAAAAATGCTGAAATGAAAATCAATTCAGGAATTTAGAAAATCAATTATCAATTACAAGAATTTAGCAAACAGAAAATCGTTAATGAAAAATTTCAGTACGATCCAGTTCGCATCAATCAACTCTACGAGCAAGCGAAATGGAGTATTTTGTTGGAGGAATTGGATCACACCGAAGAAGAGGCTACCCTATTCGCTGCGTTACAGGTTAGAGGCTGGGAAAATTGAAAGCAACAATTGAAAGCAATAATTGAAAGCCTAAATTGAACTTTACACAGCCAAAATACATTCAAAATCATTTTTTTTAATGCTCTACTATGCTTAGTTATTCACCAAAAAATATCAAATAATGAGGGAAATTTTGAAACCAAAAAAAAATCGACTTTTTTTTGACCTTTTAGATCGTAAATTTCAATTTAACTAATTAAAAATTGAAAAATGAAAAGCTAATTTAAAGGTTTTGTCTTTAAAAGTAAATAAAATTAAAAGAAAGAAAAATGCGCTAAACTTTTCAGCTACAAGCCACCCTTCAACGAGATTCTCCGGAACCCGAAGAACCGGGAAAAGACGATGTCGACATCATGCTCGATGAATTGGTAAATCAAATTTGTCTTTCTTTATAGACTTACAACTATGGCTTTAGATGAAGAGTGATTTTTATCAAAACCTAGCTTCACAAAAGCTTCCTGTCCATTGCCTTTTAGCCTATCCACTAAACGCAACAAAAACATTTGTCGGCCCTTTTTTGCTGGCAATTTAAAGTTTTTTGTGTTTTTCTCAGCACCAACCCGTTGATTTTTGTCTATTTTGACTATCATTCGATTCAGAATAAAATTGCGCGTCGAATGATACCAAAATGAACTCAAAATATAATACCCATGCAAAGTTATGAGGCAAAAGGTTAAGTCCCTCCCATAATAGGCAGGGTTTAGGTTTTTAGCCAACAACTTTGCATGGGTATTATATTTTGAGTTCATTTTGGTATCATTCGACGCGCAATTCTATTCTGAATCGAATGATAGTCAAAATAGACAAAAATCAACGGGTTGGTGCTAAGAAAAACACAAAAAACTTTAAATTGCCAACAGCAAAAAAGCGCAGACAGATGTTTTTGGAGCGCGTTTTAGAGACGTACTTTGCCACCTTTTCTGGCGCACTCAATTCTGCATTGCTATAAGAAAATGGTGAATTAAGTGCACTAGAAAGAGCTTACTTGACGATTTTGAGCGTAAACTGAAACTGTTAAAATCTCAAGTAATCTCGATTTTGCAGGAGCAAAGCCTTGACGCGGCCGCCTTCTCGCGTCGCTCCGATCTGACGCAAGTGCCCGAGTTGGCCGACTACCTCAAATACATGAAGTTCGTTTTTAAGGTTTAAATAGCTAAAGATTTTTTGGATCAAAATAAACGAATAAATCGTTTAGACCAAAGAAATTGGCGGCATTCAAGGGTTTCAAGCGTGCTTTCTTCACTTTCCGTGACCTCTACCTCTCCTATTACAACAGCTCGGCCGAAATTGGTGGAAATCCGCTTGGCAATTTCTCCCTAAAAGGTGAAAAGGGTTGAAAATTTGTAATCATCAACTGAAAACAAACAAAAAACGAAACAAAAAATGATCATTCCTTTACCCTCTCTAAATTTGGCTCCTTATCTCTCTAACTTTGGTTCCTTCTCTCTCTAACTTTGGTTCCTTCTCTCTCTAAATTTGGTTCCTTATCTCTTCAATTTGGTTCCTTCTCTCTCTAACTTTGGTTCCTTCTCTCTCTAAATTTGGTTCCTTCTCTCTCTAAATTTGGTTCCTTATCTCTCTAAATTTGGTTCCTTATCTCTCTAAATTTGGTTCCTTATCTTTCTAAACTTAGTTCCTTATCTCTCTAAATTTGGTTCCTTCTCTCTCCAAGTTCGGTTCTTTATCTCTCAAAATTTGTCAATCTAATCTCTTTATCTCTCTAAATAATAGGCCCTAAATTGAAAATTTAGCTTTTAACAAATGAGTTTTTTAAATTGATACAATAAAAGATTAGTATTTTTTAAATAAACAAAAAAAGTGTCTAAGGTTTATGCAAATTTTAGTTCAGTTCAGTTCAGTTTTAGTTTAGTTTATTAAGACGTTATTTTTTAGTTTATTTTTCTTTACATTCTTGCTCAACTTGAAAATTTGATTTCTTAAGTAAATTTAGTAATATAAAGTTATAAATATCATGAAAATATATTTAAAATTTTAAAAATAGCAAAAGCAAAGGCTTATCTTTTGAAATAATAGCAATAAAAAGTTAAAAATAGATAAATAAAGTTGTTGCGGGCATGGAAAAATGAAAGAAAATCTTCCAATGTGAGCTCAAATTGAAACTTTAACTTTCTAAGTAAGATTAGTATTACAAATTTTTAGTTTAAAGCTAAAACCTTTAGACTTTTAACACTAAAACTAACATAATGTTAAAAGTGAGATTTTCAGGCTGCGAAGTTGCCCCAGATGTTTCGGTGTCTCAGGGCAAATATCACATCAAATTGCTCGTGCCCACCGCCGAGGGAATGACCGATCTTGTGTTGAAATGTGAAACGGTTAGCAATTATAGATTCGATTTTATTAATTGGTTTTCAAAATCATTTTCAAATTCAAATGCAATTTTAGGAGCATCAATACGCGCGTTGGATGGCGGCTTGTCGTTTAGCGTCGAGGGGGAAATCGATGGCCGATGCCTCGTATCAACAAGAAGTTGACTCGATTAAAGGATTGATCAACATGCAACAAGGAAGTACGTTCATTTCATGAGAAAACTTGATCTGGTTGTTGATTTAACGAGAGACTTTTAGCGTTTTTAAAGATGAAATCTTCTCAAGCGTCTAAGTCTAAACCATTGTCAGTTAGAGCAATGTTTGTCTTTGTGTTCTACGAGCATTTTCTCGGCCGTGTTTTGACCAATAAACTTAAAAGTTCTTTAGAAAACCTTAGAATATATTGTAGTTGTGCCATTTGAAATAAAAAAATAGAAAAAGTCAAAAACGATCGGCACTACGAGGGTTGAACCAGGCTCGTGTGGGCGCGCTCCCCGAATGCGCTCCCCGAATGCGCTCCCCGAATGCGCTCCCCGAATGCGCTCCCCGAATGCGCTCCCCGAATGCGCTCCCCGAATGCGCTCCCCGAATGCGCTCCCCGAATGCGCTCCCCGAATGCGCTCCCCGAATGCGCTCCCCGAATGCGCAATTTTTGTGACCATGGATGGTCACAAAACATTCTGCTATAAAAACCCGCCGTTAAACGAATTTTTAACTGATCGATGAATATACATAATTTGAAATTCTAAAACGTTTCCAAAATTTCTGCATAGCCAAATGCAATCAGTGGCCGTCCAGAGCAGCTAAGCAGAAAATTTGAGGCACGTTTTAGGTTCGTTAGATCGAAGTTCGACTGTAGTAAATTCTATTTCACAAAAAAATTGAAATAAAGTGTTCAATATCTTATCTCTAGCACTTCCCCGAAACGAGAATGGCAGCGGGAAACGCCAAGCAGCCGCCGTTCGTTTACCCGACGATTTCAACGTCGAAGAGTACGTGAGTCAACGATATGCGAAACGAAGGAGTAAACAACAGGTAGCATTGGAAAAATATCTCTTCACTCCTTTTTTTTCAGTTCCAACAGCGAATCTCCGATGCGCACTCAAATGTGAAACAATTGACTGCTACAGAAGCCAAGCTACAGTATGTGAGAGCCTGGCAGGTAAAGCCATTTATCCATAAACTATTGTACAATCCTTTCTGTGACACTGAATGCTCTTAGACAAAAAGGAACATCTTTTCAGGCACTTCCTGAGCACGGAATGCACTACTTTGTCGTGCGTTTCCGAAATGGAAATCGAAAATCGGATTTGATCGGTGGGTGTGGAATCAGGCAGAGAATTTAAAAGCTTTTGGATATAACTAATATCATTTTCTAGTATCAGCTGAACCTTTTGCTGTAACAGTTAACATTTTAGGTATCGCCAGCAATCGGATCGTTAAATTCAACATCGACAACGGGGAAAGCGTGAAAACGTGGCGCTACACGAATATGAAGAAATGGCATGTGAATTGGGAGATTCGGCATTTGAAGGTAAGCAAAACAACGAACTAGATTTTTACTCAACAACTGTTCCCTTAAAATAAGAGTCTATCCTGGCCGCGGCCGTTAACGTGTCTGTATAGCTCATTGGTAGAGCGTTCACCTGCATAGCAACAGATCGCGGCTTCGAATCCTGGTGGCGACCTTTTTTTTGCCTCATAAACCCAGAAAAGGACCCAGAAAAGGACGTCCAGCTGTCCAGTGTCCAACTGAAATACGAGTCATTTTCAGGTTCAATTCAACGAGGAGGACATTGAGTTCAAGCCACTGTCAGCCGATTGCAAGGTGAGATCATTAGAAAGCAAATCAACGTGGATTTTGTGCTCAAAAGTGTAAACGCACCCTTTCTGGGGCACTGAGCTCTTCACTTTTCTCACGTTAACACAAGAAAATGAGAGTTTTGTGCGCTAGAAAGAGTGTTTTTGACATTGATCACAATGAACGTACAAAACGACCAAGTTGGGTAACTGAAAAAGATTTGTTTTTTTTTGAATGTTTCAAGTTTAACGATGTCAAAGATAGGATTATTTTGATAATAGTGAGATTAGCATTCTTGATGTTTTAATCGCTAATTAAATGATTGATTCGCTAATTAAATGATTAATTAATCGCTAGTTAGATACCCAATTCAAGAGTAAAAATTGCTCAAGTACAAGCTCTCATTTGAGCTTTTTAAATTAAAATTTAATTTTTCAGATAGCTTAGATCATTTTCAAAGTGAATACCAAAATGATTGGTTTAGTAACTTTTAAAAAAAACCTCTTTCCAGGTTGTTCACGAGTTCATCGGCGGCTACATCTTCGTTAGGTGGGTTTTTGAAGATTGTCTATTTGATATATCACATATACTATCCCATACTACAGACAAACTACCGTAAATACTCTAATAGAATGCCGCCCCCTCATACAGTCGGGTAATCTAACTTCTAGGAAACGATGTTTTCTCAGTCTCGAAGTTTTTCCCAACTACACTTTTGGTACTACAAATACTAAATTTCAAGGGCTATCATTTGACACCCAAACGAACACTGTAGCGTAGACCAGCGCGGAGAATGAAACGTTCAAAGTTAACGAGAAAAATGAGCCGCGCAACTCCAGGCGCTTCATCTAGCCTCCAGAGTATCGGATTTCAATGAAATTTTTTTATTTAGAAGCTAAGACTTTAAGCTACCCAATGTTACCTATCACTTATATTTTTCTTTTGAAAAAGTGGATCAAAAACCTTATCGAGACTTAATGAGATAACGAGGAATTGTCTCGTTAAGTCTCAGGCTTTTGACCCACTTTTTCAAAAGAAAAATATAAGTGATAGGTATCATTGGGTAGCTTAAAGTCTTAGCTTCTAAATAAAAAAAGTTGATTGAAATCCGATACTCTGGAGGCTAGATGAAGCGCCTGGTGTTGCGAGACCCATTTGTCTCGTTGACTCTCGTTATCCAAGTCTAGTCCGATTCCTTTTCTTTCTTGATCCTCGGCGGCTATCCGATCTTTATATCCTGCAAAAGAAACATTAAAAACTGTTTAAAAAAAAGAAAGAAAAAAGAAAAGGAAACAGAAGGCGAGCATTTACTGAAACAAATCAAAATGACAAATCCCTTTCAGAAAGCAATTTATTCAACGTTTTTCAGTATGCGAAACAAAGAGCAAAGCCAGCAATTGAACGAGGAGATGTTCCACCAATTGACCGGTGGATGGGGATAAAAATTCAAAAATTCATTGTCATTGATCATTTTTTGACATTTTCCCTGCAAGATACCTACGCATTTTCTCTTGTTTACTTTCGATTTCTGTTTGTTTTACCGCCGCTTATAGTCTCCGCTTATATCTTTGTCCGTCTTAGCGCCAAAGAGCTCTTATATTATCAGAAAGTTTAGCTTAACTTTTGTAAAAAAACATTCTTTAATTCGTTTTGCAATAGTCCTGTGAAAGAATTCGTTTTCTAAAACACGCCAACTTTCTCGACTACCGTAATCTTGTCTCTTTTTATTCAATCTATCTATTTTTGTTCTGATTCTGTGAGGGTTCAGGATTCGAGAGATTCAAGAAAGTGAATATCTTTGGTGAAAAATAGAGATAAGCTTACGGTAGAAAGAGAAAGTCGCGTTTTAGAAAGGATTTGAGAGGAAAAAGGAAAACACTGATTGTAGTTTTCAAAGAAAAAAACCCAACAGATTCCGCCTTACCAAAAAAAATTAGTGCTGAAAGATTTTTGATTCCCTTTTCTTTATTCACACAAAAACCAGCTACCAATTGCCGTGCCTTTGTCGATATTTATTTTGTTCCCAATCGATTGATAATAAAAGAACTTTTCCCTTTAAATCTGGCAGAGAAGAGAACTTATGAATGACATTGAAATTATTCAGATCTAACAGGTCTAATAGTAAAAGTTATAAGGAAAATTTCCCGACACAGGCGTTGAACTTCGCCTTCAAGCACATCTACAAGAAGCTCTTCGTGAAGGGATTGCGTACCCGTTTGACTGCTGATGTCGGAAAGGGAGCCACTCGCGAGTTCAACGGACTTGCCGACTGCCTCGTCAAGATTGCGAAATCCGATGGACCAATTGGACTCTACCGTGGATTCTTCGTCTCGGTGCAAGGAATCATCATCTACCGTTCGGAATGTTCGACACTGCCAAGATGGTCTTCCAAGGAGATGGCACGGAAGACGTTGGACAAGGCTCCCTTGAACATGGCGCAAATGTCTCACTTTGAGAGCTCTAGTCAGGGTTAAAAAATTTGGTTGTCTGTCCTGAAGTATAATTTCAAAAAGTTCTATCATTTGCTTACAAGTCTTGTGAAAGTTCCGAGTTTCGGGCGTGCTTCTCGGCTTACCAAAAGATTGATTCCCTTTTCTTTTCTTTATCCACACAAAAACTCCCAACCAACTGCCGTGCCTTTGTTTATTGTCTTTGGTAACAAAAACTTTTATCCCGTATAAAACAAACAACATTATCGAGAAACAATAGAAAAATTAATGATATTTTGACAAGGACAAGTGATATTTTGTAAATTTTCACTAACAGAACGAAATGAATCTTTAATTGGTCTCAAATCTAAAAAATAATCACTACTCCTCATTTAAAGATCAAATGATCACAATACAGCCCAAATGTAAAACAACACGATAACCGAGGTAAAAAAAGAATAAGAACTATTTGTCAAAAGATATCCATGAATACCTTGAGATGAATTGAGATGAGACAATTTGGCAAGGGTTAAGTTTATTCAGAAGCGGGGCCAATCAAGCAAAAGAACGGACTTCGCTAACAAAACTAACGATATGTATAAAAAAATCCAACCTCGAGAAATGCTGTAGCAGCGATTCAATGGGCTGATTTTGAATAAATGCAAGCGGGAACGACTAATAAAGCTTTACACATACAGCGAAAAGTGAATTGGTTGATGTCCATGTGAAATATTGCTTGAAAGCGATCAATCTCGGTCTCGGTCTCGATCGCGATCACGGCCTTCTCGATCACGGTGGCTGCGACGAGAAGAATCTAAATAAAAAATTGAACAAGTGATATTTTTTATAGTTATTTTGGTTTTGGTTATTACTTATGATTACTACAAGAAAAAACGAAACTTACGATATTTCTCCCGATCACGACTGCGTTCACGATCATCCCGTCGATCTCGATCCCGTTCACGGTCCCTATCCCTGTCACGATCCCGGTCGCGGTCTCTGTCACGTTCCTTTTCTCGGCCTCTATCACGGTCACGTTCATGATGAGCTCGATTCATTGTGCGAATTGTCGTTCCTAAAGTTATCAAATTAGAATGTGCGCTGATACTAACAAAGCTTGTAAAATTATTGTCAAACGTACTTGAGCGTTTCAGGTCGCCATCCCGTCTTGATCGCTCACTAAAGTCATATTATCAAAAGATATTGCTATTGCCAACGAATCAAACCTAATGCTTTGCTCAATCAGATGTAGACGTTTCCTTGCTAAACGCTGGTCACTTTTGTGCACGAGATCCGAGTGAAAATCAAGATGATCTTGCAACCTGGAGAGACGTTAATCCAATAACAAAAGAGAAAGAGCTCACAAATGAATATTCGAACAAAACTCCTCGAGAAATTCCATCTTCCGTTGGCTGATCTCCAGCTTGTCAGTGCTTGGCAACTTTAACTAAAAGGTTGATTACAAATTATTTAATGCTTCAAAACATACCTGTAAGCAGTAGTCAAATGCTTCGATGACTTTATTCTCGTCAATTGGTTTGACATCCATTGCAATATCGACCAGTTGAAGCATCAATTTGTTGTTTCCCTGAAAAAATAAAATGAAAGGAATGTGACAAAGAAAAACTTACTGGATCAGTTCTAAGGGCTTCTTTGATCACTCGCATCCCCAAATCCGGGTCATTTCGCAACTTTGAATGCACTCTAAATAAAAATATCCAGTTTGGGAGCAGTGTCAATTCGGAGGCCAAAAAACTTAGACTTTATGCAAAGGATGAAACGCACTGTGCCAATTTGATAGAGTAGTAGCTCTTCAAGCGAGGAGTATTCTTTTCATCTTGCACACACTTTTCATAGTTTTGAATGAAACTCGAGTAATCCGGAGCGTCGAGGCCTCGCCTGGATGAATAACGATTATTGAGAAGCAAATCTTAGATAACAACTTTTTGGCCAAATAGTTGGCGCGCCTTCTTTCCAATCCCCGCAGGCGCATATCCACCATCACCAAACCGGGAACGGCGTCAGCAACTTGACGGAGAATTCTCTCAGCCTCATCATAGTTTCCTAAATAATTTATCCTATAGACGGTGGCCATTGAATTTAAGTTTCCGAGCATCAACAGTAGTATGAAAAGGTTGACATCGCGCCCGGTTGCAACGTCAACCTTTGCATTGCATTTCTATTCATCGAGTACCAGTTGTACCTCTACTACCCAAATTTGTAAGTTCTGTAATTTGTAAAACGCGATTAACGTTAATCGTCACTACTCCACTGTTTCTAACACCTCTATGCTTACTAACAAAGTCACCCACACCACTATGTCCAGTTACCAAGGGCACTCATACCCCGTACAAAACAATAATCCCTTCTAGCACTCAATTATAACTGTCCAAACAAAAAGCACCCGCAGCTTAATTAATTTTCGCGTGATTTTAAATATCTACCTTGACTTTGATGATTATACTTTAGCTCCAATTGTTTGTAAAATCTATTACAAACAGTCCTCAATGACAATTCGAATTTGCTTTTTTATTACTCCAACACTTCCAACAATACAGTTCGAAAATGCAAACCGATGATTTTCCTAGTTTTTCGATCCATTTTGTGTGCGCATAATAAATAAAAACGATGAAAAAAGTTCATTCGTGGCGTAAAATAAATTATATCACCAAAGTCATGACTTCTTTCATCCTTCTCTTTTTGATTCGATCTCTTTAGTTTTTTGAGTTCATTTAATCAATTATTGACGTCGTGACGCCTCTTCGATGATCCACAGCTACCATTGCCTAAAATAAAATGCCGACCACCGCAATGGCCTCGGCATTTCCTTGTGTTGATGCTCGGAAACAAAAAAACGCGTCACCCACCAACAGATTCTTCGAAAGCACTGTAAGCAAGGTGCACAACTGGCTTCTTACGACAATGCACCGTTACAGCCCGTTGGAACACTGACCGAGCGGCCCCCTCATCACCACTTCGTCGCCATCGCCAACGAGCGTACTAAAACCAAAATGCTTTTAATTCAAACGCGATTTTCTTTACTTTAATCCAAAACTCGTCGTAAAGTGCTGTGGCAATTAGACATCTTTCGAACAAGACGATCACTCGCGAATCTTTTGCCGCATCGATCTCCATGTCCAAGTATCTATCAAAAATTTTAATTAACCTTCAAACTATTCAAGCATACTGTCGCCAATTCTCAAATTCCAATGGATCCAATGGCTTCACGTGAAAATATGGACGCTTGATCTAAAGATGGCGTACAACCGGATTCATCTACGAATTGTAACCTTTTCTTCAAATGGAGCACGCTTCATCACTTGTCCGGCTGTTTCAAGATGAAGAGCTCGCCTGCGTGCAATGATTTCTTCTCTGAAGACGCGAAGTACTTCTGGGACATGCTACAATTTCACGGGTTAATATATTCATAAAAACATTTACTCGTCGCTTGACAATATATTGTTCGTCTCCAGGAGCGCCACTTCCGTTAGTCGCCAAAGCTATTCGCTCATCAACAATCATTTGCTCTACCTAAAGTAGTCCGGTTTTATTGCATTCGCTAAAATAAAAGCAAGACCCGGACCCAAAGCATAATAAAATATCAAGCCCTAAACAAACGTTTTTCACAACGTCAGTTAGATCCGGAATTTCAGCTACTAGTTGATTCTCCTAAATGACTTTTAAGTCAGATTTTGTGTGGACCCAGAAAAGCTAGCAAAATCGTGCAACTACCATACCAGCATATCGTCCCAAATATCGCTAGTTATGCCCTTCTAGAAATGTTAGTCGTTGAACACAAATCAACTTGTTAAACTACAGAAACACGCACTTTGAAGAAGCTGAAACTTACCCCAATGTCAACTGCTTTTTTAACTTTGCTGAAGATATCCCGATACTCTTCTTCATCCAGTATTTCATTTGGCTCAAAGGAATTGACATAGAGTTGGAACCTATAAGCATGTAAAGAGTCAAATTTCGCTATCTCACTTTTCAAATTGCTGTACATGAAGTGCAGTTGGGATTCCTAAGAGCCGCTCATAAAGCACCATTACACGTCTTGGATTATTTTGCGCAAGCTCGAATTGAATTACATCAGCCCACAACCTGTCGCTATTGTATTCCATTCCAGCTGACATCATTGCTCTTTCCATGATCCTAAATTTACGATAACAACCGGACACTGATCAACACGTACTCTCTAGTCTTTTCAAGTCCTCCCTCGGCGTGTAGAGCCAACTCGCGAAAGAATGCCAAGAACGGCAGCCACAAGTCAATGCATAGAGGAATCGCTGAGACACTGCGTTCCCATACCTGAATTCAATCATTAAATTTGCGAACTTAATAAAAGGCTTACACTCATGGCCTTTTCGAGATTTCCACTTCTACGTTCAAACTCAGCGTATTTTCTCCAGTACCCGTAGCAGTATGGGTAGCGAACAAGAAAAGGTTCGAAGATATCCCGTGCAGCATTGATGTCATTCTGTAATCAAATTAATTACATAGCTAAATTCGGTACTCTTCCAATATCGGGGGAGCGAAATGAAAATCAGGGCAGCAAATTTTGCCCCCACGAAAAATGCATTTTCAGGAGTCTATTTTAACTGCAACGTTTTTTAAACTTTAACGACGATGCGCTTCTCCGGCATTTTTGCGTTTAAGGAATCGACGACAATCGATTATTTCGTGACCAAAGGAGTCATCCAGTCGTGAATTTGCAACTGTGGCGAATTCATGAAAGTCCGCTCAAAGGGAAAAGATCTATTTCGCTGGGTGTTTTAAGTCACTTTTGTGATCTAATATAAAGGTTGTGAGAATAATGGGTAATTCGCGGATTTTATGGTGATAATTTTTATAATATAGGAAATATCTAGCGCTGGCAAAATTTACTCCCCTGATTTTCATTTCGCTCCCCCGATATGGGAAAAGTACCCTAAATTCAAATGCACAAACCAATTGTTCAACTTTTGTCAAAAGGTCAGTCCATGCATCAAAATTGTCTTTGTTGTAGAAAACAGTGTCCCAGCTGGCTCGCAACAAATCGTGATGTCCAGTACTTGGAATTGAACTAAAACAGTTTTATTATTTTAGCTTTAACAACTTCGAAAAACATGTCATCCGATAGAAAATTGTCTCCCGAATCGAAAGACATAAAAGTTATTTGTATTCGAAAACCTATCAGCCAAAGTACGCTGAGTATCTAGGTACCAATGTTCAAGTGCCAAAGTTTATTGTTAGGCCGAGCTACCATAAAATCGCTTAACTACTCGTTGCAGTCAAAAATACAAATCCTTACGTAAAATCCAGCATTCCCGTGAATGAAGTTTGGTCAACCGCTTTTTCGCTCAATGAACGCCTTCTGTCGCGAGAACGTGACCGTGAAGGGGAACGGTGGCGACCTCTGGACTTTGACCTTGAACGACTTGAAGAGCGATCCCTTGAACGACTGCGCGATGAGGGAGAACGATGATCAGACCCACCTCCCCTGAAAACACAAGAGATTACCGTTTATCATATAAATAGCTTACTTCAGGTTGTCATTGTAGTATGGGTCGTCATTCTCTGGATACACATCGTTGTAGGTGTCAAATGAGGCACTTCGCGATCTTGGCATCTAAAAATTTATTGTTGACAAATTTGGGAAATGGTACAAAATAAAAACGAAGACATAAGAAATTATCCTACTAACAATCGAAAAATTCCTATGTCCCTTAAAGACAAAAATGAAAAACTACAAACAGTAGAACTAGGATAACATAATATAATTATTTTGCAAGAATAGCTTGAATCTCATCATAGAATGTAAGCACGAGTGCTCCTCCAGTACCACGGAAGACGTTGGACAAGGCTCCCTTGAACATGGCACTGACTCCCTCGTTCTTGACGATCTTCAAGGCACAGTCCAAAGTGTTCTTGTAGAGGACGTCCTTGCGACCAGACTGCATCATCATGCGACGACGAACGGTGTCCCATGGGTATGAGAGGATTCCAGATCCGACAGTGACCACTTGAGCAATGCCCCAGGTCATGAAGAAGTTGAGCTTCTTACCATCTCCTTGGAAGACCATCTTGGCAGTGTCGAACATTCCGAAGTAGGCGGCACGGTAGATGATGATTCCTTGCACCGAGACGAAGAATCCACGGTAGAGTCCAATTGGTCCATCGGATTTCGCAATCTTGACGAGGCAGTCGGCAAGTCCGTTGAACTCGCGAGTGGCTCCCTTTCCGACATCAGCAGCCAAACGGGTACGAGCAAAGTCCAATGGGTAGACGAAGCAAAGCGACGTAGCTCCAGCGGCTCCTCCAGATGCAAGGTTTCCAGCGAAGAATTTCCAGAAGTCCTTCTTCTTGTCGTATCCCTCCACGAAGAGCTTCTTGTAGGTGTCCTTGAAGGCGAAGTTCAAGGCCTGTGTCGGGAAGTACCGGATGACGTTGGCCAAGTTACCACGCCACAAGGCGGCGTAGCCTTGCTCCTTGGGCACACGAACCAAGATATCGATGATACCCTTGTAGCGTTTGTCGACGGCGATGGTGGTAGAAGCATCTTGCACCTGCAGGAGAAGCTTGACTCGCTCAATGGGGGCGACGACAGTCTTGCTGACGGCGGCAGAGGTTCCACCGGTCACAAGGTCGAGGGCGAATTTCTTGGCGTCGAATCCTTTGTCGTTTCCCATGTCGAACAATGAGTGAAGCTTGACTGTTGCAAGTCGTTGAACCCGAAGTCTAAAAATGAAAAAATTAGTAGAACTCAATGATCTTAAAAAAATAAGAAAAGGAGCGGTCGGACAAAATGAAAAAAGTGCCGATTGGTCCCAAGGAAAAATGAATGGCACAAAACTCCTATCGATTTGCACGGCTAAGAGGAGTTGTTTGTATGGAAACGGAGGGGATCATTTGAAATATTATCCGCCAAAGAGGACAAGTGACGAAGCTAGAGTGTCTGGCTCAAATTTGAACGCACGGAAATACAAAATACAACCATTTTGTGGAAGTATAAAAAGTTAGGGTCAAGAAGTTAGGTTAGGTTGCAGGGAAGTTGCTGAAAATGATTTTTTCCGTGAATTTTCCAGTTAAAAAAACAAAAACAGTGTCGGAAATTTTTCATCCCTCGGACTGAATATCTTCCATCTATAGGATCTTTGAAAAGTGTAGATATATAGATGATTAACCTTGATTAACTTTGCTAGAACTTTTTTTGATCTTTGTGTGCTCTTTTTGCGGTTTTCTCTCTCTCTCTCTCTCTCTGCTTTGACCCTTTTGTGAGAGACTGATAGCGTTGTTTTCAGATTACCACTCCCGAGGCAAAGCAAGCTATCGTCGACGAGCTTTCAACGAATTTATGGCGCTAAATGCGGTGAATTTCTTCCTCGTCGTGCTTTTTGGCTCGGCGGCATGGATGGGAACGAATTCGGTGAGGATTTTGCCTAAATAATAACCTAGTGGTGTTAACCTTTGAACAAGTCTTATGCAGAAAAAGTTGCCTTTTTTGTCTTAAAGATTTATTTTTGTTGGTTTTACCATGCTAGACCTTATGGTCTTTTTAGATATGGATGCAACTTCCGCTAATAACCGCCGTTCTTCCAGAAGCTTGGAGTCTTCCCTCGTATCTTGCAGCTGTAGTTCAGGTATTTGCTTCCTGGGATCTTTACGGTTATCGGAGGCGGGGTCTAAAACCGTATTTTAACAATGAATAATCCTGAAATTCTTTCATGCACTCCGATTTATCTAGGCTATGGCTCTGCACACCCTGATTGCCTGACCGGACACATTCAACGTTTTAAGATCTCCCTGGGGTGGGTATAAAGTGATTTTGTGTGATTGGAAGGGTTTTTAAACTGCAAAGCCGGGTTCTAAATCACTGGGAAGAGACCAATATGCCCTGAGGAAGCAATCCGCTAAGTTTCAAAGCGAATGCCGCTCCCCCCCGATAAAGATCCGCTTCCTGAAAAATGATTTTTGATCCAAATTCTAAATTATATTAATTTTCTCAAATATCCATTTTAGATAGCTTGCATCGGTCCACTGTTCTACGGAATCTCACACAAATGCCTCTGCAATCTCCATACACCTACCATCATCATCGGAATGTTGATACTTTTATTAAGTAAGTGTTTGCTTGTCATTTGTCTATAAACCTAGTTTCTTATTTAATAAATTTTTACATTTAGTATGCTCGTTCCTGCTTGTTCCATTCTGGAACGTAACTGCGATGATTGGAAGCAACAAATACTCCGTTGTACTTTACGTGTTGATGTTTGGAATTGCCTTGGTATGCCATTATCTTTTAGCGAATAAAATTTTGGCGCTATTAAGGTTAGGGGGGGGGGCACTTCTTTTCCAAAATCGACTTGTCGATTCATTTTTCGTGTAGTGTAAACCACTATCCCAAGTTGAGAAAATGACTTTTTTTTTCTCAAGAAATTTGAAAATTATGCCTTTTTAAGGGTTTTTACGCATTTTAAGTGCAATTCACGCGGGTTTATATATAGTTTTTACATTCTAAATGCTAATTTAAATAAGCCCCGCTCATTGACTTCAAGTTCCAATTTCATTTTTTGTTCATTTTTGTAAAGCTTTTGGAAAAAAGTGCCCCCCCTAACCGATTTTGGAAAAAAAGTGCCCCCCCCCCTAACCTTAATAGCGCCAAACATTTTATTTAGGTTAATTCTACTTCGAATGTGCTTTTCATGCCGTTTATGGCGCAGTTTCACCCAGCTTATCTGAACGCCTACTTTGTTGGAATGGGTCTCAGCTCCCTCGTGCCAAGTCTTCTCTCATTGATTCAAGGTTAGTTGATTATTTTTAGAAGTTTTAGCTTTATTTTTAGGAAATAGTAATTACGATTGCATCGCACATGCCCCCGTTTACAAATCACCACGGTTCAGCATTCAAGTCTTCTTTTTCATCATTGCTTTTTGGGCTCTTCTTGCATCAATCGCATTCGTGATTCTTTATAGAACGGGCGCTCATAAGAAACAAAAGTTTCTTTTCCTTGTTTTATTTTATCCAATTCAATTTAGGAAAACGGCAACACCTTTACCTGGAGAGAAGACATATCCCGTAGAAGTACCCGACGAAGAAACACCACTACGTTCTGGGGCGATAAGAAGTGACCAACGGGAGCAATTTGATGAAGAAACAGCGGACAATCAAGTAATTTGTGTTTTATTGATTATCAATGAAAATATTAGGGCAAGTCATTAGTACACGAAGAAACGAAAGAAGAGTCGATTGTTGGCTTCTCCTACTGGTGGATATTGGGTACTGGTGGATTAATCTTTTATGTGATTGGACAAATAAGTTTCAGGCTTGACGGCCCTTGTGAATGCACAAATGAATGGAATCATTCCCAGCATTCACAGTTATGCGGCACTTCCATATTCTCAAGTATTACATTTTTAAGCGTGCCGATTTAATTTTGATTCAAGTTAACCTATGGCCTCGGAGTAACGTTGTCAAACATTGTCTCACCATTGGCATCTTTTCTACCGTTTTTTGTACAAATCAGGTTTGTTTTCAAGTTTTTAACTGAAAATAATTAATATTTAGATCAATTCCTTGCTTAACGTTGATAACGGCTACTTCCTCATTGGTTACTGCGGTGATTGTCCTATTGGCAACTCAAAGTCCAAACTATTTGTTCGGGAATTTTAATGCTGGCGCAGCCATAGCGGTAAGCAATTTGTGTGATGTTTTTTAACGAATTTTAGGTAATCTCACCAATTATCGCGGCCGGTTTACATTCTTTCATGCGTACATTATTCGCATCACTGTTGAGGGAAGGTTCACACGGAAGTGAGAAGCGGTTGTTCTGGTGTGGAGTGTTCATTCAGGTAATTTTTTTGACAAGTTGTGAAGTTAATGTTTTTCTAGATTGGCTCGTTTGTTGGATCAGCGGTGATGTTTCCACTCGTCAATTTTACTCACCTCTTCCAATCAGCACCAGTGTGTCGTTAATTTTTTGCTCCTTGTATAGTTGGTTTTTGCTTCTATTTGTTTGTATATACCTAGATAGTCCCCTTTAATTTATTTACAGTTGTGATTCGTGAGCTTTCTAAATGTGATTTCAAAAATGTTGATCTTATTTTGCTCAATTCACCAATTTATGCGAGTATTTTTGTTTCAGGATTATTGTGCCATTTATTGTGATTTTCTTACGTCATTTCAGAAGATTAAAAATAGTAAAGAACAAGAAGATATTGTTTCAGATGCCACGCCTCAAAACACAAACCCCATGGATAACTTGGTACACTCATAAGTGTGAGCCATGCCCTTGAAGAGATGAGCTAACAATAGCTAAACATTGCAATGTTTTTAAGAGAGAAAGAAAAAGGGAAGGCCCGACTCATCGGTGTCTCGGTGAAAGGGTAGGGTGAGGGGACAGTGTTTGTCTGAAGAAAAGAGTGATGAGGGATCACTCGAGAGGGGGAATGGAGGGAAAGAGAGATGAGGGGGAAGAGGCGCATCCCCACATTGCAACACGATGCAACCCTGTGGATGATCGAGGGATGGTCAGGGTGGATCCATCCCTCCTATCATCTCCACTCTCAAGTCTTCATGTGCATCAACCACCCCACACACATACAACTAAGTGAAAGAGATAGTTTGCGCCCACAAGAGAGAAACAACCGCAAACCTATCATTTTACGGATGACGTTATTGACAGAGACATTCCAGAATGCTTTAGGCGATTTAGGAATGCTTTTTGAGCTGTTTTATGCCTCTGTAAAGCATTTTTAAAAGCTACCTATCGAACTCTAGGATTTCGCGATTTCTAACCGCTTTCGTTTTCTAGCATTCCTTTCTTGAGTTCAGAAATTCCACATAGAAGTACGGTAAATGATTATGGTAGACCGTTTTCAGATCGATCAGTATAAAACTTTCATTATTGTTGTTTGTGTATTGTATTGTACTGTATTGCTATTAGATCTTTTATCGTCTCGAGATTCAATTTCGGATTTGATAAAATTTCTGACGGAAAACTTAGTTTTTTTTCTTTTAAAAATACCCAATAGATGAATCTAAAATTGCCAACCAAGCGTCAAATGTTCTATCCAAAAATTTGTGGCTTTTTGGAATAAATCCCTCGTGTTTTAAAATGAATCTAGGGTTACAGTTTAGAAATAACCGAATCCTGGGTTTTTTTTTCCGTTTATTAGACATAAAGAAATGCAGAAAGAAAGTGAAAGAAAAGACAAAACAAGGCACTCAAAGAACAGCTCTTCTCTTGTCCTCCTTGTCATCTCTGTAGCCTGGAGGAGATGAAATCCTCTCCTGGAACAGTGTCTGACCCTTTTCCCCTTCGTTCTTCTGATCTCAGGACTTTCATCGATCCAAGCCTGACTTTTTAACAAATTCTTTATATCTTAGCTTTATCAATTTAGTTTTTTTTTGATTCAAAAACTCAAAATCTCTAAAAAATTCTTTAACAGAAAGAAAGTAAGGCACAAACTGGAGCAACCTTATTTCCCCATTTTGAACCTTTCCTAGTTTTAGCTAGCGGCCAAATCCGTCTCTCCGTCGTCTCTCCAATGTCTTTCGGAAGACGTGAATTTTCACAAGTTTCAAAATTTTCCACCCCAGAATCGATCAGAGAGATCTAGAGATTTTGGAAGGGAGAAATTGGACGGAGAGGAGACCTGTCACCGGATCCAAATATCTCCCCTCCTTTCTTTTCTTTTCTCCAAATTTTCCCCAATTTTCTTTGTGGCCTTTCCCCTCGATCGAAATGATTAGAAAAATCAACCCAATTCACACAAATATTTGAAGTCAACGGGACATAACGAAATCAATCGATTCGATAGCCCGAATGGGTGCTTCATTTGTGGTAAAAGGTTGCAAAGGCTCTTTGAGCTTTCAAGCAATATTTCTAAAGGAACATCATGTTTCAACTAGATGTTTATAAAGTTATAAAGTTATAAAGTTTTATAAAGTTATATAAACTTATATAAAGTTATGTATTTCACTTTTTTGTGATCCAAAAACGAAACAAGGGTACAATGCACTCCCTTAGCATTTCGTAAAGGCATCGTAAAGCTTTTTTATCTGTTTTTATCTGTTTTTCTATTATTTTCCTTTCATTTGGCACTGTTACACGTTTATATTTTTTTTTTGCTTTAAAATAAAATTCTCGCATCTTTATTCTAGCAATCGTTCGTGTTTTTTTCTAAAAACAAGAAGAGGCGGCTGCATGCCGCGCGTGAATCGCCATGGCCGTCGACAATTTGGTGAGATTTTAGAGGCCAAAAAACGATTTTTTAAGCATTTTATACGTAAAGAAACTATTTTTTTTAAAGCATTTTATAGGCAAACAAATAAATTACCAAGTAGCATACAGGGAACTCATTTGTTTAGCCTGAACAAGCAGGCTTTCGAGTTTCAAAATTGGCGTGATAGCGCTGATTTTTCAAAAATAATCAACTATCTTTCTTGTATTTCTTGTATTTCTTGTACTTCTTGTAATCCGCTGAAATCCTTTAGAATATGTACATACTGTAAATACTGTAACAGTACCTCTACAATAGTAACAGTACCTCTACAATAGTACCTCGACCTCATAATGACGATGCGGAGTGTTGTGTAGTCTAGCTTTGAACGCGCTTTTCTTGACACTGGTTTATGCTACAATGCGCGCTTCGGTATCAAAAAATAGCTGAAATTTAGCGCTATTTTTTTGATACCCATTTTTTGAAAGTATGGACGCTTTGAAAAAAAATGAAATACCAAAAAACTTTTGCGACTACGCGATTGAACGGCGGCGGTGGGGTACTATTACAGTATTTACGGAATAAACAATATTAGCGCTATCTTTTAGCAAATTCAATTAAATATTGTACATTTGCAGGCGATCGAAATGCGTCCATTGCACGGCGATCACGTGATCGACATCGAGCACAATTTTCACGATGATTTCGTTGGAGGTAAAGGCGAAATAATGTTCCCAAGAAGTGTGATGATCTTCTAAAAGTTACATTTAAATATCCGATTTGGATTTTTTAAATGTATTTCGATTAAATTGAAAACCATTTCTCTATGTTAGATCCCGAAAATCCTGAGGTTGTCATTATGAGGACAAAGAAGATGAATGGTAAAGCTGTACAAAGATTCATTTCGGTTTCAACTTTTTGGCGCATGAGAGCTTTTCTTTATCGAAAACAGATCAAATTGCTGATCATTTGCGGAATATTGTAGTAAATCAAAACTGGAACCTTTTTCTTTCTCTTTTTCGTCTTTCTTTTAATTCAATTGAATTCATTCAGTCTATAATAATCCTTTCAGAATCTTCTCTAGGGAAATCTACTTTTTTTTCGGGATTTTATTCTAATACCTATCAAAATATTCAAATAATTGTTATTTTCTAGGTTCATATGCTCAGTTGATCACGCATGAGGACGAAAATCCGCGGAAAAGTCTCACAGCGAGTGTGCGCGAGTCTGTCCAGAGTACTGTTTCAAAAATCTCCAAAGTGTGAGTTCAGTTTCATCTCAGAAACATCAATTTTAATGCTCATTAAAATTTAAAAAGCATAAGGGAAAAAGCTCACTGTTGACAAGATCATTAAATGAGGATTTAGCGGGTAAAACCTTATAGTAACGGAACGAGTACAAGCCGACAAGTGACTTTTCAACAAGTGACCGACCTGCATTTATATCAAATCAACTTATTCCAATAAATTTCCAAACATCTCATTGTTCCATTTCAGTAAAAAGAAATGGTGGCGAAAGTTGAAACCGTTGAAAACGATTTTGTTCAAATTGAAACTCCTTTTCGTCATCGCTTTGTATTCTCTATTTGGCGCATGGCTTTTCATGTATTTAGAGGTTTGTCACAAGTTTTCCAGCTATTCATTCATTTAAAATTTACTTCATTTGACTATCTATTGATAGTCAATGACTATTTAATCAATGACTGATCAATGATCAATGACTATTTAAAGAATTTAATAACAATTTTACAAGGCATAAATGAAATTTTATTTGTTATTACTTTAAAGACTTTTGAAACACGTTAACTTTGCGTTCACTTTCAAAGTTCACTTTCAAAGTTGATCCAATGAAAGCCAATTAGGCTGTTTTTTTTTCCATAACTATTGTAGGCTAGTTATTATTCAAATTAAATACCTCAATAGTTCAAAAAGCACTTCAGAAACATCCAATACGCTTTTTACCCATTTTACCTAACTCCCACAGGTGCCAACCGATTTGGCGAACAAAGAGATCCGTTACAATCAACGTTTCATCGCCAGGGATAATCTTGTTATAAGGTGAGTTCATTAACATAAAACAAAACAAGCATTAAAAGCTTTATCTATGATAATAAGCTCTTATAATTCATAAGAAATGAGTGTAAAAGTTATTTCTGCTAAGAAAGATAAAAGTTAACTTGAAATTTGTAGAGAATACCAGCAAGTGTAGTGTTGAACAGGCAAGAATTATCAGAGGAAAAGACGTTTTCCCATAAAAAGTTACTGAGTCTAATGCTTCCAGAGTCGAAACTGGAAAGAAAAATGGAAAGAGGCAATCGAGAAGAAACTAGGTTCCAGAGTCGAAACTCTGGAAGTAAATCAAATGCACCCTACACAAGACAGGGTGTAATTCAGATATCATTCCAAATGAATGAATGAATCAGAGTGTCTAAAAGGCGGATGAGAAAAAAGAAATGGTATTGCTTGGTTTTAAGTTTCAAAAACCTACCAGATTGTTGTTGGGAGCGGTCCTCTCATCAGTAGAGATCCATCAGTAGAGATCCATCAGTAGAGATCCATCAGTAGAGATCCATCAGTAGAGATCCATCAGTAGAGATCCATCAGTAGAGATCCATCAGTAGAGATCCATCAGTAGAGATCCATCAGTAGAGATCCATCAGTAGAGATCCATCAGTAGAGATCCATCAGTAGAGATCCATCAGTAGAGATCCATCAGTAGAGATCCATCAGTAGAGATCCATCAGTAGAGAAAGGAGGAATAAATTGAATATCTTGACGTTTAAGTGAAATTAGTACGATATTCAAGTTGTCGTTATTCAAGTTGTCGTATTCAATGTTAGGAATTAGAGTGTGTTCCTTGCGAGTAAGTAATTACTCGAGTAAAATTTGCATGAGTAATTTTCACTCGATTAATCGACACTTTTTTCGTCGAGTACCTACGAGTAATCCTCTTTACACGACGAGTAAATTGAATATCTTTACATTGGAAGGGAATTTCCCCACCAAATCAGTTCAACGGCTGAGTATCTTTAAAAAGCGTCGTTTATAATGCGGCGCTCGTGATTTTTGCGCCATTCTTTTTGCAATAATTTGCAATAAAAGTACGCTAATTTTCTTTTCAATTGTGCGTTTTAAAAACGCATTTCTTGCGAGGAACACCCTCTATTTGGAATACTTTAGATAAATATTTGAAACTTTTGTAGATATTAAATATATACGTTTAAGAAATGAATGATTTAATTTCATTTCATTTTAGCCTACGCGACATTCACCAAGCCAATCGGGAGAATCGAGAGGAAAAATGGAAAGAAGCAATCCTCAGCTTCGAGAAGAATCTAGGTTTGAAAAAAAATTGCGCAAAAAGTTTGTGAAACACTTTCTAGATATGGATGAGCCGATGATTGAAACATCGTGGACTTTCTGGATGTCTTTTCTCTACGCGGGCACCATTTTTACGACAATAGGTTTGTTTGTTTTTTGTTTTTTTTTGGGACTTATAAACAATGTTAAACAATTTTAGGATATGGTAATATCGCGTGTGCGACGACAGCTGGCCAGGTATTTCATGCATTTTCAGAAAACGCCAATATTCAAAACCATTCATGAGTTGTAAAAAAACTTTCCAAACTTTTCGATTCCAGGTTGCCACTGTACTCTACGCGATTTTCGGGATTCCAATAATGATTGTCATTTTGAATGATTTGGGCGACGTGCTGCTATTTATTGTGAAGGGTTTCACGCACGGAGTCGGCGATTTGACACTCTTCATTTGTGAGGATTTCAATAAAAACTGAAACTTCTCGTCAAACAACTTTAAACTAAAGCCAAATACTCATCTTCTGGCTTTAACAATGCAGTTTTTTCTCTTACTTCTGGTAGCAATTTGCTCTACCAAATAAAGAAAAAGGATTGATGTAAATTCCCCTAACATTTCTCTAGTTCGGTAGAGGCATAAAATAATATAAATGACTTTATTAGGTTTTAGATTGATTAATTCTAGCTTAAATCTATTCCAATAATCTTAAAATCTAGAATCTAGAACCTACCGTAAATACTGTAATAGTACCCCACCCCCATAATGACGGTGCGAAGTGTTGCGTAGTCTAGCTTTGAACGAGTGTTTCTCGAGACTGGTTTATGCTACAATGCGCGCTTTGGTATCAAAAAATAGCCCTGAATTTCAGCTATTTTTTGATACCAAAGACGCATTTTTTGAAAGTACGGGCGCTTTGAAAAAATGAAATACTAAAAAACTTTTGCGACTACCCGACTGTACGAGGGGGGTGGGGTACTATTACAGTATTTACGGTATGTTAAAATTCAATGAAGTAAGATGTCAAAGATCAATCTGGTTTCCAAAAGAATCGGCTTCAGAATTGAATACTTAAATATATTTAAATTTTACATAAATACACTTAAATTAAATACTAAAATACTAAATTTTTACTCAACCATTTTACTACATTAAATTAGAGTTGAACCAGTTTAGCCAAGCTAAGCCAATTGCCAAGCCAAGCCAAGCCAAGCCAAGCCAATTGCCAAGCCAATTTAACACATTGCTTCAATTCACCTTTTGACATTTGAAACTTTATCTTTTGCAAGAAATTTTCGAAATTGAATCCAATTTGTGATTTTAGCTGTCAAAATCGGTTTGTATGGTTTGGAAGAGAACACGGAACAGCGGAAACGCTTCAATCATATTTCGAGGAAATTGGGACGATTTGGGATGACTGACACGAGCTCGATGAGCACACTGACAACGGTGGGTGACAAGAAATGCAATGGAAAGGTTTTCACGAAAAGATTTGAAAAATTTCAAGGGTTTTAGTCATCAAAAACCCCATCAAAGTTTCAAAAGCTAAAAGCTCAAATCTGCAAATAGACTATCAAATGTTTAATCTTGCAAATGGGTAAAATGATATGTAAATGATGTATGATCTAGATCAATAAAGTAGAAGCGATTCCATTGCAAAAGTTGCAATAATTTCTCTAATTATCTATAGATGATCTTAATCTTGAAGCTCTAGTGGATTCTTGACGTTATCTGTGCTACCCATATATTACATATTCCATATACCATATCGTGTTCCTTTTTATCGGCTCTTTTCGTGTTATGTTTATGAATTCATGTGTAATCTTAAATCTAGCGCACTTTATTTCATGTCCTGTATCTATCAAACGCAACCCATCAGGCGCTCGTTTAAAGAACATTTTGCGAACATAAGGGAGTAAAAGGTTCCACAATTTAATAACTCAATTGAAAAAGAAACTGTGGACGTTAGAAATCGTGGTGGTGACTAGAGTGCGTTCCTCGCGAGTAAGTAAGGAACTGTGGGAGCTAGAAATGGTGGTGGTGACTAGAAGAACAAAAAGAACGTTTTGCGAACATCATTATGAGGTAAAAGGCTCCACAATTTAATAACTCGATTGAAAAAGAAACTGTGGAAGCTGGGAACGGAAACGGAAGGTTAGCGGTTGGAAACGGAAAGGTTGGCGTATGAGAAAAGGCCTCCTTCTGGAGGCGCCCCGTAGAGAGCCGAATTCAAAGAGGTCAGAAACAAGGGGGATCGGGGCCTTTAACAATTATCTTTAATGCCTTTAACAATTATCTGTAGATGATCTTGATCTTGAAGCTCTAGTGGATTCTTGACGTTATCTGTGCTATCCATATATTAAATATACCATATCGTTACATATACCATATCGTTTTATCGGCCCTTTTCGTGTTATGTGTATGAATTCATGTGTAATCTTAAATCTAGCGCACTTTATTTCAGGTCCTGAGTAAAGTATCTATCTATATATATGTCGTAGCCGCTGACGAATTCCAGCCGTTAACGGCGGCGCCGTTAACGAATGAAATTTTTCACTAGCCGTTTACGATCTTCGTAATTGGCTGAATTGGCTGGCTTCAAATGAACTTACCGTGTTTTTGGTTTCAAATTTTTACCAAAAAAAAAAAGAGAGAAAAATATTTTTTTGAAGGGAGCTATTAAAAGTTGTCAAAATACCCCTTTGCTGAAAATGGGTCCCTCCGGGACGAGTCCCCCCCCTTTTTTCGTGTTTCGGTTTTTTTTCGGGATTTTTTGGGTTCATTTTTTTTCTCTTCTTTATTATACTTTGTTTTTCTGGGTGGTTTCGTTTTTCCTACCTTTTTTCGGGTTTTTTCGGTTTTTTGAAAAGCGAGCATATACTAACGACGAAAAATACGACGAAATTGCGAACAGATTGACAACAATGTCAAGTGAAAGTGAAAGCGAGAACGGAAGCGAACGAGAGAAGAGGCGAATTGGGCACGTCGTTACTCGATTCAATGTATTGAGCAACAAAAATACTCTACAATCATGGAGATAAAGGAGGGACGAACAGCCAAAACGAGTCGTCAAGAAAGAGGAACTCTTCGATGTTTTGACGTCAACTCACAAAAGACTGGGACACGCCGGCCGGGACCTGATGTGGAAAGAGCTGCGAGGAGATTATCACGGGATCTCAAAGGAAATACTCGCAATTGCAATTGCACAAATGGATGCACGAATGGACGATGTGTGTGCCTCAAAACCAAATGCTCTGCAATAGCCGATGTCATCACAGTAATTCCTGCACCAACAAATAAACGTTTGTTTTATGCATTTTAGTTGATGTTTTGTTAGTTATAAACGTTATTATTAAAAAAAAAAAAAATATATATATATATAATTCAGCAAGACGCGTTGACGAAAGACGGTGAAGATGATGAAGATCCGTTGAAGAGAGATCCGCCCGTCATACAAGCTGTTGTTGCAACTTTTGGGTGAGTGAATTTTTTGTAAAAATTGTAGAACCTTTTTTTTTGCATAAAAGATTCTAATGGTCTAATAAAAGCTCGTTTTTAGTCAAATTGCTAGATTGATTGTTTCAAAATTGCTAAGGTTCATTTACTTTTAATAGCTTTAACACGTTGACGACAATGGCGTTTTTGCACAAACAATAGCATGGGACAACGTTGTTTTTTTCGACAAAAAATGTTACCTGACATCAGGTGACAATGTCCCAGGCGAACGAATATTTGTCAGACAGCATCAGGTGACAATGTCGTCAACGTGTTAATTACTCGACTTGTGTTTTTACAAAATTTCGTTTAGTTTTGTTTTGTTTCGTTTCGTTTCGAAACAAAATTTCGTTTAGTGAAAAATATACATTCCTAGATGCTTTTTTTTTCAATTATGAACGTCGATATTTTATTTGATTACGATTTTTTGCTATATTTTTGCTATACAATTACACATTGCGGGTAGGCTAATTTCCAATTTCAATTTTTTTTTGCGTAACTCGCCACAACTTTCTTCTAAGTCGACCAATCTTTATGATTTTGGTTTTATTTTATTGCACTTATTGAGATCTACAAAAATGAAACCAAAATCATAAAGATTGGTCGACTTAGAAGAAAGTTCTGGCGAGTTGCGCAAAAAAAATGCGAAAATTAGCCTACCCCGCACATTGTTCTCAATTTTCTCACAAAACCCGCAAAGTTTTATGTTAAAAGTTTCTAGGTTTAGAGCACGTGTGGCTGACTGGTTAAGTGTCTTTTATCTTAATCGGAAGGTCGAGGGTTCGAACCCCACATGCGACATGGTCACCCCCTTCGGATTTCCTTTCCCTTCGGGTTGAGAGGTTTTCTGGAGGGCAGTCTGGTGGTTGTGGCCCCAGTTCTTTAAAGTGACAAGCCACTCCTTCATCGTCATCTTCCCTTCACCACCAAAAAAGCTATTTAGTTCCCCATTGAGCTTAGGGTTAGGGAGCCGTCTGTCATGACGTGGGTTAAGTTAAGATATAGCCTAGTATTGTGTGTGTCGTTGTATTGTGATTGATATATTTCGTGTATGCGATAAATTCACCACTGGTAGCCCCAGTCGGTATTTTTTTTATTTGCTTTATTTGCTTACGGTTTATTTGCTTTTAAAAACTTCAATAATAACATTTATCAAGCTTTAATAATGATATTATTGCGGAAATATCATAATATCTTTTGATTTTAATATCTTTTCATCTTAATATCTTAATATCTTTTGATTTTAATCTTTTTGATATCATTTAATATCTTTTTGAAACACTTATACATAAGTAATTTTAGTTGGATTCTTTTCGCATCAGCCGTTTTTTGCCTTTGGGAAGACTGGAGCTACTGGACGAGCATCTACTTTTTTTTCATCTCAACAAGCACAATTGGTATGTGATTTTTTTTAAACCTTTTAAAATAGAATTGATAATATTAGATTGATAATATTAGAATTGATAATATTAGATAATATTAGATTAGAAAAAACATCTTTAAACAATCATTTCTTAAACATCAAATAAAAAGTTGATGTTTTAAAGTTAACAGCTACGTCGTGTTGTCATGTATCGTTTGTTAATTTCGATGCTCCTTGAGTCAAGGGTGCAGGAAAAATTTCAACAACAACTATTTTCCAATATTTATTTTACTTTTTTAGGCCTCGGCGACGTCACACCCGCTCATCCCGAGTATATGATCGCTACGTTTATGATTGGTGAGTTTTAAAAGCGGCTTAAGCTATTAGGCTTAAGCATTTAAAAACTGTTTTAACGTTATTTTGCAGAAAAATAATTGACCAGCAACGTTAAACAAAGAAAATCAATTTCTCATTGTTTTTTAGTGATCGTTGGCTTATCTCTTGTAAATGTTTGCATCAATGTTGTCTGTGAGAAGCTCGAGATGATGTACTTGGCGTTGCTCACGAAAATGGCCGAGGTGAGTGGGAGAAATTGGTTCCAGGGAAAAGCGAAAGTATTCAATTAGCCTTTGACTGAATATTTTGATTTTAATTTCTAATTTGAATCCATTCCAGGACTATCAACGAGCTCTCGAGACGGGTGATCCAAAAGCGATGGAGGGAATGATGAGCGGTTTCCAGGGAAAGGCGAAATTTCTTCTGCCGTTGATCAGGTTTAGTGGAAACATTTTAATACATTAAAACTTTCAACATCTATTTTGCAATCAATCAATCTTGAATCAAAGTTTTTAGTAAAAACGCGGGCAACAAAGTGATGAATCAATTCAAAGAGGAGGCGAAAGCGAAAGGAATCGATATCCCTCCAGTGTTGACGAATCTTGATCCACAAACGGGTATCATAAAATATAAATATTAGAATTAGATGATAAATAAATGAATATAGACATCAATTGATTTCGATCAATTTGATCATTTGAAACCTAAATTTTTTGAAGGTCATTAAAAACCAAAAAAAGGTTGATTTTTTTGTATTCACTTTAAAATCTAGAGTTTTAGAAAACTAGAAACAAATTGAATCCAATTTTTATGAATTTTGTGAACAGGTTGCAAAGGAAATTGATAAATTTTGATTCAAATACACTACTGGACAATGAAATATCATATTTGAAAAAAGATCGTCACTTTCACGCGTCTGTAACTCCCTTTTCTTTATCGTATTTCTAAATATTAATATTACCATTGTGTAGCCCTTGAAAAGAGCTTTCAGGAAATGTATAACACTAATAGTTTAAACTCAAAGACAACGGAGTTACAGACGCGCAAAAGTGATGATCGTTTTTCAAATATCATATTTCATTGTCCAGTACTGTATCAATCAAAATGTTTACGTATTGAATTATAAAATAATTTTGTCAATAATATATTCAAAGGGTTACTTTCAATTCTCCAACATGATCCTTGTGAGCGTGAAGTGAAGTAAACCATTGTCCCTTTGAAGTAAAGTAAAGTAAACCATTGTCCCTTTGAAGTAAAGTAAAGTAAACCATTGTCCCTTTGAAGTGAAGTGAAGTAAACCATTGTCCCTTTGAAGTAAAGTAAAGTAAACCATTGTCCCTTTGAAGTGAAGTGAAGTAAACCATTGTCCCTTTGTCCCCACCAGCCGTACTAATGACGATTATTTTTATACGTTACAGACGGTTACAGACGCGCGAAAGTGACGATCGTTTTTCAAATATCATATTTCATTGTCCAGTACTGTACTTAGATATTTCGAGTTTTGCAATTTGAAATCTAAAAATAATTTATGAATTTTCAAATTTAATCTGCACCGGATTGTCTGTCTAACTTGAAACATGACTTTTTATAGAAAATTTTCTACATAAAATATATCAAAAGTGTTTTAGAAACAAAATTAGTGAAAACAAATTGAATTCAAGGGATTTAAGAGCACTTTTTTAAAATTCATTTTCATATATTCATTTATTTTTATATAAATTTATATAGATTTATATAAAAGCTCAGCTATTTTTATTTTTTTTTGCGTTTTTTTGAAGCGGTGTTACTGATTTGAACGTTTAAGTGCGTTAGTTGCTCGAAATTGAAACCAAATTGAAACCAATTTCTGAAGTCAATTTCTAGCTTCTTGATTCTTGATTTCAAAGTTGACAAACATTGCATTTAAATTTGTAAACAAGTCAAGTGTAATCACTTTCAACTATTTTAGAAAGCAAATCAAGTTCCGAAGCAAAAATTACAGGAATGCCTGCTTTCGCAAAGGCGGATCGCGGTGATTTCAAAGACTTCATCGAAGCGGCTGAGGTGGGAGATTTTTGAGAAAAAAAAAATTGAAGAAATCGATACTGAAAATGTTTAGTTAGCGATAATTTGCTTAAAATTGGGTAGAACGTAAAGCAATGATGAGTTGGGTTGTTTTGTCAGTGCTTCTTTGAAACCTGAAAACTTTTTGAAGTAAAATTAACTTTTGGAAGCTTAAAAATGTTTATTAACTACTCACTAATAAGCAATATTTGTTAAATTTAGCATGTCAATAAACTTTTTTAGGTAAAAAAGCAGCAACAAGACCGTATCGATCAATTGTTCACGGAAAGACAGGTGAATAACTTTAGCTAACCCCCATCAGTGTCAACAACTTCCAACAACTGACCGCTAAAGTCGTTAAAATTGAAATCTTATTGAAATATAGAAGGGTAAATGAAAAGAAACAAAATATAGTCGTAAAGTTACGGGGGAAGGACTGGAGCCCAACCAACGAATGCATAGCTCGCTTTGAAGACAAGCACCTTATCCGCCAGGCCACCAGCGGCGTCGTGCGAGAAAAGCGTTTTAAGTGAGATGTTGAAAACTTCCATATCTCGCATTCGCTTTTATTCGCTTCCATATCTTTTATCCAAATATCTCACATTTGCGTGAGTCTGGGCAGCTAATTGTAAAATGGTTGATAAGCTTGGGCGATTCTATAAATTCTCCTTGGGCGTCTGGTGGTGGCGAGCCGGGCCACTCTTGTTAGGGTTACTCTGGTGAATAGAATAATAGTAAGCAGATCAAAAATATTGTATGGACAACTGTTTTCTTCATTTCTAGGGTCGAACCACGTCAATGTCCCGTGCCATGCTGGTGAACACTTCGATGGCCACCGAAGAGCCGAAAATCAAAAAGGAGGTCATCGAGGTGGCTTGTCAGGTAGGAGAAAAGGCTGACCAAATAAAAGTCATTCTTATTTGTAAGATCTTTAAGAACATCGATCATTTTTTACGCAGGCTTGGTCAATGGACGATTTATTTTGTGAGTGGAAACCGAATATCCATGTCGAAGTGCAAACGAGGCCGGAAATGGTTGAAGAGCATTCATACGGAGCACAGGTTTGGCTGGTAGTAAACAAAATAGTTCTTTTAAACGCTTTTCAAGGTTTCTTGGATAGAAAACGCGAAAATTGAGGCATTTTTTGTTTTTGAGAACGGGGAAAGAGTTTGGGTTTGAGTTTTGGAGAACATAGTGCTGAAAATGGGATTAGAATTTCGCAAGTGAATCCAGTTTTACATTTCGTTTTACGTAAAAATTTCACACTCGTAAGTTAGCTGATTAAATGTATTCATGAATCGGTATATTGACAAGGAAAGGTGTCCCTATTAATGCTTCTTTCACCACCACGAGCCATGAGCTGATGGTGTAGTGGATAAGGGTCTTGTTTCCAAAACGATCTATCAATTGTTTGCTCGGGTTCGATCCCTTCCTTTTGTTTTCTTTTTATTTTGATGTTTAATTCGCTTGAATTCGCTCTATTTTAAATTTACAATAAGTTTTATGACATCTTTTCATTGAGAACAAACAAATTAACGGAAAATTAACATAGCAATCTATAAAGTGAGGTAAATTGAGGTAAATTGGAGGTAGATTGGTCAATGGGCCAGTTAATAGAAAAATCGCAAAATGCTGATTTGCTCTTGTAAACTCTTGAGTTATTTATTCTTTAGATGGATTAGATTTGGTTAAATTAGTCTTGATAAGTTGAGCTATAGCATGCTAAGAGTAGAGTTTTCAAAAACTTTTTCAACTTTTATGGGAAAAAATTGATCTTAAAAATTTATGGGAAAAAAAGTCGTCCCAAAAAAAAAAAAGTTTCATATTTTTAGATAAAATAGATTTTAGTTCTACTATTTACTACTTTCTTTTTGTGAAATAAATAGGAATTACTAATTAAAACTAATCATTATAAAACATTGATTTAAGAAAGAAAAATTAAAAAGAAAAAAAAACAAATCAGGTTGGCGACTGGTTGCTGCGTCGCAAAAATTACCTCTTTTTGGGCGATGGTGGCGATGATGAAAATTTGATCGAAAATGAAGTGCACTGAATATTCTTTTCTTTCAATTTTAAGCTTTAAGGAGTTTATTTAATGGAAAGAAAAATGCTCAATATATCATTCAGATTCAGAACTAAAAAAATGATATGATCAAATTCAGTTTTAACTGCGTGCAAAAGGATTTTGATAGGGCTTAAGATCTTAAATGAAGTTAATGAAGTTAATGAAGTTAATGAAGTAAATGAAGTTAATGAAGTTAATGAAGTTAATGAAGTTAATGAAGTTAATGAAGTTAATGAAGTTAATGAAGTTAATGAGGTTAATGAAGTTAATGTAGTTAATGTAGTTAATGTAGTTAATGAAGTTAATGTAGTTAATGTAGTTAATGAAGTTAATGAAGTAAATGAAGTTAATGAAGTTAATGAGGTTAATGAAGTTAATGAAGTAAATGAAGTAAATGAAGTAAATGAAGTAAATGAAGTAAATGAAGTTAATGAAGTAAATGAAGTAAATGAAGTTAATGTAGTTAATGAAGTTAATGAAGTTAGAAGTTAATTAGTTAATGAAGTAAATGTAGTTAATGAAGTTAATGAAGTTAATGTAGTTAATGAAGTTAAATGAAGTTAATGTAGTTAATGAAGTTAATGTAGTTAATGAAGTTAATGAAGTTAATGTAGTTAATGAAGTTAAATGAAGTTAATGTAGTTAATGAAGTTAATGTAGTTAATGAAGTTAATGAAGTTAATGAAGTTAATGAGGTTAAATGAAGTTAATGTAGTTAATGAAGTTAAATGAAGTTAATGTAGTTAATGAAGTTAATGTAGTTAATGAAGTTAATGAAGTTAATGAAGTTAATGAAGTTAATGAAGTTAATGAGGTTAATGAAGTTAATGTAGTTAATGTAGTTAATGAAGTTAATGAAGTTAATGAGGTTAATGAAGTTAATGAAGTTAAATGAAGTTAATGTAGTTAATTTAGTTAAGTTAATGAAGTTAATGAAATAAACGAAGTTAATGAAGTTAAAAGTTAAATGAAATTAAAAGAATAAAAGAAAATCGAAGAAAATCGATCGAATTACTTGCTTTTCTCTCTAAAATAATCGTTAAAATTTTGAAAAATGAAATTTCTCAAATTTTCTCAAATTTCTTGCCAATTCATTTTTTGCTTTTTTGCATTTGAAAATTTGATATTCCCATTGATTTGCTACTTGGTTTTCTTTAAAAAAAAAGCCTCAGAGAATTAAAAAGCCTGAGCCTGAGCCTGAGCCTGAATAAACTTATGTTGAGACTCGCTTTTAACCCCTCAGCATCACCTATTTTGAGTTTGAACTTAGAAATCTCCAAAAAAAAAAACTGTAAGTTTCAAAAGTTTGAGTGCTTCTCAGCTATTTTTCTTTAACAATCAGTAGGATAAAAAAAACGTTTAAATTTGTTAATTTTCGCAATGCTTCTCAACCTTTTTTTTGCTGCTTTGAATGGAAAATTTAACCCAAATCAAATCAAAGTGTTCAATGTGGTTTTCGGCACAACAAAAAATAAAATCTTCTAAAGTGTTTTAAGAAATCGAAAAATTTTAGGCATTAGCTGAATCAAATGAAATGGAAATTCAAGTGAGCTGGGATTTGATCGATGAGGGGATACAGGTGGGAGCAAAACAGGAAACAATCCATTTAAAGGGGTGGTAGTCAAAACAGCGCCATAATAGAAAACGTTCAAAACAGCGCCGTCAAATTTCTCACACTCCAAAAACCAAGCCGGTTCAAGTTTTATATCAAAAAATTCCTTGCGTTCTTGGCTACATGATGGGTGAAACAGTTTTTTAAAAAAGTTAATATTTCATAGATAAAAAGAGCACTCAAAATGGGTCTCTAAAGATATTCAGTTAACCAACTGAGTATCACTCGACACACATTTTAAGTGCTCTTTTTATCTATGAAATATTAACTTTTTTAAAAAACTGTTTCACCCATCATGTAGCCAAGAACGCAAGGAATTTTTTGATATAAAACTTGAACCGGCTTGGTTTTTTGGATTTTGAGAAATTTGACTGACGGCGCTGTTTTGACTACCCCCCATTTAAAGGGGTATTAATCGCGGCCGGGTGACGATAAAAATTTTTTACGGCAACCACCTGTTTTTTTATTTTAATATCGCTGATTTTATTATAAAAAGAATAAAGATCACCCGGCTAGAGTGATTTGATGGGTTTACAAATTTTTGAGGCGCTGGGAGGGGGGGGGGAAAAAAAGAGGTTCTCCCCCCCCACCCCCCCCCACCCAAACGCCCCCCATTTGAGAAAACTAAAACCACAAGCGACCACAAATGGAAAAAAGATCTAATTGTGTCGATTAATACCCCCCTTTAAAGGCAAAATACAGAGCCAGGGTTGTTTACAAAAAAAAAAGAATCACCACCTTTTTTGAAAAACGTTTAGCTTGATCTTCTGAATTAACCAAAATCTTTAAGATCTTTAAGATCTTCTGAATCTTCTGAATTAACCAAAATAGAATAGAACTTTAATGGTTCTAGTTCGTTTTAAACAAAAGAATACCAAAAGAAAGCTTTAAACAATAGATAAAGATCTCTAAACTCTTTGATCTCTTCGAACATTTCAAAGAAAAAAATCTCTAGTGCACATCAGACTACACGGATTCCGAAGTACAAACGAGTCTCGAGTGTGTCGATGAGGGGATTCAGGTGTAATTGAAACTAGCTAAATTTTGATTAAACATTTTGATTAAACATCTTCTGATCATCTTCCGATTTGTCATTTATTTAATTGTCATTAAAGAAATGATTCTAGTTCTCAAATTTGAGACCCTTTCAAATCTCAATTCAGGTTTGGTCATCGATGGAGGAAGTTTCGACACAGTATGACCCAGAATTTCTTGAGGGAATTCACGTGCAAACGCAAGCCATCGAAATTGAGGTAAGATTTTGAGTAAGAATGAAAAACAAGTAAAAGATAAGAGGCCGTTTGTTTCAAAAAGTTTTTCACTTAATTAGCATCAAAGCTCTTTACTTAATTAGCACCAAAGCTTTTCACTTAATTCAATCGAATTTGAAACTCGAAATTTTTCTAGGAACGCGGCTGTCAGTGTGAACCGTCGACTTCGGGGTCAGTTTTTTGCAGGATTGGTTCTACATTTGTAGAATAGAGATCTACATGTAGAATATACATCTACATGTAGAATAGACAGTCTTTCTAGACAGTACAGTATCAAAGTATGTAAAAATTCTTCAGCGTAACTGAGATCGGCACTCAACCCGAGGTCTCGATGCTTTATCATGAGATTGACGATGATGAGGATTTGAGAGATGATCTACCGAGCACACCAACGGTTCGATTTAGAAAACGAGTTTTTGGAATATTAAACCACTCATGGAATATTAAACCAATCACTATATTAAACGATATTGTTCAATGTTCACAAAAAAAAGTTCCCCATTTCAACTCAAATTTCTGAAAAGTTCTGAAAAGAAAAGTAGTGTGAAAGCTGTTTTTTTTGGCTTTATTTCAACCGAAATGCCGAATGATTAAATTAATAGGGGAAAGGCTTAAGTTGTAAAATATTTAGCTTCAATATTTAGCATGAATATTTGACAATTCGACATATTCCATTCAAATTCAGCAATCAGTGATGTCATCGGTGAGTGAATGGTCGCTTTTCGAGGGGCTTGATTCAGAGGATGAAGCGATACGAAAAGAAGAGATGAAATTGCAAAGGGAAGCACCCGGTCAGTTGGAAGAGAGTTCAAAGATTTGCGAATACTCCAAGACTAGCTCTGGAGCTGCACTAGCTCTGGAGCTGCACTAGCTCTGGAGCTGCACTAGCTCTGGAGCTGCACTAGCTCTGGAGCTGCACTAGCTCTGGAGCTGCACTAGCTCTGGAGCTGCACTAGCTCTGGAGCTGCACTAGCTCTGGAGCTGCACTAGCTCTGGAGCTGCACTAGCTCTGGAGCTGCACTAGCTCTGGAGCTGCACTAGCTCTGGAGCTGCACTAGCTCTGGAGCTGCACTAGCTCTGGAGCTGCACTAGCTCTGGAGCTGCACTAGCTCTGGAGCTGCACTAGCTCTGGAGCTGCACTAGCTCTGGAGCTGCACTCGACTGACGACGAGTCAGCCAGAGATCAGGCCAGAGATCAGCCAGAGATCAGGCCAGACAACCAGTGCGACTTATGACTATTGGGAATTAGATTTAGAAAGAAAGAAAAGAAATTCAATTAGTTTTCCACAATTTAGTGCAAGATTTTAGGCTAAAATTTGGCTTAAAAACTTTAAAATCACTAAAAAATGATAAGCTATTGTTAAAACAAATGAAAAAGAAAACGTAGCCTTTTCCGCTAGATTTGCTAATTGGTTTTCTTTAAAAAAAGCCTCAGAGAATTAAAAATTTGAATAAACTTATGTTGAGACTCGCTTTTAACCCCTCAGCATCACCAACACGCTAGATACCAATATTGTTTTCCCTTTGTACCATTTCACTGGCTTTACTTCGTAATAAAGCTTTGTTTTCTTTTGCAGAACTCGAAAATATTCGACGTCAATTTGACGAGTGGTCATCAGGTAGAAAATAACTCGTCCCATGAAACTCTAAATACTCAATAATTTTCAAAAAATGTCTACCATTGAGATTCAATCACTTACCAAATCTTCACTTTCTTTGAAACTCGTTTTTTTTTAAAAAAACCTCATACCCAAAACCTTTTTTTCCTATAATTTCCCCTGAAAGATACCGTATCTTACAACAAAACTAAAGATATTCAGGCAATAAACTTATCGAATTATTTAGATATGTCTGATATAGATCCATTGGGTGCTGAGATGGAGGAGAAAGAAAGGAAAAGGCTGTGGTCGGAAAAAGTGAGTTTCAAATTAAACAAAATAAAAACAGTTTTTTGATCAACTAATCAAATTGCAACCAGCATTTTCCGCAAAAGCCTAAAGAGAACAAATAGGATAAATAGCTGTTTTATCGAGACAGCTAGCTAAAGGCCTGCCAGAGGCTACATCTACCCATTCCACCACGAGCCGGAAGGCGAACAGCCGCGGAACATCAGCACCAAAAAGAATTTTCTTGAATGCTCTTTTCTTGCATGATACCTGAAAAAATACAATAAAATAAAATAAAAAATACAATATTATGGACGTATAAGTATTTAAAAGTGTAACCACAGTTAATAAAGATAGAGTTGATAAAGATAAAGGCAATAAAGATAAAGTTAATAAAGATAAAGTTAGTAAAGATAGAGTTAATAAAGATAAAGTTAATAAAGATAAAGTTAATAAAGATAGAGTTAATAAAGATAGAGTTAATAAAGATAGAGTTAATAAAGATAAAGTTAATAAAGATAACGTTGATAAAGATAAAGTTAATAGAGATAAAGTTGATAAAAATAAAGTTAATAAAGATAAAGTCAATAGGTGCCTAAAACTTTTTCAAAAAACAGTGGGTTTCGGAATTAAACAAATTCAAAACCATTATTGATCAACTAAGACGCGATTTTATTAATCCGAGTTGTCGAAATTATCGAAATCCGAGTTGTTTCAGGTTCGCTTACATGAGGAAAAGTTGCGCAAATTGGAAGAGAGGAAAAAGCAGAGGTGAGCTTGGTGAAAGAAGTATCAATTGAAAGTTTAGAAAACAGAGTAATCTGAGCAAATTTGAAACTTTCAAATTTTCATCAAAATCAAAATCAAAACTTTTTCAATGAATTTCGGATTTTGACAGTTTTGCATATTACAACTGTAAAAAGTGATTGTAGCTTGAATATCTTGAAAGTTAATACTTAAAAACAACCATTTCTTTCCTAGTAACCAAATTTTAGAGATGAAAAGCGACAAAAGAAACGCGAAGAGTACGAGGCGATGAAAAAACAGAGACAGGTTGGCGATTTGGATCAATTTTTAGATCAGATTTCAAGATTTAAAACAAGATTTTATTGGATTGGTGAATTGAAAAAACAAGATGGGTTGGTGAATTGAATTGAAAAAAAGCATCTGAGCACATGATAACAATTCTTGTTGTAAACTGTGAAAGCTATTGGATTGGTGAATTGAAAACTGCGGGCTATTGTCATATGTGACAGTTTGAGCACTTTCTTCAAAAGAAACCCATTTTGGTGTCAATGGAAAAGTTGTAGAGAATCAAAAATCAAGCTTATATCCAAATTTTCAGAACGATTCAGAAACTGGTTTTCAAGAAATGCCAAATTTACACAAAAGAAATGCCAAATTTTCACAAAATTTGCATTTTAAGCGAAACTACTAAGTGTATCTTTTTGGAAATTTGGCTATAAGCCTCATTTTTGATTCTCTACAACTTTTCTATTGACACCAAAATGGGTTTCTTTTGAAGAAAGTGCTCAAATGCTCAAACTGGGACATCTCCAGTCCTCCATTTTTGAGTCTCACACTTGTCTCACACACAAACCAAAATCCTACCACGAAAGAGGAATCCGCAAATAGCCTGTAAAATGGGCAGAAGTCGTCAATAATAATGGAAATTATTTCGAATGAATTCATGGTTTTATGTTGAATAAATTTTAGTTCAAAGTCCCGCAGTTTTCAATTGACCAACCCAATAGAATCTTAAAACGATAGTGGTTTAGCCAAGGCTTCCCGACGCTTTGAATAATCATCAGAACTATCAGAAATTGTAGAAAACAGTTACCTTATATATAACAAGTTATATAACAATATATAACAAGTTTTAAAGATTTCTAAAATTTTAAATTTTAGGAAGAACGCGAGAAACGTCGGAAAGCGAAAGAGGAAGAAAGGCAAAAAATGAGGAATCAAATTCGTTTCATGAAAAACAGTGGAGATCAGGTGAGAAGGGAATTTTGGGGAAAAGACTCGAGAATTGAGAATGGGATTTGTTCGAAATTGATTGGAATCAAAAAAAAAAAGTGAAGTTTTTCAATGATAATTCTAGACTGATCACCTAGCTGAATTCGATGAGAAACCGGAAATCGAGCAGAGTTCAGCCACCACACAAACGTTTGAAGCCGAGAAATTCGGCAAAAGGACACAAACGAAATTGACTAGGTTTTACAAAATTAAAATTGACTGACTAGGTTATATGTAAATCAAGAATTAAATTAGATTAATCAAAATTTGAATATGATTATTTTTGAAACAAAAGATTCCAGCATTGAGCCCTCCGAGCTGCAAGCTTTGCAAAAGAAACAACAGGTGAATTTCAAGGAAATGTTCAAAAACGAGATTTTTAAGCAGATTTTCTAAGGGATAGAGAAGGGATTTAAAGAGATTTAAAGAGGTTTGAAGAGGTTTAAAGAGGGTTTAAAGAGATTTAAACAGGTTTAAAGAGAGGTTTAAAGAGGTTTAAAGAGGGTTTAAAGAGGTTTAAAGAGGGTTTAAAGAGGGTTTAAAGAGATTTAAAGAGGGTTTAAAGAGGTTTAAAGAGATTTAAAGAGGTTTGAAGAGGTTTAAAGAGGTTTAAAGAGGGTTTAAAGAGATTTAAAGAGGTTTAAAGAGATCTAAAGAGATTTAAAGAGGTTTAAAAAGATGTAAAAAGACTTAAAGAGATGTAAAAAGATTCTGTAAATCTCTTTACCTTTTCTAGTCTCACCGCTCATCGACTCTGACCGCAATGGGCCCATCGTTCTCGGCTGTGACCGTCTCTCTCTCCTCACTCCCACCATCACCACAGGTTTCAAAGCAATTCTAAAGCTTTATTTATAACAAAAAAATACTTGATTTCAGTAATAATAATAATAAAAAAGAGCCAGAACACACAAAAATGACAGTTTCATTTACACAGTTTGAAATTAATCGAAAGAAAAAGAAAAAAATAGTACCGTGCTTGATTTGAACGCTTGAACAACCACAAAATAGACAAAGACAGGTCAAAAGAAAAATTATTGCATGACAGCTAGTCTAATATAGTAGCAAAACTAATATAGTAGCATTTCTATCACTAAATATATATATACTTTATCCGACAAGGAAAAGTGACAATGCAAACAGATTGAACAGCGTAGACGAAGAAAGATAATTGATATACAAACACAACTACAATTAGACACGTGTATATATGACATTAAAAACTAATTTAAAATTGACAGAGCTACAAGATCGAGCTTATATATTGAGGATTTAAAATAGTTCAGAGACGAAAAAATATCACAAGGTAACTTATTAAAGACTTTAAGCTTAATAAAAAGGATAAAAAAAATGAAATAAAAAAGAAAATTTCAATTATAAACTTGAAATTTCAATTTAGCCACCATTAGCTGGAGAGAAACCGATCGAGAAAACGAGACAAGACAGCGATGGGTTGCCCGTTGTCGAGGTGAGCTTTCGAAGAGAAAACCTCGTCTTTCAAAGAAGCTTTTCAGCTTTTCAGCTTTTTTTTGCTTTTGTCAAAAAAACTAGATTTCTTTAATATGCTAAAATTATGCTCATTTTTCATAGGTTTCGGCCGATTTCAATTTCGTGAAGATCCCCGTTGACGAGTATGGAATCGAGGTTTTCTCGTCGGATGACTACGATAAAGAGGTGTAAAATTGATCTTAAATCGACAATTCACGGAAAAACACAAAAAACAATAGTTTTTTTTGGCAATTCTGGTAATTTTTTTTACAATTTGTTACTTTTTAAAATCATTGTAACATTGTGAGACGCGCCTCATCCCTTAAAGATGTGAAACGAAAGAATAAGAGACAGAAATTCGCTTAATCAAAGCAAAATTTTAAAAATCAACCATGAAAGGACAGTTTATTGATAGAAAAAACGTTTATCAGACATTTGAAATGCGCCCCACCCCTTTTCCCATTAGCAATCCAACTTTGAACTCGAATTTCTTGGTGTTCGGCTTTCCAATTTCAACATTCTTTGTATCATTAGATTCGTCAAGTCTTTTTCTATCGATTGGTAGAAAAAAATATTTAAATTGCACAGCTGAACGCGAAGATATTTGAGTTGAAAGTTAGATTGCCAATGGCAAAGGAGGCGGAGCGACGGACCTTTCATACGCGCCCCGTTTCTTTGCCATTGACAATCCAACTTTGAACTCAAATATCTTCATGTTCAGTTGTGCAATTTAAATATTTTTTCTACCAATCGATAGAGAAAGACTTGGCAAATCTAATGATACAAAGAATGTTGAAATTGGAAAGCCGAACACCAAGAAATTTGAGTTCAAAGTTGGATTGCTAATGGGAAAAGGGGTGGGGCGCGGATCAAATGTTCGATAATCTTTTCAAAAAGAAGAATCGGTTCAGGTCGGCGACGACAACGTTTTCTACTCTGATGAGGAGGATATGAAAGAAATGGAAGCCTATTCGATCAATCAACAAACACAAACAGAACAACCACAAAATAGACAAAGACAGGTCAAAAGAAAAGCTAGTCAAAAACTAATATAGTAGCATTTTTTGATTGTTTAGAATAAATCACAAAACGAGTTAGTACTTTTGAAAAGGATTCTTTTAGACGCAAGTCTCCGCAGTGTCATTGGGTCTTTTATGTGAAGGGATCACTCAGACGACTGTTAGCGGTTTTAAACAAGTCATTCGAGTGAGTTTAAGAATGTCTTCATTGATTGCTTGATTGGCTGATCATTATTAACATAACTATAGCAGTTTTCTAAAAACAAGCAATTAATTGCTTTCTTTTCAGCCAAAACTTCCTCGTCAAGAGCGAATCTCGATGACAGAAGTTGTTGAACAAGTTCTTGAACAACATGAGCTGATTGGAGAGGTTTGGAAAAGAAATAAATAAATTGAAATTGAAATAAATTGAAAAAATTTGGTTTAGAAAATAAAAAGACCGAACTGAGCTAATAAATCAATTTGAAACTAATTCTAATTTCAATCATTTAGCTTTGCTATTGTTTACCCTCGTTAGGATTTTGTTTTTCATTGATTTAAACTTCTTTTTGAAACATACTGAAAAACTGAGGACAAATCAAGAACTTCTAAATCATGAAATGACAGGCAACTATTTAGCCGTCATCAAGTGACCAAACGGCGACAAGTGAAGCCGAATCGGCAAAGGAATCCGAAGCCGAAGTATCGGATGAATGGAGACAGAGATTGTCGAGAAAAGAGACCTTATCAGAAAAGAAAAGCTTCGAGGTAAATGCAGAGCTTCGGATTTCGGAATGTAAAGCTTTTCATCTTTAGATAATGGTCCCAGAAATCGCGATCGGTGATGAGGAGATCTATTTCCAAAAAGAAACCGGAGCACAAACGGAGAGAAGCGGTTTTATGAGAAAGGTTTGTGAACCGATTGTCATTGTCACAAAAGAAAGGCCAAAATTTACTTTTTACAACTTTAAAATAACTTAAATCTTTAAATCCGGGGTCTAAATTAGGACCGAAACGACTAAAACAAAATTATCAGCAATTAGATGTAGTAATTTCATTGACAAATTCATTGACATTTGACAATGACATTTTTTTGACAAAGACAATGTAAAAATGGATAAAACAAATCAGTTTATCAAGATGAAAACCCGTTTTTGGCTCAGTTTCAGCTTTAAGTCTTGGCTAGTTTTGGCTAGTCGTATCTTGGCTAGTTTTTATTTAACAAAATGCTGAATTTTTTTGCAAAAACACAGCCAAATTCAAGACAAGACACAAGACAAGACATAATTCAGACAATTTTATTTAGGTTTAATTTAATACAAAACTTATATACAGTCATGGACAAAAGTCTTTTAACATTGGTTTTTGAGAAGTTTGTTCTTTGCATATCTTGGTCCAGATCCGAGCAATTTGCAAACGGTTAAAAGATTTAAAGAGCTTATTATCTCTAATTTTAACATTACAAAAAGATGGATTTAACAATTTATCAGGTGTCATGAACCTTTTAATAAAACAAAAATTGGACCAAAAATTGAAGGACAAAAGTCTTTTAACATTTGAGAAAAACATTATGAAATCAATACTTAGTGGGTCCTCCGTGAGCCGCCATTCCTGCTTGAATTCTCCTTGGCATGCTGTCAACCAGATCACGTAGAATTTGGGGTCAAATAGTTGTCCAGACTCGACGGATGAAGTACCAAAGCTCCACTTTTGATCCGAATAGTTTCCCTTCAATTTCGACTTCACAAACTGCACAATCGTTCAGCCAATCTTTATGATTTTGGTGTCATTTTGTTGCACTTATTGACATCTATAAAATGAAACCAAAATCATAAAGATTGGTTCACTTAGAAAAAAGTTATGGTGAGTTGCGCAAATAACACGGCGTCCCTTGAGCAGCTGTGACTTGTGGCACGGGGCATTGTCCTGGTACAACAACCAACCTTGGTCATATTTGCGGTCGAAAACGGTAGAAGATCATTCTCCAGAATCGTCTTGTAGCGTTGAGCATTCAGCGTTAAGTTTAGAAGGACGAGTGGACCCAGTGAATTTCTGGACATTGCTCCTAGAAATCAGAAAATGAGTAGGCCAAAAACAAGGTTCCTACCCCATAGCATGATCGATCCGCCACCATATTTTGCACATTAAATACTTGCGTCCTACAGTTAAAATGTTGGTGTAAAATATGGTGGCGGATCGATCATGCTATGGGGTAGGAACCTTTGTTTTTCTGGAGAATGATCTTCTACCGTTTTCGACCGCAAATATGACCAAGGTTGGTTGTTGTACCAGGACAATGCCCCGTGCCACAAGTCACAGCTGCTCAAGGGACGCCGTGTTATTTGCGCAACTCACCATAACTTTTTTCTAAGTGAACCAATCTTTATGATTTTGGTTTCATTTATAGATGTCAATAAGTGCAACAAAATGACACCAAAAATCATAAAGATTGGCCGAACGATTGTGAAGTTTGTGAAGTCGAAATTGAAGGGAAACTATTCGGATCAAAAGTGGAGCTTTGGTACTTCATCCGTCGAGTCTGGACAACTATTTGACCCCAAATTCTACGTGATCTGATTGACAGCATGCCAAGGAGAATTCAAGCAGGAATGACGGCTCACGGAGGACCCACTAAGTATTGATTTCATAATGTTTTTCTCAAATGTTAAAAGACTTTTGTCTTTTTTCAATTTTTGGCCCAATTTTTGTTTTATTAAAAAGTTCATGACACCTGATAAATTGTTAAATCCATCTTTTTGTAATGTTAAAATTAGAGATAATAAGCTCTTTAAATCTTTTAACCGTTTGCAAATTGCTCGGATCTGGACCAAGATATGCAAAGAACAAACTTCTCAAAAACCAATGTTAAAAGACTTTTGTCCATGAATGTATAAAAAACAAGTTTTAAGACAAAAATTGATCTGCAAAATTTGGGCATAGTAAAGTCGAGAACAGTGGAGAAAAGCGGAAAATCCCCGGCATTAGCCGTTCCAACAGGGACACCTATCTATCGGCCGCGTGTGCCAGATGGCGAGCGATTACACCGCACACCAAAGAACATCTCGCCAGTCATTTACGGATTCCTCTTTTGCATTGTAAATAGCTCCAAAAGAAGCTAGTCAACTGATAATTTGTATAAGAATTTTATATCACTTCACCCAGCTGCTGATAATTTGGATTTAATGAGAAACGGGCTTAATTCGAGCCATTTATAGGAGTTATCGCGAAAGTCAGACGAAATCGAGCAAACTGATGAGATCGTTCGTTTCATGGTGACTGGCACGAGTCAAACTGGTCAGAATTGATTCTATTACAATTCAATTACAATTCATCGTCTAAACGTTTCAAAAAACTTCAACTATTACCGTATTTTCTGTAATAGTAGTGCGCACTACTATTTTTTCAACCCCCCTCCAGCCTGCACTACTATTATAGACTACACTACTATTACAGACTACACTACTATTACAGACTACACTACTATTACAGAAAATACGGTATATCGAATATTAAGTGAAATTGAAGAAATAAGAAAAAATTTCCTTTTAAAAACTCGGCGAGACTTTTCAGACTTTTCCTATGAGTCAAATGGCGCGCAAACCGAGGATTTCCCGAGAAGCGATGTGGTAAAAATTTGAGCTTTTAGCTTTTAAGAGCTTTTAAAAGATTTTACGGTTATAAGTTCTTGAATTCTTTTTTTTTTTTTAGGAATCACAAACTTTTGTTGAATGTGCTGATTTCTCGGAGCAAACAATGATTGAATATGCGACAACAAGTGCGCAGAGTGTCGTCACAAAAATACATGAACAAGTGGGTGAAGGCTTGAGAAATCTTTGCAAATCCATTTGTAAATAGTTTTTGCACTTGAAACTCTACAATTCGAAGTCACTGAATACCACAATTCACTCCCAAATTGCTATCAAAAAATTGTAACTTTTAAAGGGCAGACAGTTTTTCAAATATCTAACTTTAAATTTCAGATTTGAACTTTGAAAGAAATCATTTTTTTCCTAAGAAAATGATCAAATAAATAAAAATAAGATACCGTATTCTCTCTAATAGTAGTGCACTCTCTAATAGTATTGCGGTTCGAGAGGGGGTTAAAAAAATAGTAGTGCACCCTCGAAAATTTGAATTTCTGGTGCTTCTTTTTCATCTAAACCTTTTTGACTTTATGTTTATGTGAAATTCTAAAGCTATTCAAGCAAGCAAATGTGAGGATTTTTTTTATTCATTTATTAACTATTCTTCACATGAAAAAGTTAGCAAAAATCTAAAAATCTAAAATTGTTTTGCAAAGTGCAAAAACATCTTTTTGTTGTTTGTCAAGACACAAATTGTCAACTCGCCGGCCCACAACTGTATGTCAAAAGGAGCCAAAGGAGTACGTGAAACGAACGTGAAAGAATTGCAAGAATTTTTGGAACAAATCTTATATCTGTCTTACTTTGGTAAATGATAAAACTCTTTAATAGTAGTGCACTCTCTAATAGTATTGCGGTTCGAGAGGCGGTTGAAAAAATAGTAGTGCGCACTACTATTAGAGAGAATACGGTAAATACGGTAAGTTTGTTTTCATAAAACTTGTAAATTCCTTTTGCTGAATGAAAGGGAATCGAGTTATCGAGTACAATCGAGTCGAGTACTGTACTCGACTCGATTGTACTCAGATTCAGCCTTTGTACTGTACAAAATTATCAGCGCTAAAGTGCTATAGCTAAAGACTATAGAAAAACGGCACTTTAGCGCATTAATCTTCAAGACGATTTTTCTCTGTTTTAGTAGGTACAGTAGCGGACATTAACTTACGATATTTTTTCTTCTTATCATAATTTTTATTTTCTAAACACGCAAATGAGCTAAAAATCAAACCGACCCATAACGACCACGGGACGGCTAGGCTTACGTTATATAGGGGTTTACGTTATATAAGTGCCGTTTTATATGCTTAACGTCGGCGGGGGGCCGGTCCGCCTACGTTATAGAGAGGTTTACGTTATATCGAGGTTCGTTATAGAGAGGTTCGACTGTAATTGTGTAAAAACAATTGTATTTTGATATTCTGAGTTCAAAAACTTAATAGCATTTGAAAAAATTCTTTTAGAACAAATTTAGAACAAAATTCTTTTAGAACAAAACTCGCGACGACATTAGCTTACGATATTTTGGTTTCAGTTTCAGATAGGTACACGAATTTCAGAAAACTACAGTTCAGATAGGTAGTTCAACTTTGACACCAATTTTCTCTATGTTCTTACACTTGAGTATACAAAATAAATTGTAGTTTTCTATAACCAAATTTAATGAGGATCATTTTAAGACCAACCTTAAGTCGATCTGGTAATTGGAAGTCGAATTATAGAGTAAAATAGAAAAGTGCGCTAAAGTGCTATAGCTAAAGACTATAGAAAGACGGCACTTTAGCGCACTTCTTCAAGACTGCTTTTCTCTATGTTTTCATCAATGAGTATACAAAACAAATTCGACTTCTCTATAACCAAATTTAATGAGGATTCGATTAAAACCAACCATAAGTTGATTCAATTTCTATACCTCGAGTTATAGACCGTCAAAGTTGATCAACAATGAAATATGATATTTGAAAAAAGATCGTCACTTTCGTGCGTCTGTAACTCCCTTGTATTTATCGTATTTCTAAATATTAATATTACCATTGTGTAGCCCTTGAAAAGAGCTTTCAGAAAATGTATAACACTAATAGTTTAAACTCAAAGACAACGGAGTTACAGACGTGCGAAAGTGACGATCGTTTTTCAAATATCATATTGTCATTGTCCAGTACTTTAGTTCAACTTTGATACAAATTTTCTCTATGTTTTCTTATTTTCTGTTTTCTCTATGTTCTCGCACATGAATATACAAAATAAATAGTAGCTTTTTTATAACGAATTTTAATAAGGATCATTCAGGCGATGACGAGCGTCGACACAACTGACACAGCACAAGATATCCGTTTCATGGTCTCATCGAGTACGCAATTCGAATTGGATTTGAGGGATGTCGAGACACAGGTTCAGATCAAATTTGTACCTGTAGCCTGTACACAAATTCACAAATTACGGTCTAGTTGAGAGTTTATTGGCGAATTTTGCTGACATTAGCATTTGATTGAAAAAAAAACTATGAACAGATTAGACAAAATCGTCTATATCTAGCCTTTCCAATTTGCTAAATGAGCAAAAGAACCTTTTGTTTATCAAAAGAATTTGATAAACAAAAGTCTTTGTTCTATTTTACCGCTTTTACGGTAGAATAGAACAAAGATTTGTTGGTTTAGTGGAATTACTGTGCCATTTGTGTCATTACACACTGTTCATTATAGATCAGCGCTACGGGCTGCCCTTTCAAATCTTGAAGATTGAGAGCTCTGACAGACTTCTTAGCTCTGACACTTTGAGAGCTCTGACAGACTCCTTAGCTCTGACAGACTTCTTAGCTCTGACAGACTTCTTAGCCCTGACAGACTCCTTAGCTCTGACAGACTTCTTAGCCCTGACAGACTCCTTAGCTCTGACAGACTTCTTAGCCCTGACAGACTCCTTAGCTCTGACCGTAACTGTTAGGCCTCTTAGATGTAATTATAAATACTAATTATAAAGTTAGTAACCCCAAAGTAACACTGAAACTGAAATACTGAAACAACACAGAAATAATCCTTCTGCATGGCCTAATTGTAAGCTTACTTTTCAATTTTTACTATTAGATCTGCCCAACGATGGCCACGATTTCAACGGAATACTCCATTGACACAAAAGAAGCGTCGACGACCGTAAAACCCGAAGTGTCGAGTGTTGAGGCAAGAAAAAAAACTAAAAAACTCAAAAAAAAAGACTAACGAAAACATTGTGTCTGAAAGTTAAGCGCTCTAAAATAAATAAAGAGGGAATAATTCTTCCGTGTTAAGTAAAAGTAAAAGTAAAAGTAAAAGTAAAGTAAAGTAAAAGGGTAAAAAAAATAATAATGCTTCCTAGGCATGAATAAAATAAAAACTTTAAATAAATAAAATAAACTTTTGCCTGGACACTCAGTGCCCTTTATAGAATCGGATATGAGGAACCCGAAACTGAAATCAAAATCTACCAAATGACTTTCCAGGCGTGTAAAACTTCAATCGAAAATTTGACATCAAAACAGACGCTTTAAAATGAGAAAAATGAGCAATGAGATAAAAGTGCGTTGGTGGCCTAGTGGATACCGCATTAGACTTCCGGACACAGGATTCGGGTTCAAGCACTTCAATTCAATCAGTTTTTTTGTTCAATCAGTTCAATCAGTTCAATCGGTTTTTTGTTTTTGTTTTTCTTTTGAAGCAACATTTAGGATTTTGCAATTAATGAATTATAGTTTTTCTTTTAATTTCTTTTTCGATTTTCGATTCAATTGAAGAATTTCAAATTTTCGATTGAAGTTTTACATGCTTGGAAAGTCATTTCACAGATTTTCGTTTCGGATTCGGATTGCTCATATCCGATTCTACCTCATGTCCGATTCAGATTCGGATTCCTCATATCCGATTCTACCTCATATCCGATTCAGATTCGGATTCGGATTCCTCATATCCGATTCTACCTCATATCCGATTCAGATTCGGATTCCTCATATCCGATTCTACCAAGTGCAGACAAAAAGCTCACCTTGAGTTCGTGCTTTTTCCCTAGTTAAGTGAAAAATAATCAGCCAACAGATTCAGCAGGAAAAAGACTAGAGAAAAGATTTGCAAATAGCACAATTTTTCCATCTTCCACAATTTTGATGCAATATGGGTATGGGTTCCCGTACAATTTTTGAAGAGCTCTACGGTAGATGGAGTGTTCTTCTAGATTTCCTGCGTCCCGCAAGTCTCCTCCACGGGCAGTTCAACGACAAAAACGATCTTCTCAGAGACTTCAATTCAAGCTGTCGTCGAGATGGCTGATCGACAAACACAGGTCTTTCTTTTGATTTAATTAAATAATTGAGTCAAGTAGTTTTAGTTTTAAAATGAAATGAGCAATCAAAGAGAGAGACTGAGCCTCAGAGAACTGAGGCTCTCAGAGACTGGGCCTCAGAGAACTGAGGCTCTAAGAGACTGAGCCTCAGAGAACTGAGGCTCTCAGAGACTGAGCACTTAAAGTGGTTTCAGAAACCAGCTTTGGTTTCAGAAATTTACAAGATAATTGTTTAATTTTATCGAAGATCTTGTGAATTTTGTAAAAGTTAATAAAAACAAAATAAAACTATCATTTTAATAAACTTTAGACTCACGTTCCTTTGTGTTATTGAGGTTAATCTAGAATCCCCTCCTCCTCCTTCATAACTCTCAATCGAAAACCCATCTAAATCAAATCCTGAATCTAAACCAAAAACTATAGCTTCCCTTTACTTTTCAGTAACTCTTAAAGTCTCATTTTTATCCCAATTCACTCCAAGTTCTTTAAATTTTCCTTCATAAAATGTTTATAAACCTTTTTTCACTTCAAAACTAGTTACCTTTTGACCTTTAGATTCATCAGAACTCTTTGAACTTACTAAAAAACCCAATCCTAAAAATACCCTAAAATCTCCCCCAAAATTCCAGATAAAATCCTACTACGTGAGCACACAAGCCGGCCCATCCGAGCCCGAAAAAGAGTCAGTCGAGGTACAAACGGATGAGCACCCGGATTGGATGGAATACCCGTCACAAGCGCTTTGGTCTGACTTCGACGTAGTGTTGGGAGAAGAGCAGACAGCCACCGAGCCGGATGCTTCATCCGATGGTGGACTTCTCGAGGGGGACGCGTGGGTCGAAGAGTTGATGGGCCCACCGCTATGGTCGGACTTTGACGTGGTGATCGGTGATGAGAAAAGCCAAACCCAGTCGGAGATTCCCTCAGAGGCGCCATCGATGGCGCAAAGTCGTGAGAATTTGAATCGACGAGGAGAGAGGAGACGCTTTGAGGAGTTCGGCGCACAAACGGACCCAATCGAGCGACACGATCGAGCGATCGGGACAGACGATCAGAAATGGAAGAAGGCCGGTGATCAATGAGAAGCACGAGCATGATCACACAGGTGCTAACTTCACTAACTGTTTGTTTTGAAATTGAAATCTAAAGATGCTTTTGCTCGAGTCGATGAAAATGAAAAAACTATAAAATGAAAATTTTCGTGAAATCATTTGCAGATGAGATTGAGAAAAGACGATTAAAAATAACCGCACTTTTTAAAAGTTTGATTAGCAATTGAACGAATAATTAATTCATTGTTTGCTTAAAATTTTGTAATTTGGCATTTATTAGGCTTTCCAAAAAGTCTTTTCGTTTCTTTTTTTATTGAACATTGAAAACAAACAACAAGCAAACATTGAAAACAAATTCTTATCGTTTCCTCGAAATAAAAAGTGTTTATTGTTCAATTTCTCATCTTTTTAAATCAATTTGCGTTAAAAACCCAACTTTTAGAGATGGGAATTCATTTTTTTAGGGAGTGGGACAAATGCGACCTTTTTTTTGCGCACCCGGACATTTGCGCACCTTTTTTTCCGCACCTTGCCCATTAGCGCACCTTTTTTCGCGTTTTAAAAAAGCTCTAAAAGCTAATATTAACCAATTTCTATTCCAAAAGTTGTTTTTTTAGGTAATTTCAGGACGTAGAATCGAAATTTTGACATATCAGAGCTTGTGGAAACAAACGGACGGAGTTATACAAAGAGAAAAATCGATAATTTTCTGTAATTTGATCTAGCCGTTTTGTCTTTCAAATTGGTCCCACACGCTCTGATATGTCAAAATTTCGATTCTACGTCCTGAAATTACCTAAAAAAACAACTTTTGGAATAGAAATTGGTTAATATTAGCTTTTTAGAGCTTTTTTAAAACGCGAAAAAAGGTGCGCTAATGGGCAAGGTGCGGAAAAAAAGGTGCGCAAATGTCCGGGTGCGCAAAAAAAAGGTCACATTTGTCCCACTCCCTTTTTTTAACGGTTTTAACGCTGTAACTATTTCATTAATACTTTTTCAATTCATTTTGGACAGAAAAAAATCCAATAAACACTTTTTATTTAGAGCAGTTCAATTGATGTAATTCAATTCAAATTGTTCAATTGTTCAATTGTTGCTTTTAAACGAAAGTACGAAAAGAAACGAAAAGCCTTTCTGGACAGTTTTATATAAAATCACCACTGACAAATGAGCACTGGATGTAAATGGGTTTTATTTCAACTTTGCAAGCGATTGCAAGCAATTGCAACCACTTTTATAAGTTTCTTTAAAAATCTTTACCTTTCAGCTATTCCTGGACGAATTGGAGAAAGAGAAGAAAGCGAAAAGAAGAGATATCGGCATACAGACAGGAGTACTTTCAAGAGTTGAGCATTTATATGGAAAGAAAGTCACTCTGACGAGTGAAGAGGACGAGGCACAACATTCACAGGTATCGTTATGGATAAAGTTCATAGAGTGCCTTTTTCTAAAATGCACCCAAACTACTGTAGTCAAACCGTCAGTTTTTAGCTTATTTTTGCTATTATTCGATGAAAAATCATTATACTCGTTGAATTTCGTTTACAAGTTCATTTAAGGTATCTCCAGAGATTCTAAAAATAGCAAAACCAAAATCTTGTGGAGGTATGGGGAATTGAACCCCAGACCTCTCGCATGCTAAGCGAGCGCTCTACCACTGAGCTATACCCCCGTGCTTCTGGGTTACTTGAAAAGAGGTTTAGGTAAGAAAAGAGATTTCATTTACCAGTATTTGACTTGCATGAATTATTGATTTAAAATTCGTTTTTGAGTGCCAAACTTTGAGAAAAAATTCTTTTCACTGGTCCATTAAGATTTGCGGTACTTGTGGAGTATCCGGGGAGGGGGGGAGATAAAATTTTAAGATCCGGTGGGGTAAAATTTTAACACATAAAACTACCTCTAAAAATGGTTTTGAAGAAAAAAAATGACCCGCCAACTAGGATATTATCAACATTTCTAACAATGACATAAAAAATTTTTGTAGAAGTTACGTTTTTGATCGAGTATCACCTCGAATCACGTAATCAAGTAATCACCTCGAATAAATTGAATCAAGTCACCTCAATAAATTGAATATCTTTACATTTGAAGGAAATTTGACACCAAATCACTTAAGCGGCTGAATATCTTTAAAAGGGGTCGTGTATAACGTATATAAAATTTTACCCCACCGGATCTTAAAATTTGACCCCCCCCGGATATTGAAAGACCTCCCCGGATACTCCACATGTACCAGATTTGCAAGTTATTTTAAACCTTAAGGCATTAAGGCTTTGATAGTCTATATTGCGGTGAGATTAAGTTTTCACGATTTTTATATGACTATGAATGTACTGTAACGTTTACCTCTAGTCAACGTCACAACCGAAACCCCCGCAACCCACGCGTTTGGAATCATTCGGAGAGGGAGTGAAGAAAGCCAGGTAAATCTAGAGATTTGAGATTTGAGAGAATTTTCTTAAGCTTGAGCTTGATTTTTCAAGTTTACTATTGAAATTTGAAACTACTAAAGCTATGAAATTCAAAAAATTGAGTCAATTCCAGCAGCGACGAGTCCCTTCAAATGCAGCGTGCAGCCGAGCCGCGACCCTTCGGCAAAAAGCGCTCCACGTCTTTCAAGGTTTCAAAATATTCGGTTTTTTGGTGTGATTAGAAAATTTCAATAACAATACGGATTGTAAAAATTGGTTTTTCTCGGAAATGAAATCCGGGCCTTTTGACAAAATATGACAAAAATGACGATCGGATTTACTTTGTCCATTTGTCCATAAATGTCCATTTCTACATAAATGTCCATTTGAGTTTTGCATATGATATCTTTTCACAATGAAAAGACCCGAATTTCCAAGAAGAACCTAAAAATGAATCCCAATCGCTTTCAGAAACTCAAAAGTTTGGCCACCGAGCGTCGAGATCAAGAGAAACAGCAAACTGTTCAAGATTTGAGGTGAGACAGCGGAAAAGTTTAAAGTTTCAAAGTTAACGCCATCAAGGGGCAACAAAGTGTTTACTCAATTATTCAGTATTTAATTTTTTAAAGTTCTTGTTTAAATCCAAAATAATAGTTGATTTCTCAGAACATGTCCCCTTTCTCTTTTTACCATAATCTTCTCTCCAGTTTTTATCTACTTTCTACTTTGGTTTGATTCTTTGAGGATTCACAAAGGATATCGAAAGATACAAAAAGTGGATAGATTAGATAAAAATTGGAGACAAGGTTACAGTAGAAAGATAAAGGAGACACGTTTTAGAAAACGGATTTGAGGGGAGCACACTCAAATCAAAGCAAAAACTTTCAGATCTCGTTTCGAGAAGGCTCGCTTGGAGCAACAGATGCGAAAACGTGATAGCAGCACTGAGTAAACTTTTTTAAATCTCTAATCCACCTTGCTTTATCTTTAAAAACTTAAGGAACATGTGATTCTTTTTGTGATATTTCCCCCCACTTTGTAATCAATCTTTTAGTCTCGCTTTTAACTCTTCTCCATTCTCATCTCAAATTTTTTTCAGTTCTCAAATCAGTTAAGTCTCAGGTTTTTCACCGTAATGCAGTTGAGAATTTTTTTATCTGACTTTGTAAATTAATTGCGTAAAACAGTAAACATTTATTTGAATAACTTTAGAATCGCATGTATAACACATCGTAGACAAAAAACATGATGAAGATCTTTCTAATACCCAAATAGTGGAGGCGACAAAATGATGTCCTAAAAAGAACATTTCGCAAAGGGTAATAAGAAAAAGTATCAAGTTCAATCGTGGTAACCGTTAAGAAATGACCTAAAACTTTAGAAGGTTGGCAGCAGTGAACATGGTATCAAAAAAAATCGGTAACAGCGAGTGAAGAATGCATTCAAAGAAAAGAAAAACACAAATAATGATAAATTAACTTTTTGACTGGTCGATATTTTATTTTCCTCTACCTCGTCCACCTCGTCCACCTCTCACTGTCGATCCACGACCACGAGGCGGTCCTCCACGCCAACCAGCGCGTCCCCGAGCTGCTTGCGCCAATGAGCTTCCACCTAAAATTGGAAAATGAAGATAAACTGCCTATGATCTTTTCTGAAGTGCAACATTGATCAATCTACACAAATCAAAGATTCACGAAAGCACAACAAGTAAAATTTTCAATCGTCTTTTTTTCCGTTAAACCATATCTTTCTATGAGCCTATCAAACTACATTAAGCCACTCTAAGTCAAGTAAAACTAAGCGGACCTGCATTGTTGCCTCCAGCGGCCTCCTGCTTGTCGTTACTCTCTTCAGTCTCTTCTTGCTCTTCCTCCCCTTCAGCTCCACCACGCTCCACCACAAAACCTTCCTCGTCGATTTCCACTTCAAGGGCTAAATAACGTCAAATTAAAAGAAACCCAAAAATTAAAACGAACCATCGCTGGCACCCCCGCGTTTCTTTCCCTTTCCAACGTCGTCAAGAGCATAAGGTAGCACACGGTGCTCTTTTGTTAAAGCTCGAGTCAGAGCAGCCTTTGTCTAAAACGAAAAATTCAAGCAAACTAAACAATATTACCTTAGCAGCAATAGCCGCTCCAGGATCTTTTCTTCCGGGCCACACAGCCAGCTCAGCGATAGCATCAGCGTCATCTCGAATCAAATCGTATTCAACGAAAGTGGCAACAACTTCTCTAAAAATTCCTTGATATTTTGCTTTCAAGAAACAACTTACGGAACTCCCAGATTTTCGTGATCGATCAAAGGCCTTGTAATCTTGGTTCGCAATGCAGGAATGTAATCAGTGACCAAGGCGCACGTATCTCCAGAGATTCTAAAAAATAGCAAAATTTTGTGGAGGTATGGGGAATTGAACCCCAGCCCTCTCGCATGCTAAGCGAGCGCTCTACCACTGAGCTATACCCCCGTACATTGGGGTTGCTTGGAAAGAGGTTTAGATAAGGCAATGAGGGACCGGAGAGAAGATGAGAGACCAAAGGAAAAGAAGAGAGCATAAAGAACAGCTGTGTGCGCGTAAAGGAGTCCGCTTTTGTGTGATCATTTGATTCACAGCTAAGGAAACGTCGAAATGGTAAAAGGTTCGTGACTCATAGTTAGTTTGAAAATTAGAAACCCCATTAAAAACTACCTAAGATGTGAATGTTGAGCAATTTGTCGAGTGAGGCGCAATCGTTTACCGGCTGTCGAGTTTTTACCAAGCCATGCGGGGAACAAAATCTAGAAAAGAATGTTGAGAACTTTACCTGAAAAATATACCTGTGTTTTTAAGTGTCCATCCATAGCCATAGAAGGTAAGGCAGCAGAAAGCATTGACTAAATATATAAAATTTGCAAGAACTCCATTATTCATACCTGTTCATTTAGCAATTTCCAAGCGCCACCACTACGAATTTGTTTATCCACCATATCACCCATAGCGATGAACTCAGCCGCTCGACGAATACTGGCCAAATGGTCGACTTTGCTAAATATGCGAATAAAAGTTCTTCCAAAAAACTACAAACCTTCGTTCATTGTTTGTCAGATGGAGATAATTTTCAAAGACAAAGAGCGGCATAATACCATAATCAACGAAAAACATTTCCTGTTTTTCTCGTAGAGTCGAAGATTTGCTAAGTAAACGTCGAGCTGCTTCGAAAGCATTCTGAAGCAGAACACAATCGTTGCTGTAAAGAATAAAACCCACAATCGTCACATCTTTTTGTGTAATGTGCATTTCGGGAATGGCTTTGCGCATTTGGAGATTGTAGATACATTGTCTGACGTCATGATTGGAAAGCTCAATAATTTCATCAATCTAAAAGTTTTTGTTTTACGAAGCGTGTTTAAAAAACTACATCTTCTTTGGACATCCGCAACTTTTCTCGTACTGCAATCATCATAATACGGCTCTAAATGGTCATGATTTTTCTTGAAGAGATGCATTCAGCATACCCGAACGTGTTCCACGCGTGGTCGTTGGAAGCGGACATCAAAACAGTAGTTGACCAAAGTACGCATTTTTGGATGAGCACGGTCATTGCATATACAAATGATTGGAATCATTGTGTTTTTGATGATATCCATCAATTCGCTGATCTAAATACGATACGATAATTTTAATTTTTCCTATTAGATTTTTTACAAACTCACTCCAGATCGATCCTCATTTCCACTCATACCATCAACCTCATCCATGATTAAAACATGGCGCACGTCACTGATCGGATCTAAACTTGCATTTTACCGCGTTCAACCAAAACAACACTACTTTTTGTAGCACCAAAATATTCTTCAAGCTGGTGAGAGCCAGTCAATTGAGCAACATGCGCCTGAAAGTGGCTATCAAAAATTAATTTGCAAAACTTACTTCGAGATGTTTCTTGTTTCGAACGTCTGACGCATTCATCTCTACGGTTTGAAAACCAAGAGACTCACAAGCCATTTTGGCACAAGTTGTTTTGCCAATACCTAAAAGAAAATCAAGATCAAGCTGAAATTAAAAACAAACCGGGAGGTCCACTCAACAAAACCGCCTTGAAAGCCGATCCTTCTTGTCCGGCCATCCATGGTGGAGGGCGTGCTAAACTTCATAATTTTTAGTTACTCTAAAAAAGGTCAACGTTTCTTGGTTCTTCCAGCTTCACCCAAATTGTGTTGTGCCCAATCACGAAGCCAGCCAATCAATTTATTCCACGGGCTCTTGTCACCATTCATCCCAATCAATTCTTGAGGATTTTGTGGCTTGTACTTGTCGACCCATGGAACGGCTAGTGGCTATAATTTGAGCAAATCATTAGGAAAATTAAAAATAAATTACCAAGTCAGGCCTTGACACTGTGACCGACAAATTGACTGGTTTAGAAGGAGAAGAAATCACGGGAGTTCGTCGCTTATTTTGATGAGGGATATCCTTAAAAAATTCTTGCAAAACCTTTTAAGATCCACAAACCACAAGCGTATCTACGATTTCATAAACTTCATCTCCCATTTGAACGAAGTTTTCTGTTTTCTAAATATAGCATTGATTTTTCAAACTAAAGCAGCACTTACCCGAGAGAAGTTTTCTTTCTGAGACGAAGGACTGATGTGCATGTGTGACTTTGACTCGGCATCCTTTTTATTAGGCACCTAAACAGTAATTTTGTCAATAAGATACGATGTAATTTAGTAGCAGCTTTTAAAATTTCTAAAAACAAACCAGCAGGATATCATCATATTTGGTGTCAAATGCGGCAACGTTCTTGCTTTGCCCTCTTGCTGGCGCCTTTTGCCGTGGCGCATCGCCAAAAAAAGAAGCCGCGTCAGTCGTTTTCTTGGATTGAGTATTACCTAATCATAGAAATTCATTCTGAAACCTAAAGCGCCAAACCTTTAACAGGTTCGGATTGTTTTGTCTTCTTCTCAAAGTTTAGCTTCGTTTGTCCAGGTGGGAGTGCTTTCTTTGGCTTTTTCTTCTCACGAAACTCATCTTCACTATCCGTTACAGAAACCAACTAAGAAACCTGTTTTATTTAAGGGTTATTTTAAACTTCATCTTCATCATCGTCATCTACCAAGTGGATTTGTTTCGTGTTCTTTGTGGGTCCCTTTTGTGGTGATCTATCGTCTAAATTCGCAAATTAAATAGCTAATGCGTGAATCAAAACCTTCAAATCTTGCTCGTTTAACCGGGGCAACAGGATTCTTTTTCTTAGGCGTTGCTTTGGCTGGTTGGCTCGTGATCAGAAAATCTTCATCATCACTATCTAAAATCCCTTTTTAAAAGCGTAACTCTATAAAAAAGCACCACTTGCAAGGACCGCTTTTCTCCTTCGTCCTCGAGGAGCTTTTTCATCGGCTTTTGCTTCCTGTGCGTGCGCTTGTGCTTGTCGTCGGACAGAACGTGGAATTGGATGTTCTCCCTCACCATCAGCTGGATGCCAAATTATAAAGTCATTAAAAAACAAGTCTACGTACAATCTTCAAATTCCATCAGAGAGCCGGTAAGATTGTCTTGTGCACGTGATGCTGGACGCTTCTTATCGGTTGTGGTAGATGCCTGAAATGATTTTGTCTAGTTAAATTTTGTGGTCTTAATTTTAGGTTGCCATTATGTGGAACAGAAGTTGCGATTCTTAATCGCTTTAAGTCGCAAGGAGCATAACCCATTATTAATATCAGTGTGGTACCTGTGACGCTGATGGATTCGCGGCTTTCGGCGTTTTCCCAAAGAATCGCTGGATTCCCTTAACAAAATTTGTTTTTCAAAAAAATTGTCAAGCAACCAACCGACATTGCAAACCACCTTACTCGCTACCAGAAATTTGGCGAGAAACACAAAAATCTAAGATCCAAAAGTTTGACCTCCTCAAAAATCATGCAAAACAAGAAAATGAACTGTTACAAAACTGCTGATTTAAATCATTTCAAATATACAACCATTTATTATCCGTAAGCTTATCACAAGTAAAATATGTACATACATACGAGAAATGTTATCTTTTTCTCTCCAAACACATATGGACAAAGTTATCAGGATAGGCGAAATTTCTTGTCATCCATAACACTGGAGTATCGAGTGGAATTTGAATCCCATGACAAATAAACTTGGCATCATTGTAATCGATATCACTGAAACCTCAAGACATAAAATTTTCTAACACTTTATATACATACCTGTCCAGTATTTTTATTGCTTCTTCGAGAGTAGTTGGGTGTCCCGAAGTTGTTGGTTGAATTGGTGCCTGTTTGAAAGACTTGCCGCGCTAAAATTTTTATGTAAATTTTAACGAACAACCAATTCACCTCATAAAGTCGAATTGGTAGCAAGAGAAAAGGTCGTGAGTCCGAACATTCCATCAGTTTTCGATTTATTGACCAAAATGCATCAAACTGATCTAAGGAAGGGTTGCATTGTGCAAATACAGTTAACAAACTTTGGGAAAGAGCGCTCCAAAGTTGTTTGTGGTCATCACTCTTCATGCAGTTTATCATATCACCCTAAAAAATATTAGTCGTATTTCGTGAAATAGAACGAACTTTTCTTTTCAAATAGTCCGCTTCCTTTACAGCTTGCATGAACATTGTTTGTGTCATATCTCGATTCACCGTTGAAAGCCCTTCGGGTTTGTTCTAAAAAGCAAAAGTAGAATGGGTACGATTAAAATATTGGCAAAGTTTTATTCATAGATTGTGCTCACCTTTGTTCGTAGTGATATTCTCCAAGGCAGTGACTCATCTTCTTTCAATAAATCGAAGAGAACGCCAATCGGAAAGTACCTAAATTCGAAATAATTTCATATGATTCAACAAAAATGGCTGTTTTATAGTTTGATCCCGAGGAGCTCATGAAACTTTAGATAAACAACTGTATTAATGTTAAAAGTTCAAAAATCCACGTTTTTAGCGGCATCCTATTGTACTCAAGCCAAACGTTGTCCAAATCGATCGAGAGATTGGGACAGTTCGTGGAAAACATTTGCACGGCTTTTGGCAGCACAAACGTGAAGTAGCTACATCTCGAAAGCATTGTCTAAAGCACAAATTACGAGAGCAGCTAATGGAAAAGCCTTACATAATACGGTCTGACTGGGTCAGCCAACTCTTCCGATTCCAACGTGATCTCCACCGGCACCTTTGCGTCCCATACTTTACGAGAAACTTCGTAGTCCATCCGTCGTTAAAGTGGCTACAAATTGCAAAAATTGAACGAGTTCTTAAAAAGAAAAACGTTTGTTATTAAAAAGAGCAACAAGACAACACAAGAATAAACAATTTTTCCAAACAAAAGTGTAAATACTTGCAAAATTTCAAATAAAACTGAGTCCAATTAGTGAACGAAATATCTATCTTTATCTTTGGATTTTCCATGGTTTCTCCACTTCCTCAAAAAAATTTCCGCCAAATCTTTAATTTTTCTAATACTAAACGAACTCCAGAGCCCCATTTCAAAATTCGGCGCAACTTGAACGTTCTTTGACTATTGACGTGAACTATGTACAGACTCTCTGTGATTACCCAGAGGGGCGTGGCTCATTTGGCGCGCACTTTTCTTGGTTTCGTGCCATAAAGCGTCTTTTTTTCTCTGACGTTGCATTATTTTTCTTTTGACTACTTGAGTTCTCACAATCGATTTCTTTTTTAGATGAGTGATCGTGATTGCCGTATCTACGTGGGAAACCTTCCGGATGATGTGCGTGAGCGTGACGTTGAAGACATCTTCGACAAATACGGCAAAATTCGCGCAATCGACATCAAGGCCAAGGGACGGGCTCCAGCTTTTGCATTTGTAGACTTTGATGATCCAAGGTACGTACTTGTAGTTTTTAAAGCTTCACTCAAGCTAAATACTATCACACTCGTGTTATAATAATTAGTCAACTTTAGAGACGCCGAAGATGCAGTCCGTGGAAGAGATGGCTACTCGTTCGATGGTATGCGACTTCGTGTCGAATTTCCACGTGGAGTGGTGAGTTCGGTTTATGGTGTACTCTGTATTTAGCTTATTTAAGGGCCCTCGCGGACCCGGTGGTCGCCCGATGAGCGATCGTGATGGAGGACGCTCTCGTGGAGGGGATAGAGATCGCGACCGTGACGATCATGGCCGTGGAGGACGATCTGCTCCACCACGTCGCTCCGGATATCGTGTCAAGATCACTGGTTTACCATCAACTGGAAGCTGGCAAGATGTGAAGGTATGACTTGAGTTGTGGATGAAATTTATTTCTTCATTTCAGGATCATCTTCGTGATGCTGGTGATGTGTGCTATGCTGATGTCTATGGTGATGGAACTGGAGTTGCTGAGTTCACGCATCGCGATGATATGAAAAGAGCGCTCAAGAAACTGGATGATACTAAATTTCGCTCGCACGAGGTTACGATTTTTCGAAAACGATCTCCGATTTATGAGGAGGGATAGAAGGACATAAAGCTCCGATTTTGGAGGAGGATTATAAGGACCGATTTTTGAGAAGGCATAGGAACACATTGGATTTCTAGTGTGGGTTTCTAATTTGTCACACTAAATTTGAAGCCTAACACAATCCTACTAAAATCTGAGGAATATAACATACTCAGTTAATATTTCTTTTTCAGGGTGAGACGGCGTATGTGCGCATCACTGAAGTGTCAGGATCACCAGGAGGAGGAGGAGGCAGCGGCGGTGGTGGTGGTGGTGGTCGTCGTCGCAGTCCGGAATACAGTCCTCGTCGTTCGCGCAGTCGCTCACCTCCATCTCGCAGTCGCTCTCGCTCGCCAGCTTCTCGAAGCCGCTCCCGCTCTTAAATTGATTTTATACTGTTATTTGTTAAATTACAAATTACTTAAGTTGTGGTATTTTTGGTGTTTTAAACTTGTTCAAGTTCTGTATTTGTTCCGTTTATAAATGTTTCAACTTTCCAAATTTCAAATCCTTGTCTGTGAACGATTTATAGGTCCAAAATGAAATGGCCGAATATATAGAAAGAATCGCAAAATCACAGAAGCCCACACTACATCAAAAAAGGCATGGGTATCAGATTTTTGCAAGTGTCGTTGGTCGAATGTTTGGCTAAGGCGAGAAGATTTGAAACCGGATCAGCTAAAAATTTTACTTTATCTTTCGCAACTAGCGATGTTACCCGAAGATGGGGTGGGTGCCGTAACAAGTGTGGGCGAAGGAGATCTCCGCGCCTCTGATGGAGTCTTGTTCTCGTCCACCGTCTTTTCGTTGAGTTGCTGTGCACGGATCTAAATAAAAGATAGAATGGGTGGTTGCTAGACACAAAAAACCTTGTTAGCCAGTTCGAAGAGTTTATCATCCGGAGAAACCTAAACACGAGGGTTATGAGTTGAATGAAAGAGGATTCAATACAGTGATGGTGCCGGGTGGAATGGTGAAGCCTCCAGAAGTTGGTGTTTTCACATGAGAAGATGTTTCCTTCGACACCACCGGTTCACCCGCCTAGACATTCGAGTTGAAGTATGATAAAACAACTAGTTTGTAACTGCTGTAATATAAAAAATTGGCTTGCTTTATGCAGTCTAATGTTAAATAATTAAAACAGCTACATTAGGGTTTGTTTTCTGCGGGGGTGTTGCTCCGGGATGACCTTCTCGATTGAAGACCATATTTGTCTCGGAGCGCGCAGCATTAACCTGAAAGTATTGAAAATGAGTGAAACCAAAAATATACTTACCGAAGTTTTCAAATCATGAGCCGATAAAGCTGTGGCACTAGTCTAAAACTAGCATTTTAAGTCGCATAGACTAAAGAATCACCGTTCGTTCCAACTTTGAGGCATCGGTGGTACTCTCCAACAAAATCGGCACGCTCGTTGACTTTGTAGTAGCATTCTAAAAGCATATTAAACTTAAACTGGCATCAGCTTTACCTCTCGCAGCTGTTTCACTCGGGCAATCGTCTCGCTTTTGTCCTTTGAGCGATTGTTCAGCACGTTGTCAAGTTCCTTCTTAGACGTCGAGTAACGTCGAGGCTGAAAAACAACAATGATCAAATATATTTTAGTCATTTTTTACCTTTTTCTGTGTCTGTGGAGTTTCTTTTAATGTTTTCTTTGGCACATTCCCTTCCTCGATGCTTCTCTCAGTGGGCACGGTTTTCGAAGCTGATGGTCTAAAATTCAACATAAGGCTCACACTAAAACAAAAGCTAATTCCTTACCCAGATGCCGTATTCAGGGTACTGTTCGATGCGGTGGTTTTCAACAGTGGACCTCCGTTAATCTGTGGACGGATCGATCCTGATGCACCCTTTCCGATTTTCACTTGATTGTTGCTCATTGGTGGGCCAACGCTTCCCTTTTTTTCTTGTGAGGTGCCGGGTCCTAAAAAGGAAGATGCAAATTGATAACAAAAAACACACCCATGGGAACAGTCTTGAGATGAGTGTGTGAAAGCTCAGTGGTTGCTTTTCGCTTTTCGCTCTAAAATTAAAAAAATCAAACTTTTCAGTGAAAACTGGCCTGACAAAGGTGCAACACTCGGAATGGGAAGAAAATCGAGACAATAACGGCCATCACCTGAAGAAATATTCAATATAATGATAACAATTATAATCACCTGGATAAGTGTGAGCACTCCAAGTGCGATCGCCTTTGGAATGTGGGATTGATTATCATCTTCGGCGCAGAAAAAAACGAGAAAAATCCATGCAAATTCGCAAATCGCCGTCATCAATTGAAGCAACGTGAAAAGGATTCGCAACTCTAAACAAAAAAAAATAGAATAACTTTTACTTTACAAGCTTAATGACAATGGCAAGTAAATTTTCAGCAGAAATGAAACCAAAACTTTTGGTGGCTAGAGACGCATGAAGAAAGAATCAAATACAAACTTCCGATTCGTTGAAAGAGAAAGACGAGCCCGGGAACGGCGATCAACGCTTGCACGAGGGCGAGCAACAGCACCGGCATACAATTGGCTCCGACCGACACTCCGACCACGGCGAACACGAAGATTGTGAGCGCCACCTAAAGCAAAACGATTTGATATTTTGGTTTATGACGATAAAAAGATATCTGACTAACTTACATAGAACTCCAAATAAACGACTAGTGCAAGACAGGTTGGTCCTTCTTTCTCCTTGAGATCTCTATCGAAGTTGATAAAGCCTCCACCTAAAAAAATTAAAACTTGTCAAAAAAAGTAAAATATCAAACCTTCTTTTTCTCCTCCCTTGTCGCCCAATTCCACATCGCCGCAGCGATCGCTGCCTGATTCTCCGAGTTTCTTCTTCCTAAAAGAGATTCAATATCATAACTAACTAGAGTGCGTTTGCTAAAAGGCATCTATTAAAAAACTACCGCAAGCTGCCCGCTAGTTTTCATTTGAGCAGCCCAATTTTGGCATCATTCAATGAGGAATCACAAGGCTCAGTCATTGATACAAAAATTTGGCTGATCGAATGAAAACTGGTGGGCTGAGTACAATAGTTGTCTAAAGTGTATGCCTTCTAGAAACATATGGCATAGAGTAACGTACTCTAATCATAAAGATTGACTAAAATTGAAAAAAAATGAATTCTATGACACTTCGGAAATGTCAAAATTGTCTCAAGGATCAAAATATTTTTAACGTTAGCACGCTAACATTAGGCCAAAACGGGCCAAGACGTAAAATAGCAAAAGCTTCAAAGAAAACTTACAAAAATGAAAGGGACGGGAACTTGCCCATCTTGAAATGACGATGAGTAGAAAAACAATTTCATTTGCGACAAGTTTGGTTTGTTTTATTTGATGCTTAAATGCAAATTCGCTCGGCGTTAAATGCAAATTTTGTCAGAAGTGGCTTTAAAGTTTAAACTGTACCTTTTTCTGTATTTTTCCGCATTTATTGACTTCAAACAAGTTTATAGCTGTAACTGGAATGAGATTTAGATAGATTTAGATAGATTTAGATAGATTTAGATAGAAGTTTACATGTTTACATAGAAAATCACGATCACAAAAGAAATAGAACAGCAATCAAATAAAATTATGCCCGTAATTGGGAGGGAACAACAATTCGATATAATAAATTAGCTAAAACAAGATTATTTCCGTAAGCTCATTTTTCCACAAATTCCTCCTCTTCATCCTTGACCTCAGCCCACTCGTTGGCGTACTCGCGGAAGAAAATGTTCTGGGAAAATTTTGCTGTTTCATTTTCACTCGGCTATTTACGAGGTAGGAAATTTGCCTCCTTTTGTACTTTTCCCCAGCTATTCTTTTAGTTCTATCTCAGCTTTGATCTTTAAGCTTTAAATCATGTCAATCCAAATATTTTTAGAGGGCCAACTAGGCAAAGGGAAATCTTGAAGTCTACTCTCATTTTGAAACTCACTTTGTTATCCTCGCCAGAGACCGAGAAAAACGTGCCGCACGCACTCCAATTCACGTGCCATAGAGCGCCACTAGTCTAAAAATCTTAATTTTGGTCTTTAAGCTTTAAATCGCATTTCAATTAAAAAAGCAAACCTTTGAAATCTGCTCAAAAGTCCACTCATCTCTGCCAATGTTGTTGCATTTCCACATCACCACTCGGCGATCCTAGAGTTTCAAAATTGTACCATTGAACAATAAATCTTGTTTTAAAATGCAAACTCTGCCTTTAAGCTTAGTTCATCTATTCAAACCTGTTTTCTAAAACGTTTCTAAAACGTTTTCTAAAACGTATCCCCTTTCTCTTTCTATCATAGTCTTGTCTCTATTTTTTTATCTAATCTATCCACTTTTGGTCTGATTCTGTGAGGGTTAATAAAGGATATTGAAAGATACAAATGTGGATAGTGGATAAAAATTAGAGACAATGTTACCGTAGTCAAGAAAGTCACGTTTTAGAAAACAGAAAAGTTAGAGCACTCACCTGTCCAACGCTGACAATCCGGTGAAGGGCCGAGAAAACGACGGGACACCAAGCAACGTCACGGACGAAATCGTTGTGTGAGACGTTCACCTTCTCCAAAACCCAATCACCACTCTCGTTGCAGCTGAAAGAATAAAATTTTCGAATCTCAACCTCGAAGCTAAGTTGACGATTTGTTACAATAGTAACTTTTTACACGAATATTTTTGAAACTCACACCCAAATCTTCAAAAATTTATCATTCCCGCAAGAGACAAATCGCTTTTCGACGGTTCTTCCGTCTTTTCCAAGGGTCACTCCCGGAGCCCAAGAGATCGAGTTGACTCCCTGGAATTTCATGTTTCAACGTTGACAAAGTCTAATGATGACGAAAGCTGAAGATCTCCTCTACATTTTGGAATAAAAAAGTTTTTGATTGGGTTGTCCAGTTATGAATGCGCGTTTTTACTATTTTGTAAATTTCTCAAGATATTGAACAGATGTATATGAGTGTTATATATCATTCGAAAGCTGAAGATCTCCTCTACATTTTGGAATAAAAAAGTTTTTGAATTCATTCAACTTTTTGGGAAATTGACTGCACAAAGGGAGAGGTCGTTTTCGAAAAAAACCCATTCCAGCTTAGCTACTCCTCAAATTTTATGGTGTAAAATAACCGCCCAGAAAAGAAAAGAAAAGTAAAGATGCTCTGAAATTGTTATATTTAAAAAAAGTTGTATTGATATATCTATTGGCCAAACATCAAACGGTTAACTCAATTTGAGCGGAGCCAAAACTTGATCCAAAGGCACCCTTTCATTTTTTAGTCACCTCCTCTTCTGTGCAGTCAATTTGCCCAAAAGCTGGACAAATTCAAAAACGTTTTTATATCAAAATGTAGAGGAGATCTTCAGCTTTCGAATAATACTCATATATATCTTTTTCTTGATTTCGATACCTTGAGAAATTTACAAAATAGTAAAAAACGCGCATTCATAACTGGACAACCCAATATATGTCACTTTTGACTCTTTTCTCTTTTGACTTTTGACTTTTGACTAGTTGATATTTACCTGTGGATGGGCTTCATTGATTTTCACGGACTCCCATTTGTCATTCAGGTGATCGTAAGTGTGAACGGCCTGTTAAAATTATGAGTTCTATCTTGGAATCATAGTCCAATGCCAGAAATCGTGGTCCCTAGCCGGAATCAGGCTTGTAAGCGGAAAAGAAAGCGGAAAGTTTAATATCTTTTGATTTTCAAAGCAAAATCCAACGAATGGGGCGGCTACGAACTGCGACGGGGAAAGCAGAAAAAAAAGAAAAACGTAGCTGCCCCATCTGTTGACTTGAAAATTGAAAGATATTATTTTCCGTTTTTTCGATTGAAAGCCTGGCCAGAATCGTGGTTCAATGAATTCCGCTCATTGGTCCACGATTCCGGCACCCACCGTTGTTTTATATAGAGTTTTGCAGCCGAAAACTAGCTCGCAAACAGCTACATTTTTTTTGGTTTGGTACAGTTAGCGTAGTCCGCCTCCTACAGTTAGTAGGCCGACTTTTCTAGAGTCGTACAAGACATGGGGAAATTTCAAGCCGAACCTAATTCCACCATCGTTTTTCACTATTAGAACGCTTCCAGAATAAAACCAAATTATGTTTCAAATAAAAGAAATTTAAATTTAAACAACTTCATTACCAAATGCTATAATCTGGTGCCTATTTTCAGTTCTCAAAACTGGACTAGCTTTAAAAATAATCAGTTTCAATTCAAGCGCCAATTATCAATGGGTTTGAAGAGGAGTTCCATCTATTGCTATTGTTAATCAAATTATTAATATCTTTCTAAATGGCTAACAATCTCTTACAATAGTTCCATCAGAAGAACCGCTTGCAAAGATCAATCCACATCTTTCTGGAGCGAAAGCGATCGCTAAAATTTGTCTTGTTGTTTTGTGACTATTTTGTCACTTCCATATTGTGTTTACAAATTTTGAGATTCAATAAGAATTCTCTAACTATGAGACTCTGATAATGCTTTCCTGGTCTAACTAATCCTCATCCACCTAAGTAGGTGGATGAGGATTAGTTAGACCTTTAAAATATCCTCATCCACCTACCGTAAATACTGTATTAGTACCCCACCCCCATAATGACGGTGCGGAGCGTTGCGTAGTCTAGCCTTGAACGAGTTTTTCTCGACACTGGCTTATGCTACAATGCGCGCTTAGGTATCAAAAAATAGCCCCGAATTTCAGCTATTTTTTGATACCAAAGACGCATTTTTTGAAAGTACGGGCGCTTTGAAAAAAAATGAAATACTAAAAAACTTTTGCGACTACGCAACTGTACGAGGGGGGTGGGGTACTATTACAGTATTTACGGTAAGTAGGTGGATGAGGATATTTTAAAGTTTCAAACGCGAATGATGGCTACTTTTCAAATATTCATCTTTGTTTGATAAAAGAACAGATGCGGGAAAGTTGCACTAATTTCTTTCGCAGAACATTTTCATGTTTATCATCATAACTCACTATTCACCGAGGCTCCATGCCCGGTGTATTCGTATTGTTTCTGCCAGCCAACCTCGGCTTCTTTCCAAACGATGGCTCGGCTAAAATTGATTGATTAAAACTTAAAATGGATATTGAATAATTAAAAGAGTAATAATAATAATTTATAATAATAACTAGAGTTGAACACACTGATCTTTTTCTGGGTTATGGCAAAACATTGAGAACGCCAGGAGTCGATTCCGCGATCTCTACCAATGAGCTACATCGGTCCGTTTCTATTAGGGTCTTATGCTAGGGTCTTATGCTATTAGGGTCTTATGCTTTACTTTAAACTAAACATTCATTTTGGTTCGATGAAGTTTTTCCTTTTCTGCCAGTTATTCTCATTTGTCAAGCCTCACCAATCATATCCAGCCGATGCGAACATTGTGCCGAAACGCGGATTCGCCCAGTCGACTTGCCAGACGGGCCCCGTATGACCGGAAACTTCAGCCAATTGACACATTCCGCTCTCTTTTACCTGAATATCTTTAAGTTAATATTATAACTATAAGTCTATTTTTCGAGATCCAAGAAATTCATCCAAGAAATTCAAGAAATTGTTCAAAGTTCCTTTCTTGATCCTATAATTAGTCTATAGACTATCTATCGGCTAATTTACTTTACTAATTTACTAGTAAAGTAAATTACTTGCTAATTTACTTTACTACATTAATCCGATTGATTATAGCTATCCGTTTCTAGTCTCTAATTATAGATTCTAGCCTCTAATAGACTATAATTAGTCTAATAATAGACTAATTATAGACTCTAGTCTATAATTAGTCTATTATTATACTAATTATAGTCTATTTTTTTTCGGAATCCAAGAAAATCGTTTCTTGATAAATTCACCTCAAAAATCTTGACCAAATGATCACCAGAACATGTCGCTAAACGATTGCCGAAGAAATTTAGCCGGGCATCAAACTAAAAATGAATTCTTTTGTTTGTAATTTGATAATTGGCTTGTAATTTGATTAGGATATTGTTTTTTTTAATAAAAATTCTTACAATTGGTGCATGGTGACCGGTGTCGACACTTAGAGGAGCTGCTGGCATTTGGAGGAAAGTTTTCTGAAAAAAACATTTCTCGAAAGGTTACATTTGGTCAAGTTAGCCTCTAATCTATCTAAGCTTAAAAATAAAGAAGAAACAAATCGTTTAAAACGTAAAACAAACGTTAAAATGTAAAACAAACGTTAAAACGTTTAAAAAGTTAAACAAAAAGTTAAAACTAAAGTTAAGTTAAAGTTAAAACGTCTTTAACGTCAAAAAAGTCTTTAAGGTCAAAAAAAGTCTTTAATCCGATTGATTATAGCTATAAGAATGATTTAAAAACGAGAAATTAGTTAAAAGAATGAAGAAAAAAAGCTATGTTCAACTGTTTTCTTTGAGCCAATCCCTTTAGCCCTTAGCCAAGCCTTTAGCCAAGGCTTTAGCCAAGCCTTTAGCCAAGCCTTTAGCCAAGCCTTTAGCCAAGCCTTTAGCCAAGCCTTTAGCCAAGCCTTTAGCCAAGCCTTTAGCCAAGCCTTTAGCCAAGCCTTTAGCCAAGCCTTTAGCCAAGCCTTTAGCCAAGCCAAGCCAAGCCAAGCCAAGCCAAGCCAAGCCAAGCCAAGCCTTTAGCCAAGCCTTTAGCCAAGCCTTTAGCCAAGCCTTTAGCCAAGCCTTTAGCCAAGCCAAGCCAAGCCAAGCCAAGCCAAGCCAAGCCAAGCCAAGCCAAGCCAAGCCTTTAGCCAAGCCTTTAGCCAAGCCTTTTAAAATCGTTTCCTTTAAAAATCAACTAAATTTCAATAAAGATTTTCAAAATTATTGTAAAGAAATACTTCAAACACAATTGAAAAATCAACAAATTCTTAAAGCATGAACTTTTTAAATCATAAACATTTTATTCCTCTCATAGCACTCAATTTTACACTGTAAATATTTTTGTTTGAAGGATACCCGTTTCAGAGAAAAAAAGCTGATCACAAAATACGAAAAAAAACAAGAACAAAACAATCTTTGTCTTGAAAAATTTTGGTAAAACACTTTGGAAATAATTCAAAAATTTGGTACAATTTGTAAAGTATAAGGGAAATAAGCAGAAAGCAAATAAGCACAAATATTTACAAAGCAAAAATTCTAGAATAAATCTTTAGTAATTTTTCATAAATCGTAAACAGATTGTCGATCATCGGCATCGATTTTCAGCATTTCCGTCGATTGTTCGGTTTCGCGAACTGTAAATCGATTTGATTGATTGATTGATTGATTGATTGCTTAAAACTTAAAAGGGATATTCTTCTAAATAATTAGAAGAGTAATATTAAGTAAATTAGAAGAGTAATAATAAGTATATTAGAATAGTAATAATAAGTAAAGTAGAAAAGTAATAAGAAGTAAATTAGAAGAGTAATATTAAGTAAATTAGAAGAGTAATAATAAGTAAATTAGAAGAGTAATATTAAGTAAATTAGAAGAGTAATAATAAATCACCATTTAGTGATGTATTTTGTAGTCAAAGAAATGTAAACACCCCCTTTCTGGTTACCATTTTATTCAACAAAATCGAAGAATATTAATTTTACAGCTTTCTCTGGGATCACGTTCAATTAGAAACTCAAAATTAGTGCTAAATGACCAGTTTGGTGTGCTCAAAGATGTAAATGGACCTGTCTAGAAAATTCAATTCCATTTTCTTGTTACATAAATCATTTCTATAAGAAAAATGAAGAATTGTGTACGCCAGAAAGGATGTGTTTACATTTTGTGAGTACGGATTGACTACAAACTACACTACGAACGTAAACTACAAACTACACTACAAACTACACTACAAACGCTTCTAACTTGCTTCAAATATGCTAGATTGACATGATCTATAGCTCAAAAAATAGAGAATCTCAAGAGCTTTCCAATGGACTAAAGCATACTCAAAAATAGCAATGCTAAAGAAAGTTACAGTAGTTTATAGTCCACTCAAAAAAATAGAGAAACTCAAGAGCTTTCGAATGGATTCAAATGAAAAGAATGGACGAATGGAAAGGCACACTCAAAAACAGCAATGCTAATTCTTTTAATCTTTCGATCAACATCATTTTTAGAGTTGAACAGATGAAAACTGAACAGTTTACTTTTCAATTTGTTTAATGGATTAATGAATTTGTTCTTTTATAATCTTAAATTTGTAAACCCACTCTTTCTAGTGCATTCAATTCTCTATTTTCAAGCAATTTCATGAGAAAAATATAGAATTAAAGATGCCAGAATGATGCATTTATTGAAAACTATTGTTGAAAAAGATACATTTTTTAAGAAAATAAAAAGGAAACAGATTTCCCTTAATGTAAAGTTTTTCTAATATTTGATATTTTATTTCTCACCCTTTCTCCTCCTTTCCAATGTCATAATATCAGGCCAATGAAGAGCTGGCTGACTGCTATGCAAATTTAGGCGAACACTTGAACTCGTTGATGTTGAACCCTGGAATATATTTGTGTTGAAAAGACTTATCCAAAGATTATCCAAAATGAATACAAAAATATCACCTGTGAATCAGCCCATTCAGCTATTCGGATTTCGATCGAGTCGGGGTGAACCTCGAGCTCGCGCAACACTCGAGTAAGGATCTAGAAATTTGGAAAAGTTTCGAGTTTCAAAGTCGTCCCTGTAATAAAGTAAAGACATTCATTAATGGCAAAGAATTTGGGGGAATCGAAGGGGGAATTGAACCGGGCAGAATTGAATTGAATTGAATGGATCTTCTGCTTACAACTAAGCTATCGGCTTTCTCAAGAAATAGGGAAGAGAAAAAAGCAAGAGAGAGAAATACCCGGGTCTTTAGAGCTGATTTTCAAGCCGTGGGTTTGAAAATCAGATCACGGGGATTAGTAATAAAGTAAAGAAATGAATGGCAAAGAATTTAGAACCGAGTGGGAATCGAAAGTGATCGTCTACTAATGGAGAAAGTAATCCCAAAGTGCATCAAATCATTTCCATCAAGTTAAACCAAAAGTAGATCCTCTCAAAGAAAATGGTGCGAAAATTGCTTGTCAAAAGCAATTTATCTCGTAAATGTTTAATAGTTTCTATTTTATTGTAGACATGAGCACTATAAATTACAAAAATGACGAACTATCACAAAACAAACGCTTTTAACTTGCTTCAAATCTGCTAGATTGACATGATCTATAGCTCAAAAAATAGAGAATCTCAAGAGCTTTCGAATGGATTAAAGCACACTCAAAAATAGCAATGCTAAAGAAAGTTACAGTAGTTTGTAGCAGCTTGACTTGATTGCTTCGACTACGCGCGAATACGATCGGATTACAATCGTAATTACAATCGTAATCCGACCGTATTCGCGCGTAGTTGAAGCAATCAAGTCAAGCTGCTACAAACTACTGTAATTTTCTTTAGCATTGATATTTTTCAGTGTGCTTTAATCTATTGGAAAGCTCTTGAGATTCTCTATTTTTTGAGCTATAGATCATGTCAATCTAGCAGATTTGAAGCAAGTTAGTAGCGTTTGTAGTTTACGTTTGTAGTTTGTAATGTCATGTCTAGTTTTTTTTATTGATCTTGGTGGAAATCATAAGTTTCAAAATAAAAAATTGTTTCCACATTTTTCTCTCGACAATTTAGAATGAAGTTCTCGAGTGAAACTAGCTTTTTTTTTTTAAAGTTTAGTTTCAAATTTCAAATTGTACAAACCAATTCGACAGCCGTTTTCTTATGAAATGGTCTCGGCATGAAACAAAGCGCAAAACGAGCGTCCACCTCGTCGACTGTCGTCAAAATTCTCTCCTTTGTCAAGCGAAAAGTTTCCTCGTCGAGCACTCCGGGCAAAGAATTCACAACAATCACCTAGAAATATTCGGTTGTATAAATTTGAAGATGAATATCGTAAATATTGGGCTTTTAATAGAAGAGCCAGGTTTTAATAGAAGAGCCAGCAATATTTGAATAGAAGAGCCAGCTCTTGAAATAAATACGCCACTTTAGTGCTTGAGTGTGCTTTAATTTGAAATTCGCAATTGAAAAGATTGAAAAACATGGAAATTTATTGTAAAAGAAATAAAAACTGTAAAGTAACTGTAATTGTAAAGTTTTTCTTTGCACAGAGTTCTCTGGAGTGCTCAAAAATGTAAACACATCCTTTCTAGTGTACAGAAGAGTCAATTTCTGCATGGCGACAAATTTGAAATATTGAAAATTTAACCGGAAATTGGTACGTAGAAAGTTTTCATTTCTTTTCAGAACAAAACATTTGGAAAATACTTATTCTATTGTTAGTCGTTAGTCGTCCCTTAGTCGTTCATTAATCTCAGCAAAAACATTTTCATAACCCCAATTTTGAAACATTAAAATTTTAAAGGAAAGTTGATAGATGAAAACTTTCTATTAAGCAAAACTACCGTAATAATTCTAATAGAAGACCATGGTCTTCTAATTTTCAACCCCCCCAAAATTGATCGGCCAAAAAAGTAGGTAAGGGTCCCCTAAATAAATCAAAAAATTAAAAATTGTTAAAAACTATTTCAAACGATAGCCCTTGGCCCAAAACATGCCAAAAACATGTCTAAAAGTGAAATTATTTTCTTGCCCGGACTCCATAGAAAATCTTTCAAAAAAAATCCATGTGGGGGACCACATAAAATTTTTTCCAAAAAGTTATTTTTTAATTTTTTCAAAAACTACGTCTCCAATTTAACTGCCGGGGCTAAAATATTACTATCTGGACCCAAATCTATCATTCTACTTAAAAAGAAGTTTTAAAAAGTCCCGATTTCAAGGGGTCAGGGGGGTGGTCTTCTATTAGAGACTGGTCTTCTATTAGAGACTGGTCTTCTATTAGAGACTGGTCTTCTATTAGAGACTGGTCTTCTATTAGAGACTGGTCTTCTATTAGAGACTGGTCTTCTATTAGAGACTGGTCTTCTATTAGAGACTGGTCTTCTATTAGAATTATTACGGTATATTTATTTATTGCTTTAGAAACTTTTCTACAGGATAAATATTTGAATTATTGCTTAAAAAGATTGATTTTATCTTTCTTTCAAATTAGCACTTGAAAGAAACACCATCACCTTTCAAATTTCAATGAGAAATATTTAAATTTAACCGAGTTTTGTTAAATGAAGTTTTTAGGCTATCAGATACTTTGTAAAGTTTAGATCAAATTTTGAACTAAAAAACCCCTTCTTACCTTCAACGGTGTGGCCATTCCAGAGCTCGAACTTCTCACCGTTGTGTACTTTGAACCGGTCGACGTTGGAGAGGAATCTTCCGATGCTGTCGCCAAGTAAGTCTTTAGTGCCTGAAGTTGGATTAATTACGCAAGAAGTAACAATGAGCACAAAGTAAATCTTGAGAAGATCAGATTGTGATTTTGTGAGTAGAAAAGAAACTAGAGCTAAAAATCATTTTCGGAATTAAAAATAATAATAATGATTTGATCTGTCTTCGCACTTAGCGCAGATCACAACCCGCTTCCACATTTACTGAGGCAGAAGTGTAGTTGTCGTAGCCGATGATACTCCGATGGCCGGGCTGGGGCGCTCGGAGGGGAACCCATGGGAGTCGAACCCACGACTAACCCGCGCCGACGTTGCTCAACTTGGCAGATCGGACGGGGTCGACCACAGACCCTTCCCTTTCTGGGCCCCTTTTCGGAATTGAAAAGATTGAAATATGGAAATTTATTGTAAAAGAAATAAAAACTTTAAAGTAACTGTAATTGTAAAGTTTTTCTTTACACAGAGTTCTCTGAAGTGCCACAAAAGTGTAAACACATCCTTTCTAGTGTACAGAACTCTTTCATTTTTCATCTCGAAGCAATAGTTTGGTGAGAAACGAGAAAAAAAATGAGGATTAAGTGCACTGGAAAGAATGTGTTCAAATTCTTTGAGTACAATATACAAGGTATAAAACTATTAGAGCGCTCACCTCAAAGTACGGCTTATAAAAACGCGGTCCAGTGGCATGGGGATCTGGGCAAAACCAGTGTAGATCGGGATTGATTTCAGAAGTGGATGAACAAATGACGAGATCTTTCAGAGGTGATCTCTCCAATAAACCACGACCATAGGCGGAGGTCAGAGTCTGGAAAACAAGACTTGAAAAGTAATCAACTTCAGTTAAATTTTCAGCATCTTTATGTCAGGGCAAATGATCTAATTTTGAAATGTATTGCTTTTGGACTTTTTGTTCTCGAGCATCCGATCGATGACACGACAAGAGAGAAAGGTTTTTACCAAAAAGCACTTAAGGTTGAACCAGGGTCAAACAGTTGAGAGCCTAGCGCACTTAACACTTGGCCACGACGACACGTTATCCGGGAGACGCTTGATATTTGCTATCGGGGGATGCTTGATATAATTTTTGATATAAAATCTTGATATCATTTGATATAAAATCGCTTGATATTTGCGCGGTCAGATAACACTCAAAAACTTCTTACAGACAAACTTTAAACGAATTTAAATCAAAAATTTGAAGCCATTACACAAAAGCGATATTCGGAATGAGTTAGAGTTAGACAAAATAAGTTGAGTTAGAGTGAGTTAGAGTGAGTTAGAGTGAGTTAGAGTGAGTTAGAGTGAGTTAGAGTGAGTTAGAGCGGAATGAGTTAGAGTTAGGCAAAAAAAATAAGTTAGATCGTAAATAAACAATGATCTCTAGTCAGTGTCTTGCTGAGTTTTTAGCTTTCTTTTCATGAAAATGATTAAGACCTGATTTAGAATTCGAGTTTTGCATTTGTGAAAATGATCTCATTGAATTTTTATATTAATTTTGTAGATATTTTCAAAAAAACTCACCGGATGGAAACTCGGCAGAATGTAGTCACTGCGCACAAAAGCCGAAATCGGATTGAGGATTTCCTGGAAAATAGCTGTAAATTAAGCATAATGCCGTCAATAAATAAATAAATAACTAGATCAATAACTAGATCAATAACTAGATCATTAACTAGATCAATAACTAGATCAATAACTAGATCAATAACTAAATCAATAACTAAATCAATAAATAAATAAATAACTAGATCAATAACTAGATCAATAACTAAATCAATAACTAAATCAATAACTAAATCAATAACTAAATCAATAACTAAATCAATAACTAAATCAATAACTAAATCAATAACTAAATCAATAAATAAATAAATAACTAAATAACTAACTAACTAAATAACTAACTAACTAAATAAATCTCACCCTCAGCTCCTTTTCGCTTTCTTCGGTCTTCCGGATACCGCGGCGGCTGATCGAATGCGATGTGTCGGCGACAATGTTCGGCTCTCGCTTCTGAAAAGTTTACGTTTCAAAATTTCAAAATGTGCAACTTTAAAGCACTAAAAGCTTTCTTAATATCTTTCAAAAATGAACCTCCATTCTCTTCAACAATTCGTGTTCTCCCCAACGAATCACTGCCTCCAAAATCTCGAGCTCGGTGGCCTAAAAAAAAAAATTTGCAGTTGCAAAAGGAATCGAATTTTTTTTTTGGGAAACTCTACATTTAACTAAAAATATTTGACTCCTAATCGTTGTTCCTAATCTAATCATATCGTTATCATTCTTTTGGCTACCATTTCTTTTTTCTATTACCTGCAAAAATGGGCTTGCAACAAGATGTCCAAGTTGATCGATCGTCAAATAAAATAAATGATGTGTGGAGGCGATTCGTGAGAATTCCGAGATCTCAAAGTTTAGTTTTAATCATAAATTTGATTTTTCTTTGTAAGCTTTTGGAATAATATTATTCTACAATTGGAATAATATTATTCTACAATTGGAATAATATTAGTTTACAATTAGAATAATATTATTCTACAATTGGAATAATATATCTACAATTGAAATAATATATCTACAATTGGAATAATATTAGTCTACAATTAGAATAATATTATTCTACAATTAGAATAATATTAGTCTACAATTTCCAAAGAAAACTTTTCAATCAAGCAAGTTATTGGTTCGTTAAATGCTGGTTCAATAACGTTAAATGCTGGTTCGTCAAATTGAATTTGCATGAAAAACATTATTGTTTTACTTCTTTGATATAAATTTGTGCAAAATTTGCAACTTTTCCTCACCAAAAATGCTCGGGAAACGTTTGCCACAAAATGCGATCCGCCGTCTTCGGCCCACGAAAGAATTGAGACACATGTGTCGATTGACAGAGAATCCACGATCACATCTTCGCACACTTAATTCAACTTTCTTCTATAAATTCTTTTGGCACTAACTCTAGAACTTTTGAAATAATGACTTTAAAATATTTGAACCTTTTAACCTAAAGATTAAAACTAAGCGAAGATTAAAAGACACATCGAATTCACCCAATAAATTTTCCTGTACCATGAACTTTTTGATACATTTTTTTTTGGAAAACCGTCAAACCTTTTGTTGGTTTGATATTTTGACAGATTTTTTTTGTTTATCTTGAACTAGAATTACTTGTCAGCTTGTTTATTAATAGTCAAACCAACAATGCACAAGTTTGGTGAGCCCAAAGAATTTAGCGATATGGACGAGTTGGCTGGCCTGATGAAGGGGTGAGTCTGGATTGCGGCCGCTCACAATCGCTCGAGCCTCGCTCAACGACGAGACAGAGATCATTGATGGCGAGATCTGAAAGGAAAATAAACTAAACTAAAGAAACTTTCGAAGGGCTAAGCCAACTCTAATAAGCTTTGTAGCGCATCAGCTCTCTTATATTACTTTGACCTATCTTGTTTAGGTATTTTATCTTACAATCGGCTGGAATAAAAGAATTCAGTTGATAGAATTAAAGAAGTTACCGTAAATACTGTAATAGTAATGACGGTACTGTAAATACTGTAATAGTAATGTAATAGTAATGACCCCCATAATGACGGGGCGGAGTGTTGCGTAGTCTAGCCTTGAACGAGTTTTTCTCGACACTGGCTTATGCTACAATGCGCGCTTAGGTATCAAAAAATAGCCCTGAATTTCAGCTATTTTTTGATACCAAAGACGCATTTTTTGAAAGTACGGGCGCTTTGGAAAAAATGAAATACTAAAGAACTTTTGCGACTACGCGACTGTCCTAAGGGGGTGGGGTATTATTACAGTATTTACGGTAAACTTCTAGATAAACCTACCCTGCTGAGATCGAGTTGATCGGTGTACAAATAGTGAACAATCACTGGAGCCATTGAACGTGGGAGAAGATTCTCGTCAAGTACCTAAAAACGAAGTTGGTCAATGTTAGAATAAGAAAAATATCCGATTTCTCTCTCACTCACCACTCGATCCACATGTCTCCTTTTTACAAGTGATGCGAAAAGTTCGGATCTTGTCGCAATCAATTCCGAATCCAAACGTATTTCATGATCATTAATAGAATGATCTAAATGGGAAAGACTTTGATAAAATGATTAAAGAGTTGCAATTTCTTGCTTGAAAAGCTGGGAAATTGTAGGACCATAGCATTGCTGCATTAGTAAAACTTTTTTAAGGCAAAAACTTGATAATTTTGAAACAAAGAGTTCACGCCTCACGCGAGCTTATTTTATCTATCAGAATTCAACTGAATACCAAGATTAATGCAATTTTAAAATCTTTTGTTGAGTCAAATTTGTAAAGAGCTCAAGAGCTGGCTTTATGGATTTACTTTGAATATTTACTTGGATCAACGTCCGGCCTGCTCGAGAGTTGAATGATAAAATCTCCCTCTTCATCAGCTGTCATTTCAAATGTTTCAAGATCGATGCAGAGAGGATTTGTGATCTAGAAATTCGTAAATTCTCTAGAAAAATACAACTTTTTACCTTTAAAATCGTTTTGATTTGACTCAGCGTTTCATTGGAAAGATCACAGCGTTCTGTGTAGAGATAGTTGATGAAATCTCTGAAAGATCACAGTTTTAAGTGATCATTTTCTCATCTACTAAAACAATTTTTGTTTCTTTTTTTCATTGAAATGGTTAGAGAGACTATCCTGGTTGTTTATAGATAATATTTTTATTCATTTGATTCGATTCGATTCATTTGAAACTTCCTAAAACATTTCCCTTGATTAAAATCGAAAATTTCCAGATGATTTCGGGGAAAGTCAGATGTTAGAAGCAAAATCAAAACAAAAAAAAGTTAGATTCTAATTTAAAACGAGAAGGAGAATGACAAAAGTGTTTGATTGCAAGCATTCGGACTTAGATCTATCTTTTGAAACAATCATTAAACAATCATTTCTTCATTAACTTAAAAACAAGTTAATAGATTAGATTTAATAGATAATAGATCAACTTGAAACAAAGCTATTCATTCAAAGTTAAAGCTTTCATTTGATTTTCATTTGATTTTTATTGTGTCAGTAATTTTCTGTTTTGAAAAGAATAGAAATTGGATGAAATAAAACTCGTTTTGAATTTCATTACAATCACTTCTTCTACTTAATAGCCGGCTAGATTGAGACAAGATTTTCTAGAACAAATCAAGACAACATTTTTTTTCTACAATGAATCTAATTCTGAATTCTCATTGATTTTAAAACATTTAAAGTTTCACAAGAAATTTCACTCACCTAAACTCTTCAACTGTAATTGATTCCAATGGAGAAGTGAGCTCAATGACACTTGTTGATTCTGATGACATCTCGGTGATTAATTTGCATCGGATTCGAGCGAAACGGCGGTGAACCGGGAGTCTTTCACCCTAAAAGAATAGATTTGTTTTAGATTTTAGATTTTAGATTTTAGATCAAAATTGAATCAAATCTTATCAAGGTCCACAATGTGCCAGTATTTTTAGATTAAGCAATCAAAGCAAAGCAAAGCAATTAGATCAGATCGTTTTATGATCTTGATCTATTAATCAATCGATTAATCACCTTGAAAACGAATTCAACCGTTTGTGTTGTCGACTTTAGCAATTGTTGGCCGATTGATGGGACGGCTGGACGAGCGTTTGTCGCCTCCGAGTATAGCTCGAAGCTGAAATGATTGAATTTCAAATGGAAGCAGTTTATACAGTTTATACAGTTTGTACAGTTTATACAGTTTATACAGTTTGTACAGTTTATACAGTTTGTACATCTTTTTTGAAAGTCAAGAAAAGATTGGAAAAGATTGGAAAAGATTGATGTGAAAGCAAAAGCGATCAGATAATCGTTTTGAAAAGCTACTTTGAAGTTGTGGTTTTGCTAACAAGAAGTGAAAAAGAAATGTATTGCCATTTTTGGCAATTGATTTACGGCAATTGATTTGACTGCTCTGTGATTCTTTCTTGAGGTATCTATTTATCTTTTGGGTGTGTTTTGAGTGGTGTCCCGGGTAATTATTGTGATTTTGTTTTGTCGCTATTCAACTGAATAAAGCATAAATATAACTCACAGCTGCCTCATCGTGTCCATTTCCCGGAAAAGTGATTCCGCGTCTTCCAGCGGCCATTTCGTGATCAAATCTCGGAAAGTTCGAATTTTATCCCGATCGCCGGATTTTCTCTGAAAATTCGACTCAACCGCGATAATGAAGTCTTTAGTTAAGAGCCGCTATAACTATAACTATTTTGGGGTTAGTGTTTTGCTATAACTCTGTGTTGTTGAATGACAGATTCGTCATAACTTTCGTAAATGCTGTAACTGAAAGAGCCCCAACGAAAGCCGAACTCCCAGCGAGCAATCAAAGTACGCCAGTCAAGCAAATAAAGCAATTAAAGCTTTAATTGTCAATTTCTCTTTACTTACCTTGAAGCTAATCTTTGCGAAATGTCTGGACGAGGCTGCGGCCAATGAGCTCAATTTGTTTTTCTTCTTCTTCGTAGCTGAGCGTTGCTCGGCCGATGGGCGAATTCGATCGACATCGTTTGTGGAGCGACTTTTGAAACTGAATTTGAACTAGTAGATACTAGTAGAAACTAGTAGATAGGTATTTGATTTAAAATGATTCAAAAGGTTGCTCTTAAAAATCTTAAAGACAAATTTCTATGAAAGTCAATGATAGAAAAGTTTAAAGCTTTTCGAAAACTATGCTTGTCAACTTAGCTGTGTTGTTTTCATTAATTTTTTTAAACTTTCAGTTCTATTTCATGTTTCCTAAGCATTTTCCTTGTTAAAAACACAAAATTCTGCTTATCAAGCACTTCTTTATGCCCTAGTTTTGTTTATTTAAACACATTTTCATGAATAAAAACGTTTTTCCCCCTCTTTTGTGCTAATCATTAATCACTTTTTGATGCAATTCTATCATTGTGCAAGAAAAAAACCTTATAAAAACCAACCGCAAGGAGCTTGAGTGACCGCCCATCAAAAGAGAGCACAAATCTACATTTACTGGCGGCCGTTTTCTAAAACGTGACTCGAATCCGATTACTGTAGTTTAGTGGTTATAAAAGAACAACAAACAAAAAATTAAAAGTCACAAATCATAAATTTTCACTCTCGCTTCATTTTCATCAGCTGTTCTTTTCCACTTTTTTTGGCTGATTGCCAATTCAAGCGCAGCGCAACGCTTTTGTGTGCAACTTTGCTAAATTCTTGAAACCTTTTACCTTGAAATTTTAACTTCACCATGAAATTTTGGCATTTCTTAAGAATCACTTGTGAATGTTAAGCGTTTTCCCGTATTTTGCACTTTCAATGAACCGGTTTTCCTTGCTAAATCGCCTATTTCGACACTCATTTCATTGGTTCGCTTCGGGACCACTTATCGCCTTCACGTGGAATTTTCATACGAGGAATGGAGCTATCGATTAGAATCGGAAAAGGGCAGAGAAAGAGAGTTCTCTTTTTGCCCCCTTTTTGTCGCCTCTTTTGCCATGATTTTGATGACTTGTCTAGCGGGCAAATCATTTATCGAATTTTGAAGTCACTTGATTTCCCTTGCGCATTTTTATTTTTCTTTTGAGATTTTCAAGCTGTTAACGTCGTTTTTTCTTTCAGGATTTCATTGACAACAAACAAGACCAAGCAAAATGGCCACCATGAACCCAGAATAGTAGGTTTTAAGCGTGGCTTTTATACAGTTAATAAGATCAAGTTCTAGAAAGACTAGAAGCATTGTCACTGACTTTGTAATTCATGATTTTAAGCTGTAAAATTATGCTGTTAGGCTTAAAAACGTTAAACTGAGCAAGGTTTTTGCTAGATAAGAAAATCTGTGAACTTTAAATGGTTTTTAAACTTAAAAGACTGTAGATAGATTAAATTAAGCATTCTAAACTGTACAGGATGTTGTTATTTTAAAATTTGTTAATGTATCACCAACTTCTTATTTTCAGCGACTATCTCTTCAAGTTGCTCCTCATCGGTGATTCGGGTGTCGGAAAGTCGTGTCTTCTTTTGCGGTTGGTTATTAAATCAAGTAATATTGATTGTTTTCTTATAGGTTTGCTGATGACACATACACTGAAAGCTACATTTCGACTATTGGTGTTGATTTCGTAAGTTTTACAGGCATTTCTAATGAAAAATGCGTTTAACTTTAGAAAATCAGGACAATTGAACTTGATGGCAAGACGATCAAGCTCCAGATTGTAAGTTTTAAAAAGCTTAATTGGTTGGGGAATTTTTGATGCATTTTTGATTTTAGTGGGACACTGCCGGTCAAGAGCGTTTCCGTACAATCACTTCATCTTATTATCGTGGTGCTCATGGAATTATTGTCGTCTATGATATTACGGATCAGGTGAGCAAGCTTTTTGCGTAATTTGAAAAGCAACTTGTTATCAATTTTCTGATGCAAGCTTTTGCTACTCCAGCTTAGCAAAACGATCAATAATGTGACGAACTTTTAGGAGTCTTTCAACAATGTGAAGCAATGGTTGCAAGAGATCGATCGATATGCTTGCGAGAATGTGAACAAATTGCTCGTCGGAAACAAGTGCGACCAAACGGCCAAGCGAGCTGTCGAGACGGCCGCTGCAAAGGTGAGGAGTTGGGGCTTGGAGAAGACTTGAGTAGGATTGAACTACAGTGAGATATGTTAAAACGCAAAGATTACATTAAAAATTGTGCTTTGTAATCACATTGCAGCTCTGACATATCACATAGGCCAGTTGCACAATAAACTTACCTAAACGCGGTTGACTGATTGACGTCTTGACATATTTAAATAGTTTCAACCAGAGTCTAAGTTGATGTTGAACATCTACTGTCGCTTGCTTCCAATTTGACTTTATTTTTAGGAATACGCCGATCAACTATCAATTCCCTTCTTGGAGACATCTGCAAAATCAAGCACTAATGTTGAACAGGTTACTGGTTTTTGTTTGTGCATTTTTTACGGATTGTTTAGGCTTTCCTTACTATGGCGGCCGAGATCAAGTCACGGATGGGTCCTGTGCAAGGCGGAGGTAAATTTTTTTAATCCAGTTGGGCGAAATGTTAAAGAAGTACAGTGGATGGCTCAAAAGATTGATCTGTCTTTTATTGAAAGTCTATTGCTTATTTAGGTGGTCAACCAGCTGTGAGAATCACTGGGTCGCAGCCCGTTCAGGACAAGAAAGCCGGAGGATGCTGTTAGGTGGCGAGTTTTGCTTGTTTTTTTTTGAAATTGTGATGTGCCTTCTAACGTTCTAGCGTCTAACTGTCTTCTTTAGATTACAGAACATGTGAAAACACACATCGCAAATACATTCTTAAAATAAACAAGCATATAATCATTTCTTTTTTTGGTTTAAACTTCTGTGTGTACTTGTGCAGTCTAGGATCATTACTTTGTAAGCGTGCTATTGTCCTTTTTTATATGAGTGATTCTTTTCTTGTATAAAAGCATCTTTGAATTTTAAAGAAGTAGAGAACTAATAATGAATTGAACGATTCTACAGCAGCAGTAAGCTTCATCTAGCTATTCAAAGTTATCCACTCCATGGTGTTCCAAAATGTACAGTCCCTTGTCCGACAGTTTTGTTTATGTTTCCCCTTTTCCATTCATCACTCAGTCAATCGATTTTCCAGGTGGCTGAGAGTGTCGATCCACACGATGAGCTTGCTCTTCCCCCTCTTCTCCCGATTGTTTTCGACTTTGCGGATATATTTTAATTTCAAAAAAATTTAAATCCAATCAAATGTCATTAGCTCCTTATTGATTTCTTCTAAAAATATCGCCAATTTTTCACGGGAAGTTTCTCGGCGTGCTTCTTTTTGAGAGGGGCTAAGAATTTCCCACTTTTCACATTGGAATCACGCCTTGAACTTGCTATTGTGTGTAGATATGCTATTTAGAGAAAAGATTTGAATGTGTTTTTGTTCGTAGTTGTGTAAACACAGGGTGGTTTGGAGATGCATTTCGAAGAGCTGACCCTTTTGAAAAGAAAATGAATGAGTGAAAAGAAAAGGAGATCGTTTTTTTGTATGATGCTTACCCCAATTAGTTTGCAAAAAATAGGTGTGCTTACTGATGCTTTTGGAAGTTAGAAAGAGGGACATGAGGTGAAATGGAGTTTGAATTTATCCGGATCACTTGGGTAATGTAGCTTTTTATCTGATTGTACTGTACTATTAATTCGGTACTGTAATGGGTACCGTTTTCCCAGTGACCGGACTTGAACCCTGGTCATTTGCCTGCTATTCCAATCTCATAACCACTAGGCTATCGATGAAATTCGCCCGCACATCAATTTCAGCCTCATGCGCTCCCATTTCCCCATCCGTTTCCCTAAACAATCCAGCCTAAATAGACAACTTGTCTATCGATCGAGTTAATGCAAAATAGAGATCATTGCCTACCGTAATTGTTTCCTATTTTGCGCTAATTTTTATGGATACGACAAGTCCGTTTTCTGATTTATTCAGCCTGTTGCTGTGCTATTTATCTCCCGTCAATATTTATTTCTATTTAATTTCCTTTATCCAATCGGCCTACAGATTTATCCCCTTTCTCGCCCCGAGTCTGTCTACGTTTTTTCGCTAAGCCTTTTCTTGGTCTTGTTAACGGGGAGATGGATATTTTAATCGGAAACTAAAACCTTTTCTAAAAGATAGGCAAAAGCTACCTTACACTTTTTGATGACTACTGAAGTCCATTGCAAATCGACGTCTCTAAAAGGTGCGCTTAGGCAAAAGCTATCATACTCTCACTTAAAAGCTAAATAAGAAGCAAATGAACAGGAGAAAAGATTCATTTTCTAAAAGGTGTACCCAGCACTTGGTTCTTATTGTAATACGGTTACGGTAGCTTTTTGCGGTGCCCATCTTTTAGAGATCTTGAGCAGTCTATCTGGGTATTCAATCATCTATCTTGAAAACTAGAAAATTTAGAAAATCATCCAATCCTCCAATCCTCCAACAAGTCCCTTTATCCCTTTTCCATTTGTCACCCCGTTCGAAATGTGATCAAAATTTTGTGTGTGGCTATCGAGTCAATTTTATTTAAAAGAGCATTCGTCATTTGTGTTTTTTTTCCTACTTTCCCCCTCTTTCTCTGCCTGTGAATTTGTTGCTGTATTCGTCTTGGGTGAGGGGAAACAATTTCCCCCCCACAATTTTCTCTCTTGCTCTTTTTTTTTGCTCTTCAATTGTGGCTATTTTTTTTTAAAGAGAAACCATCTTGGAATAAAGCTGTTTCAAAATTGGAAAGGTTAAAGGGAAAAAGCGGAGAGTAATCTTTTGGAATCACGTTTTCAAACATTCAATACAAAATAAAATAAGTATTTTAATGATACTTTGAAAGTCGTTTATTAGAAAACCCTGGAATCGTCTAGGATTTTGAAAACAGTCCGTTCACAGTCTTGCGTTTTTTTCTATATAATTGTACAAACGATGTGAGAAACGTTGAAATCCTTTTTTAAACAAACAAAAATTAGAAAAACTTTAATTTCACGAATTCGAAATAGAATACCCGACATCTTTTACGAATATATTGTAAAGTTAAAGGAAAATTTTGAGAAAAAGTAAAGTACGAAAAAAGAGAATCATTTAAAAGCTAACAAATTTAAAACACAGTTTTTTTAAAAGGAAATCTCTTTGGTCAATATTGAGGTAATCTGTGAAACTTTCGATTTTATAGGAAATGTGCGGAAAATGGGTCCTCTCCCATTATACCCACATACGCATCATTCCCCTTATACCCCCACAGCATCAATTCCATTATACCCCCACATTTAAAAAAAATTAGCATTTATCCGAATGATGTTTTTCCCAAAGAAGAACTCGAAGAATTTTCTCAATTCAACGGATCCTTTTATTCACACACAAACTATCGAGCTAGCCATGGGGAAGCGCAAAGTGGTGGAATAAGAAGCACCGCGGTACATCATGATGTACCGCGTGCATCACGTCATCATTTGGAAAGCTACCTTGCGGAATTCATGGTCAGAACTGAATTGGGAAAGATCGATAACTTTGATTGGGTTCTTAAAAGGATTGGCCTCCAAAATGGTCACCAAAAATTGAATTGTTGATTGTAGTTAGAAAAGCTTTTTAAAACCTGGGAGTAAAATGGAGTATAATGGAGTATAATGGGAGTATAATTAGTATAATATTATAATGCCATTTGTGGAGTATAATGGGATTGATGCAAATTAAATTTTGTTGTTTTTTGTTAAATCTTAATTTTTTTAAATGTGGAGGTATAATGAGATTGATGCTGTGGGGGTTTAATGGGATTGATGCTATGCGGGGATAATGGGAAAGTACCGGAAAATGATCACAATTGTTGAAGGAAAATCGAGTTTTGACTGGATTTTCGATGGCTCTCGAGAAGCTCGAATTGTTGAATGGGGTTTTTTTCAACGAATGGTGTCCAACCGGTCGAGATGTGATTCTTTAAATCGTCGGTGATTGTTTCGGCTGAAATTTGGGAATGGAAATTTTGTTTCACGGAAAAACGATCAATTTTCTTATTTCAATGATAGTCTTATTCAATCTTATTCTTATTCTTATAGTCTTATTCAATCTTAATCCAGTCGAAATTCGATCTAACGAATCGCTCGGGATCGAAAACTTCGATCTAACGAATCTAAAACATGCCTCGAAATTTTCTGCGTAGCTGCCCTGGACAGCCACTGATTGCATTTGGTCAGCTACGCAGAAATTTAAACTTCATTGCATCGAAGTTTAACTGTACTTAGTTACTGTACTGTACTGTACTGTCTATATGTCGTAGCCGATTATGAATGAAATTTTTTGGTAAATCTTTCTAGTAGAGCAACCCTTTAATGTATGAGGACAATATTATATCATCCTGTAGCGAATTCAATTCTGCGTCGATTGGTACCAAATTTGTGAGTTTAGGTTAAAAATTACCGGCACTACAACGTTTGATTCAAAATCGGCGGGACCCCCGTAGCCGATTATGAATTTCAGCCGATTATGATATGAGTGGGCCTAGGAGCGTCCAACCATCAAGTATTTGGTATCATTCAACGCAGAATCATTAATAATTATGTTAAATTTTTAAAATTAGAAAGATTTGATAAAAAGAAAAAAAATTAGAGCAAAAAAACTGTTTGTTCCATTGAGGAAACTTTGAGGCTCCATAATTTTTTTTCTTTTTATCAAATCTTTCTAATTTTAAAAATTTAACATAGCTATTAATGATTCTGCGTTGAATGATACCAAATACTTGATGGTTGGACGCTCCTAGATCCACTCATTCATAATCGGCTACGACATATAAATAGATAGCCCTTGTGCAAATTATATATCCCTAACCTGGAGCTAAATTTGAAATTGAACTTGATAAAAAGTAAACTTGAAACTTGCATTTGTAAAATATTGTTTTTCTGATTCTGTGCTCAATATTTATTTCTAAATACACTTAACTACTTATTTAAAAAGTTTCTTTAAAAGTTTAGACTGATTAAATTGATTCCAATTGGCAAACTCAATCTCTGGGATTAATTCTGCCCCAAATCCAGCTGTATTCTTGCTTCGAATTCTAGATCTCGTTAAACAATTATGTCATCTAAACAGCATGAAACTGAGAGACTATTCGATCTGATTCGAGCACTCTGTCTCTCGATTTTCTCGATTTTCTGTAATTTTCAATCAAATCAATTTAATATCCTTTGAAAAGCTGAAGTCTCCTCTTTAGAATAATATCAAAAGCTCATTAATATTATCTCTAAACAAAGCTATCGATCTTCAAAGTCTAAAGTCCTGTTTACCTGTCCCCCACAATCTGACTCTAGTTTCTCTTCAAACGTTCTCAACTCAATCTTTTGACTTTTTGAACGAAAGAAATGAATATTTTGAAGCATTTCCCACTGGAGCTCTCCCCTCGAAAGTACACTTTTTATCAAGTTTTTTATCAAGCTTATCAAGCTGTTAAGTACACTTTTTATCAAGCTCTTTTTCTGTCAAGAAGAACTTCTCAAATCAGCCAAAAAAAGCAAACTGTTTGTTTATCAATTGCCTGTAAAAACGCACTTGTCATGAGAGGATCGTGAAGTGGAATTGGCAGTGATGGAGAGAAAAATGATGGATGAATTGAAGAGGAGAGAGGCGAAGAGAAATTCTCAACTTCTTCTTGTCGATGAGTGGGTATGAACTGAAAAACAAAGGAATAAATGACTCATT